TCTAAAGAGAACCAAGAGAGGACGATTCTAAGGGAGCTCTAAAAAATAATCGAAAAAAATGATAAAAAGAGGGCTTCTGAAAAAAGACTTCCAAAAATTAATACAGAGTTTCCAGAGAACATATCGCAGAAAAGTATTTACTATAATAATAATTGAGAGAGTCTAAAGAGAACCAAGAGAGCAAGATTCTAAGGGAGCTCTAAAAAAATTCAAAAAAATTGTTAAAAAAGAGAGCTTCTGAAAAAAGACTGTCAAAGAACTGTAACAGAGTTTCCAGAAAACATATTGAAGAAAAGCATCTACTAGAATAATAAATTGAGAGAGTCTAAAGAGAACCAAGAGAGAAAGATTCTAAGGAAGCTCTAAAAAATAATCGAAAAAAATGTTAAAAAGAGAGCTTCTGAAAAAAGACTTCCAAAGAATTAATACAGAGTTTCCAGAGAACATATCGCAGAGAAATATTTACTAGAATAATAAATTGAGAGAGTTAAAAGAGAACCAAGAGAGCAAGATTCTCAGGGAGCTATAAAAAAAATAAGAAAAAATATTAAAAAAGAGAGCTTCTGAAAAAAGACTTCCAAAAAATTAATATAGGGTTTCCAGAGAACATATCGCAGAGAAATATTTACTAGAATAATAAATTGAGAGAGTCTAAAGAGAACCAAGAGAGAAAGATTCTAAGGGAGCTCTAAAAAATAATCGAAAAAAATGTTAAAAACAAAGAGTCTGAAAAAAGACTTTCAAAGAATTAATACAGAGTTTTCAGAGAACATATTGAAGAAAATTATCTACTATAATAATAAATTGAGAGAGTCTAAAGAGAACCAAGAGAGGACGATTCTAAGGGAGCTCTAAAAAATAATCGAAAAAAAATGATAAAAAAGAGGGCTTCTGAAAAAAGACTTCCAAAGAATTAATACAGTGTTTCAAGAGAACATATCGCAGAGAAATATTTACTAGAATAATAAATTGAGGGAGTTAAAAGAGAAACAAGAGAGCAAGATTCTCAGGGAGCTCTAGAAAAAATCGAAAAAAGGATAAAAAAGAGAGCTTCTGAAAAAGACTTCCAAAGAATTAATACAGTGTTTCAAGAGAACATATCGCAAAGAAATATTTACTAGTATAATAAATTGAGAGAGTCTAAAGAGAACCAAGAGAGAAAGATTCTAAGGGAGCTTTAAAAAATAATCGAAAAAAATGATAAAAAAGAGAGCTTCTGAAAAAAGACTTCCAAAAATTAATACAGAGTTTCGAGAAAAGATATCACAGAAAAGTATCTACTAGAATAATAAATTGAGAGGATCAAAACAGAACCAAGAGAGGAAGATTCTAAGGAAGCTCTAAAAATAATCGAAAAAAATATTAAAAAAGAGGGCTTCTGAAAAAAGACTTCCAAAGAATTAATACAGAGTTTCCTGAGAATATATCGCAGAAAAGTATCTACTAGAATAATAAATTGAGAGGATCAAAACAGAACCAAGAGAGCAAGGTTCTAAGGAAACTCTAAAAATAATCGAAAAAAATATTAAAAAAGAGGGCTTCTGAAAAAAGACTTCCAAAGAATTGATACAGAGTTTCCTGAGAATATATCGCAGAAAAGTATCTACTAGAATAATAAATTGAGAGGATCAAAACAGAACCAAGAGAGCAAGATTCTAAGGAAGCTCTAAAAATAATCGAAAAAAATATTAAAAAAGAGGGCTTCTGAAAAAAGACTTCCAAAGAATTAATACAGAGTTTCCTGAGAATATATCGCAGAAAAGTATCTACTAGAATAATAAATTGAGAGGATCAAAACAGAACCAAGAGAGCAAGATTCTAAGGAAGCTCTAAAAATAATCGAAAAAAATATTAAAAAAGAGGGCTTCTGAAAAAAGACTTCCAAAGAACTAATACAGAGTTTCCAGAGAACATGTCACAGAAAAGTATCTACTAGAATAATAAATTGAGAGAATCAAAAGAGAACCAAGAGAGCAAGAATTTAAGAGAGCTCTAAAAAATAATCGAAAAAAAAATGTTAAAAAAGAGAGCTTCTGAAAAAAGACTTCCAAAGAATTAATACAGAGTTTCCTGAGAATATATCGCAGAAAAGTATCTACTAGAATAATAAATTGAGAGAATCAAAACAGAACCAAGAGAGCAAGATTCTAAGGAAGCTCTAAAAATAATCGAAAAAAAAATTAAAAAAGAGGGCTTCTGAAAAAAGACTTCCAAAGAATTAATACAGAGTTTCGAGAAAAGATATCACAGAAAAGTATCTACTAGAATAATAAATTGAGAGAATCAAAAGAGAACCAAGAGAGCAAGATTCTAAGGAAGCTCTAAAAATAATCGAAAAAAATATTAAAAAAGAGGGCTTCTGAAAAAAGACTTCCAAAGAATTAATACAGAATTTCCTGAGAATATATCGCAGAAAAGTATCTACTAGAATAATAAATTGAGAGAATCAAAACAGAACCAAGAGAGCAAGATTCTAAGGAAGCTCTAAAAATAATCGAAAAAAATATTAAAAAAGAGGGCTTCTGAAAAAAGACTTCCAAAGAATTAATACAGAGTTTCCTGAGAATATATCGCAGAAAGTATTTACTAGAATAATAAATTGAGAGAGTCTAAAGAGAACCAAAAGACAAAGATTCTAAGGAAGCTCTAAAAAATAATCGAAAAAATGTTAAAAAAAGAGAGCTTCTGAAAAAAGACTTCCAAAGAATTAATATAGAGTTTCCAGAGAATATATCGCTGAAAAGTATTTACTAGAATAATAAATTGAGAGAGTCTAAAGAGAACCAAAAGACAAAGATTCTAAGGAAGCTGTAAAAAATAATTGAAAAAATTTTAAAAAAAGAGAGCTTCTGAAAAAAAGACTTTCAAAGAATTAATACAGAGTTTCCAGAGAACATATTGGAGAAAATTATCTACTAGAATAATAAATTGAGCGAGTTAAAAGAGAACCAAGAGAGTAAGATTCTAAGGGAGCTGAGGTAGAAGCAAAAGAGTGAGTTTTAAAAAGGAGCTTTGAAAGATTCTCAAGAAAGAGAGAGAGAGAGTAATAGGATTTAATGAGAGGTTTTAGTATGTTTTGGAGAGACAGAGAGATGTTCTACAGACTATATAAGGACAATTTGGGGAGAGAATCAAGAGAGTAAGATCTTGAAAGAAGTTTTCAAAGAGATCTGAGAGAGAGAGTGTAATGAGGAAGAAAGTGAACTTCAAGAGAGTGTTTCTTAGAGCATTGATAGAGATTTTCTTGAGAATTTATTGAAGGGAAGATTCTATGTAGAGAGTAATGAGATAGAGTGTACGGGAGAATCAAGAGATCAATTTTATAGAATTATAAAGCTGGAGCTTCTGACATTATTAAATTTTTATGTAGAGTTAATGGAAGAGGAACCTCCCTGTAATTGCAAGCAAAGGAATTAGGAGCTTTGGTCACTTTAAGAGAAAGGACCAGCATACTGATAAATAGGTATAGCTTCTCAGTGTCCTTAAGACTACCTCATGATGCTTGTAGAAAAAAATACAAAACACCTCAATTGGCTAATCAATCTATAATTTTGTGGAAGGAACTGATACAAAGAGGAATTATACTGCTTTTCAAGCATCAAAATTTTTCCACAACTCTTTATTTCAGGTCAAGCATAACAGGAAGGAATTTTTTTCTGAAACCTAGACAAACAAACAGGCTTCTCAATAAATACACTTGATGGAGCCTTGTAATAAATAGAAGGCTGTATCAATCACTTTTGCACAAAGCAGTGTGAGCAAGAAGCATTACTTGGAAATGGATCAAAATGAAAACAGAGAGAAAAAATGAGGTCAATGGAATATATCCTGATGACAACATTCAGAAAAAGGATGCACATGTTTACCTTTTTCTACAGACAAAACAGAGCATGAAATAAAAAGAGAACAAACTGCTTATATACTGCTTGATTTTATTTGATCTATTTACAAACTTTTTATGTATATTTCGATTATTTTTTATTATGTATTTGCATCAATTCAGTAGATAACCTAATTGGGGGGTTGGTTCCTCCCTTGTCACTAAACTTGATTCTCTGGACAATGGCGACCATCATTTTTACTCTTAGATGCAAGTGATAAGGATCACAGAGTAGAAAAAGTTCTTAGTAAAAGAAGGAGAGCCTTGATGCTCCAGACACCCTTTCTAGACTATAGGACATCTGACATATATAATAAGGCATAGATGATTAGATGATAAGACTCGGGTTTATTTTTACATAGAAATCCAAAAAACAGGATATTTAATGGAAAGGTTAAAAAAGATTCCAAAGTGTCAGAAGAAAGGGGAAAATCGATGTTTTACAACTAAACAATTCGTACTTCACGTAAAAATGGCACTTGGGAAATCGAATCAGTCAAGCAGCTTGATAATATGCTATCCTGAATTATTTTCAGCGAGCCGAGAGGCCTGATAAAATAAAAGGCTTTTGCTTCGACAAAAGCATTGCAACAGTCTATCATTTACAATATCACTTATATTGTTGTCATTTTACACGCAGCCCAGGAGGGTGGAAACTATTTCCATTTCCTTTTGAAAGAAGCTTCTAGTTCTATCATCTAGTTTATTGTCCATCGTACAGTGTAAAACGGTATAATTACACTCGAAACGTGTATTATACAATACTAGATGTTACAAATAAATATATTTTCAGACTTACCTTCACATTTTAGATTTATTGCCATCGTTTCAAAACATCATTTCATTTCACGTGGCCTACCGCCATTTTGTTTTCATTTCATCACAAGGAATGGAAACGAGGTTGGCTCGAAACCAGGAACAAAGACTTTCACAATAAAAGATTACGGTATTTCTTTTAAGAAAAAATTGTTGTCAAAAGGGTTAGAGACAAAACTTGAAACAAAAATTGGAAGAAATCAAAATGATATTTTTATCACAAAAATAATTCGAAATAAGAAAGAATTTTGGGCCATTATTGACTGAAAGATTTAATAAAGGAGTCTTTTATTCCTAAACCCTCCTAAACCAATGAGTTGAGAATAATTCGAAAGCCTAAATGTGAGCATTCAATTTCATTCGAAAGATAGAATTAGAAACAACAGCAAGATGCCTTAGAGCATCATGAATTGAATCGTAAGTAGGCATCTGTCACACAGGGAGCTCAAAGAGACATCAATTTTAAGATTGAAATACAAAAATAGAAATGTACGAACATAAAAAATCGGATCTGCTTCTCAAAGAAAGTTTTACAAACAAACTATAAGATCAATGTACAATTATGCCTTGGATTCTAAGAAAATTACCCGTTTTTACAGCGGCTATTTCAATTACGTACATTTTAATTTTCTATATCTATTACTATAACAATAAAGCCATCCACATCAAAGAAGGATTCCTTTAGTTTTACAATCTCTTGATTGATAAATTTTGAAAAAGGACAAGTGATTTGAACCAGCATCTTGGCATCTTTTTGTAAGATTATTGCCGAATATTATTTGTTACAGAAACAGTGAACGTGTCGTCGAGTTTTTGCTCTCTGGCTTGAAAACCGGCAGTCAAAGAGAGCATACCCATATTTGATGTGGATTTGCGAGAATATAACGAAGAATTCTGATTCTATAGTTACATATAGTGTTATCTAAATCCAGTTTGTGTCATCATCATCATCATCAAACAACGGCGGAGGGCTTCTACTGAATGCGGAAGGGCCAGGTTTCTGAAACAAAAACAGTTGCCAGTTTCAGACAGAATGCTTATCTATCTGTATTTGTATAAAAACATAAACTGACTCAAATTCCTATAGCTGACATCAACAAATTGGTGAAATCAATTAAATTGATGAGAAGTCGATAAGCCTGCTAAACAAAGACTACAGCCTTGAGAAATCCGTTCGGTTAAGCAATGTTTTGCAAACTATACTCCTTTCTAAAAACATAAAAAATAAAATATATAAGGGGCTGCTAATAAATAAGAACAGTCAAGTTTGTTTCCGAGAACTTGTAGTAAACCTAAATATAAGTTTTCTAATGCAACCAAACCTAGACATAACTAAATACAACTATAAAATAACTAAATATAACTGAATGTAACTAAAAATAACTAAATGTAACTAAACCCAACTAAATATATCCATTGAGCAATAGAAACGAAAAAGGATGGCCTAAAGCCCTGGCTTCATAATTATCCTTAGAAGACTAGACATAGTTATAGGGCCCCTTTATTTTTCAACATCTATCATACAGTGTCACAGTTGAAACCTGTATTGTCTTCTTAAAACTTTTAATTATTTAATAAAATTGCGAAGTAACAAAACAAATATTCAGTGAAAAAAAAATAAGAAAGAAAAAAGGTACATTACATCACCTATCACAATTTTCATGTCAACACCTGAATGAAACAACAACATTGGTTGATATTTAAAGGAAGTTTAAATAACACAAAACATAAAAAGTAAAATATGTACAGTAAATATAAACCTTACCTTTGAAGCAGACTTTGATTTGTTTGAAGTAAGGAAGTCCTCATCATCATCATCATCGTCATTTTCAAACAAACTAGTTGAACTCGATTCTGGAATTTTCTTTGGCACGCTACTGACTCCTTCATTTGTATTGGAATCTTTTCTCTCAATAACCTCATTTTTGGCGCCATTATCAGCAGCTGAAGGCTTCTCTACTTTATCTTCCAGCTGCTCGATTTGACTTTCTGTTTGATTGTCTCCAGAACTACTATCAATTGCATCTTCCTTGCTTTCCTGTTCAGCACTCTCAAGGTTGCTGGTCATGGCGACATCTGTGTTCGTTTTTGTATCATCAACATTGTCACTCTGAGTTTCGTCAAGGTCTTGACCTCCCTCTTCGCTATCTTCTTCATTTCCAGAAGCTTTTGCGGCTTCTTCTACATTCTCCTCAATCTCAGTACTAGTTACATCAATATTATCCTCCTCGTCACTTAAATCTTCATCGTCTGAATACTGGCTCTCCCGTTGTACCGCATCACCGACGTTTTCCTGTCCAATTTCGTCCAATTGTGACACATTCTCTGCATCTCCCTCGTTTTCACTTGTTAATAGAACCACATCTTCTTTTTCTTCAACTTCTTCAGTGTCTGAATCCATATGCTCCTCTTCATCGTTCTTCTCATTATCACCTTTTTCGGTGCTCTTATCATCATGAGCATCGGCTGTCCTAGTCTCAGATTCTTCGTTATTCTCATCTTCATCTTCTTCCTCACTCTCATCCTTTTCACTACCTTCTTTCTCAGTCTCCACCTCTTCAAGTTCTGGCTTTTCAATTTTTTCTTTTTCACTTTCTTCTTTTTCAATATCTTCCTCTTCACTCTCTTCCTGACTTTCTTCGTCCGCACATTCCTCCTCTTCACTTTCGTCTTCTTCACTTTGATCCTCATCATGACTTTTGCTATCTTCAGTCATTTTCAATGTGACGTCCTGTGAAAAAATGAAATTTCTATAGAACCAAACCATAAGCGAAAGAAAAAGTGTTTTTTTTGACAATACAAGATGATTCCAAATTAAGAAGGCACAACAATTTTGTGAAAGACCCAGTTCAAATAATCAATGAAGAAAAAATTGACGTAAGTCAAACTAGATCAAATCGTAAAGCCAAAACATTAAAATCCCTCACAATTACCAATTCTCACTCTATACAGGCTATTAAAATCTATTGACCCATAAAAATCACAAAGCTGTTTTACTGCATTGGCTTGGTCTCAAAAAGAAGGCATAAAAATTAAGGGTACATTCAGTGTTCTCATTTTGCTTCATGTAAATTTCCTTAAACTCGCACGAAAATTTCCTCAGATTTCGGAAAATTTCCTCAGATTTACGAAAACCTGCCGTTTTTTGAAAATATCGTTAAAACAAATGTGACCATAAATTTAATTGTCAAATACAGTCATCTACATCAAATCTGAAAACTTTCAGAAGATCAAACTTTCGGACAAAAATCACTCAGGAACTTTATTTGTCCGAAATCTAAGTTCGCTCAAAAGTTTTTTCGTCCAAAAGTTGTAAATTCTTAGAAATTAAGAAAAACAAAAAGAAATGCATTGAATAATGCTCTTTCTTTATCTTGTAAACGTAAATACTATAGTACATCGATACTTCTTATTTCTCGTCATAACTCTTTATGGTTCCGATAGCCTTCATGTAAAATCAACACTAGCAGCACATTATTCTGATCAAGGATCAGTGCTTTCTTCATCAATTTTGATATTTTCAATTTCTCTCATATCGTTTTTAAAAAATTAAATACTTTTATCGGCAATCCAGCATTCTATCTTAGTTTCCAGATTTTAGTTGTTAGAAACAGTCTCCTTGTGTCAACGGAGAGGTACCATATTACGAAAAAGTACAGTCGATTTGGGGTACAGTCGATTTGGGCATATGATATAAAAAGAGTTTGTCTGGAAGGTTTTTGTCTGAAACTCTCAAAAAAGTTTTTTAAAGACCTATCTGATGACTCATATCCATCTCTTGCTTTACTTTTAATTCAATGTTGTGTTTAGTTAGAAATGTATAATTTCCCTTTATCATAGAAGAGTAATTCTCAAATATAAAAATTCTCAAATAAAAAAAATTAAAAATATATAAAAAAAATTCTCAAAATTTTCAAATTTCGTAAATTTCCTTAACAACTGAAAATCGATAAAAAGTTCCTTAAAAAGTAAAAAATTTCCTCAGTTTAAGGAAATTTCCTCAAAAGTGAGAACACTGGGTACATTTAACATTCCATTGCACGTGTTAACATCCATTTGCTAAAGTCATCACTTACTCTGATCGTCTGGAGTATTTCTGCCATGACACGCTTCCCCGTGTAATTCTCCTCAGCCTCAAATTCGCCTTTCAGCTTGAAGAAAACCGCGTTCATGACTTTCTTTACCTAGAAAACAACAGCAAAGGTTTCAAAATACATCATAAAATTAAATATGTTATTCCTAATAGCTTGGTTGACTATCTAGAGGAAAATGGTCAGCTTGATTCTTAAAATTGACATTTAAAACCTAAATAAAGAAATGGGTGTAGAACAAAAACACAAAACCGCAGTGGCAAGAAAGCATGGTGAAAGAAGGGTTTGAAATTGATTGGAAGTTTGGGTGAAAAATTAAAGACAAAGTAGAATTCCTGAATTTATGAAACTTCTCAAAAACTCATCCTAGACAGAAATACAAAATCAGAACATTGTTTAATATGAAAAATGAAAAAAGAAAAGGTTGTGAAGAAAATGAGTCAATAAGACAATCCATAAATTGAAAGGTTTTACCTCAGGAAATGCTTAGGCCCCATGTTTGAAACATAAAGGAGTCAATTTGAAGGTTTCTTGGTTGCTGACAGTCAATCTACAACCATGATACAACTACCCAGCTGTTTACAAATAGAGTAAAACCCATCGAATTAAGTTTCTTATTCTAACCTCTTCTGCCACATTCGCTTGATTATCTTCAACATCTTCAGAGCTTTTGGATGGAATTTCAGACTTTCCTTTAAGATATCCACGCTCATACGAGTCTTTTTCTATAGATTCATTTTGCTAACAAAGAAATCAAATCAGATCATCACCTTAAAAAAAAGATTTCTTTCTAGGTATGTATACTCAAATATTTTGCATTTAGAGGTACGGGTTTATATAAAATCTAAATTTATTTTATACATAGTTATTTGTTTTATACATATTTTTTTGTTTAGCACCAAGTGTCAAGAAAAAAATATGGATCTTTAAAACAACATTTTCAAAATACCCTTCAATATTTGTCTTCATTGGTGATAGGTAGCGATTATTAAGCAGTATATTTATATAAATGTAAATGCAATCGCAGCTACTGTTAATCGGTATGTAATGAAGTGCTATATGTCATTTAGGTAAAGCTGTACACAATTTTGGTGAAAAGAACAGGATGGTTCGCAACGTGGAACCATCCTGTTCTACACAATAAATATACATACATATCTACTTAAAAAATTTTCAAATCAGCATGTTTGAATGTTACTTGAAGAATTTTTAAAAGTTTAATGAAAATTTGTGTTTAAATGTTATTGATACAACCAAATACAAAAGAAACGAACAACATATAAATATTATATGTAAAAGGGTAGGTATGTATTACAAATCTTGAAAGTATAAAGAAGCGATGAAAGTCGGATATTCGTCGATCATAATACTAAAACACGATCATATTATTCTTAAGCTATTTTCAACTCACTTCCATAAGATTTTTTAGCTTCCTTTTCAGATCCTCTACTTGGTTATCTGCTTTATTGAAGGACTGAGTAAAGAAAAGTAATTATATGCCAGAAGGTTCTAAAAACATAGCAAAATTTTGAGGCAATCGTCAATTACTGCGAAAAATATGCATGTTCATAATGAGTCAATACAAGGTCATTTTTAGCTCGAAACACAAGATTAAAATGACGAGCTGTTTCAAGAGGGATTTAAAAATAACAAGTGTGCAAAACTGAACTCTACCTCTTGTTTAGCCGCTTCCAGATCTTCAACAAGCCTTTCAAGTTCACTGTTTCTTTCTTCAAGTGAGGTTAGCTTGCTCAGCTTCAAAGCAAATGAAGTTCTGAGGTTAGATTTAAAAAAGTGGCAAGCAAAAATAAAGGAAATTTTAGCAAATAAAATGTACAAACAGGATCATAGAAGTCTAATTTAAAAATGTGTTCAGAAATTTAAAATGATTATTTTCAAAAAAAGTTTATTACATCACAGAGCATGTAACTACTCGATTACATTTACAATAACAAGATTACGACAAAGTAAGCGACAGGACGATACCACCAGGGTGTTAACGTGCACCTCTCCCTAACGGCCAAAAGGGCGAGATATTTTAAGTGGTTCCAAAGCAATGATAATGAAATCCACAATAATCTACTAAAGTGGATTTATGCATTTAGAAAATATCACCAAAGAATTGATGCTGTTCAAATAACCTTTTCTGCCATGTGTGAATGCTCCAATCTCAGTTTGTCCCGATCGGCACTAACTTCTTGGCATTTTTCCTCTAATTTCTCTTCAACATCCTTTACAGCCTTTTTTAGATGCTCTTGATGCCTTGCCTCTAATTCCGCTTCCAAAGCTGCTATCTGTAAATAAAACAGTTATTTTCTTCAAAAATCCTGTTGTCTTTAAAGTTATTTTCTTCAAAGAAAACGTCCGGCTTTATCTGACACCCTGCATATTTGTTTCACATTGAATTGTACAGATGAATTATGTTTTTTTCCTTTTAAACATGGGTGTTGCTTTACATTTCCTAAGCCTGTACAAGCGATAGATATAATGAAAACATTTTTTTACATTCTTCTTCTTACAACAGTAACCTTACTTTACAGGTAGTTACTATCGGCTAGCCTGGTGACAAGTCTACTAATATACAAAAGTTTAAACATGTAAAAAAATCATAGGAATTTTTAGTATCTTTAGAAGGAGAACAGTTCAGGGTTTGTCCAAGTCTTGTTGCGCATACAGAATATATAATAAGGTGTGCGTATAATTATTGCCGAAGTTGGCGTACTAGATGAAAGTCTAATAGCTATAAAGAAGCCAATTGAGGCAAATTATCTATAAAGAGTGGTATAAAATGAATATATGGTAAAATGCTAACAAATGTTTAAGGTATAATATTCTAACTAAAACCTAACCCAGCAATAACCATTTTACACAATCTACAGTCACATTCTACAGAGTGTGTTTTTAATTCTTTTTTAAAGGATGCTAATGATAGAATACTTAACTTGATTCTTGACAAGCAGATAACTAACACAGTCATGTGAGAAGAAGAAAAACCACAACATATTCTTACGAGATATGTCGCTTAGAAAGCCTGGCTAGCTTATTTGCGTTGAGAATTTGTGGATTAGAGAATTTGAATTTTTGTTAGTCAATGAAAAATTTCCAGAAAAATTCGAGTTAGGCCAACTCAACCCGCCATATGTAGAAAAACCGCATAAAAAATATTAGATATTGAGTGCTCACCTTTTCATTTTCTAACGATCCTTTCTTATAACGCTGCTTCAATGAATTCAGCTCTTCCTGTAAAATTAACGATACATAGAAAGCTTCTTTAAAGCAAAAATCAAGGTGTAAATTTTCTTTTTGATCGGTCATAAAACACTCAGATCTGAAGCAACAAATAATATCAAATAAAAGCTTAAAAGATTATAAGATACAAACATTAATACCTCGTGCGAATTTTTCAGGTCTTCAACCTCTTCTTCGAATTTCTTTCGATCCGACTGCTGTTTTTTCTTTCTTTCATTCACGGCCTGGATTATAAAGAAATATTAAAAATTTGATACAGAGAAACGTTAGAATCAAAATAGAAAAATCAATCATCTAAAATGATGCGTAAATCAAATACCATTGGAGATTTCACCATGTATATCTATTTGAAAGTCTATTTCAAAGAGCAGCGTTTTTCAGTGAAAATGTGCAACAAAATTTAAGACCGATATTCCTATCTTTTCAATTTGGGTAACATCATATAAATAAAGTAAAATCAATTAGCATAAAAGGCAAAATTCATTGAGTCATTTCTTTAAAAACAAGAAACATTAAAAAATTGATTTCCATTATGCAGACAGACCTTTTCGAGACTTTCTTTTTCTTGCTTCATTTCCTGAAGTTCTTCATCCAAATGATCTAATTTATTTTTTAGCTTCTTTTTCTCCTGTTTCTCGTCTTTATATTTATTTTTTAACTGTTCCAATTCATCTTTATGATCTAAACAAAAAAATTGATGTGACATGAAAAACCATACGAATCTACAGATTTTTCTGTCAAGTGCAGCCAAAATGCACGAAATAAAATTTTAAATATCGATGAAGAACTGATTTATATTATCTCAAATGCAATGAAAAGAACCGAAATTTCTCAATAATACAAAATACCATTTTCAATAAAGTAACAAGGTGCTAAATTTTCTGCAAAATGTAACAAAAGTTTCAAAGAAACTAGATTGAAAAAAATCTAAATACTAGAAAAAAGATCGATCAATAATACTTCTCCAATAATATCACGTTGTTAACAGACGAAATTTTCATCAGAAATTACAAGAAAAAATATAAGAAAAAGAAAATGAAAAGCTAACCTGAAGCATTTGAACTAGCAGACTCTAGTTTCTCTCTTGCAGAATCCCTTTCATCTTTCAAACTTTGTATTTTTGCCTTCAGTTCGTCCTCTTTGTTGCTTGCTTCATCGCATCTCCCCACAAGACCGGATATCTCTGCTTTTAGTGACGTAATTTGGGTTGTCAGGGACATCTAGTAAATGCCATAGGAAAATCGGGTTAGATTTCTTTAAGGCTGATAAAATTTTGTGATTACAGAAATATGTTTACCACATAATATGTGTTTCTTTGGCACTGAGCCCCGTCAGACAAATCCATTGTCATTCATGCTTGCCTTCTCTAACTAAATGGAAGAAGTTACAATACGGCATCATTTTGAAAGGCTTACATTTTCTTGCTCCAGCGTGCCGATTTTTGTCATTGCTTGTGTTGCATTAGATTTAATTGAATCAGCTCTTTCCTCCATCAGTTGATTGCTACGCTCCAGGAAGCTGTAATATATCGAGGTTATACAATGAGTGAAAAAGACTTTAGATGGAAACAATGAATTTCTATTACAGCATCTTGTAGCGTGCGTTAGTCTGAGACAACGCTCAAAATTGTCATCAACAGTACTTCTAGACAAAATGGCAAAGCTTTGCTCTCGTATTCACCACAGAAACAGGAAAAGAGCAAAACATTTTGGCATTTTCTTTCTGGAAGACAAAAGCAACCGCACGGAAAGGGCACTAATAAAATACCTCTGATTCTTCAGTAACATGTCGGAAATTCTTTCGTTTAAACCCTCAATTTTCTTTGTCTTTTCGGTACATTCCTTCTTCAATTTTTCATTTTCCTGAAAGAACAGTAATTAGAAACTTTACCCTTGACAAATTTTAAAATCCACTACTCAACAACCTCTGAAAAAGCTCTTCGTGACAATCTAAAGATTCATAATCAACTTAAAAATGTTTTTAACAAGTGTGGCAAATAAAAAGCTCGCAAACATGATGGTGTTTTTCATTTAAAAATGCCATAAAACACGTTGTTAAGATAGGAATTACATAGAAATAAATGCTGAATTAAATTCTGATAGTAGTATGTAACGCTTCAAATAATCGTTTAGGGAAGGCTTCGAGAGTTGAGACTAACCTCTTGTTTTCTGCAATATATTTGTTTTCCGCAAAATATTCAGTTACGACGAATTCTCGAATTAATTACGCGGGGTCGTCAAATCGAACCTTTTTGTATAGGCGCTTATAAAACTATCTGAAAGTCGCTAAACATAAAGCTCGTGATCAAAGCTTTACATTTTTCAAGTTTGTTTTGAGAAACGAAACATGCAAATCAATTGTGACGACAAAAACATTGTGAAAAAGCTTCGTTTATTTGAGCTTTTCGATTTCTGTCTAATCTGATTTATCATGGACTAAAATCGTGTATTTTAAAATAGGATCTTATTCAGAGGAAAAGGACAGGACAAGAGGGGACAATTCGCATCGTAATATAAATTCATTCTATTTCTATCTTGCAAAAAAGTACAATTAAAGATAAAGATTCATTATTCCTTCAGCCCTGATTAACAATCTCTATTTTGAAACATGTAAATAATTCAGCAATTTAAAGGTTTTCTTTTTCTAAATAAAAAAGTAATTAGATTATCGAATCAAAATAACTGCAACCCAAACCTGTAATATTCTGTTGATATTGGACGCGAGCACAGATGCTTCCATTTCGTTGCCACTTGCTATCATTGGCTTAGCTACCTCTTGCCTGTAATTTACTTTCTCTAATCGATCGACCTATGAATAAAGTTAATTAATAATTTCAAACCTTTAGCACCAAAATTTGTTGTCAGTTGTGGTTTTAGGATCACAGTTGATAATCACCGCAATCACGTCTGCAAATGCAGTTGATTTTAAATGATCAAACAAAAATCATTTGCAAATAAAATTGATAACATATTCAAGTATGTAAATTCGAATTAAAATTCCGGCAGAAAAAAAGGAGAATCTTGTACACAAATTTTCTCACAAAATTTTTTTCGCATCTTAATAAAGTTTTAAAGGGGTGATAGGGTGCTAATCTTGGAAAGTGCATGACAGTATCTGTGTCTCATAAATGGCCTTCTCAGAGCTCTCGACAACAAAAAAAAGACGCGAATGTTTCTAGACTCAAAACAATCGTACCTTGTGAATCAAGTCATCGACCCTTTCGGTCACCCTAGTAACTGCTGACTTAATTTCGCCGTGGTGAATTTTGCTTTCAGAAATCAATAGATTTAAATCGTTAGAAGACTGCGCACTACTAGTTGGCATCGTCTGCATTTGAGGCATCGTCTGCATAGGAGGCATCGTCTGCATTGGAGGCATCGTCTGCATTGGAGGCATCGTCTGCATAAATGGCATCGGTTGTACCCCATACATTTGGTGTGGCTGCTGCTAACAACGAAACGCTCAATAAAGCCAGGATTTTTGACTAAGCATACAATTCTATGCTTTATCTGTAAGATTTGTTTAAAAACATACACAAAAGAATCCCAAATTCAAAGGAATATGAGTAGCTTTAAAATGCAACGTTTCAGAAGTTGTTATTGCAGAAAGTAATTTTTGGCAGTCGTTTTTAGCATGGTTCGTATGTACTTCGTATATACCTACTCCGTATATTACGTATCTTTTTGCAAGTAAATTTCGCTCATAATGTCTAAGGAGCACAGAAACTGACTTGAAAGTTATCTTATAAAAACAAGCAAAGAACAGGTAATATCAATCGATAATATTTTGTAGTGCCAAATTCTGCAAATTCAAAATTACAAAAAAGTTCAATGGTTTTGCACGGCTGGTTTGCCTTTGTTTGTAATTTTTAATCTCATTTAGTTCTAGTCCAAATAAGCCCATGTTTGCAATTTGAAAATAATTTTGAATTTTCGAAGTTTTTTTATGGCCTCTTACAAAGCAGTCAATGACTGATAGGGCTGACATGACATTCATCATACGAGTTCAAACATAATTGGAGACAATATTGGGTAAATATACATCTACAGTTTGCTATGCAACTGTAGTTTTCTTCCAACAAGCACAGAGTTTCACTTTGTAGCATTGAAAGAAGTCATATAGATGATCCTTACTTGGTAAATCGCTAGAGGTTGATTCAGCTGCTGATGCGGAGAAGCACTGTAGCTTGCTGAATCGTGATGATGGGATCCAGTGCGTGGGTGGCTGTAGCTATCATTTGGGTTCCTTGGATTCGAGGCTGCATGTTCTGGTCGAGGCTTCAATACCGGTTTTGGGGTGGGTTCAGATTGAGTCTCGTTCTCATGCTTTTTCGTTTCCTCTTTTGTCTTAGATCGAACAAAACGCTATGTACACACACGGCTATTGGACATTGTCAAATGGAAATGAAAAACTTGAAGGGAAAAATTAAGCCAAAGTGACATAAAGCTGCAACTGCATAAATAATTCGTAAAGAGTCCAATGTTTTCTCATCCAAATAAGAAACTATTTAAAAATATCAAACTTTTTCGATAGTTTCCCAATTTCCTTACCAGCCAACTGGACAACTGAGCAGGTTCACAAAATAAAAAACTAATCATATAAATTCCAAAGATTCTTGAAAGCCAGCGTTCTGAAATCATCTGTTAAATAATGGCAAATACTGACTAAATGAGCTTTTAAAAGCTGGTAAAAATGGGAATATAGAAACAATAATACAAATCATAACTTGACTCACAGTCTGCTGTTCGTTATTTTGCGCTTCCGTTGTGACCTCCACAGTCTCGTGATCCCACTCTCCAGAGGCGGCTTGCGGCGAGCCAACCATTGCTTTTCCCATTTTTGACATTCGAGCGAGCAAATCCGCTCTACCGCTAGGCCTCTCTAAAGACTAATGCAAACGACAAAAATGTGTATTCAATATTTATAAATATCCAAAATCCAAAGAGCTCTATTAGACCCCCTCTCTATTAAGCATCCTCTCAATTAAGCCCCCCTTACCAAGCCAAAATTTGAAACATGCCCCTCTCTATTAAGCTCCCCTTTTAGGTCCTAATGTCAAACAAAGAAAACATGGGCATTGAGTGGGTCTCTTGACGAGTCTTACATTAAATATGGCCCATGTAAAGATTTCCTTGTGCACCTTAGAGATTAAGAGGATACTGATGTTGTTTCTTTCGAAGAAATCCCAGAACAATGTCGCATTTCTATTATATGTTTTATTTTGAATAATTAATAAGCCCCCTCTCTTTTAAGCCCTCCCTTTAGGACTGAAAAGGTAAATAAGACCCCCTCTGGGGCTTAATAGAGTTTTTACGGTATATCAAATGAAATTCAAATAGCGTTATTCAAAATAGGGTGCGAAACATAATTCAAAATACATTCAAAATATAAATCTTTTTTCCTGTTTAGTTTTTTCACACTTTTAAAAGCACAGTTCTACAAAAACATGCTTAAGTTTAATATCATACACGCATACATGCACAGTACACGAATAATACACGCATAAATTTAAACCAGTTTCGCCAGCTTCTTACAAAATATCTATGCCATTTTTCAAATAATCAGTTGAAGCCAAAAATGGTAAAAAATGCAAGAGATATCGGAAAAACACTTTTAAAGCTTTTGCGCGTTTAAAAGTAAATGTTATTAATTTTGTTGAGATAAACACAACCAGGCACAAAATGGGGATTGCGAATTCTCTATTGATAAAGAGATCTGGTAAATACATGCAAAATAGAACTTTGGGCAAAATGGAACTCCTGTTCTGGAAAAAATGAAAAATACCTTTGATAGTTGTTCGGTCAGAGAATGTGTTCGTCTTTTTGATTCGTCGGTATGGAGATCACTGAAACAAAAAAGGTGATTGATGGATCAGCGCTGATTTGCAAAATCAAAGGAGAAACTCTAGTACGACAAAACCTGACAAACAAAGTAAGAAGTTAGAATTTCATGCAACAAATCTAGTGAAAAAATCTAAAGAAAACTGTTATACGACTTAAGGGACTGGCAAAAACAGAGAAAAAGCGTCCATGCGATTTATCTGACTAACAACAAAATCAGTCGAAAATCTCTCATAAGATTAATTTGACATGCAAAATCAAAGGGACTTGTTTTAAAGTTGTTGATCTAGCATGCAAATTCCGATCGGGCTAAGTTAACCAACGGTTCCTGTTCAAGCAACTTCCAAATTCTTCGTTAGTGAGCATTGTTAGCGAATGAATCACTTGTTGATTGTTAAGGTCTTACAGTTGACTGCCCGCTATCTCGTACATTCGCTTGCTTGAACCCTTTTCTGTTTTCCATAGAGGAAGAATGACCGTGAACTCGAATTATACAAGTTTTCTGCTGAACTGGATAAAAGAACAAGCCAAAAATATGTTCAAATGATTATCTTGTGAACTTGTGAACTTCACGGAAAATAGATATAGGGGACCTGCAAGGAAATGCTCGGGAAACCTCGAGCTCAGCACAAATGCAAATGATTTGTTGAGCGTTGAAGATGAATTAACAACAACAGCAACTTTACAAGCAGAAAATATATACGTGGTAAACCCTGGGGTGATGAGATCTTAGAGGACAATGATAATATCATTTATGGTGACCCTAAAGCAAGACATGCAGGAGATGAATTTAGAAATGATATTTAAAGGACAGGGATATGCTATTATGTCAGCATTATCTTATATCAGTGTATTGTTAAACAGACAAACAGAACTGAGCGACTTTGTACTTTATTCAGTGCTTTGCAATCAACTTAAAACATAAAAAATTTTTTGACTTTCATAGGACAGCCTGTATTTCAAACATCAGCTTCATCGACTAAATTTCAGTTTCCTTGCGAGTTCGAGATAGCGGACGTCAACTGTAAATTCTTTTCCTCAGGTATAGAGTTTTGCCTGGAAGATACTTATCATTCAAAGATATGAAAATGGCTTTGAAAAATCGAACATTTTAAAAACTGAGAAACAAGTCATACCCAGGTAACGAAGCCTGCCCTTCAATATTCGATTTAGCTGAATCAGAATGTGGGATACTCTTTGAGCTCGTCTCCTCTCTTTCAGACACTTTCTGATCACTGATAACTGGCAATTCTTGCTTTGTGTCGCTACTTGATGTTGATTTTGTGGCCTGAGTACTGGATGCAGAGCTTGTAGTACCTTCACTCGAAGAGGAATCTTGTCTTGCAAAATTTGGATCAGGGTTCGCAAATTTCGCCTGATGAAGATAAAATATTTCGAATAAATACCTCTTATAAACAGATTTGTAAAGTGTATTTTACAAACTGGCATGGAATGGCAGGAAAATCTCATTTGTAACTGGAGTATAGGTTTCGTCAAACACACCTCAGACACCCAAAACTTTTTGCTATTTTCCACGTTTGGTAATTAGGGTTAAAACTTCCAGTTTATGTGTTTGTTCTCAATATTCCGCCCATGTTAAAACTTACTCTATTTTGAAGATGCCTGGTTTAAAAGAAGAGATGTTCAAGTGTTTATTCAATAAATATTCGAGAGGTTTAAGAATTTTAAACCAGGAAATAAGTACTGTTTCTTGTCGAACCAGAATTTTAGAAAAAAAAATAATTCACGTAAATGCTTTAAACAAACATTACTTGACTACACTTAGTTTTCAAGGGGGTGTTTCCTAGAAAAAGGTTCATGTTTTAATTTTGTTAAAAAGATATCTAAATTTACGAAACAAAACACACAAAAACTCACCCTTGTGACATCAATCTCAAATATAAGAGTTGCATTCGGAGGTATTCTGTCCCCGATCGCCTAGAATTGTAGAATTGATACAGTACATAGTAAAATAACTTTTTTTAAATTCAAATGTAGTGCTTAATTCATAAACGACGAGAATGAAGATTTGGTATGAGACAACAAAGCGCAAGGCATTTGACAACATAAAAGCTTTGTGCATAAAACTGATTTGAAGAGAGATTTTTGGGAGTTAATTAACCGATAGCAAGTAGTTACAAACCGGAGAAGGTCTCAAAGAGGTCAAGAAAGAGCTCTTAAGGCTTTTGAATGGCCAAACTATCGAAACAATCGAAATAGCATCGCAGCCTAGTAAAATACAGATAAAAGCGCTGAAATGAGAACACACCTTTGATCCATAAGCTAAGCCAGGTGGAATGATAAGAAGTCTTTTTCCAGCCTTTTTCATTCCAAGAATTCCTTCCTCCCAGCCCTAGGAGCAAACAACTGGATTTCAACGATTTTTGGTTAATATGTTAGACAGGTTTTAGGTGGACAATTTATTTTCTCATCTTTTCTCCTTTTTGGTTTTAATTCGGTGTTTTACAGCTGATAAATTCAACTGCTTGGGCTTCGGAAATTTGCATGAAATACAATCGAACAAAAAAGGAATAAAACTCATACTCTTATAAGCGAAATACAGAAATTCATTTAAGCCAGAGAAAATTAAAAAAATGCTATCCTTAATCAACGTCCATAACATTTTTTCGCTTGAAATCTAGAAACAATTTATCTACAAGGCAATAAAGAGATATGCTAAAGACAAAGATCCGAAAAAGAATAACATTCTACATTGCATAAAAATTAGTCTATTCAAGAAAACTTTAAAAAATATAGATTGATGTCAATTATCCATGCGGGATAAGAAAAATTTTATTAAATCATGTAATACCACAAATCAAAAGACAACAAAGATTGTTAAATTTGATATGAAAATACCTTGATTACTTTTCCTTTTCCCACTTTCATCTTATACAGTTTACCACCTTCTCTGTTTGACTCGAAAATCTAAAGTTTAAAGAGATGAAAGTTAAGATCAAGCACAGTTACTTTTGTCAGCAGAGATAATATCCTAAACTCTATATAGCTTTTGTATGGGTTTAAAGACACCATAAGCAGCCTATTACATAAAAACATAAAAAAAGCCGGGAAAATGTTACCTTGCCAAATGATTGATTGGTATATAGATATCCTGTATACTGTAGCTCTACAGAGTCACCCTTTGCTATAGGTTGTCCTTCTCCAACCACAAGATCTTGGCTCAACAGACCAACTGGTGAACAGTTGAACTTGGCAAGTGCAACCTATAGAGAGAGATTTATATCAATTAGATGCTGCAAATTTATAAGATTTACACAGAGTTAATGAACTCTCTCTGAAAACATTGCTCTGAAGTTTCAGCACTGATTCAGAGGAATTAGATGGCCAAGAATGGACTAGAATTACAAGGCGAAAACACTGCATAGGTAAAGTATGGAAACATTCTCAAACAGAGCAGTATGCCTACATAATCAGCGATCAAAAAGCAAACATACTTCATCATTAGATATAAGATATCTTTCCCAATTTTTTGATACTAAAAGTTAACTGGAATACAAAAGTGCTTCTTGTTTAAAAAAGTTAAAAAAAAAAACAAATAATGTCTAGTCTCACCCATTTGCCAAATTCACTTGCAACAGAGGCATTATCAAAACAAATGGACCACATTTGTGACTGGTCATCATAGAAGCTTGCATAGTTATTCTTTTGAGCCTTGAAAAGAAGGGACAGCAGCTTAAATGATTAAGTAGAGTATAAATGCTTTATAAAGGAGTGGCTGCATGGGGAGCAAGGAGGGTCTCAGGCCACCTTCAAAGATATAAGTTAGCCCCCACTTTGGGAGCCAATCTATTTGGCTATCCCAATATTGTTGGTACTTGGCGGATGCCATTCCTTTTACAAGATGCTGGAATAAAATCAAAATTGCCCAAAAACCATTCTATGTGGGGTACATCATCTTAAGGCATGTTATCTCATTTTACTCATTTCAGATGTCAATTTGTTAAATCATTTGTTGGCAATCACCTTGAATATAATTGTTGGCACATTGAATGTTTATTTCTAGTGCCACCTCTGGCTGCCTAAAATTGTATTTATCAACATTAAATGCAAATTATTGTCCTATCAATACTACTGAAAAGTGCTTTATATGTAAGGGAAAAGGTATGCAGACCAATGCTTTAAAATAGGGCTTTACCTCAACTGATGGCATTGAAAGAATTTAATAGACAAATGTTAGATCAGGCGTTGGAAGATAACCCTCTAAAATTTTGGTTGCTTTTGCTGATCTGTGTGCTTCAAAATTAGGCTCCTTAAAGTTATAAGATTTTGTCATCCTCTAGGATAATCAATTTAACATACCTTTCAGGTTTATATAAAGTATTTAAAGTTAATAAATTAATGAAATATAATCAAATCATATAAAAAATATCTAAGTTCTAAATTTGAATACACTTAAATGAAGTATACTGATTGATTTAAATAGTTCTTAGAATACTAAGGTAAAGCTAAAAAATTTGCTACAATAATGGGGTGTCTATAAATGGCAAATAAAACTGTTTTATACTTACAGTGTAGTTGAAATTTGCATGAATTTTTGCTGCTGCAACTGGTTGCTTCTGGCTCACATATATCAAAATTTTATACTGGACAGAAAATATTTAAAATGAAAAATAGAAACTTAGGCTAACAAGAGACACAAAGAAAGGAAAGTACTTGACTAAACATGTTAACTTTTGTCATCCTCAACACGTTAACTTTTAAAACTTTGCATTAGCATATAAAGGTTAAACATGGGCAAATAGAAGCTGGTATGAAAACTGTCACTCTATTTAATTTGGCAATGGTTCATTCTAGAACGATTTGAAAATTTAAAATCATTATGAATTTGCTATAATGCTAAGCAAGAAAAAGGAATGACTCAAAGTAAAAGTAAACTTACATCTACATCTGTATGGTTGCCAAGAACTGCAATTCCTAATTTTCCTTGTTTCATATACTGCCCATTCACACTAAATTAAGAAAAATCAGCTTGCTTTAGCTGGAAACAACACAAAATTTTCCCATCAAACTATTGTTTCCTAATTTTCAAGTTTTTCTTTAACCTCACCATTTTCCTCTGTTTGAAAGTATTTTTTTAAATAATAGCAATTTGATAGGGGGAAGGAGGAGCTTTTAACCAAACAGAAGGACGAAACAGAATATGATTTTAGACCTACTTTCAGTTGAGGCATTTTAAATTTTTTTGTTATATATATATATTGAGGCCATGATTAAAAATTTTGTACATACCATAAATCCTCAAATTGCCCCCCCCCCCTTCAAGAAAATCCCTCAAATAAGCCTCCACCCTAGAACTACAAATTGTCAATAAGCCCCCCACTCAAGTAACCCCCTACTGCTACCATAAGTCCTTGAACTGGCCTCCCTTGATTTGTTGATTTTTGCCATCTGAGGTTGCCTTTGGAGTTTTATTGAATTACCACAAAAATCATTCTTCTGGTAATAATTAATAAAATGTTCATTAAGAAATTGCTACTTAAATATATGAGGTCTTTTATTAATGTCTTCTTAATTTCTACTATAATTTTTATAAGCCCCCCTCTATAAGCCCCCCTTCAAATAGCCCCCCTCCCCCATCCAAAAATACTAAAAATAAATAAGCCCTCAGGGGGCTAAGTCAAGGATTTACGATATGTCCACTTACTATCTAAAAGTATGAACTGCAGTTGCATTTAAAAGACTTGGAGCAGATTTTGCTTCTGTTTTTCCATTTGACTCATCTGCAATAACAAAATAATTCTCAAAAGGAATGTCCTATTTCCTGGCTATAAATGTGTTTTCCTCAAGGAACTAGTGATAGAAAGCTCAAACTCTCCAAAAAGTTTCTTGGGGAGGAGTCCCATTGACCCCTTCTGTTTCTCTCTTTTGCCCTTCAAAGCCATTGTTATACAACTGGTTAATTTCAACATTTCATCTTAGAAAAATGTTTACTTTTTCTCTAATGCAGCTGTAACTGTTAAAGCCAAACAAAATAAACCAAAAGGTAAAACCAAAATAAACATGACATCAAACTTTATTTTTTGAAAAAGCCAAGACTTTTGGAATAATATTCTTATAAAGGAAGCCAGTCCAGAAATCTCTACACCTTCAGGTTTAAGAATTAGAAAAAACCTTTAGGTTTTTCACTTAGAATCAATTTGTACAATTTATCTAACAATTTTTTGTTCTACAGGTTAACATAGTGATTGGATTGAGAAATGTAGAAAGCTTCTTAAAAATTTTATATACCTATTTAAATATGGCACAATCCTTGCCATAGACTGTTATTGCTCCAATCATGCATAGGGAGATCCCCTTTCCCTTAACAAAATTTAATGAATTGAAAATGTCTGTGCAACTCTACGTTTTTAAATGTATTGAAAAACCTCTGAAAATCTTGTGCACACACATGCCACTCTCTGCACACTGACAAGCCACTTACATACATGGATATGATGGTCTCCAACAGTAGTTCTCTAAAAGCCCAATTTGAAACAAAGCAAAGCAAGCCAAACCAAACTATGCAAAACAAATGGCAATTGTGCATAAATAGAAAGAATGATTTCATGTAAATACCCTTTGCTTTGGGTTGCTTCGGTGCTGTGTATGTCAGTGATTCATTACCAGCATTTGAGCCTGAGCCCATTCCAAAAAGAGACGCCAACTTTGATCTTAAAGTAAAACGTAATGAATTTATTGCAAAAACTTATTATTCATACAGTAAGAAGTTAATCATGCAAGTTAACTTCTATAGAGCTAGTGACAGATCTTATCCAGGCCTTGCCCGGAAAGGCGCTCGATCAAGCGCGCGCGCCTAGAGCGCACACAAAAGAAGCCTTGGAGAGCGATTTATAGAGCCCCTCAAAACGTCAAAACAATATTACCACGGAGCAAAATACTTTCTTGGCCTTTGTCTAATAAACTTGATCAAGCATAAACAATCTTCCCAATAGACCGCAATATTATGATTTGCGTAAGATCACCCCTTGAGAAAAAAATGCAGCAAATTCAACGTTGGGTTTTCGATACCATTTTTAATCTAATAACCCGCTAATAACCACCAAGGTCACAGGCCATCAACCCTCATCTCCGGAAGATTTATTTGATTTTCGAGCAAGCGTTAATCTTCTGTTGAAGTATTATTTCCTGTTTTTCCTTAATAACTCGTGCAAATCAACGATCACATTTCCATCCAAATTACCGCATTGCTTTTCAGTTTTCATTTGCTTTCGTGAGTAGTAGATGTTCTAGCATGTCTTATAGAAAGAATAGCATAAAAAGGAAACAAAGTTAATGTTCGACTTAAAGCCATGCGTTTTCCTATATTTCTATATTTGTATTAACATAGTGTTTGCTGCATGTTTTGTTGTTTCGTATTATGGTGCTTTTTGGTATCACCGTTGAATTTCTTATTTAACACTCTTCCAAAGCTTTCGATATGAAGCTCTCGATCTTCCAAAGCTCTTGAAGGATGCCCTCAAGGATATTTAAAGGTCCTAAATAGAGCGCCTAGAGTTTCTAAGGGGCTCTTTTTATGGAGCACCTTCATTTTGCTTAGAGCAAGGCCTGCTTATCATGAATATACCAAGAGCTGAGTGACACAAACGTTAGAACACATAAATGCATCAATTTTGGTCATCCAGCTACAGGGGCGAAACTTCTCTAATTTCATAAGGGGGTTATGAAGCTTAGACGCCCAATGAAAGCGTGTGTCATGCTTGATGGAAGGGCATGTCATGCTTGATGGAAAGGCGTGTCATGCTTAATGGAAGGGCGTGTCATGCTTAATGGAAGGGCGTGTCATGCTTAATGGAAGGGCGTGTCATGCCTGAACATCATTTTTAGGGCATATCGCTTCAAGGATTGAAATCTTCCGGGACCCCGAGAGAGGGTCACTAAGTGTGTTAGGCCTTTAGACTCTTCTTGGTTCTAAACAACATTTTCTTTGAAATTTTGAAATGCTGATGAATTGGGATTTTAGTATTCATAGAACAACTTTAACTTGTGTCGGTCAGCATCAGAACCATCTGATTGTCACAAGCTGGAAAAGTTACTGTCTATGACTAAAATAGAAAACATGTACTGCTTTTGCTATGTGCATCTTGTGAGCAAATTGAGTTTATCTAGATGATACTCTCTTCTTGATTTGAAAGCTCTGGCCTGCAAATGCATTTGAATGAAATACGAGGGACAACTTTTCAAGGTTGCTCAATGAAATCTCAGAGCTTTGTGAGGTTAAAAGAAGAGGGGTCTGGGGGTACCCCCCAAGGAAATTTTTTTAAGGCCACATCCTATAGATTACCGCAGAATGGCCGTTGGGCCATCTTATATCTCAGTATTTTTATTTGATTTTTTAAATGAGCTATGCTTGCTCTAAAGTCATCGATGCCCAGAATTAAAAATCTACTGACTAGCATATTCCAATTCTCTGAGAAACTACACCCTTAGGTTTATTCTCAATTTCCCAAGCGAGGGCTGGCAAGAACAGGCCTTGCCGGTTACTAACAAAGGGCATAAACTGGTATGAATAAAAAAAGTAAGATTGTTTTGGAAACTCAAGTATCTGACTTGTGCTCAAGCATGATTATAGGGTCATAAATTTCCTCTGTAGAGATCATTCTGTGGACTGAATTATGTTAAAATCAACTGACTGAGTGAACTTTCAGGGGTTTGGCTAAGTACAAGGGTGGGGAGTCAAAATAATTGAAATTTAATCACACAAAATATATGATTGACCTCATGCTAAATTATAATCTGAAGTCAAAATTTTGTGGAATGCTTGAAAGTGCTTTTGCAGAAAATAATTGCTGTGCACACATTGTGAGACAAATAATGACAAATACTTTGCCCATTAGAAGCTTGTGCACACATTGCGCACTTTTTCAGCACTCTTTCACACATTTATATTTGCTCTTGCACACACAGGATCTTGTCGAGAACTGCCACGCTCTGCAGACTGGGAGAGGAGTATTAACTGGCGTGCCTCCAGTTACATGTGTTTGAGGTCGATATGATAATAAATCAAGCCTCTACTAGGAAAACACTTACCCTCCAGCCGCAGGAGTTGGACTGAAATCTCCGTCATCATCGTCAAAAAACATTTCTACCTTTTTTCCAGCCAAATGTCATCGGATCTATCCAGTTGGCCGTTAGCAAGTCACTTGACTTCCCCTTCACGACTCCCTTTTCAACTTGCACTTTCTTAGACGCGGTCTGAATACGAGGCCAGGAACAAATGAACTTCGCGGACACGGACAACAGGGTAAATATGTCCTTGGCAACTTGCAGAAATTTGGAAAAAATTCAGCTAACAGGAATCAGTTGTACCCACTTAGGTTTTTGAAATTATTTTTCATTAATTAGTTTTTAAATTTTCATGAAGACATCACCTTCGAAACTAAAGCACTAAAGGTGTGCAGCAAAGACCGCGGACGGATTGAGGTTGCTATAAAATGTTTGAGGGCTATGATGCTCAAAACAAAGAGCAGGGTGATTTCTTTTATGTTTTAGGTATATTTTGGAATTTATAGGCTTAGCCCAAGCTTCTGGTAGCTTTCCGAAAATATTTTTTATTTTACAGACTGAAAGTTAAAACACTGGGGTCATTCTTCGGAAAGGGCTGCAGGATACTCGTAAAATTGACAAGATTTTTAGAGTATAATATCCATACAGTGCTGTTATAAAGTCCAAATTTTTTATGTCCTTGGTGTTTCACTTGAATTCAGCAAAGGTTCTGTTAGAAAGTTTATTCACCTCTTTTCCTTATTTTTCCAGGAAAGTCACAGAGTCGAGGTGTATTATATTCGATTTTCTCTTAAGCTCTATAAACTACCTTGCATGAATATACAAACATGAATATTCTTAAAGAAAATAACTGGAAAAGGCTTTAAAAAAGCAAACATTTAGTAAACTAAAGCTTTTCGTCTGACATTCTTCAGAGTTTAAAACGTCAGAACATAGATCGAAAACTCTACGCTAAGAAATATATATACCCAGTTGTGGACCGAAATAGGCCAATCAGAAACACGAGTTTTACAGTCATGTGCTCGTGTTTCTGATTGGCCTATTTCGGTCCACAACTGGGTATATATATTTCTTAGCGTAGAGTTTTCGATCTATGTTCTGACGTTTTAAACTCTGAAGAATGTCAGACGAAAAGCTTTAGTTTACTAAATGCTTGCTTTTTCAAAGCCATTTATAAGTTTTGTACCACCAAAAGATTGTTTGCAAAATAACTGGACTAAGCAAAGCTTTTTCAGCCTGAAAAGTAGAAGAACTGTAAAATATTAATAATAATAGTTACACAATAAAACCATAGTTAGTAACAGAATGATCATTAAATTTGCCTTAAAATAAATTTACACTTCGTTTTAAGAAAGAATATGATGATCCATTTCTATTAGCTTTAGGAAGAGATTTCCAAAGCTTTGTTCCATAAAGTTTGAAAGTTTTGACGTACATATCGTGACGTATCACTAATAATAATAAACATGAGCAAGCAAGTGCTCGGTTCTGTTCTCTGGTTGATTGGCAGCGAATAGAACTGATCATCGTTAACATCCAATCTAGTGTTAGAAAGGGGTGTTTAGCTTTAGCAAATAAATATGAAATAGAAATTCGTGTAGGAATAATTTCCGTTTATCTTGCACATTTGCACAAACATCAGTATATACACAAAATCTTAGGTACTTTTGAATTATCAATTTCGCTTCGGCACTCATCACTGTTAGCATTTGGGTGGATGAATTCAACAGCAATGAATAAACCATAGAGTTCCAGGTCAAAAGGGGGGGGGGGTACCAAAGAGTCATTCATGTTTAAAGGAAGGGGGATGTTACAAAGCTTTATTATTTCCATCTTTAGTTTAAAGAAAATTATTATGTGGCCCTCAGCTTGCTGGATCTCGCCACTCGAGATAAATTTTCCCGTAAAAACGCTCAGCTGGCTTGAAGGTGAGATGAAGATCTTATAGTTGCACACGCGTTCACGTTGCACATAATAGTATTGATGTTCTGGAGTTTGAAGGGAGACCTGGGATTAAAAAAGTTTGTAGGTAGGATGAAATGTGTATGTAATTATGCGGTGATTTCATCCAAGCTCGTGGGCTGAAAATTAGGATAATTTTGCTTTAGCTATGTTTACCCTTAGTTTCAAATTTCACTCTTGTTATTGTGAACGGAAATACTTGTCTTTATTGGGGCCTTTTTTATGGACAAAGTTATCCCATTTTCCTTTCCATGGGCTGAAAAGTATGACTCAATCTTTCTTCACAAAGCGTTGTAATTCTTTTCTTGTGTTTATACGAGAAGCAATTTATTCTGGGCAGAATTGGTTTTAGAAACTGTGGGGCCCGGTACCAAAAACATCTGTGGAGCCCTTGTTCTTCACACTTTTAATTTTTCTCTTGGGAGCGGGGCCCCTTCTGGCTATCATAAGCATGGGGCCTGGGCCGTTGCCCCCTGGACCCCTTCAAACTGTCACTGATTCTAGGGGGAGTGAGATTCTGCTCTCAGACTGCCAGATCTTACCTCTTGTGGTTCCATGTTCTCATTTGAACATTTTACTGACTACAAGGAGTGATTCTAACGGATGTTTAAGCATTTAGTGTGTTGGATGAAATTGATGTACGTAACATGAGCAGATTTTTTCCACTAGCTAGCACAAAAGCTCAGAGGTGGGATAATTCTGCATATCTAAACATGCCTTAAGCACTCTGACAAAAAGGTATTACGTATGAAAATTAAGCCAAGTAAATGTTTCTGGCCTAGTTTTGCGCAAGTTCTTCATCCTCTATATAGTGAAAGAAATAAAAGGTGTAATTCTTCTTGAATCCAAACTTAACCCTTGAAGATGCAGCTAGAATCGAGTCAGCAAATCCAGAGAATGATGCTAAACCAACAATAAGTGTTAAGCCATAAAACTTGCTGTCATTAGCAGGTTCTGATATATCCCCGAATCCAATAGTCGAGAATGTGACAAATGCAAAATACAAGGCATTGATCCAAGACTCCTGGCTTGATGCCTGAAAATACAAGGAATTGAAAATGAAGTCTGCTGCAAACAACAGGCCCGCTATCCAAACCACAATGTACATGTAGATGACGCGTTTGACGAGTTTGTATCTCAAAGGTTTGTTGCCTTTGATTAATCTATGGACGCAAAGCATCAAATTCTCTACCCAACTGGAAACGACGGATCCAACGTATGCTAGAAATGAAAGCATCGCTGGAATTGTCACCAGGGCATATGGAATCGTAAGCAATTTGCCAGTGGTTGTTCTCGGTGTTACGCCACCAAAACCTGAAAAAAACAAACAAATATTCCGATTTTCAATCTCTCACATTAAGTTTCTGTAGCATTTACACACAAAATCATTTCGAGAAGCTGAAATTTGCCAAAGTTATCTAGTTTTTTCCTTTTTGGTTGATGACAGTGGGTAACAGAACCTTAGGCGATGATGGGTTGAAGGATCAATAGAGGGGGGGGGGTGCAAAACAGGGAAAAATCATGTCTGCATGTTTGCCGTGAAAGCAAGAACCCATGTACTTTCGGGTCAATCTGCATAGTTTTTTAGAAGGGGAGTAAATCTTGAAAACAAATCGTGGTTGAGTTGCTTATAAGAAGAAGAAAGAATACTGCATAAAGACCATTATACATTGTTGATAGCAAGTAATGAGGTTTTTACAGAGTAGTGCCTTGAATCCATTAAGTTGAAAACTAGTTTATTTTTAGACTGCTTCAAATATTTATTTCATTTTACACACTTTTGTTAAAAATAAATACTTGCAAGAAACTGGGAAAAATCAGGTTTCTTACAAGTGAGTTTCTTACATACAGGATTTAACTGCAGTAAACATATGAACTCAAAGCTTTGCATTTGCAAAAGAATGAACTTACCAATGGTTGTCATTGTCATTGCAGAAAAGCGATACCATCTGAGGCAGCCAAGACCTCCCAATATCTCTTTTGACAGAGGTACTGAAGGGGGGACTTTGAAATGGAACTGAAACAATGCATAAATTACAACACTTTGGTTATTGGAAGGCAGCAGTTTTGTTTTATGGTAAAGTCTGGTGAAAAGTTCGGTAGCCTTTTTCGTCTCATTGCCTTGCGGGTATAGTTTATCAGCAACATGGTTGGTGTTCGAGAAGCAATATTTCAGATGCAAATTATCCTCCACGTATGAAAATAAAGCCCAGCCTATGAGCTCAAGAATAACGATTGGAAAAGATCTAAGTGTAATTCCAAGAATCTGACACCAAAATGTTTTGCAACAACGACAACAACAAACGCAGCACATGCACCTTTGTAGCGTCATTATTCTTCAAGCAATCTTGCCTATTCTCTTTTGCACACGTCCTCCCGCACTCTGCTGTACCAAGTAAACAAATTTTTATTCATTGCAGCATCTTGTGCTCAGCATCATGTGAAGTTTGGACGAAAGCTTCGAAAAGACAGAAGTTTAGTCCATGTATCTAAAACGAATACACAATACATATTATCTCAAAGCAATAAATTTCTTGAAGCTTTTAAATCCAGGTCCAGAATTCAATGTCTGTAGTTGTCTCAGTAGCTTTCAATGATGTTTAACAAAGAAAATCGCAAAATACTAATGAAACTTACGAATAAAAAGCGTCAATGAATCCTTCGGCAATGCACGTTTCCAATATGCTGTTGTGTTTGTAAGTGCTTAGGTCTTGATCTTCATCATATCGCTTCATCGTATTTTTACATCAAGGCTATTCATTAGATGTATTTTGATTGGAACAGGTATCATATTCATCATAGTTTTGTGCTTGAATAATGTAAAGCAGATGGGCGCCAGAACCATTTATGTTAGGAATCCAACTGAATTCATCATTATTCATCCAGGAATCCAAAATTATTCATCAAAACCGCAATTCAGAGCAGCTTCAAACGATGACCTACAAACTTGTGCTTGTTTACAAAAATGCCACCAGAAAACAACATAACTCTTATCAGTCTTTTTGTGTCATCGAATAGTTTGAATGACTTCTAGACAGAACGGTGAGTCTTTAACACAAGTGCAAGTGAATTGGGTGTGGTAAGGGCGTGGTCATGACTATGGCCTCTTGAATTTGCCTACAGCACAGCCCCCTTTCCTTAGAACGGCACCCCTGGCGTAGGAGATATATTCTGAACCCGAGGTATATTCGAGAACCGCTGACATTTAGAGCAGTCATGTCAGATATAAAAAAGTTAGGGATGTTTTTATTCTTAACGCAACACAACAAGAGATATAACATTAAACCTCATTGCTTAGGAAACAGTGAATCAGAATATTAAAATCCCATATCTGAGCAATACAACAGTTTGCTACTTCCATTATGCACGGTGTATTCTGCACAGTGGCTCTTTACACGTGATAATTTTTGTTTGAAAAAATAGAACATTGTTTTGCAGATCTTTATAGATAACAATATATAGCCTTTTACAATATGACTGTGTACTTGTCCAGGGTCATCATAAAAACTATATTACACAGGGGGAAAATAATCTGCAGTCATCTATATTTCGTATTTAATCTGGATAGTGGAGACAGCCCAAAAAGCATCAGTTATTTCATAGATTTAACATATTTCATATCTTGATATTCAAATATATTACACTGAGTAAAGGATGGTTAATCTAAAAATGCTTGTTTTCAACCTGCTGTGAACCATGAAATATAAAGCAAATGTTGAATAGATTAAACAAACACCTTAATTACGATTGATATACCGGCTACTAAGCACACGAGCAGATAGAAATCCATTACTGCACCATTCCATAAGACAATACAAAAATATTGGAAAATTAAGAGGCTTTTGGTTTAAAGGCATTGAGTTTTGTTTGTATCATTTACGTGTGCCTACTATTGGCACTATTGCGGTGAACTTTAATAGTCAATCGCGCATCTCTTTTTCTGTGTAGGAAAGCATAAACGATGGCCTGATATACTGATGAGGCGGGAGATTGAGATTGAAAGAGCATCTCAAATTTATTTACTTAGAAAAAAGTTTGATAAATGGATTCGTATGAAAGTACTTAAAATCTATGAGAAAATGGCTTGTGTGGTAAGCTCCTTGATTGTTTTATGCCAAAAAGTCGACATGCATATAGAAACGTGCTTTGACAATTGACTGACGAAACTGTTTACCGCATACACTGCTCAATGTTCACCGAATAATGTATAACTCCGGAACACAATTTCCTCTCAAGCCTGAACATCCTTGCCAGTTCTACTCAATAAATATTAAAATATATGAAATATAGTCAAGGATACCAAAATGAACAAAGAAAATTAAAAATACATTCAAGATTTATCAAGTGTGAACCAATTCAGTTCAGTTCAGTTCAGTTTTATTTTAAATTCCACTGGATACATACACTTGTTGCAAATTAGAAATAATCCAAGCTTAAAAGTATAAACAATGTAAAAGGAAGTTAAATAATATAAACGTAACATAACAAATACAAGTAGAGGAGAAACAAGCTAGTATTGTAAACAATAAAAAATATTTACACCTGTGCAAGCAATTTCATGTGATACCGTACATTGTCTTTTCTAGGCACTTCAAGATCTTGAAAGTTGACTTTTTAAAACAAACAACATGTCATACGAAAATATCTTCAATAGTAACATAAACAATATACCTTATACTACACATTCTCGCACGAATCCCACTTCTTTTTCAGATCGATTTCAGATAAATTCCATGCACGTTTCTTTGCGCTCAACGATCACCACAGCTACGAGGCTAAATTCTTGTGAAATGCCAACTCCTTTCATCATCAGCATTTCAGCACAGGTCATTTCTTAAAAGCGGCAGGCAATAGTGAATTGATACACATAGAATAACTATGAATTGATTGTCCAAAATATAGACGGAACTTGTGATGACGAAATATACTTTTAAAGATAGATTCAATAGACACCGTAAAACTGATAATTCAAGTCTCTGAATCGAGAAAAAGGCTACTGGAATCCACTCCACGAGTGTTTTTAGTTGGAAATGTAAGGGAGAGTTCGCGGAGGGGAGAGAGAGCTTGTAGCAAAACCTTGACAAGGGAAGGAAGAAATGTCTATTGATTTGATTTGATTTGATTTGATTTGATTTGATTTGATTTGATTTGATTTGATTTGATTTGATTTGATGCAAAGGATTCCTAAAGCCACACTCGTAGCTTTTCATGAAACCGTACACCTGTTCCCTCTGTTTTGTTGCTTCAATGCTGTTTCATCTTTTGGATTTCCAATACAAACAAACAAGCCCAAAGAATTAAAAATGGCGATATCTCTTTCTGGTTATTTCTTTTTTCAATTATTGTGATTGAAAAATGGTTCAATTAGTGCTTCTCAGCGAGAATCAGTAAAATAAAATCTGCAAGAAACCATCTTGCGACAATTTTCCCCGAGCCCAAGACACCCTTCGACAAAGTTTAAAGTTTAATAAACAAATGAAAAAACATTTCGATGTTGCCGATCTAAAACCTAGACCAACACTATTTAACAACGAATCTTCATTGAGCAATGTGACCATCGTTCTCTAATTTGGGGACGAGTCGTTATTACGATTTGGAGAGGTATCGGAAAACCCCTCCAATTCTTCATCTTCAATGTAATGAAAACAATAAAACGTGTTGCCTCTTTTGATCCCGAATTTCACCCTAGGTGCTGCAGCCAAAATCGAATCAGCAAACCCTGAGAATGCAGCCAAACCGAAAAACAGCCAATAGATATAAAAGTCTATTTTGTTTGCTGGCCCTAATATATCTCCAAATCCAACTGTAGAGAAGGTAACTTGAATGAAATAAAAAGTATCAAGCACATATGGAGACGTTGCAGCTACTGAGTAGAAAAACGCGCTGACTATCCAAACCACAATGTAGAGATAGAAGCAGCGTTTGATGAGCCTGTATCTCAATGGCTTATTTCCTCTCGTTAATCTATGCACCAACAGCATAATGCCTTCCGCCCAACTTGAAGCTATGGTTCCAAAGCTTGCCAGAAGCGAGAGCATTAAAGGTATAGTCACCAAGGCATACGGGATAACAAGCATTTTCCCAAGTTTTGTCTTCGGAGTTACACCACCAAAACCTGAAACAAAAATGGCATTTACATTGGACTCTGCTAGCACCAAGAAAAGCTCCGTTCACCCATTACACAACAATCTGTTTCCTTTTTTGCCATCCCCTACCCCATAGTCATCCGTTATAACTTGCATCATCAATTTATAGTTCTTTACTTTCGATGGAAAAATCCAAAAGAGCACTGGGGGACACCTCTAATTATGCAAATCAGCTTTACCGCAACTACATTCGACTTTTGCTCGCATGTAGGAGTATTTATGATAGACTCTCAAATTACATGGTAAAAATAAAACAATCTAAAAAATATATTTTTATGAAAACATCGCTCTACCGCTCTATTAACATAACTACAATTCTAACAACTGAATACATCGCTCTACCGCTCTATTAACATAACTACAATTCTAACAACTGTGAAAGCTGAACCAATACATAAAGAGAACACACAGTGTTTGGTAATCAGGTAAGTGTCATACTTGTTGATTACAAATCGATGAAGATAAAATTTAGCATAAAGTGTGCTTGACTTATTCGACCAGTACAAGATGGGCCATATATCATCCTTTGGTGGACAAACAACATAAAAAGTTTTCAATTTTCACAATCAACTTACCAATTGTTGTCATTGTCATTACTGAAAAGCGATACCATTTTAGGCAGCCAAGATCTCCCAATATCATTTTTGACAAATGTACTGGAGGAGGGACTTTAAAATATGACTGAAACAACGCATATATTGCAATACTCTGGTTGTAAGAAGGCTGCAGTTTTGTTCTATGGTTAAGTCTTGTGAAAAGTTCGATTGCTTTTTTCATCTCATCGCTTTGAGGGTAGAGTTTATCAGCAACTACCTCGTTGTCAACAAAACAATCTATGATGCTCAAACTGTCCTCGACATAGGAGAAGACGGCCCATCCAATTATCTGCATTATAACAACTGGTATGCCTTTCTTTATGATGTCAAACATCTGGGACCAGAATTCTCTTGCACCAGTACTACCGCAGCAGCATCTGCAGCATTTGCACGTAGCCATTGCGTCTCAATATGAAACAGGCGTGGGACACCTTTCCGCATTCACCAGCCTAGGCGTTCTCGATGCAATGTTTATCTTAACGACAGGCAGAAAATACTTTGCAAAAAAAATCTTCCTGTACCTGTCAAACAACAAGAATGTAGATAAGATTCAACCAGTTCGCTTTCAATGGTAAAAATGTAGAAAATCGTGTTCAATATCGGCGATACGTTTCAAACAAATTTTCGTTGAACATTAACAGTTGACTTGAACTTGGACCATCTGCTATCATTTTCATATTTTTTTCAGATAATATTGGTACCTGCAAGAGTTTAACATTGCCAAAGAAATCCCGAATAAGCCTCTTCAGATAAAACATGCAATTTTGCATCTCTGCTCTTTCCTGGTAGAAATTGATTAAAATGCACTATTTTCGACGAAGCCAGCTAGGATTTAGACAGCTTCAGCACAATAGTCTTTATAAGAATAATCAGTTATTTAGCAAACAACCTGCTTTGAAGGCCAATAAATGTTGAAACAACAATTCTAGGAAGGTCCTAACGATTCAAGTAAGAAAGCATTGATAAAATATTGATAAAAATCCACATACACACACAAACACACACACACACAAACACACACAATTAAAATTAAGGCCAATTACGTCAAAGGGCAGGTTAGACCAAATTTTTCATTTTCATCTTCTATAAACATGTTCAACAGTATATTTTCGCTGACCTCAGCATAACTATCGAGATGCTTGACTCATAAATCTTTGTCTGGCCAAAATAGATGGGTTCCTAAGATAGGCAGTTTCTTCCTTTCCCTTTTCACATTGCAAATAAAACGGCAATTGCACCAAGAACAAGAACAAGAACAATTTTTTCCTCTAACCTTTCCTTTATCTAAGGATGCTGGTTGCTTTACGACGGCATTGTAACTTGAATAACTTCTCGTCTCTTCTAGGGATATCTTTCCTGTTCTTTCCAACGTAGCAATAAAACTTTCTTGACTAATTTAAATCGTGAATTACAGAGAAATGGGCATTTGCTTCAATAACAAAAGGATTATGGGTGGAGAGATAATACGAGAAAGTAGGATTTTAAGACCGAGGAAGCCTAGGAGCTAGGCTTTCTTTCGGTGAAAGCAGCGGATAAATTGTTTAACTTTTTAATAGAATTATTTCACATTTTCTACATGTTTCTGGATAAGGGCTTTGAGAGAAAACAAATAGAACAAAGAATTAGTCAAAGCATCGATAATATTTTCAAAGCATGAAAGGAAATCGCACTTTTCCAAGAAGATGATCATACAAACATGGTTGTTGGTAAACTTGCCGAAAAGTCTCTGTTGGTATGCCCCAACAAAATAGATTTGATCGCCTGGATGGATAAGTCTACATACAGCATGAAAACCCTTCTACCATCCTTATGAATTATTTATGGATTGTTGTATCGTTGTATGAAATCTTATTGTGGATTTTACGAAACAATTAGACGGGTGGTTACTGGTCTGAGTAAGGTTGTTACATGTGATGGCAATGACCAGGCAGTCATCAAATCTAAAGCAGATTACGATTACGATTTTAATGCTGTATGTAGACTTATCCATCCAGGCGATCAAGTCTATTTTGTTGGGGCATACCAATCGTAATCTGCTTTAGATTTGATGACTGCCTGGCCATTGCCATCACATGCAACAACCTTACTCAGACCAGTAACCACCCGTCGAATGTGAAAATAAGCTGCAAGCAAATTTCTGATTCTCTCTGGAGAGTAGAAACGGGAAAGTTGGCAACGTAGCGCGGGTATGGCTTGCTGTAATGGACGCGGCTGTTTCGGAAAACGCTTACGCCAGCTAGTGAAAAAGATAATAGTCCTCTTTATAATACAAACGACTGCATGGTTTCTGTACACGTACATAGAAGAGGGATTTTTATTGACAGATTGCATTTTTAATCAGGAGAAAATCAAGCGACTCAAAGAGACGAAGAAGCTGAATGTGACAAGACAAGAGAACGAACTGTACGCGGAGCTTGATGAAATTTTTCTTGGGGATTTTGATAGAGGCAAATTTGAGATCTACCATGCTGAGTTTAAGAGACACTTTAATGTAAAAGAGCCAGTACCTACAAAAGTATCAATCAGCGAAATCTGTAAAAAGTGGTATTTGTTTACAGCTATCACTCTAACCACAGTTGGTAAGTCACTGAATACTGTACACCTTCAACTTGCAAAAAGATTCATACACCACTGCATTGATTATTCATACACTGAAGATTTCAAAACCCTTGATACAGAGTTGAGAAAGGTGCCTATCCGTCCCCTGGGCAATACCCTAAAAAACTTCCGCAGAAAAACAATGGTTCTAGACGGGGCTTGGGTGTGGCATTTAAGCTGTTTTGTTTGCAATGGCCTTCCTCACCGTCGCTAACCGTGTGACCGCCTTTAAATTGCCAAAATTAGATTTCTTTCTGTGAGTCCGTAAAGAACTTGCTTGGCACCAGGGGTGTAGTTCTAGAGGGTTCAGGGGAGATGCGCCCCTTGTTGGTGCCGAAAATTAGCCTTTTGCTATTGTTTTAGCAACGTTTTGTGCAAGAGCTCCCCCTTGTTATTTTGATAGCACTGCTTAGAACTAATTACATGCTTGTGCCTTCTTTAATCATAACCGCAAATACAACAAACAGCCGTGAAGCAGCTAAGCTGGAAAATCGTGTCCTGGTAACACATATGTTAGAACAATGCAGCAAAATTAGTTGGGAAAATGAAGAAAGCAAACAGACAGGTTGCATCATTCATCAGGGTTGCGTGGCTTCTCATTTAACGTTCAAATATCATCTTGATTACCTATCAAATAAAAGTGGATAAAGCAAACAAGTTGATGGAAGTCCGAAAACATGAGGTATCGAGAGGTTCTGTGCGATGCTCGCAGCAATCTTTGTTGAAAGATAAATGAAAATATTGATGTCTCGCAACAACACAAAGCCGCAACATTAATTAATATGATACATTAGAAATCTTGACTGTGGTTCCTCGAAATGAGAGCTCCTTTTCTCTAAGAGGTAAAAGCACACACGAATAACATATTCATTCTTTTCAAATAAAAAGTACTGCTTTGTAATTCTTTACGCATTGAAACTGTGAATGTGGGGGGGGGGGGAATATCGGCCTACGTAAAATTCCATGCTTTTAAAGGGTGCAACATGCGATTACAAGATGTACAAATTTTCAGTATTTTGAATAAAATATTTTTAGTAAAGTAAAATTTTCTCTTATATTTCAGGATATGGCAACGTTGTCCCCAAAACGATGGCTGGAAAGCTACTGTTTTTTCCATTCATTCTTATTGGCATCCCAACGATGTTATTCTTTTTGGGTTATGTTGGACAGTTACTTGCTGAACTATGTAGCAAAATCGTTGAACTGCTAAGCTGCCGGCGCACTCACACTGGGGAATACCAAATTGCTCACAAAGAGCTCAAGTCCTTTCTTGTTATTTTCATTTTTCTTTGGGCTTATATTCTTTTAGAAGCAATGGTGAGCTTTTACTATCCAGATCCTGAATTAAGGCTGAGCTTTTTAGATGGGGTTTATTTCTATTTTGTGTCTTTTACGACTATTGGTTACGGTGACATAACAGCACCTATGACGCAGCCTCTCTTCGAATTTCGACTCTATGTCGGCCTGAGTCTTATGTCTGGGGTAGTCAGTGCTGCCCTGGACTTCTCGCAGAAAATATCCCCAAGGCGGATAGGAGGAGACAGGGAGGGAAAGTGCTGCTGTAAAATGCATCAACAAAGCTGCGACATCCAGCCAGCTGTGGAGATGGTTGTAGTGCAGGGTACGTACACACAAAAAGAAGCAAATGGGCAATCAAAAACGGTGAATACGGCTCGTGATAACAAGGGGTATAAATTTGAAGTGCAAGAGATTCCAGAAAAAAAATAAATACGGAGGATAGATAAAAATATGGGCGTGACCTTCATGGGAGTAATCGTAATGTTATGTAGTTGGTTCAAGAAAGAGGTCCACTGTTGGACGGGTAAAAAAAGATTTCTTGGTGCTATGCGACTTACTTACACATGATTGCACTATGTCAGTTTAAATATGAATCCAGCAATGGAAGAAAGGAAGATCATATCATTCCAGCATTACATGTACAAAAAATTTGATGCACTCTACATTGGGGCTGCTTCCCCTTTTTTAATGTTGCTTTGGCATCGCAAATATGGAAAAAGTAAATTTTGACTTCCGTTATTAATGTTATTTCAATTAACTACAACTTAGCTACATAAAGGAAGTACACAATTTGCATGTCAGTAGTATGGCGTATGTATCATCATATGTTGATCTAATCAATAATTTTCTTTGGAATTTGATCTGCTTCTCTCGTTCAAAATATCTTCGCAAATACTTGTAAAAATTCAATAAAAATAATAGCAATAATTATCAACCCTAAAAGAGTGTATAAGATTAATACTTATTATTCTCATGCACTTTTAAAATAGTGAGCAGAAGTCAAAGTTTTATAAAAGAAGGCATCTTGTTGATTATTGTCATTAAAAATTGATGGTTCTCAAAAATTGATGGCTCTCAAAAATTGGTGGTTCTCAAAAAGTGGTGGTTCTCAAAAAGTGATGGTTCTAAAAAATTGGTGGTTTTCAAATATTTGTGGTTCTCAAAAATTGGTGGTTCTCAATAATTGGTGGTTCTCAAGAATAGGTGGTTCTCAAAAATTGGTGGTTCTCAAAAAGTTGTGGTTCTCAAAAAGTTGTGGTTCTCAAAAAGTTGTGGTTCTCAAAAATTGGTGGTTTTCAAAAATTGGTTGCTCTCAAAAATTGGTGGTTCTCAAAAATTGGTGGTTTTCAAAAATTGGTGGTTCTCAATAATTGGTGGTTCTCAAAAATTGGTGGTTTTCAAAAATTGGTGGTTCTCAATAATTGGTGGTTCTCAATAATTTGTGTTTCTCAAAAATTGGTGGTTTTCAAAAATTGGTGGTTCTCAATAATTGGTGGTTCTCAAAAATTGGTGGTTCTCAAAAATTGGTGGTTTTCAAAAATTGGTGGTTCTCAAAACAAGTTGGCCATTGGAAGGCAGCTGGCCAAAAAATATGAAGTTAAGAAGGAGAAGGTAAAAGAATAATGTCAACATCTCAGTAAAACAGCTGAAGACAAGGTGCCAGCTTTTGGTGAAAAGGCTGATTCTAAGTGGAGAGAAAACCATGGTTCTCTCAAAATGTTCCCTTTAGTCTCAACCAACCTTATTCCAATATTTGCATCTCCACTCCACCAGATCTGATGATTTCAATAAAAGCTCTACATAGCTGTCTTAGAATTTAGTTCTACAAGCTAAATATATTTATTCAGAGGGTTTTCCATTCAAAAGACAGCACGCAACTTCTTAGGTCAATCGAGAGTAAGTGTTAATCATTCCAACACGGAAACTGGGTTAGGGAGAAATGCAAGTTTTTATGCAATGCAAAATTAAAACTGTCAAAAAAGCCATTGACAAAAGCCACATTCGTCTGAGAGCATTATAAATAATTTCAAAAGAGAAATAAGTCCAATGATAATACTATACTTTTTTCATAAAGAATGTTACCACCAAAGGAATCAGTGATATCAATAATTCAGCGATTTTGCATTAAGGAATGAATAAACTAATAAATATAATTAATAAATCAAACAATGTATTTTATACACAAAGTGAAAATTCAAAAGGGAAATTGATTAAATTTTATACATTTAAGACAGAAACAAAGAATGAAATTTTTCGACAACAACTGAAGCAAAGAATTTTAATCTTAATCCAATGAGCAAAATCTATAACATAGGTTCAGTCTAATACAGCATTTGGGACCGTACAATCTAATACGGTATCAACATAGACCTATACGGCAGCTGTCTGATTTTCGCATTAAGCGTGAAACTCAGAGTAGCAACTTAAAACCGTCCTGTTTTACACACCAAATAGCATGTACAGCTCTGTCTATACAGCACCGAGCTCGTTAATGTAATATTAGTAAATAAGGAGCACCGCAAAGTGACGAGAATGAACAACAACAAACACACATACATTAGTTATGGCTAATATTTCGCCCCGGCATACGGGGCTTCAGCAGAGCAAAAGTTAATGTAAGTTGGATGTTGAGAAAGGGCGGGCGAATTGGACAGCATAAGGCCAACCATTCATCATTCATAAAAAGGCAACAGCGATGATACACTCAAAAAAGGAACATCACTTTGCCATAGGAGAAAAACCAAAGCTAAATCTTGATACATTCCAACAAACTAGAAACAAAGGTCCGGCAAACATGCAAATATTGACAGGGCCCATGCCACTGGGGGGAGGGGGCCGGAGGGGCCATGGCCCTTCACTTTTTGTGAAGCAAGTAGTTTTAAAGCTGCAGTAAAAGGGGAAAGAGCCTTGACCCCCTTCTTTTGCTAGCCTTGCCTCCTACTTTCAAATTCATGGCGTAGGCCCTGATCGAGGACTACAAAGTCAAACCATACAAGCAGAAAAGAGGTAATAAAACTCAGAAAAGGCCCAATGATTGAGAAATTGCGAAGGAAAGCCTGAAATTGTTTATACACTTTCAATAAAAATTGTGCCATTGTTTGAAAAATGATGGAAGGATTATTCGGCAAAAAAAATAAAAAACGCATGCTCACAAGGTACACCACAAGGAACGTAGCTGGTTTTTATCACAAGAAACCAAGATGTTGACGTAGGATAAGTGATAAAGAACTAAGGGACTTTGCAACTAACGTAAGTAGGAACAGTTCTATCGGCAATATTTTGGCTGATATAAGTATAATTTTGCATTAAATAACTTGCGCAACAAATGAGATTAAGAATAAAAGAAGTCAGGAAAAGAGACAGAAGGGTAGACTTCTAAGGCTAAGAATCAAAATCAGTGAAAATTATTAATTTCAAGCTCACTCTTCTGGTTCATTTTTATCATCAAACATTAAACTGAATGGCCTGAGTTAAAAGGTAGGTTTTAAAAACAACATTCAGCTTACTGCAATTAAGGCATGCCTGCACGAGCTGTGTGATAACTGATTAAAAAGACGCGCATGAACTTTGGTTCACGCATTTTGATTGGATGATTATCACATCTATTTTTGGCAAAACAGGAAACAGAAATTGTTCAGCAGAAATTGGCCGCAGTTTTATGTAAATTATAACTGCAGTTTTGTATGAGCATTTAGATAGATATAAGCATTTAGTTTAGACAGTCCACATGCATCCTTGTCCTGTAAGCTTAGAATCACACAACACACATCCAAGAAATGTATTGAAGGTCTAAAATACTAAGTCAGGCTAAATGCCTCTTATTGGTTTATCTCTTATCAAGACATTTTGCTAAGACACTGACAATCTAACATGTGCACATGTGATAGCTAATAAAATTGTCTCTTGAATTCCCATCAAACCATTGTCAGTGACAGCTTCAAGTATCAGAAGGGGGTAAACTGGGTTTTGTCCAACACCACATACCTGGATACGATTCACCATAATATTGTTGTGAAGACTTCAGTAACCCTCATTAGAGAAACTGATATTGTTGTATGTTGGATACGACTTCTTCAACAACTGTACAGTTATTTCATGGTCTGCTTTTCCAAAACCCTAAAACAAAAAGGGAAATTTTAAGTTTACGTCTAAAAAAACCGCACTTGTTTTATAGACAGTGGCAAAAATGTAACACACAGGCGGAAACAAATTCTTTTTACTGTGTCTAAATCACAGTAATGTTTGACTGGATTATCAATCGTACCAAGAAACTGTTTACTTTTAAGAAAATATTCACATTCTAGTCTTTTTGCAAGGAATTCATCCATCTGAAATTCCAGTAAATCTAAATAAATAAATTACAAAAACTTATTTGCAAAATGCAAAGCGCTTTTCACAAACATGATAAAATATAGCAAAATATAAATCTAGATGTTTCTACATTTCCAATAGCAATCAACTATGACAATGAACGAACTATTGTTTGGCAACAAAACCCTTAGAAATGAAAAAAACAAAGAGACAAAACTTAAAAAAGTTAGTTAAAAAAATCTCAAAGATATTAAGAACAGTAAAATGATCAAAAAAATTTTTTTCGAGCGAATGCTTTAAAGAGAAGTTTACATGATTAAAAAATAAAAATGTAATAAAAAATGTCAGTTTAGATTTTAACTGAAAATTCTAAGACTATTTTAGTATATTACTGGATTTATGTTTTTGAAATAATTTAATAGAAAATTACCATTGAATATCCATAAACAAACAGCTTCTTTTCATTTGGCACATGCAGAATTCTTCCACCACCAACACATTCTGAGGTTAGGCCCAAAGCACTTAATCCTGAAGCAACTTGATCATATATGTCAGCTGAAATGGAAAGTATACTAGTGAAAGGAGCAATGAGTTTTTTCACATACAAGTGGGCTTTTATGCTGAGAAAGTTTCACATCAAGAATGCCCAGGCCATGAAAATGTGATGTGAAATAAAGAGTTTGTTCTTTTCCTTTAAATTACAAAAAAGTTGAAAACAATATTATTATAAAAATATATAGATAAAAGAGAAAAAACAAATCACTCTCAGTAAACATGTGTTTATTTTGCTTCATTTTCCTTGTTCAATTGAAATCACCCAACATATAAGCAATCTTTAAGAAAAAAAAGGCAATCTCAATTTCTGATTGAAAAAGACAAAATAGCCTATCGTTTTTACCAACCAATAGGAAATTTGAATGTCGTCCAAATTGGATGGGACACAATGCCTTTAAGCCATGGATAGTATTGCTTTGTAGCAGTTGCGAATCAAAGATTATTCTTGTTATAGCAGTGTTTTCACTTCTGCTAACATGGGGGTATATCTTAGATATTTTTCATGTATGTTACTTTGAAGAGGTACATACACATTTTAATTACTTGATTACCTAAAATTACGCAAAAAAGTAACCTGTCCTGTCCTGTCCTTATCCCATCCTGAAGATATATGAGTAAACCCCTCCCCCCCTGGGTCCAGGTTTTAGATAGTTTGACAATAATCAATACTTTGATAGAACTTCCACATTCATTTTTTTCCCTCAGCGTGAAGTAAAGGATCAAAAGCTTTTTCAATAGAAAGGGTTTGATCGCACATTCCTCTTTTGAAACAAGACTGAAAATGTCATAGATAAAGAAATGCTTTTGAGTCCTTATCTCTGTAGAAATTGCATGGTAGGTTGGAAGGGGTGAGTCAATAAGGAGCAGATTCATGGGGAGGGGTGATGTAAGCATGGGGCTAGCATGGGGGGATGATGTAAGCATGGTTTGCTAGCCAGGGAGTTTGAGTCAGTGTAAGAGAGGTATCGTGATGAACTGAGGGGTATCCAGCCTGCCTAGTCCAACCAAATCATCATAAATCGCAGCTTGCCTGGGGGGATGCATACAACTTTTGTTAACAACCAATGAACAACCGAGTTGACTACATAGATGGGGGGGGGTTGAGTAGTACTGCCACTCCTCTACATTATTCAAACGTTACAGAAAAATGGGGAGATGTCTACATATCCTACCAGAGGGCCAAACTGTAATTTCTAAGCCAATGTGACCCGATATTTAGTACAATAAAAAATTTTTGTAGGAAGACATTTCATAAGAAAATCATTACAAAGCTTTTTTGGCTTTTTGAAATAATAATTTAAAACAATAGTCTGATTCTCATAAGTATTGCTTTGAAAAAAGCAAACATTTGGTAAACTAAAGCTTTTCGTCTGTAACTCTTCAGAGTTTAAAACGTCAGAACATAGATCGAAAACTTAGAAGTTTTAAATAGTATAATTTATTGCTTCTAAGGTTGTTTTTAAGGATATTGAAAGTTTCACACATTCCTAGCGTTTTGAAAAAAGGTCTGAATATAAAATTATAGAATACAACCATTTTAGAAAACAATGTGACCATGAAAAGGGTGTGGTCAAAAGGGTGTAGGCGACCCTCTATCTCATTTCGGCGGTAGTCAGTTTTTGGCTAATCCATGAACCACTGTTAACCTCCGCACTTGTGTTGTTTTGAAAAATAACTGTTTCCATTTAAAAGACCGACAACGCAGCCCCACTCCCCGAAAAACAATGTTGGTTGCAGAGTTAAACATCTATTGGACAACACCAAACCTCTAAAACAAGGCATATTTTGACAGGCCTCATATCATGTGTAAGTACAAAAAAACAAAGCAATACCATGAAACTCTGCCCAGTCAAAGCCTCTGACAATGCATTTGGACTCTGATCCAGCACATACTTTTATCAAGATGTATTTGAATTTACCAGAATTGTCAATGTCGACGTCTGAGACCGAATGCAACTTATCTTCAAGCGACGCCATTTTGTTTTTATCTTGCTGCACAGCCTCTTTTTCAACAACAGATTTATCGTCGGTCTCAATCATGATACGGGAGATGCAATATTCCTTACCTCAAATAAGAGAAGTTAGCTTTATTGAAAGGCTATTTTCACAATGAGACATACCGATAATAGCCCCCTAGATATTAAAAAAAACACAATGTTCTTGGAATTATGCTGTTGGGATAAAATTTACAAAATTAGATCTAGGATGTCCTCGAGATTCCAGGGGACTTTGGAAGCTGACTGAGGAAGTTGAAAAGTTATCTTAACAAATCAGTTCTGACCTAAGGAGTTCGTTTTCACCGTAGGACTCCACTGGTAACATTCTCAATAGGCAAGCGGCACTGATTGGACAACCTCAACAGTCATGTGCTCGTGTTTCTGATTGGCCTATTTGGATCCACAACTTGGTATATATATTTCCTAGCGAAGAGTTTTCGGTCTATGTTCTGACGTTTTAAACTCTGAACAGTGTCAGACGAAAAGCTTTAGTTTACTAAATGTTTGCTTTTTTCAAGACCTGATAAATGTAATTTCAAAACTTTGAAGTGTATCGAAAGGAGATTTAGCAGACGAAAACAAAGGGACTTTCTATTTAGCCCGGATAGTTGAGTTGATATATACGGCAACAAATGCCAGAATTTTGCTGCCAATAGCTTTTTCGGAAAATCTTCAGACGTATTCCTTATTCCACAGCAAGCTCCTGGTCCAGTACAATAATAGTGTCAGCCCAAGCAGGTTCTATTCTTTTCTTCAAAAATGGATTCTGTCTGGGGCTAGTGAGCCTACACCAGTGCCTAAAGGGCTTTTGAAATGCGTTTTTGACAATGAACAGGTAATTGGGAAAACTCGCTTAATCCAAGCTGAAAAAAAGGTTCCTACAAGTGTCATTACCAGCCATGCTTATCTGCAAATAGACGCAGAGAGCAACGACGAAAATAACATAGCATTGTGTCCGAGAGTATGGTTTTCTAAACCACATATTGAAAACAATTTGAAGAATATCGCGAAAAAAATAAGACATTTCAAGATTTTGTCGATAAAATGATTAAATTGAAAAACGCAACACAGCGTGAAAAAGTATGTTTAACATGTGGAGCTGTAAATGGTGCCAAGAGATAAAAGTGTAGGAATGCCCTGTGTGATGGGTCTCTGGCAACGAAAGAGCCTGACTAAAGCATCATTTGGAAAAAACTAGAATCGCTTGATTTGCATAAGATTTTTGAGAGTGAAGGTCACATAAAAAAGAACAACATATCGGTAGAAGCGGGTGAGCCTGACTTACTCGATCCAAACAGTTACGAAAATATTTTCCAAATTATACAAAATTTTGCAACCAGGGTGGGAATTAGTAGGTATGGGACAGGACGGCGACAGTGGATTATACTTGAGGTGAACGGGACAATATCCTGCATTGCAGAACAACTGATATCTAATACGCTTTTTTGCGCATTGTGTAAAACATCATTTTATGGCAACGAGAAACTCAAAAAGCATGGCTGCACCGACATCGCACATGTAGTGCCTGAGCACGAGTTTGATTGGACAATTCTCCTAGTTGCCTGGTTTGCTTAATACAGAAATAAGTAGATGTAAAGCGTTCATTGGCCTAAATTGGGAAATTTTTGCTAGAGACATATTTCAACCCTAGGCTATAAAACCGAAAATGCCTTGAAGCCTGCTAAACGCTGTGGAGACGTGGCAGGTTATCGAAACAATTTACGTTGCTTTGGCAGATGGGCTACTTGTGCCATTTGTTCACTCCGCAAAAGAACATGGTACAGCTCTGACAGTTGAAAAATTTTTGGATTTGGGTGGAGCAAATTAAAAACCAAACTACATCTACATGTACCAAATGGTCTTCACTTTTCTGCATGCTCTGATTATTTTTAGAGTAGGAGTAATATGGGATTGCTTTTTAGCTATGAACGCTGGTTTAGACAAACTCGTTAAACTGTGGATAAGTTGTTGCAATATTCGATATTCATTTTCAACGAGCCGTGTAGGGCACGAAGGTCGTTACCGGGAGGAGATCCTGGGTATCGCGAGGTGTACCTTCGAATGTCGAATGGCTCAAAAATTTTCGAAATCTTGATAAGCTGTCCGAGGTAGGAAACGAAATTTATCGTAAAATAAACTTGGAAATATTTTTTCTTGCGCATATTTTGCTTATTTATGCTCAGGGCATTTAAAAGGAATACTTTTGAGTTATCGCTGAAGGTTTCCTTCTTCACAAGGCATCATACATCCCGCATGGCCCCAGTACTCGCAATCTTTTATATCGCATCCAATCCATTTACATAGTGCTCTGCCTACTCTATCCTTAAGTGCCAAATCCTCTTCACTTTCTAACACCACCTTACATACTGGGCACCTGTTGATATTAGGGCTAAACGGTGTTTAGGATAGTACCAGTTCTTTCTTTTCACTGGACCTTGGCAGGTTTACTATTGTGGTGCACAGGATACCAACTGTGTGCTACCGAGGGTCCTCTTTTCTTGTAGGGGTCTGAAAATCGCTCGATATGCTGTTGATATCAGGTTTTGGATGATTTTGCTCAGGCTGGAAGGGCATTTGTTGAGAGTTCTTCAAGGGTTGATCAAGCAGGCCTGGCCGTTTGTATTTTTATAGGCGAGCTGTGAATCGCTCCCCTCATTTGCTGAGGCGAGCTAAATCAGTAACACATAGAATGTACTTTAAAGACAATCGACAGATGACTTAATAAGCCCCTTTAGTATCTGTCGGTTGCCTTAATGTAATTGCCTCAGTCAGGAGTGTGCTGTTTTACTTCTTTCAATTTGTATTTGCTTTAACCGTGACTTAGGCACCCCCTTTACTTTAAGTATTTAAAAGAACAGACTTTTTCAGTTTCATGTAAAGCTGGCACAACACAAAAACAACCATTCTCTTGCAAAACAATCTTTTTGTTATACAGAATTTGAAAAAAAATTTTAAAACAAGCTGAAGTTATACGTCTAGCACTCTTCAGAGAATAAAACGTCAGAACAAAGATGGAAAACTTTACGCTAAAATACCCAGTTTTGGATCGAAATAGGCCAATCAGAAAGCGCGAGCACATGACTGTTGAGGTTGTCCAATCAGTGCCGCTTTCCTATTGAAAATGTTACCAACGGAGTCCTAAGGTGAAAACGAACTCACTTATGTCTACACAAAAGCGGTTGGTCATGTTTATATAGTAGATAGATTCACAAACTGCTAGATGGAACGATGATCAGGCTTTGCCAATAATGCCAAACATGTTGCCGTTATAGTTTTCACCCAATCTGGGTTTTTCAGTAAATGCCGCTGGATAGTGGAATTCCATGTTTTGGTTGTCGTTTTTGATCTGCAAGACAGAGTACCTTGTTCTCTTTGAGGCATAGTTTTGTTTCTATTACTGGGAGGGACCTGCTGTCTTATTATATCCCCAATCTACAATTCCTACCAATTTCTTCGACTTTCCTTCCAAAAATATTCCTGTTTTCTTAAGATTGAAAGGTTCTAATTCTACAAATGTACCTTTCGGTTAACTATCGTTTTCCAAATAGATCGAAGTTTATGCCTATCATAACAAAAACCGCCCAACAAGCAAAAAGTTAATTGCAAAAAATGCAATGACGGGAGAAATCGCTGTTACAAAAATAAACCAATTAACCCTTGTGCGTTTTCATAATTCTCTGAATAGGAAATTTTAGGGGAGCGATTCTTCCTTCATGTTCTGTTTAGGAGAGCAATTCATAGCTCGCCTCAGGTTGCGAGGGGAGCGTGGAGGCGAGCGCGAGCTATCGCTCGCCTCAAACGGCCAGGCCTGGATCAAGGCCTTTGAGCTTTGTTGAAGTGTCAAACTGCAATACTTTTGTTTTTCCTTTCGCATTCATTATTTATTGGAATGTCATTTGAATTTCTCCGTTGCAAATACTTTCCAGCTCACCTGCCTTAGAATAATTGTATCTTTTAGGTGAGAGAAAATTTATTAGAAAAGTCAGGAGTGTCATGTAAAGGTTATGCCATATCGTCATTCTAAACGAACATCGAAGATATGGCGAAAATCAGGAAACTTTTTCGTTCAAAGAGTTACCTTACTGACCACCTCATAGATGTTAAAATCTGTAGTTTTGAAGGCCATGGCTTAAATCCAATTCTTGTAAACTTTACCTCGGAAGCAACTGTTTCTCAAAAGTCCTGCAGATCGTCGTACAATAAAAGTGCCTAAAGATACCAGTGGCTAAAGATTAAGTTCGTGTGTGCAGGGTTCAAAGTGTTGAATAGCCAACAATAGCCCTTCGTATTGCGTTCAGTATTCTTAAATCTTCAAAATTTTAGTACAATAGCAAAAAATAGGGGTCGTTTAAACATGATCTCACGCGTCTTATTGCATGTAGTTTTTCAGTTTTGCTAGATTAAAACATTTCATTTAAAATCATAAACACTTGCAACAATCATTTCTATTTTCACAGGGTAGGCGAAAAGGATTGTAGCTTCTAAAAAAGTGCATAACAGTAAAAATCAGAATAGCAAAACTGTACCTTTTTGACTAGCGTTTGCCTTCGTTTTGAAATGGATTTCTGGCACGACTTGTCGTCCTCTTTGAATTCAGTAAGAATTTCACCTTCATAGTGCAATCTTTTATTTTCTTCAGGTTTATCCGAAACTTCAAGTCAAAGAAAGTAGGAAAGATTGAATTAGAATTAGGATGTTAAATTATTAAAGATGATAAATGTTTTGTTTTTGAAGAATTATAATAGACGATCAGGCACTGCAGAGCATTGAGAAAAGTTGAGGGAGGTCTAAAAAGTGAAGAGGGCTAAAACCAAATAAAAACTGGCTTGACTGGTGATTCATTGATAAATTTTTTGCAATTCTAGCAAAAATTGGGGGGCTATAGCACCCTCAGCCCCCTTTCTCTGCAGAGCCTGAGGATGCCTTGAATTGGACAGCTAGGAGCACTAATTTGAGCGTTCAGTTAACTTAAAAGAAGCCTTTTGTTCTTTTGTTTCTACCGTTATGCCAACTAGATCAAAATCGCTCAGGTGATTCATCCCTGAATTATACTTAGCCATCATTGACGAATAAGAAAAAGTGGCCATGTTCGCGAAGTAGCTTGTACTGTAGAGGTGACTAATTTACTTCAAAACTGCACTGAATGTGTTGCCCTATATTTTCTAGTTGAACATACAAGCTTAAATGTCACCATTGGTTTGAAGGTATCTATTAAGTAAGTGTTGTTTTTATGCTGGTGTTCTTTTTCTTATTATTGAGCTCAAACCTTGCTGAAGCAAAGTGATCATTATTTGCAGATTATTACCACCAAATCTGTAAGTAACATGTTTTTCAAATCTGACTGTAACAGGACCCACTAGGATGAGCAATGTAAGCAAAAGTTGAAATAACAGCCCAGTGTTTATCTTCTTTCCAGCTATCAAAGTTTTCTTTATAGGGACAAATATCAATCTAAAAGAAGCAATGGGCACGAGGGGCCCCCAGTGATGTTGTCGACGATGTAGGATGGGGCCCGTGGAAGCGGAAGGGCTGAGAGGAGACCTTTCAAATAAGCTTCCAGAAATTCAACTCTAACCTTAAAAAGATCATCTTGGATTTGGCTTAAGTTTTTCCCCTTCCCCAAATATAAACTTTTCAGTCCCCATCACAACATGATGTCTACAGGGGGAGCTAGGTGCCAGGGTGCCCATATTACTGGCAGAACAGTCACCCTACTATTTAACCAGATGTCTAGCTGAAAAACTGCAGCTTTTTTAACTTTCTAATATTAATAACTGTCTTTAATTTTGCTTTTGTCGAGGGGAAAAACTCTTGAAAAGGTGTATGAGATTTCCACGAAAACAAACAGATCTCCAGGATATAAGATTTTCATGGAGTGATCTGCCCCTCAGCCTTTGTCACAAGAGTATTGATCATCAAGGGATTTGGAGTGGTCTATCAAGCCCAAATAATGTAAGCTCAAAGAAATTGCAGTTTTGACACAACTTTGTAGCACGAGAATACCGGCTGTTTGCAATCCTCAAAACTTTTGTGTCCAATCTTGCCAATGGCTTTTCTGTTGTTTTATTGGATTGTCGTGAAATTTTGAGTTGATTATTAGCAGAAGGAAAATTGTTTATTGGGGTGTCTTATTACCCATGTAGGACAAATTTCACAATGCTTCCACTTACAAATAACTTCGCCTGAATTCCTGAACATGGCGAGTTTGCCACCTCTGCTCAACAGGCCTGGCTACGGGCTTGAACCTTTTCTTGACAAAATATCCCCACAATTTTTTCAACCGCCATTTTCATTTCCGAGTTACTGGGAACGAGGTTGTACATTATAACGAGGTCTTTGAAATTATATCTAAATAGATTTACCAAGTTATACAATAGGTATCTATTTATTTAGTTGTTTAGTTAGTTAATTATGCATTTCAATTGTTTATTGGGGTGTCTTATTACCCATGTAGGACAAATTTCACAATGCTTCCACTTACAAATAACTTCGCCTGAATTCCTGAACATGGCGAGTTTGCCACCTCTGCTCAACAGGCCTGGCTACGGGCTTGAACCTTTTCTTGACAAAATATCCCCACAATTTTTTCAACCGCCATTTTCATTTCCGAGTTACTGGGAACGAGGTTGTACATTATAACGAGGTCTTTGAAATTATATCTAAATAGATTTACCAAGTTATACAATAGGTATCTATTTATTTAGTTGTTTAGTTAGTTAATTATGCATTTCATTTATTTCTTTGCCTGATTAATGAAACAAAGTTAACAGCAAAAAATTAATTTCTATCAAACGTCCAGATTAAAAGAAATAGAAACCATAATAACACTTACAAGGCTTGCAGATAGATCAAAGAGGGCAAATATTTATTTAGCCTAATAGATTTAATTAGTTATAGTATTTGTTATAGCATCTAACAAGCGCATGCGTTTATGATTCCTTGTCACCTCAGTTTCACAAATCTTGCTAATCTGTGGTATAAATAAAAAATCGGTATATAAATAAATAGGGGGTTAAGTAGTAGGTTAAGCCTTCCTTTCGCGTCTGACCAGTGGTGCCGGTCTCCGTCCAATGACGTCGCACATAACACTTCTCAGAAAGGTATTCCGAGGAGACGAAGGGATACGCCCCGGGTTGCATAGATAATTAGGTCCCGAGTTAAACCTTGCGCTAAACCCGCGTCTGACTAATGGTGCCGGTCTCCGTCCAATGCCGTCGCACACAACACTTGTCCCCGGGTCTAATTGAGTGGTGCCGTTCTTCGTCCACAGAACGCTTCTCAGATAGGTATCGAAAGGAGACAATAGGATACATCCAAGGCTACGTCCCTTATTAGGCCTCACGTCTGAACTGTGGTGACCCTCTTTGTCCAATGTCGTCACACGCAACGCTTCTGAGATAGGAACTCTGAGCAGACGGATCGATACGTCCAGGGTTGTGTGGTAGCGAGCCATTTAAATACAATTTCACTGCGGGGCGAATTCATTGAAAACAGTTCAGTTATCCTTAAAACTGAAACAGCCAGTAAACTCTTTTAACATAAACACAAAACCTTTTATTGATTAAATGGATGAGAGAAAAGGGAGTAGACGTTGGGAATTTATCATACAGTCAGTAGCGGTGATTTTAGTGGTAAAATACGAAAGCTGATCCTACGAACTCCCAAGCAGAATTGCCATATTCAAAAAGTGATTAAAACGCAGGTAAAAACAAGAATGAGACTATGAGGTCGAAAATTTAACAGCCTTGGATGTGACCATTAACTGTTTTGTTATCGTGTTTTACTTTTTAGCATTTTACTTGGTTATTTACTGAAGATAATTGTGGCATAATATAGATGCCGTTTAAACCTCTATTTAAAAAGAGATAAACCTCCCCTCATTCTAGTGCATTCCCTTAGCTTCACACACGTCTTGGTGCATGAAGGCACGGCCTTCTCATCACTCGTACTTTCTGGTGATACAATCTCTTGCTTAGGAGGGACACAATAAGCAATAGTTTGTTTTTTTGTGGAAAATTAACTTCGTCTTTCTCGTGACATGACGTAATCTCCGTACATCTCTTGGTGCTGAAAATCGTGGAAATATTGCTTTTCTGTGATCATCAAATTGTGTCTGATTATTCGATCAAACCATCGAAATTTGATTTTGATATGATAGATTCAAACACCAGATCAAAGTCAGAGAAAGTTTCAAGTGATAGTTCTCTTTACGTAATTTCACAAATTAAACTTTCGCCAGTAGCACGCGATGCTTTGTTTTCGGAAACAATAATCTCTAGAGCACGAGGTTGACTTCTTGAAAAGATTATCTGGAGTCATGCAGATACTTTGTGACTGAAAGGCTGATTCAGAAGATTGTGTTGTTCACTCTTTCATTCAAACAGCAACATACTTTTAGGAATCAAAATTTAATAAAGAAAATTTTAAAGCAAAACTCATGAAAAATTCAAGGCAACACCAAGTTCCACCCGAATAATCAAACATCTTTGTAAGAAAACTTTCTTATCGTGCAGATTTCGAAAGAGAGCAGGTCTTGAAACAGCATGATTTTCGTTAAGTTTATTTCTGAGATTTGAAACATATCTGCGCCAAATTTTTTTCAACATCTATTTAGAGACGTATTTCGAAGCATCAATGGGTCGGAGAGAAAAGAAAAACAATTTGACTTTCACTATAAGACAAGACACTTTCGCTAAAAAGGTATATCAAGCTCAGCCCGGCCTAATTCCCAACAGCGTTTACATTACACAAAATGGTAGGACCAGAGTAACGGAAAAAATGGTCTTACTAAACCGTGGATACTGACTGAAGTTAGACATCAGGAGAATTTCCCGTTTCACACATGCCCTACAAAATACTGAATCTACTTTTTGTCACGTTTACACTACACTTTGGAAACTTTTAACTTAGTTGAACCCGGGTTTAGCCTACCTCTTGAGGTGTGTTGGCTTAAACCGGGCTCAAAACGAGTAATTTGCACTTATACATAAAAATTATAACTGTGTAATTCAGCCTGGATGTGGGCTGAACCCGGGTTGAATTGCGTAAACAGGGGAAAGCTGTTAATGCAAGGAAAGCCTGATTATCATTCAAAAACAATTATCTTACTAAAATTTGCCGGGTCAATGCTGGACTGTTGAACATATGAATTATGATAATTGTGAAGCCAGAACTCTAGACAACCTTGCATTTCAATTTAATTCACTAAAGCGCGTTGCTAATTTAATTATACAAACTCTCGTAGCTAAAGCGAGATTTCTCTGGTTTACGTAAAGTCTTCCAATCATCAGATTTAATTGTCGAGCATTGAAAGTTAGTATCCACCCAGACAGTTCCAAAGAATATTGGGCACAAAAGACAACCAACAAGCCTTAGGCCAATGACGATATCAACGACGTGCACAAAATACACATAGCTTCATTGTACAAACAAATCTAACGATGTGCTTACAATACACAATAATATTAAACCTTGTAAAATAACAAGAAAACAACAAAAACCTCGAAAAAGAGATAAATGTCAAAACGTCAGTCTACAAAGAAACAAATTAATATAGATAAAGGCTGAGTTAACTAAATAAAAACTAAGCATTTGATAAAAACAAAGGGTACATGCAAAGCTTAAATAAACAGCTTAATGTCTACAGATAGGATTCTGCTGGAATCGACAATAAATTATGGGCTAAAAAAGTGAAAGTGAATTAAAAGTGAAAAACCTTTCTAAACACAAGGAAACCTTGACATGGTGATTGCAAAATTCAAAAAGAAATCCTATGACTGGTTCTAATGAGACGGGAAAATGCGGGAGAAAAGTCAAAAGATGTGTGTCGATTGAAAACGGTTTCAGATGATTTGGAGCAGAAATTTTGGCTAGTAAAACAATTTAGATGAAAGTTGTGATCGAAAGCTGTACTATAACTATCAGGGGTAGTTAGACCTTCACGCTTGGTAGAAGAAGAAAAAGACAGATGAGGGGTAAAAAAGATATTCCTCGCCGATTGTCAACTTACAGCAAAAAAACAGACGTTAAATCTATGTCATACTTCAATAGATCCTTTTTTATGTTGGGATCATGTGTGGTTTAAAGCAGCAGTTATAAGCAGCTTGTAATTCAATTTACAGTTGATTCGTATAAAGTTTAATGCTATAATTTTTGGCTGCAATGTCATAATGGCGTCATATCCTTTCAATGAAACAATAGAAAATTAATGAAATAGCCCGAAATGCAGCAATTAGTAAAAGGATCTCAAATATATTTTTGTAAGGATTGATAAAATCTTGAAACTCAATTTTCGTCTTTACAAACAAACCGTAGATATAAGTAAAGCGCAAGGTATAAAAACCGTTTGTCTTAAGTAGAGTAAGTACAGTTACAGAGTCTATATAGAACAAAAAGCATCGCTTTGAGCAAATGTTGTTTATGTGATTTTTCAAGTGATCAGTCTTGCTTTTTCGCTATCTTTTTTAAAAAAAACATAGGTTTCACGTGGTCAGTTACTCCACGAGGAATAATCAAATGCGTATTCGTATGCCGGCGTACATAAACTCGTTGCCTTTAACAAATCGTCCCTTTAAGTTTATTGCCAAGTTAATTTTTAAACGAAGTTCAAAGATGTAAGTTGTATGTTTAGACTTTCCGAAAGCTTCATTTTCTAACTTTAAGGTACGGATGCCTTGCTTTAAGGTCAGGAAGCACATCGGTTGGACTACGAAAAGTGCTTAAAACAGAATAGAATTCGAACTGTTCTTATAAAAAATATGTTGTTATCACCAGCATAATATAATGGTGAGTTTAAAGTTCTTAAACAGTTCTTTCCGAATAATCCTTTGTGTGAAACATTCATGTTTATTTGACAACACTTGAACCAATGCAGAGAGAGGTTTAATCTTGTAAATCTGACCACTCTATTTCAAACAATTCGAACGTATCATCTTAGCATTGCACGTGTACCAAAGTGTTATTTACCAGAACTGTTATCAGTTAATCAGACCCATGTGCGTCAATGCCATACGTGTGCCAGTTTGGAACTTAGGTGAAAACCTTAAATGTGTCCAGTTTTCTTGGAATTTTGGTAGCAAAAAACAACGTTTCCACACTTCAGGCTTCGCTTGAGATCTCATCATGTGTCTGCATATGAAACTTCAAATTGCTCATCTTATTAAAGGCTTTGTCACAAAAGTGACAAGAATATGGCCGTTCGCCGGTGTGAATGAGGGAGTGGTTCCTCAGATTTCCCTTTTGATGAAAGCCTTTCCCACATATATGGCAAACAAACTCTTTAACGTTGCTATGGGTCTTGATGTGAGTTTTCAGGGTTGAAGACCGGTTGAATGCCTTTGAGCAAACGTGACAACGATGGGGCTTCTCTTTGGTATGAATGATCTTGTGACGACATAAAGTGCTAGATAATCGAAAACCTTTGCCGCAGACGCTACAGACAAATGGCCTACTCTTGGTATGAATCGGCATCTTAAGGTGGATAGTCAAAGTGTATCTTGTCTTAAACACCTTGCCACATTGATCGCATTGGTACCTAGCTTTTTTCGAACTGCTATTGTGGTTGCTACTGTCTCCAATTTCATCCTCATCGATGTTGTTGTTGTTGTTGTTTAAATCCGAAAGATCACTAACATCCGACGTTGAATTGGTGTCTTCGGAATCAAAAACACTATCATCTTTGAAATCCCCGTCACTATTAAATACACTGGCGTAACCATTGCCGACACGGTTTTCATAATTGGAACCTACATCACTTTGATTATTCTGCGAAGTATTCCCGTCATTTACTATGTTGGAACTCTTTGTTATTGATCTCAAAGACTCTCGAGATATGCTATAATCTGCCTTCCTCGACTTATGCTCCTTTTCGTTGATGGCAAGTTGTTTCGCAGCGACTAGAAGAAAGTGCAATTTGTTACCATTTGCTCCATTTCCATCATTCCCAATAGCGATTTTTTGTTGAAAGATTGAGCTGCCAGTGTGTATTTCGCTTTTAGGGTATCTCCAAATGTCATATCCATTCTCTTGATTGGACGGCAATGCAGTATTGCTCAGGTTTGATTCAACCCCTGCAAAGTAGGAAGTTGGGGATATCAGTTCACAATATGTGATAACGAACGATGAAAAGCTCGCTCACATTAACCTTTTTAACTAGACAAAATCTTTGCTAAATCAACAATTAAGAATATCATTACAATAACACAAATATCTACATAGGAAAATCTTGCCAGGGCTACAAATAAGGGCTATAAAAACAGCGTTTTAAGTTGAGATGGTACACTGGCAAAAGGCATGATACCTTGTTATGTATGAAGAATGAGTATATAAGTAAGACCCTGTAAGTAAGTAAGTAAGTAAGTAAGTAAGTAAGTAAGTAAGTAAGTAAGTAAGTAAGTAAGTAAGTAAGTAAGTAAGTAAGTAAGTAAGTAAGTAAGTAAGTAAGTAAGTAAGTAAGTAAATAAGTAAGTAAGTAAGTAAGTAAGTAAGTAGGTAAGTAAGTAAGTAAGTAAGTAAGTAAGTAAGTAAGTAAATAAGTAAGTAAGTAAGTAAGTAAGTAAGTAAGTAAGTAAGTAAGTAAGTAAGTAACTAACTAACGAAGTGACACGGTTTCCGTAACAGAATGCTACGCGAAGAATTCCCATTTTCCTCTAATTAGTGTCCTGCTTTCTATTACTCGCGGCTACGAATTGTTGACTCAACGTCATCAGCAAGTCAATTTTGCAAATTTTTATTTTGGCCGTGCCAAAAGGGAAGTTGGCACAGATTCACCAGGAAGGGTTGATGAATTGGGTGGACCCTTTTGCTGCAGCCGAACGACACGTTGTTTGGTTCTGATACTGGGGATCGTGAATCATTGTGAGTGATCGACAATCATCATGAGTCATAATAAATCTGCGAAGGTCAATTTAGCTCAAATGATCACGAATCTCTGTAAATCATTGTTAATCGGCATGCCGTAAAAACTCTATAAAACCCCCTCTCTATTTAGCCCTATTACAATGCCAAAATTTGATATAAGCCCCTCTCTCTATTAAGACCTCCTCTCTAGGAGTAAAAAAAAGCCCCCGAGGGGCTTAATAGCGCTTTTACTGTAAATCAAAACGAACAAATTCTCGCCGAGTATGGCTGCCCATTTGTAGCGATATTCAATAAAATGTGTTATTCATGCAATGCCCGATTCAATACCTGTTTTAAATGTAGAATTCTTCATTTGAAGGAAGATTTAATGTAAAATTTATGATAATAACAAAAATCTGTTTTCAATTTAATAAAATGTATTCAATTGAAAAATTTTATTCAATGCAGAAAATATGTTCAATGCAAAAAAACGTAGCTATTCAATGCAAAAAAGCTGTTCAGGGTAGAAATTACGTTCAATATGAAGAGACTGAGGAGAGCGCATCTTTTCCATGTGCTTCGTTTTTTATTAGACAACCCCAGGGGCGTCGTGGTGAATGAATTCTGAATGAAAGGGGGCCAGAAAAAAAGTTTCCGACAGAATTTATTTGATTTAGATAAATCAAATAGAAGTATTTCATGTAAGTGTGTAGCGAGGAGTAGGTCAGAAAAACGCATAACTTTTGCCTTAGCTGGAAAGATAATTAACATATACTTTTTATCTGTTCTCTGTTTATATAAAAAGAAACTGTATCGCTGAATTGAGCAATTCAATTGTACCCAGGGTTCCACTCAGGGAACATTCATCATCCAATGAGCCATCTTCAGCGTAATTAAAAGTTCCATCTTTGCCTTTCTTTTCAAGATTGGAGATTCTTGTAATATCTCCTTCCACTCTTTCAAGAATATTAAAAAAGAAACTTTTCAAATGCATTCTTCCTGATCGCCCTCAATTTCGTCGATCTTTGATATTGTGTAGGCCCTAAATTTTATGACGAACGCGTTCGCCCCAGTAATGTTGAACATTTTGATTTGTATTGAAATATTATCTTGCACTGAACATGTTATTCTGCATTGAATAAATTGTTTGCATTGAAAATATTTTCTGTACTGAATAAATATTTTGAATTGAATACATTTTATTGAACTGAATAGAGATTTTTGGATGCATTTTGTTGTATTGATTACATGTTTTACATTAAACCTTCCTTTGACTTCCTTTGAAAAGCCCAATCCTTCTTGCTACCGCTCTTTACTGATCTCTTATTTCGTACCAGACATCTGCTTCGTACATAGCCATTGGGCCTCTATGTTTTCCTTTTACGCAATGTTGCAGCTTCGAGATTAGGCTTTAACCATCTTTAGGAGTATAACTAACCCCCCACTTCACGGGTATCACCTACCAGTCTCAAGTGCATTGCGTTGCAGCATTCGATACCACAACTAATACGAACCGATAGAAAGTTTCTACGTTCTTTGACTGCTATCAAATGACCTAGCTAAAAACTACCAACTAGTCACTTTCACAAGTGCTCAATATTGCAGCTGCACTTGGCTCAAAATTTGATGAGCTTCGACAGTTAAAGGCCCTGAAAAACAAATTCCTGGAAGATCGGTTTTACTTTCATCTCTATATTTGCATAAAATTAGATTTGGTTTTTTCTCTTCATATAAATACTTATTGAAGGGATACTATTATGAAAAATCCAGCTATGCGTTGAAAACTCGTTTGTCAACGTGTACAGCTACTAGTCCATCGCTCGCTCCTGTTGCTTGCTAAATTTAATCTTTTTTCTTCAGTCAAACAGGCCTTGGAAGAAAGAGTGATCAGAGATTGACAACAGCAATGGTGAGAAGGAGCACATGAACCAAAAGGGCTGAAGATCAGAGATGTGCAAGTCAAACAGAAGTGACTTAAACGAACTCGAGCAACTGACCCCTTAACAAGAAGGAGAAAGGCTAGAAATAGATGGATCGAACATGCACTTGTGAAGAAGACAGATGCAATGAGCTTGTTCTTGTATAAAATAATAAGTCATTGTGGAGAATTAGTATGATTATGGTGGTGAGAGGAAACCCGGGAAGAGAGATCAACACCAATTAACAACAAATTTTGAGCTTTTTCGTTATGGCATTGCAAGTAGATCTACTAGCCTCAACAATTGCTCTTCGATCAAATTTTCCCATATTGAGCAAGATTATCCCAATACAATTTGGACTAACACGGTTCCTTACTAGAGAAACCAGAGTCTAATCTGGGGATGCATGAAAGGAATTAAGAAGGAAAATTAACTTGTTTTAAATTATTAAAGTGGTCGGCCATCTCCATTAAGTGCTCGATCCTTTTGAACGACCGCAAAAAGCATAACAGCCTACAAGTGTGCTGAACTTCCCTCTTATTAATAAAAAACCTTAACAGGAAATTGGTGCAATATTCTGAAAAATTATAAAAAACAGTCAGGTTCCAGGGCTCGGAGATAAACTGGAACATAAAAAACTGTTCATAATCATTGCTTCATATTTAAATTGTGGTGTTCGAGAATTCGCAAAAATTCTTCTAAAGCAGCTATACTTTTATTTTAGAAAAAGATTCAGTGAAAAACAGCATTACTCACAGGAACCTTGCACTGCAGATTTTGCTGAGCTCTATTATGAAAATATGCTAAAAATCTTTACTACAAAAAACTGGCTAAACACGAGAAACTTACTATATGTTTTTAGTGCAAAGTTTCTTTTAAAAATGAGGTATTTACTTGCTGAGTGCTTCATTTATAAAAAGGCTAGTTATTAAAATTGGAAATGAGAAACTGAAAGTTTGAAAACCAGAGAAGAGAGAAAAGCTTGAATGGCGCTGAAAAAAAATCGTATACATCCTCAATTTTTTGTTTTCGCAAGACAGCATATTTCTAAATTAGTGAATTTGAATTCAAATTTTTGTGGGTAAGCAGCAAATTAAAGGAACATTAGACAAACATGGGACATAAAAAGTGATACATTAAAACATACGATTGCATCGAGCAATGCAGTCATGTTGTAAAATCGCTGTGGATTTGATTGTAAAATGACATGTGTACATATGAATAGGAGGATTGGTACCAAGTATTGCAAGTTAAACAGTATCGCGCCTCCGAATGTAACATGAAACAAATGCTTAAAATAATGAAGAGATTTGCTTCAAGACAAACTGAAACAAAAGCTTTCTGGATTTAACATAGTTTTGGCCTAGAGATTTGCTCTGTTGACAAAAGCCGGTTTTGGCCGAGAGATTTTGGTCACGTAGATAAAAAAAACACAAAACACTTGCACTTTTCTAAGCTACAGTCGACTCAAAACAACCTTCAAATCGAATATTTCTTTGATTGTTGATGTCATCCAAACTGTTTGAATGCTATTTCGAATGCCAATGCAGTCAAATTTAGGAGTGCGGCATTTTTCAGGTGTTTGCCTAAGAAGACAGCGTGAGAGAGGCAAAAACTGTGACTTGTAATACTTAAGCAACTCTTCACAAAACACGATGCCGTAGCTACTCGTGCAAGCCACAAAAGCAAAGTACACTTAATACAGAGACTGTAGAGCCACTATACGCTGCACTCGACTGTTTAAAGTTTGAATACGGAAAAGTAAATTTCTTTGAAGTGCTATCTGTTGTTTTTCCTATAAAAACTCTATCCGTGAAGAGACTAGGAAAACGACAGCGCAATGTCACTATCCCTGGCCATGAAGCGAGGAAAACTAAAAGTTGTTTATAAAACCTTTATTTGCAATTGCAATAAAATAGAAGCGTCAGTATTTTACCGTAAAAAGACATGATGAAACGAAATGCGGTCTTTTGCTATGCATAATCATTTGATTTGAAAAAGACAGGGCGACCAGGTGACCTTTTCAAGGAAAAATTTGAACAGCATAGTCTTTTGTTATTTAAAGCAATTTTGCAAAAACGACTGTTGAAATTAGGGAAAATAATTGTGGACTTCTGGAGTTTTGTGTTAATGGTGAAAAGGCAAATGTTTTTAATCAAGTTAACAGTGAGAACAAACGAAGACTTAAATGAAAGGAAATCTATATTGTAAATAAAAGATTGGTATTTGCAAGGAACTACACGTGCATAGTTGGGTGTATTCGAAATGGAGGAAGAGCATGCCAAAATGAAAGGTGCCCTAGCACTGCCATTCAATCCATAGACAAAGATTATGAAGTAGAAATGCGGTTACGCGAGGAAATATCAGAAATCATTGACCAAAAAAGGGCGTTAGCACTCAGACATGGAATTACCTAAGCAAACTACGGTCAAAAATTAGATCATTCAAAATGCCACGGTCAAATACTGATATTTCGGGGATAAAAATACCAGATTTAGCCTTTTCTGAAAACCAAGAAAATGCTCAGGAATGTCATTTCCTATCTTGGCCGAAGCATTAACTTTTTAGCTACGCAAGAAATAGACCCTACAAAATAAAAGCTTAAATTTTGAAGGTTGTTTCTGATCCTGAAGCAACGAGTTGTACTACAAACTAACCCTTAAAACATTGATTAGCTTCTAGACCTGTCATAGAAATCTTGAATTCAAAAATGCGATTTCAGAACGTAAACAGAGATCAGAATAGACGCAATAAAACATCCTTGTAGGAAACAACCCGTAAGGGACAGTAATGAAACGAAGAGTGATCGATCGCAATGTGACGTGGTATACATGAAAAATTAAGAAGGGACGCTGGTGGTTTACCGCCAATACTTCAGCAATTGTTTGCATTAAGCAAAGTATAGAGACAGGATGAGTGTTTGTTTCAGGTCTGAGACTGGGCGCTATCACAGACGTATACATCCGTAATGAAGTGACAGTGACAATATCAGATTGGGGGGAATGAATAGATTTTATGTAGACCATTTGAAATGCAAAAACGGCGGAAAAGGCAAATACATAAACATAGACAAATACTTTATATATTCAAGATACAAAAAGAAAAGTACATGAAGTGAAAGGTTTTAATTTCGCTTGATAGATATAGATAAAATATAGATAAAAAGCAGTTAGGAGACTGTTAGGAGTACAATAATAACGAAACCTTACGGTCACCAAAACAACCAGATTGCACGGCAAGCTTGTCCGGGTAAACTTATAGAGAATTGCATATAAAGGTTGCTAAGACGAAGCATCAGTGTGATAGAAAGCAAAAGCTCACAACCAGAAAAGAACAATGATTCTAACTGGCCCACCAAAACAAAGTGCACATTATTCACCAAACTAGAAAATGACAGCTGCTATGGCATAAACTCCAAAGCAAAACGAGGTGCTTTAACAGACAAAACGTTCCTGGCTGTTTTTGGAAAATTTTGCTTCAATAGGATTTTAATTCAATTTATCAAGACTATTTAAGTTAGACAGAAAAGACGAGGAACTATATCAGAATGACTATACTTTCTATATTAGTAGCTTTTTAGTAATTTTTGTAGAGAGCAAACATCGAATTCAACGTTTCAAAAACGATTAGTATATTAAATTTACGCTAAATATTAAATCAGACCTTGAAAAAGCCATGCAGTTGGCAGATGTCTCTGTTCACTTTAAAGGGAAAACTTTTCCGGAATGTGAGGAGGTCCGATTGTGAATACTTGTGTTTTTGAAATATCCAACTGGTTCTTTTTCTTATCGAAAGCGGACGGCTAAAAGGGAAGTGGTGACGGAGAATCCTATGGATGATTATCGCGAGAAATATGATCTTGGAAGTTGGTGAAAAAATTCTCACACCGATAGGGGTTCAAATAAGCGAAATGAAAGCGCGCGCTTTTTAACAGTACAGTCTACCATTGGTACAAATAAGAAGTGAACAATGAATGAAACTGGAAATGCAGCGAGCAGTTATCTGGATGAATGTTACAAAACGGCCAGTAGTAACCGAATTGCGTTTCCGACAGGGCAGCATATGATAAGATGCACAAAAAGTTGACGATTGTCTATCAAAATTTGGTCACTGAACCATCTCACTGTTCATATCACACAGATTTGAACTAAATGACGACAGTTATTTTGTTTGTCAACCTTTGTTCATCAGTTCAAAATGCAGTGAGTTCATGCAGGGCTTCTTCTGATGCAACCAGACTGGACAGAAAGTGCTAGATGACATTTAAAGCTTTATTCCTCACCACATTTTGTGTTCTGCTTCCCTTATGTACGGCATAGAAGCACTAAAAATCTTTTAATAAATGAAACAAAAAACAAAAATGAAAAGCAATGCTCGAAAGAGTCGATCAACTTGAACTCTGTTCAGTCCTCAAGTTCTCAAGGGTTTACATTAATGGCAAAGGCGAGAGAATATTTAATTTTGAAAAAAATTTTTACTTTGTTTTGGAAAAACATAGCATCTAGCAAGAGAATGCATGATGGCGGCTAAAATGGCTGAAAAAAGCTGAGAATCTAGTAAAACAATACGGGCATTTCTTCTCCTGAAATGCTTGCTGCTCATGATTTGCGCATTGATGCATTGAAAGTAACTCAGTTGTGAAATTCATCCTGAAAACTTAAGATATTGCTATAAAATATACTTCTACGTATGAGATTAGGCTATAAAATATTTGCTCAATAGATTTGAAGCCAATACACCCTCTACCGTTTTATAACACCTAAAGAGAGACAGCGTGAGATAATTTGGGTTTTGTTCCAACCTGCCAATGCAAACATGAATAGTAGTATACCAAAAGTGAGCATATCAACATCCCTGAGCTAGAGAAGTACTCGAAAATGCACCACCCACCTTTTAATGAATTTGAACTGGAAGCGTCGTCGTCAATTTCTTCGTTCCGCCTTCCTTCGTCAATTGATCTTCTTAGTAGAAACGATTTCGGCATCCCTGGCTCAAAACGCAAATTCTTTAACTAAAAGAGTACTTGTATGGCCCGATTGCTCTTAACTGAACTTAAGGCGGATTTAAATTAACATGTTATTAACATAAACTTAAAAATACTTCGAAAAATGAAGCAAAGTATAACTTGTTTAACAAGCGAGGAAAAGCGCAAGCGGCTGTCTTTTGCATAAACAAATGAACTACGAGCATCCGTCATGTTTGCGTCGAGCTGCCCTTTTGCATTTCATTGAATTATTCATTAGGCTTCAGGTTGCTCAATTCATCCAATGGAATGAATTATAAAGATGAGCAAAAGCATTAAATATTAATAAACATTTAAGGCGATATTAAGTGTGAATTTAACCTGTCTATCAACGAATTATTCAAACAAAATGGCGGGCTGCAATGCACGTTTGATTCAAAATTTATCTATGGCCGACACCGGTAGCTTGACCACACATCAATTTAAATGACAAGCAAAGCCAAGGATATCTTTCATCTTATGTATCACCAATGCTGGCCACAAGAAATACTTTCCTGTGCTCGTTATGTTTTAATACCTAATTGGCAGAGCAACGAACTAAAATTGGTGAAAGATTACCCATAAAAAGTTGATTGATGCTTCGTAATAATTGGATTTAGGGGTTGGTTTATCACAAACGCTAGCAAAAAAGTGAATAGAGTATCTTGCGAAAAATCATTTGATGAATCTTTCAAATCATTTTAAATTCTGAAGGTGCCATCTGAAATAACAAAAATCATTCGGCATACTTATGGTGTCGTATGAAATCACACCACAATAATTTTATGGTGCTAGACTTACTCAGCATATTTTATACGACAAGAAGAGATAAACATTACAAAAAATTGCATTTCTTTCCAATAAGTACGTTATTTGAAAGAGGTTTTGCGTGGGCCTATAAGATACAAAGAATCTGAGCATAAAACTATCAGAATTCTAAAAATTAAAAAAAAATTATGTTGAGATACAACTTTAGCTAACACTGATAAGGAGAGTTTTAACAGAGTAGCTACGACGAATTCACCAAATCTTGCAATGCATTACTGCATATGTACAGTGCTATAACGTCAGTAAAGTGATTTGACCGCAAACAAAAGATAAGGTCCATCATTAGGAAGTAGATTCTAAAAAAACCGATTTCATAGATGCTCATGAAAGACTGATCTTCAAATTATTTGAGCATATCTTAATACAAAGTTGTCCCTTTAGCAAGAATGGCTGTAAAATTTTAATGCCCTTGCATATAGTGTTGCAAAAAGCTGACAATATGGTTGAAGCAGCATTTAACGAAGGCTCTAAATCTGGGGCAAAAACCAACTTGAATTCCTTTGAAAACATCTGATCTTGTAACTCCCCGGGAAACGTCAACAAAAAGAGGCAGTTGACCAGGCTGCAAAATTTTTGCACTGCTTTTGTCTGATTGGAAAAAATACGTGAATTTGGATAAACCACTAAATTATTTAGAATCTTTGAGGCGAGTTCTAGGTGCCTACTTCAAGTCAAACTCAAAAACTCTTCAGCTCTCTAAATATTCATGAATGGTGGCTGCTAACGAAAACTGTTGAACAATCTCAAAGTTCAGCCTTAGGCAAAACATAAATTCTGAAAGGAAACTTTTTGAATATCCAATAGACCTAAAGAGAGAGCATAATGATTTCTTGATATTGGCCATGAGAAATGAAGTGTCGTTAACCCTTTTATAGTCAAATTGGAAGATTGTATCAAAACATCATACAGTGAATGGAATGAAAATTGTAGGATGTAATCCACAAATGTAAAAAACTGATGAATCTGTACCGGCCAGGTCAGTACAAACAGTGTGCATTATTAAGGTGGAATGGTATCAAGGTGCATCTATGCCAGGATAAACAAAGTTTGAAGCACAGGCTAAAGGCTATCAGAAAATGGCAAGATGGCGGAGTTAAGAAAAAAATACAAGCCATTTTTAATAATTTAAAAGTAGCCAAAAATCAGAAAACGGCGTTTCTGTGTAATGAAAGAGCTCAGAAATAAACAAAAATGAAATGAAGAACGTAGATTGAGACAAGACGCCGGTGCTGAGCCACTAAACGGAAGAACATCCAAAAATGATTGCAGCCACGGTCTGCCATGTCTGGCTATTGTCAAAAGAAGTCTCTGTAAAAAGACGCCCTTACACAACTTCCTGTAGCGGTGTTCAATGCTTTACTTCTCTAAATACCAAGATTTTTAATTAAACGAGCCTGTTTTGCTCGTTGACGTATGCTTTCAACAGCGCTTACGATCCGACGCTGTGAAGCATCAAAACATTAATGATATCTCAGTAGAGCTGTGTAAAAAGAGCAATAAAGCTTGCAATCAAAAAGCTCACAACTATTGCTACATGGCTTGTTAAGTAGACAGTAACTGTGACTTCTTCGTCATTGGGCCACAAACAACCATTGCAAGTGTGCAAATTTGGAAAACGTTTAAACTGAATTTGAAGGAAAATAGCCATGGCTAGCAAAACAAACTTCAATGTCCTTAATATTTAATGGTAATTAATCAAGATAAGCTCGGGCACTGTTTATAAAGAAATTTAATGATCACTGACTCGTCCGAGAAAGGAAGAAGCTGCTTCGAGCTCTTTCATCTGCGGTTGAAGCTCAGAAATATTTTATAAATATGTTATTGAGCATATAGACTTGCTAGCTTCTATAGACGACGGGTAGGTGATCAAAGAAAGCTATAGAGTACATAATTGTAATTATAAATTGATGAATTGGTTTGCTTTCAGCATGCTCAGGATACCTGCTTTTCTGTGCACAAAACTGCGCATCAAAAATTAAAGAATGCATGCCTTGCTAGGTTAGTGGTATAAAAATCAATCTAACCAGCATGCAATGCAAGTATTTGATCGCGTCATTACAACGACAACAAACATTGCACGCATATTATCTCTATATAAACTGTCTGTTCCCTGTGTTTATCAAGTCAGTGCTGCTATTGTCCAAACAGAGTGGCCACAATAGCTGGATGACAGCAATAAATAAACATATTGAGGCACAACTTTATATTTTCTTGTAAGAGGCAAAGGTTATGGGGAAAAAAGCAGTGTCGCTACATTTAGCGTAACAGCCTTGAATCTAATAATAAGAGAAGAAATATACAAAAAAACGTAAAGCAAAGCAAAACTTTGTTCTGAGTGGTTCATTTTACGGTGTGAATTGGTCTTCTGTATGTCCTTGGTTATTCTCTAAACTTTTGCTTTAAAGAGAGAATGAAAAATTGTCGTCCTATAAACTACAAAATGATAATTCAAAAATGAAACAATAAAGGTATTGGACTTACCCTCATGGCATCGTGAAACAAGCCTTGGGCGTATCCAGCATTAATTGTTCAATCTTTGATTATCGCCTCATCCCAGGGTCCATGAATGTTGCTTCAAGAAGAAAAAATTACCCTCAAACAAGAAAGCATTAGCATAAATGCAACAACTTGAGTTTTTTTCATGATTGCAATGATTTCAGATTTTCATTAACTCAAAAGAGCCTAATACAGTTTTAAGAAAATAGTATAGGTTACCAGCTACATTAAGAAATAATGTAAAATGAACCATAAACATAACATAAACAGGAAACATAACATAAACAGGAAACTAAAAACACACTAAAGATATTTAAAGTGATGACAACACTATAGTTCATGGAAAGTGCAATTGAACTCTTTTTACTCAATGTCTATAGCCCATACACATCACAGCTCCTGCTTCAGCAGTCAATGGCATGAGGATATATTTTAAAAACATTTCAACTGCACAACCGGCTATTTTTAAACATTTAACAGACCAAAATAAAACTAGTTCATTAGATATTTTTGTCTGTTTGAAAAAAACTGCGTTCATGCAATGAGCGTTTTGAAAAATAACTCAGCAATGAGCCACACAGAAACGCCAAACCAAATTAAAACGCTGAAAATTCGACTATGAGCATGCGCAAACTACTTGGCGCTAATTTGCTTTGTTGACGTCTTCTGCACAGCGATAATAATCTACAGCATGTCTAAAATCACGGAAAATGGCAAAGCAAAGAAAACTTCAGAAAATAAGACTAGTGATGCGTTTGCTTGGACAGACGACGTGGTTAAGCTATTAACGAAAGTCGCTTATGATTAAGTTCAATGTTAATGATTTTATATTTTAAAGATTGAACAATGCCATTTTTAGCTGCAAGCAAGCAAGCTATCAGATTTGACAGCAGAGATACCATCAGAGCAAGCAAGCCATCAGATGTCAGAGCAAGCAAGCTATCAGAAGTCAGCGTTTTCAAGAAGCTGCGTCTTCCGTCCACACGTAATCAGGAAAACGGCGTTTTAAAAAATGTCCACTCTGGACGGCCTTTTTAAAAATAGGGACGGAAGGCGAAAACGGATAAAAATAATTGTGGTGACAAAAATATCAGTCACCATGTGGACGGGGCCAAATTGTTCAATCTTACTAATAATAATTGAGTTATGAGGTCTTATAATACTCTATTTGAAAATGGCTTTGAGAAAAGCAAACATTTTACAACATATTGGCTAAAAGCTTTTTCGTCTGACACTCCTCAGAGCATAAAATGTCAGAAAGAACGGGTCAGTTTCCGAAAGAACACGATGAAAAATATATAGATAGTACTCTATACAACAATCAATGTTTCCTCAAAAATTTGTTAAGCTTAAAATTTTATAAAACGATTTTCAATAAATAAGATTTTCAATGACGGCGTATTGAGTTTGCTCTTCAATTTTAAAATGAATCCACTGTTCATCATTAGCTTATGCTGTACCTCTTTCCAGAGTGACGCTAAAGGCACAGGGGCAGCAAACCTCCGATAGACTATCTACAAATGCTTCAAACATTTACAGGTCACTTCCTTCAAAGACTCAAAAACAGCCTTTATGAATTGGTGTAAAAAATCGATAGTTATATTCACAGAAAGTAACGCCGATAAAAATATATTCAACACTTTAGTATCATAACTCATTTAATATAACGTCAACCATAAAAAAGATCAAGAAACAACTGGATTTCATACAATCAAAACTAAAACCAAAACTTAATTTTGTAACGATTTTTGAGAGGAATAGGATATGATCTTCATTCAAACGATTCAAGCATTAAGATAAATTGAAATTCGTAGAAAGATAGCTTAAAATCCTAGCAGAAACTTCGAGTGTTAACCATTCATATTGCCAAAGAGAGAAGAGAAACACAAGAAAGGAAGTGAGGTTTCCGAGTGAGAAAGGATAAAAAAATAATATTTTCTTCATATCTGGATACTATTTTCCGTTCAAATTATTAACCGTTTCATATTCAGAACAATGACAGTCAAAAGTTGCATTTGAATAATGCATAATGTTACCACATTCTAGTCTCATTGAAAAACAATTTTATATGCTTACTTTTTGTATCTTTGAAGCCTCATCATCCACCACGGGAACAGCAGCACAATAGCAAATTGGGACACTGCTAAGGCAACAGCGAAGCCATAAGAAACAACTGCTACCATCGCACAAGCAACAATTCCCATCGTCACAGTCAAAAGGACAAAGGCTGTCTTTTCATGATTCTGTAACAAAATATTCATTGAGGTTTTAGAATGCTAGTCACAAATTTTGAAGACCTCTAGAACGACAAGGAGCAAAGTGACACATGATAAGATGACACATTCTAGAAACCTGAGGGTGAACAAATAATACGTTTTGCTTTCTTCCTCATTATCATCTAATTTCAATTTAGAGAAAAGGACCAAATATGTTTAAGCATCCAACAGATATGGTTCTTAAAGAGGCTTGATTGGCAATAAAAACAAAAAAATTTGAATAAATTCTAAATAGCTCGATTTTAATATTAGTGTAAGCAAGTCAATGATTAAATTGAAAGCGAACGATTCACACTTTGCTTATAGAACTGATTAAAAAAGAAACAGTGGTTCTAACTCGATGTTTCAAAATAAATAGGATGTGCAAAATAAACTGAGACAAACCCCCATAAAACCAAACATTACAGCGTTTCCGGGTGTTTAGCCAAACAACTGATGCAAGAATCTCTTTTGAAACAAATGGCCACTTAAATTTGATCGATAACGCGATCTCAGCCAAAAATCACATAAATCAACTGAAAATGTTTTTGAAGAAAGTTAGTCCAAAAACTTTATTTCCAAAGCTTAAAGCAAATGTGGAAATTTATTCCATGAAGCTAAAAACTAACGGCGAGATCAACGGGTTCATGAGGGGTAGTTTGTGATGCAAAGAAAAATAAAATTGTCATAATTACATCGCATGAGCGAAAGAAAGACTCGCTATAAATGGGTTCACACTGGCCGGAGTGCTGATGTTACGGAAAAAGTAACTTTGTACCAAAAGTGCATTGAAAATCCCCATATACAAAGCAGCAAATCTTATGCAAGAATTACCTTAAGTCTGATTCTCAATTGAGGAATCACCGCAAATATCTGCATTGCAAGCATCACAGTAACGAAAGCGTGCCATGAACTTGGCAGTCTTGATGCGAGGCAAACAGCTGCAAATATGCTCGCATTCAATGACGCTGATCTTGATGCGCTGAAATCAAGATATACTGAAGATACAGAACAAGGAAACTAATCATGGCTGCTGATGTAACAATCAAGAAGCTTAAAAACCTGGCAGAAGAAAAACAGGCGTTTCTTAGTTCTGCATAATACAGTTTGAAATCATATTTTGGTGATCTTTTCATTTGAGAAGCTCGACTTGTATACAATAAAAGCTCATATAATAGACATTTCTAGATAACGGACACCTCCAACAAACGAACAGATCCATTAAACAGACAACAGCAAAATAACAGATGAATGATTCGGACCTATTTATATCTATTTATATCTTTCCTGTAGTCAAAAACTTGTACTAGTAGCTGTCAAACTACAGACGCCTGGCTAAAGTAGTCAGTAACTCTGGTATCACATGCGTCCACGATGTCTCACATGCAGAATCTTCATTATTGTTTGAGACTGGTTGCTTCAAATAATTAACAGTCATGCAACAATCCAATCAAAACCAGTAAACAATGATAGCGAACATGGGCCTAGAACTTCTGCGCTTTCTAGTGTCCGTTTAATGGCACTCTTACAAGGTTTGAAATCCGATCAAAACTTGGAACAAAATGTTTTTTTCCAGTAAAATGTCAACACAAAGTTTAACACAGCATCTAAAACTGGCCAGATTTTTCATCAGTTATATTTTAAAGGCAATCTTCCATTGTGTTCACATTTTCACTGGAGTAAATTCATGCTTGAACGATTAGGTTGGCAGTGTAGCCAATCAGAATCTGCAGTGGATGGGTCAAACCATTGTTGGTATCAGCCAACTGCAGAGGGGAAAGACAACTTTTAATAAAATAGCATCTAATTAAAAATCTTATGCATTGCTTATCACACACACTCTTACGTAAAAATATTTCACAAAAATTATTCTGCAAAGAAGAGCACAAATTAACAATTAAGTCAGACTAAATGTCAGAATGATATACTCACGTAGGCGTTTCAGAAACATAATCATGAAGTAAAATATTAGTAGCCAGCATGCCCACCTGAAAATGTAGATGTTTATATATAAAAACTGATTCAGAAGGTCAAAAATGAAAAGGCAAAAGACAGCAAGTAATCAAAACAACATTTGATCTGATAGAGTGATAAAATAGTGAAGGGCTTGCAATCAGAACAAACTATCAAAATTAAATAATAGTGGCTGGTTATAATGTATTCTGAGAGAAACTATATGTTCTTTTTTATGATTAGCAAGTTGGCATTTGGTCCATGATAACAAACTATTCATTATAACCATCTTCAACCCCAAGATTATATTTTTCCCATATCAGGATCTTGAAACTGTCTTGATGCAATATCTCTCAAACATTAATTTCCAATATGCAGCTAACTATAATTTTTATACAACTCAATATTTTGAAAGCAGGTTCAGTTGAAAGTCTAGAAAGGAAGAATATTAAACTTGGATTTGAAACAGAATAAGCACACTTACGGTCATGGCATAAATTGTATCTGTGCTAATTGTTTCAGTCAATGTCTTAAGAATTGGCGATAGACCATACACGAATGATGTAAAAAGAACAATGCTCTTTAGGTCTTGCCCTGAAAGAACAGCAAATTTTCAAAGAAATTTGAACAAAGAAACGGACATAAAAAAACATAAAGAGACGTAAAGAAACAGAGGTTAGAATGTTGAAGTTCTTAGCCATGGGGAACAGGCATGGATAAACATGCTTATAGCCAGGGCAGTAAAGATTGAATGCTGCAAAGCAGTTTAACTCAGGTGTTATGAAAGAATATTATAAGACACAAAACAAAGACATACAGAGAGTATAAAATGCACCAAAGCCCTGAAAATTTTGCAAAAACACTCTATTTGTTACTGTTATGTTTCAGCAAACTGTCAACAGCAGTAACAACAGTTTCCATGAAATAAATGTTATTAAATCAAACTACTATAGTACCAGGAAAAAGTTTGAAGGTGGCCATCCTGTTAACATTTTGAGGCCAAACGAGGCAAGAAAATATAAAGAATAATAATGATTAAGCATTCAAAAATTTTCAAAGAATTCATCATTTCCATCATTTTATGCATTGTTTTTGTAACTCAAAACAGACAAAGAAAACATAATTTTGTTTGACTCTGTCATTTCTGAAACCAGTCAGTCAGTGGCGGCTCCAGCCTGGGATAAGTGGGGGGGGACAAAAGGTGTGTCAGCGACAACGCCCTTTTGGACCACGCCCTTTCCCCCTGTTTGAAACTTTTTCTTCCGGAGGAAACACTTGTTGTCTCCCAAGAAATGTCATTTACATGTGAAATGTCATACCCCTCCCCCCTGAAGTTTTCTCATCAGGTTTGCAAGAATCTCAAGGACCAACTTTATTAAAAAGTGGGGAGACCAGTCGCCCCCATTCCCCCCCGTGTCTCTGCCACTGCAGTCAGTCACTGTAAAGATAGCTCTTCTCTAAAGGGTGAAAATACCTAGACTTGCACCACTCCTCAATGAAAATAGGAAAATTTCGAAATTTTCTTCAAAGATTACCTCCAAATTGATTTGAGCTCTAGTAAATAAGTCAATATAATTTTGACACTTTCCTGGTTTGATCATGAAAAAAATGAAAATCACAAAAAGGACCTTTCGAGGCTACTTACCACTGTGTATCATAACTTCTTGCTTTGTGACTGAATCCAATTTAAGAAAAAGGAAATTGCCAATGAAACTCATTACCAGCAAGCCAATCAGAACAGATGTGGGGGAAACCAAATTCATATCCATGTAAACAAATGATGAAACAAATATGCACACACTAAGAAGCAAAATGTAAAAAATGCATCAAAACAAGTATAGGTTTGGAGAATAAATAGAACAGGATGGCTTTATGTTTCAACTTGGAGGTTCACCCTCAATGTAATCATTAGTTAACAGTTGCAATTTAGAACAATTTTGTGCTTTACAGCAAAGAATTAGGGCTTTGCCTACACAGCAATAGCACTATATGACAGAACAGTAGAACAGCATAATTTTCATCGACAAGTATATACATAAACTAAAAATCTTTTGATCAAAACTGAGATTTGAATAGCTTACAAACAGTTTTGGAAGTTAACAAGCTAAAAACACAAATGAGGGTTTAAATATGTTGTAAAAATGCATGAGCAAAGAAAATAAGATTCCTTGGAAGAGTCTAATACAGCTTAATTGCATCTAGAGAACACATATTTCATTTATCATGAATGAATAATGACAATGATGGTATGAGGAGCAACAACAAACACCAGAATATAATTAGCAGGGGCGGCTGAAAGCAGTTTTAGCCTTATTAGCCTTATTTTCAGCAAAAGCTCTCAATCTACACCTATATCTTTAAAATGAAACTAACACTGCAAAATCCTCGGTAAAAAAAGTTTATTGGGATAGCTAACTGCTTTTCTACCATTTTCCAAAGATACGGCATGATATGGCCATGGTAGAGTAAGCAGAAGCCGCTACTCTTGAAACTGATTTGATCTTTTCATGAAAAAGACCTCCGTCCTATGCTTGTCATGATGCTTATTGTGATGCATTTATCTGATGCTCATGTTACTCTTAAGATCAAATGTACCTCTGCTCCTGGCCATAGCCCCCCTGATTTTTTGCTCTTTTCTTCATGACCATTAGATAGAGAGGGTTAAATTGAAATAGGAAAGGCATCTTCAATTTGCAGCCAAGAAAATCAAGATACTGCATAGAAAAAGGTAGAGCATAGAAAAAACAGTGCAATGTTGAAAACTCAACAAAGAGGGTGTGGTTGGGAAAATACAGCAGCAGCCACGCCATGATACCATGATTTTCTCTAATAGCAGTTCAAAATCTTTCCAAGCCGCCCCTGATAATTAGTGTACAATGTATTACCAACATAAAATTTATTTACCTACTGAGCTGTTGAGAAACAATACCAGATTCATAAACCAAAGTTGGCAGATCATATACCCTCACATTCACTGTAAAAACAAAGATTTTAACAACTTATTAAAAAGAAGATATAATTGTAGAAAAAAGTAGTTTTTAAGTAGACATGCAAAGGTGTGCAAGCACTGTGTTATATGCAACAGCTTGAGTATGTATAGCTAGTTTACAGCTATTTGATAATATTAAAGTCTAGGTGTTCTTGTCTAAAGTCTACGAGAGTAATGTTATTTTCGCTGTGACCAAAGATCCAGGCCTGATCTTCGTACCGTTTTTCTTCATTTCTTCTAAAAAGGATTTGTCGACATAATTGTCCGGGTAATCCTGTTGCTCGTAAAGAATTTTCCTCCATGGCTTTTTTTTATTATTTACGGCATGAGCCGATTCTCTGATAGAACTCTCCTTGTCCATGTTGCTGGTTGGATCACGTTCTCCAACTCCAACTGATCGCCATAACAAATGCAACTCGAAATCGATATTTCGGCCTCATTTGCAATATTGGCTTATTTTTGTTGCTGTTGTTGTAATCCTTTCGCTGACTTTGAAGGTGCACGAAGCTGGCGGATGATGATCGTTGATTCGTCTGATCACTGTTTATTTATACCTTACAAAGCAAAGCAAGTAGATGATATTTCCATGAAAAGACTACATATCGCTTCTTCCTTCTCTTTTCTGTCCAGAGTTTGTGGATTTCCATTTCAACAAATTCGCAGCTTTTGCTACTGAGAGCCGTGCAGCGACTAACCACCATATCATTTCATTTGATGTTGTTTATGTTAAATGCGGTAGCGGAGAACCACATCAGATGCTCTATTTTCTGGGAAACTGCGATCTCAGAAGCGTTTGAAAGTTGCTGTCAAGTTCTAATTTGAAGAAATCGGCCTCGCTTTCCATAGGCATATACGGACGTTCAGTATTTTGTTCTCTTCTTGTCATTAAAATCTGGGTGTGAAAAGTTTGTAACACTTGACTTCTTTACAGATTTGTTAATCTTTTGGGGATTTGAATGGCTTTCAGTGGTTGTTTTGTTTTGTCTATTTGCAAATTGCAATGAATTTCATTTAATGCTGATACAATCCTTCAGCATTGTGACAGATTTTGTAAGTTATGAGAGGGAGGGTTACGATTTATTGAAATCAAGAAATAATGGGTTCTGTTTGGAAAAGAATAAATAGAGTTGGCAAACGGGCATCAAAGTTTCAGTTTATTGCCTCCCTTGAAACGATAAACTTGGAGTGCAAAAAGGAGAAGAAATGGTAAGTGATATTCTAATACTTACAAAATGCCTTGTTTAATGCCAGGCTTGAAACCCTGTATGCTTTGTCAGAGATCTTTGACATGGACTGGTTTTCCAAGATGGCACAATGACATATGACTGGGTCCATTTCAATTTCTTTAGTGTAACTGTGCATTTCTGTTGTACAACTTTCTTTGTATAGCCTCTCATCTATTTGCAAGCTTCTGTCAAAGAGAAACAGATTACATGCTGGGCTTAATGGTGATCTCAAAATACATGAAAAAATCATTCTTTATAAAAATATATATTATGAAGACCAAAATTTTTCAATTGTCAAATTTTCTTAAAAGCTAATCTCATTAATCTTTTCAGAAAAGGTCATTCCATGCCAAACCATCAAGACCATAACTAAAACACGAGACTTACATGCATGCAAAAACTTCTTCAGCTGGTGCTGTCTGATAGTACGACTTTTGTAGATGTTTCATTTTCGCTGAACATTTGCTCCTGGTTAAGAGCCCTTAAACACATTTGAGTCTAGGGGGTCAATAAAATTGTCGAAAAGATATGAATTTCTGATTCAGTGATAGCAAAGAGTGTAATAGAGCTTTTCTGAAAGTGATGAGCAGGATTGTCCCAACTCTTTTAATTTTAATTTTAAGCAAGCCTTGTTTTGCTTGCACTCAAGCACGATGGAAAAACATATAACTAGAATTGGAACACAACTGGCCACAGCTGGAGCTAGTCAGCTAATAGCCTTTGTCATATAAACTTGTGAATTTGTTCATCATTAGTCTATGACTAGGATGTTGGTATGGTTGTTAATTGTAAAAATCTGCAAGATGGTTACTTTGGCCCATTTCATGGTTACATAGGAGGAGATTTGACACTTGAATTTCTTATGAAGTCCTTCATATTTCTCTTTGATGAAAAATATCATTTTTGGTGTGGAGGTTAACCAGCTTTTAGAACCTTGACATGCACAACTTTTGGCATTTTCTTTTGCTGTTCTAAGATTTTGACCTTCTTGTTATCATCTCTGTTAAACTTTTGTTTTGTTTACTCTACCTTCAAATTTCTCTTTTTGAGTTTTATATGATAAAATATTTATGAACTTTTTTGTCACCCAGGCTGCCAAACAAACTTTGTGTTCTATGGACAAGAGGGAGCAGAAAAAAATACAGCAGATCTTACAAGTTTCAGTCAGGCATTGCAAATCCATTCAGAGGTGTTATCATCATGACTGAACCAGAAGATATTGAGATAACAGTCACCATGTACAAGGTGTTATGACATGATTTATTGCATTTTTTCCTTTTAAATATGCAAAGATTTTATGGTTTTGACTAAGATGGTGGACAGAATAAGACTGTAAGTTATTTGGTGTGTTGATTTGAATTGCAAATGATCAACCAAGACTCAACAGACTATTCCATGAGTTCCAGCACCCTGCTTTTAAACATAAGTTACAAATCTCCAAATTTGCAAAAATCTGAACACTCTCCCACTTCACAGCCTCACCTGTTTTGTGGCTCACAACCTCCTCCTCTAGTATGAGGAAATCTACTTGAAAAATAATATTTGAAAAGAGGCTAGAAGATGTTTTAATGTCATTTGTAAGCTCTTGCCAGAGCTTGAATCCCATACAGGCTGCACTTTCTATACCATAACCATTTTTTTTTTGGTTATGATAGCGATATTCGGGATATGTTTCTAAGATTATAGCATGATTTTCTTTCAGCTAAGATTTCTTTCATGAAACTTTGGTTAAGATTATGTATAGTTTTATATATATCTGTAAAAAGCAACTGCAGATTTTTATCATCGATAGATGCAAAGTTGTCCTTTTCAAGAAGAGTTTGAAAGTTTGATTCATAGTCATCATAGGCAAGACGCGAATATTTTTCATGAATTCTATTTATCCTGTTGTTTACCTGTCGATCACAAAAAAAATCCAAATTAAAGGACAGTAGCTAAATTTCGATAAAATGAAGACGTGCATGGTCTGTTTTACTTTTTTACCATCCATGTAGCTGGAAATTTGGGATAAAGCATGTTAGCTTTTGGCTGGCATTTTTGTAGATCAATTGTATGTGTCCTTTGAATGACAAATTATTATCAACACTTATACCAAGAGCTTTCTGCTCTTTACTAGGTTTAATTATCGTATTATCTATTTTCAAAGATGTGTCATTGTTGTTTTTACCAAAATTTATTGGATGGCATTTGTCCCCAGTTTCATATAATTATTTTGAAACCATTCTCTCATAATAACTACGTCTTGTTCTAGTGTTTTGATAGCCTGCTTAATTTCTTGGTCATAACTTTTTAACCGGTTTTTAACTTTTTAAGTTAAGTTAAACTTAACTTAACTTAACTTAACTTCTTGGTCTTAAGGTTTAGTTAGCTTGGTTAGTTTATGTTGAAGTTTTGTTATATTCTCTAATGACATGTAAATTTTTAGGAAGATAAACCTGATAGCAAGTTTGAGCCTAAGGAATGGACATTTGTTGTAATGGATGTAAGTATTCACACAATTTGCGAACTTTTGCTTGGGCTTTTCGTATCTTAAATGTAATTACAGAATTGATAAGTTTATGTAAAGTATTACCAAAAATTCTACTTTGGACAGTCATAAGAATTAGTTAATCCAAACTGTTGGCCAGTCTATAAAAACAGTGAAGAAAATGTTCCTTTTTGCTACCTTGTTTAATGATAATAGAAGTAATTGATTGCATACTTTACTTTTTATAGCAGGAATGTTTCTGTATAGATAGGGATGAAAATTGATATCAATTTCAAGTCTTCAGAATTTTAATTACAAATCATCTAGCTTGTTTCTCATCACAATAGATGTATGAGAACCATTTATAAAAATTGATTAAAAAAACCTTAATCACTCAAAAAACACCCTGTATTTAATAGCAAATGATAAAAGTATTCCATTCTTTCAAGGAGTCATCAGGAGGACGAAGGAAACCTATGGCACAATTTAGCATTGATATGGCAAATTACTACAGTATTGAGCCATACACCCATGAAGTACAGTTGGATCTCAAACCTGCCAGTGTCAAAGTTAAAAGTTGTCAACTGGAGCTTGGCTTGTCGTGTGTCCTTCTCAGAGAGGGTAAAGCAACGTAAGCACCTTATCTAATTGTTGGCAGAAGTTTCTGATTTGATGTAGAAATAAGTTGTGGGTTTCAAGTTGAATGGAACAATGGAAATCATATCCAGATATGATTATTTGGTGATTGTAAGAGTGTAAATAATTACATAATGGATTTTTTTGTTATTTTGAAAGTGTTTTGACCTCTGCATTCAATTGTACACCCCAAGGGATGATGACATGATCAGCTATGCAAGCATGCTCAGTTTGGCTGATGATCGTTTTGATGACTTTGATGATGACTTTGAAGATGATAACATGGCCAAACGTCGCAGTGGTGCTTCATTTGGATCATTTCGAGGATCAATGGGTATTCTTCTAAACGCCTACCAAAATTGTATTGCACCTCTTTTCCTCCGTTACCCTGTCTCACAAGTATTGATTACAATGTTTTTTTGTCAAAACAAAGCACTTGTAAAGGTTGATACAGGATTTTGGTGTATTCTTTGGCAATACGACTATACAAAGCAAATCCAAAGTGATTCTTTTGCTCTGTAACAAATGGTATCCTAACCATCTTTTTGCGTATCAGTGTGACCAATGTGATATAATCACTTTTGCCAATAGAGCAATAGTAGTATTATCTATTATTTCTTTTATGAACTTCTTAAAATACACAATTTTACTGTATTTTACTGTTATATAACATATTAAATCAATATCAAATACCTATTGGCCGATTTCTGTTATGTGCATTTTGTTTGTACCAAGGTAAGGGACAAGCTCAAGAGTCAAGTCCAATTACCAGGATGATTCAAGAAAGGTAGGATCGTTCTTTGTTGCAAAAGAAAACTGTTTTAAAGTATACATCATGTAAAGTGCTCTGATCTGGCTCTTACTGCATATTATTCCATTTTCCTATATTAAAGACATCTCTTCATGCATTTTTATTAATCAACCCTATGTTGGACAATTAATGTCGAATTTTATAGTGATCATAGTATGTTTGAACTTCAAATGGCTGTAACGATTTCTGTATACCTTTTTCACACCAGAGCTTTGGTTGTTCGGTTCCTAATAGAAATATTCCTATAAGTGGATGTGCCTCTATGTGCTATACTGCGTAAAAGACTGATGGACAGTATCTTGCTGAAATCAGTTGTTAAATAAAATACTTTAATTTTAGAAAGGCAAAGATAGCGGCTAAGAAAAGTGAAAATCCAGACGTCAACGTAAGATATCAATATATTGAAAATTCCCTTTGCTTTTGTTTGCCTTTAGATTCACCGGTCCTCTGCCGTGGAAAAGTTTAATTTGATTTGTTATGTTTTACTCAGATGAAGCCCCATATTCCAGTGCAAAATATTCGTATACATGATTGATTTTCATGATTTGATTTTCACATTTTGTTAATTCATATCGGATTTATTCGTATTATATTAAATTGTTTCTTGTCGTTTTGCGGTGTTCCTGCCTGTCGTTTCATATGATATTTTGGTTAAGTATGTAATTGCTTTCACAATTTTTAAAGATGTAAAATATGTGAAGATGTAATTGGAAGAGATAAAGCATGTTCTACAAGCATGCCTATTTCTGGAAATTTCTTCATTTTTCTGGGTGACAAAATTTGTAAGAAAATTTGGGAAGATAATTTCATTAATGTTTCCTTTCGGTAGACAAAGCAGCCCGTAAAACGCGGACCAGATTCAGACTTGCTAGGTAAGTAAATGTTATAAAGTAGTTTATCATTTTAGGCTATTGTACCAGCCAGCATAAACAATCTTCATCACCTTTTACATCAATAAAATTTTTTCTTGTACAAAAATTTCAACAAACTTTGTCTGTCTCAAATAAACTTATTTTTATCTCACTTCACTGTTCTCTTGCTTTTAGCGTGGTGCCAGAGTGTTACTAGCGGATACAGGGGCGTAAAACTGACAAACATGACAACATCATGGCGAAATGGCCTAGGCTTCTGTGCTATTTTACATCATTATCACCCTGACTTAATGTAAGAAGCAATAATGTTTTTATTTTATCCTTTCATGGCTACCACGTTCATTAACTAAAGATAAATGAGGGTAATTAGCGCTGGTATTATCCTGTAATTTCAGTATGGCTCAGAATGACCTTCGATGGTTTTTTTGTATGGAGACAGATCCAATTTTGTCATAGATTTAATCACGCTTTCATGATAAGTTTTGTTTACCTTCATGTTTGTATTGCCATCTTCAATTTTTCATGCAATTTTAAACTCTCTTTTTTCATTTTTAGTGATTTCTCCTCTTTGTCGCCTCATGACATAAAAGAAAACAACAAATTGGTTAGTTTTTTTCAGTTTTGTTATTGTTGTTTTAGAAACTCCCTTTTTCTACCTTTTGCTACGTCTCTATCCCTTGTTTTTTGATAATTTGGTATCTGTTGTAGAGTAATCCTTTAGATTTAAAATAGTGGAAGGCAAATGTCAAAACAATTTAAAAATTACAAAATCCACCCCCTTTTCAGTCAGTTATTCGGCATCTCGGCTTCGTATGACCAATAATGTTCAATTTCATTTAGGCCTACGATGGATTTGAATACCTCGGAATACCCAAGCTGTTAGACCCAAGTGACATGGTTTTGGCGCCTGTTCCTGACAAACTCACTGTAATGACATATCTCCATCAAATAAGGACTCATTTTAATACACACGGCAGTAAAATCCCTCGCATTACTTCCTATGAAAGTATGGATTCTACTGCGTCTAGCATCAGTGCTTTGATGTCCAAATATAATTTTTCTTCGCCTGTTCATAGCCCTAGAGAAGAGTCAAACTCATCTGAAAAATTTAGTTTTAAAGACACGTCCCCCGAGAAGGCTACTTCTAAAAAGGCTTCAGAGTCGAAAAGTAGCAACGAAAGCAGCAGTGTGTCGAAGCAGCAAAAAGTTGTTACGAAATCTTTGAATCCTTTTGAGGAAGATGAGCCAGACACGACAGATTCAAAATCTTATGATGAAAAGCCCAAATCTAAAGAAAAGGAAGAGAGAAGTGTTATAGTGACTGAAGAAGTTGATGAAGATGAAATGCTTAATTTAATAATTCATAAGAAGATAAAGGAGGAAGAGCATGTCGTAGAAGAGAAAAAAAGGAAGAAGGAATTAGAAGACGAGAAATTGCGACAAGAGAAGGAGCTAGAAAAACAAAAGGAACTAGAAAAGCAGAAAGAATTGAAAAAGCAGGAGGAATTGAAAAAGCAGGAAGAATTGAGAAATCAGAAGGAAAAAGAGAGGCAGAGGGAATTAGAAAAGGAAAAAGAATTTGAAAAGGTAACGGATTTACAAAAACAGGAGGTAAATGAGGAGACAAGTAAAATGTCATTAGAGGCTGATACTTATAAAATAAGTGAAAATGTGCAAAGAAACATGGAACTTGAAAATGAATGCGACATTCAAATAAAGCATAGGGACGATAGTAACAGTTTAAATAAATTTGCAGTGGAGAAGAATGAGTGCAGGACTGAAGAGGTACGAAACATAACAGTTTGATAGGTAGCTTAATTTATGCCATTAACAGCGCCATGTTTAGCTAGAAAAAAACTGTGCTTTGGTAATTTAAAGAAGAAAGAACTTATGTAGGCTTGATTAAATAATGCTATATGAATGTCTCGAAACATGATTTTTATACTGAAATGGCTGGTATAACCTATCGTTTTTACAAAGTTAAGAATCCACTTGTTGAAGCAGAATCCACTTGTTACTTATTGGTAATTTTGCCTTCGTTGAAAGTAAGTTTGCAAAAGTACGTCATACATTTGATAGTATACATTTTTGAAAATTTAGATTTGAGTCTACATTTTTGAAAGCAAAAAAAAATTTCCTCTGTCATTTGTATTGATAATATCTAAACACCTGTTATGGATTTCTACAAAACCAATTTATGTTTCAGATCCAAGAAGAAGTCCCGGTGAACAAAAGAACGAGTAAAGGTGATGTTTCAAACTCAAAACCTTCCGAAACTCAAATGGATGCTGGGGTGAGAGCGATTTTTTCTGCACTCAGACAACAACAATGCAATTCAGCTGACGCTAAGTCAGAAGGTTCTGGTGCCAGGAACACAGAAAAGGACCACGAGGAGGATGTCGAAAGCTCTGAAGTTTTCATTGAACACCGAGGGACTACAGACAGCCAAGCTGTCATTCCCAAAGATAGAAAGCCAGATGGCAATATTCCTGAGAGATCAAGCAGTAGTCTTCCTCGTGAGGACAAGTTTAGCAATAAAAAGGCAGACATAGCGAAATTAGAAAAGCAGGGAAACAGAAGAATTTTGTCAGAATCTTCGATGCAGAATATGAACAAGGTTTGAAATCTAAAATGGTTTACATATTGCTACTATGAAATTTAAACAACTGAAAATCTGGACGAGGGTCTTAACCGGAATACCGTTTTGCAAGGCAGGCCTATATTTTTCAAAGAAATGAACATTTTTTGCTGAAAATAATAAACGTTCTATGATATCATCTGCGGCTTTCAAAATTAAACTGACTCATGCGAATGCAAAGTAAACGTAGCAATACCAGGATCGTAAAGGAATTTCTATATTTATCGGCGTTAAACAAAATACTAGAAGATTTTTCTCTTGAATTTACAAGAGGCATGTACAATGCTCTTTTCCTATTCACAGTCTATATTCATATCCCCAGCTTTGCAATTCCTTCTGCTCTAATAATGTGGTTTGTTTATGTAGTTTTTTTGTATCCAACAGGATCGACTTGATGTTATTCGAGACAGGGCAAGAAGGCTTATTCTTGATGCAAAGTACAAGGCAGGAAAAGACATAGACAGCGAAGAGGTATTTTTAATGCTTGATTTTCGTACCTAAACTTTTAAGTATCTGTGCCTATCTTGTTGTATGTTTTAGATTTGCTCATTTTATCTTGAATGATACTAGTATCTCGATGATTGACTGTTAAGAAAAGTTGGCCTAGCCAGGCTACGTTTTTAAGTTGCCTTTGCTTACGATAAAGCCTTTTCTTTGTTAAGAAACCCTCCTTTAAAGTGCTCGCTTGTAAAGGACGTTGAATAAACAAAAATGGTTTTGTGCTTCGGAGAAGACTCTGCTTCGTAGGGTACGAATCTAAAAGCGAGGTTCGAGCCCAACGGTAAACCTATAATTTTAAATAATTCTTTTCTAGCTCGAAACCCAAGCTGTGTGAAATGTTTATATCTCAAGTTACTGTGAGATAACCCTCAGTAGATATCTCGTAATTCTCTCAGCAAGTACCTAAATTGTCAGCGGCTCTCTTTGGGAAAGATGTTCTGGTGCGTGGGTTAGATTTTATGATAAAAGAAACCTAGCTTTAAAGCAACGTCATAAATAATGGATGCTCGATGGGCTTTCATTTTGGCGCTGTTGAGCAATCTAGCACATGACAAAGTTTTCCCAGTAAAGCAATATTCCCTTACGTTGATTAGTCAAGACTGTCTCAGAAAGTTTTTCAAAAAAAGCTTTGTTGCTGCTAAGATGCTTTCGTATATAAAATCAATGGCATCAGGCCGAATCTTGGGATTTGTAAGTATTGTTGTTAATCATCAATTTCCTTGCTTTCCTTTCAAGCAATCATTCTAATCCTTGCGTTCAAAGTGAAAAAGGCGGCTTTTTTATGAGTCTCTTGCAATATGTTATACATCTTACCTGCAGTTTATCCCTAATTTGATTTCTGTCGAATACGCCACATTTTTATATATCTGTTGGCCAAATTTTTTATGAAAAAAGACTTGATTCTGAAAATCTCAAGCAGGATGGACAGATCTAGTAGAAATAATCTGGATTCTTCTTACCCAATCAAATATAAAGGAAAGTTTATGTAACAAATTGCGACTACTGTTTTAGCAGCTTTCACGATAACCATACCAATAAACATTGTGACGTTGCTTGCGAATCACTTTCTTCCTTCAGACTTTAGTCTTTTCAGCTACGCAAGTAATCCATCAGCTGATCATAACAAAACTGTAGATATGGTGACAGCAAGCAGAGATCGTAGATATAGGGAAGGTTTTTATTTAGATAAGATAAAAGAATAGAAGGATTACATTTCTGATAACACTGGTGATGATTTTATTTTCCAGCAAAATGAAATTCAGCAGAAGGAGAACAGCGAACGGGCTCGAAAATTTCTTAGCGAGAAAAAGAAGCGCGACGAAGAATTGAAAACAAAATTAGATAAGGTATGCTCGTTCATTTTATCAACTTCATCATTAAAGGAACATTTCGCGGTTAGGTATGACAAGTTTTTTTGTTGGGTTGTTGTGATAAATACAGCTTGCTTATCAATTGTCGTAATCAGATAACATATACTTCCATTGGAAAAACCTAATTTTTTTAGAGTGTCCATGAAATAGTAAAGTTCTCTCATCTTATGTTTTCTTGTCATCTGACAATTACTCTTATGACTTGCTCGATTTCCTACTTGTCTCACAATATTTGCGGCTCGATAGCAAATATTATAACTGTATCATCTTCTTAGACCATGATAATATTATCAAACTATAGTTATCATTATTTCTGAATTCTATTAAAGATCAATTCACATAGTGGTATTTTCTCATTGTTGTACCACTTTAGGCGCACTTGTTTTACAATGAACGTTTTGCTCTAATAAAGTATTTTGTGTGATGAGTTGAGAATCATTTTGTATGATGATCACTTAGGTATTCAGATCACTAAAATCATTTTTGTATGATGATCACTTAGGTATTCAGATCACTAGAATCATTTTTGTATGATGATCACTTAGGTATTCAGATCACTAGAATCATTTTGTATGATGATCACTTAGGTATTCAGATCACTAGAATCATTTTGTATGATGATCAATTAGGTATTCAGATCACTAGAATCATTTTGTATGATGATCAATTAGGTATTCAGATCACTAGAATCATTTTGTATGATGATCACTTAGGTATTCAGATCACTAGAATCATTTTGTATGATGATCATTTAGGTATTCAGATCATTAAATTCATTTTTGTATGATGATCACTTAGGTATTCAGATCACTAAAATCATTTTTGTATGATGATCACTTAGGTATTCAGATCACTAGAATCATTTTTGTATGATGATCACTTAGGTATTCAGATCACTAGAATCATTTTGTATGATGATCAATTAGGTATTCAGATCACTAGAATCATTTTGTATGATGATCACTTAGGTATTCAGATCACTAGAATCATTTTTATGATGATCACTTAGGTATTCAGATCACTAGAATCATTTTGTATGATGATCACTTAGGTATTCAGATCACTAGAATCATTTTGTATGATGATCAATTAGGTATTCAGATCACTAGAATCATTTTGTATGATGATCAATTAGGTATTCAGATCACTAGAATCATTTTGTATGATGATCACTTAGGTATTCAGATCACTAGAATCATTTTGTATGATGATCAATTAGGTATTCAGATCACTAGAATCATTTTGTATGATGATCACTTAGGTATTCAGATCACTAGAATCATTTTTGTATGATGATCACTTAGGTATTCAGATCACTCAAATCATTTTTGTATGATGATCACTTAGGTATTAAGATCATTAAATTCATTTTTGTATGATGATCACTTAGGTATTCAGATCACTAGAATCATTTTTGTGATGATCACTTAGGTATTCAGATCACTAGAATCATTTTTGTATGATGATCACTTAGGTATTCAGATCACTAGAATAATTTTTGTATGATGATCACTTAGGTATTCAGGTCACTCAAATCATTTTTGTATGATGATCACATAGGTATTCAGATACTGGTCTTGCGTGCAGAGAAATTGAGTCAAATGATATCCAGTCGCATCCTTTTCATAATCTAGTGTTTTTCTAGTTTCGCTCTTTCAACAACAAATTGAGACTGTAAAAATGACCAGTTTAATCTAATTCATTTTAGTTTGTATAACGCATACCCAAAGGGGAACTTTCGTTTCCTGAACTAAACTATTTCACTACTGTGGTAACTACTCTCTAAAAGGGGTACTTAAAAGAGGCAGATTATGTTCATCTGGTTTTTTTGTTTATAGCAAGAGGAGGACCGCAAACGAATGCTCCGTGAACAAGCAAGCAAATTACTACAACAGGCCAAGAAAAGAAACTCAGATTTCATAAAAACGAAACAGCAAACTGCAGCCAGTGAGGCTACAGAGAGTGCCTCAGGGAGTCAAGAGCAAGAAACCCAACAAAATGGTCAGGAAAGAAAGAACTCGTTGCCAACGGATTTTAAAACAACGCCATTTACTTTGGTTAAAAAGAAGACTCTTAAGGAGTTATCACCCAGACATTTTCTAAAGGAAAAGAAACCTTCTGTCGAATCAGGTTTGTAGATGCCGGTTCTCGGGTCTCAAAATGTTCATAGGTCTGACATCTGTTTGCATGTATCGAGCATTTTCCCGGATTAGTTATGTAGTCATTTAGGTGTAGTGCCCCTGATCCAATGGTTGTGGTTCGTGACAATCATTTGCCACCTTTGTTCACAGTCTCTTTGGGCAGGTGCTAACACAAGTTGTGCCTCCATCCTCCCAGAAGTAAAATTGGGTACCGGGTCCGTAGCTTTGAGCACCGTATGTTGCTTCACCTTGCTATATGCTTCTAAGTATTGCAACCACGGGGTACTTTGTACAGTAACCTTTGGCAAACTATAGACCGCCTTCTTTTTTAACTTTTCATTCATAGTGATTATTCAATTTGTGAAATTCATTCAAGCAACTGTAATAAATTGTAATGAATTGTACAAAGTTTATCGCAAACATCGATATTTGATGAATGACTACAACTTGCTGTGTCATCAGACAAAAGAAGGGCCACTAAGTTTAAACCTCAATTTTCGATTGTTAGACAATAGATTTTAGATTTTTCAATAAGGTACTTAGGAAGGTAAGCAGCTTGTTGGGCCAATAAATTTCATTTGATCTTTGGAACGTGAGCACAGTTACGTTCCTTGCTTGAAACTCTTGACCCATCCAGCTTTTATCACCGACTTATCTCTAAGCCTTGATACGTTAGGCCATTCACGAAGCAGCCAATCACGGAGCAGTTCTTCCGAAACCAGTCCACCGGTGACTCCATCAAGACCCACTGATACAAGCACACCGAACAAGTACAAGATGTCTGCTTCTGCAGAAGCACAGGCATATGCTGAGTCAAGGAAGATATCATACGAGGCCTTCGAGATGAGCTTCGAATCAAAACGACGCTCTAGAGACATTGGTATGATTTTATCATCACGACGTCATAACAAAACTTGGATTACACATTACAATTAACACAAAACCCACAGCCGATATTACATTCTTAAGCGGCTCGCAGAAGGCTATCTATGAGCATTGAAAAGCATTCTCTTCAGTGCATGCTTAAAAATGATTTTAAATGTATCTTTTTGGTCCGGGAAGAGATATAATTGGTTATTTGCTAATTGACAGGTTTATTCCGACCAATCACATCTATGGTTAATAGCAAATGTTGTTTTCCAGCCACTGAATCAACAAGCAAAAAGTAACGAGAAAAAAATAAAATTACTAAAAGTCTTTCAAAATAGGGATAATTATAAAGGGGAAAATTCACATTATTCTGGTCGCACAACATTTCAGGATTAAAAAAACAACGTCGTTATTAGTAAAAGGTTTTGGTGGTTGAAGGTGACGTATCCAGGTTTATATTCAAGTGTGGATGAAAATTATGCAGCTAACATTCAAAAACTTGACTAAGGTTTGATTTATGAAGGTCTGTCGAAAACGGGGTAAATATAGATGGGGAAAATCCTCGAATAAAGAAGAATTCCAGTTATCAGGCTGACGAATTATCAGATGCTAAGCTAGCATATTTTGGTGATCAAACGGTAACGCTTTTCTATGTACTAATAAAGAACTTTTGAACATCGCATCGATCCTATAACTTACATTTGACACGTTGCAACGCATGGCTATGATAGCGTCAAGTTGTCAGGATGTGCTTGTACTGTGTTTATAATTTGTTTTTGGCTAATGCATGACTATGACCTTTAAAGATGATGGAAACAGCTATTCGAAACAGCTTCTTCATTATTTCATATTTAGCAATGTGAAAATGTAAGGTATTTTTTCACAGTGCTGAGGTGCCGAGTTTCAACAGCTCTTAATTGCTTGAATAGAAATTTTGAGTCTTCATCATTCGACACGTGAAGCTTGAAAACTGATAGAAAGGTGACACGTGACACTAACATGTTTGTTGGACTTTTGAGTAGTAAACAGTTTTTAGTGATCTGTTGAAAATAGTCCCAGTGAATGCTTAAGCACTGCTGTTTATTTGTTGTGCAAATGCAATTTTTAATTATTGTTTAAATGATTTTGATAATCTAATGATGATAATATTTTTGTTGTAATCTAAAGAATATCTTTTCTATAACTTAGCTGCGGAAGTGGCTGCAGAGCTGGCAGAAATTCAAGAAAAAGAAGAATTAGAAAAGAAATTGGCTGAAGAAGAAAGCTTGGACAACAGAACGTCATCTCCAGATATGGTACAGCGTTGCTTGCTGTTTGAACAGCTACTTATAAGGCTTATTGATGTTATAATGTTACTTGTCATTTTCATGGCTTAATTTTGTCTTTGCTGGCAATATCTTAGTTTTAAAGACTCTTTGAGAAATGCTCAGAAGCTATTCATTTGAGAAAGGAGCTCTGCATGGACTAAAGTAAAAAATCTTGTGGATTGCAGATTTTCAGCAATGTTGAGTTCTACATTGGTGTTCGTAATATGAAAGCGACAGGACCATATGCTGCTGGGGTGTAATGAATTTAATATGGTTCTCCAGACAACGCAGTTCGGTCTGCAGAATCTTTCATTCTCACAAACTCGAAACGCGTCTTTTAAGACAGCTTCTTTGTGAATGCCATCTTTTGTAGGTTCTGCTAGTAAATAATTTTTTGTCAATACCGTTAACAATTCCAGTTTAAACATTTTTTCAAAAAACAATGTTTTGAAGTCCTGTTGTGATTCTTGTAGGAAGGAGAGGCAACTTATGAAGAAGACGATTTTGATGATGTCGTAAGTTCAAATTCTAGTGCACAAATGCAAACATGGCCATAGCTTTGTTTGTTTTATAATATCATTTCACGTCTTAAAAGGAAGAACAACAAGTGACCTGATTGTTTGTTATTACTTGTCCATTCCCCTATTTTGAAAAAAACATTGTCACCAAAGCATTCAAATGAACCTCTTGATAGTCTTATGACATTCTTGGTGATTAGAGACCTTTCCCTTAAGGCTGACCAACCCCGAAATATTTATACTTTTAAAAGTGTGATTAAGAATGGTGGAAAAATTTTGTACCTCCCTCAGCCAAGATGAGGAACCAAGAAACACACAAGACAGTTATAGATATATAGTTATAGACAACTATTTGGGGTTTGGGATATTTCCGAAAATTATGAATTTTAGAGCAAACCATGTTTTATTTTTAAAGCTTGAATTATCTGTTTTTTTTAGAATTTGATGTCGGCTGGAGAATATTTAAATGTAGAAATTTTAAACCTGGAAGAAGAGGCAAAAGCACTGGACAAAGTTGCCCAAAAGTTAGAAAAGGAATTGCGAAACGCCATGAAAGAGGGTATTGGTTTAAACTATTGTTCTCCTGTAATACTTCATTTGATAAATATAAGTACCACTTCAAGCCAAGAGAAGTAGCTTCCTGCTAGACTGCATGTTTTCATTTCTTATCAAGTCTAGAGTTGGCAGTTCTTGTTAGAGAGCTGAAGGATGGGATAAGGGTGCTTCCGGGGCCGTGTTGCAATTACCTTCCCGAGTAGTAATGATGCACAAAGTATCAAAGAAGGTCAGGGATATCCTGTTTTTGGTTTTGTAGACCAAATCAGCTTTCATAGCTATTTTTAAGTGTTCAATGAACTTTTTCTTTCTCGAAAATTCATCTCTCTACCAAGGAGCAGAGAGCGAACGTATTGTTTGCTGTTGTGCAAAGATGTAAGAATTGAAAGCTTGTAATGCTCTTTGCTGTTTAACAAGCAAGTTTTCTTTTCATCCAAAAGACCAAAAATCTTTGGACACTTAAGATAAAGACTCTTTAAGATTGAGACCAGCTCGATATTTTTATTCAGGCGAAGAGGAGGAAGAAGAGGACCTGTTACAAGAATGGTTTAGCCTGGTCAATAAGAAAAATCATCTCTTGAGAAGACAGCAAGAATTGTCATTAATGTGAGTAGATAGCAAAAATGTATCTGGTTGAAGGATGATTGTTAATGGGAGAAAGGATGGTCTTTGTGTTTGGAGAAGTGGCTTTAGGTCAAGGAGCCATACAAGCTTTTATATTTATCTGATAGAAGCTAACCCCCTGTTGTTGCTGATTGTTTGTTTTATTGACATCAATTAACCAAAAGGATGCAGTATATAATACCAGGAGCAATTTAGACTGTATTTGGAATTTTTCTGTTTTATTTCTTTGTACAGAATGAAAGGAGATGATTTAGAACGGCGCTCTGATATGATCAACAGAGAGCTTCGTGGACTTATGTCTATTGATGGTATGTCTGTCTTCTTTGATTGTCAAACAAGGCTGACATAAAGAACTGTATGTTCTTAATGCATTCATAGATTGCAAAAATCTATAAAGATCTTGAATGATTACAAATGCTTGATGAATTCATAATTTTACATACACAACATCACAACAAGAAAAAGCTGTTTTGGATGCTTTTATTTCTAGATAGACAAAGTAGAATTTATGGAATTACCTGAGAATTCTTGTTAACATTTGACCATCACAGTCAGTTTTTTCAACTTCTAACACCTGATAAAAAAAATTTATTTCGGATCAGAACAGAACTTATCATTGCAAAATAATATTGAAGTATTTAATGTTTCTTATAAGATTAAAGTAGTTTTCCTTAATTCAGTTATGGGTTCCTATTTTTTCTGAAAGTGGCAATTTTCACTAATTAAAGCAGAAGAAGTTCAATGTCTATTTTGATTTTCTTTTTAGAGGGGCAAAAGACAGATGAAGAAAAACAAAAGGAGGAGTTGCTTTTGTCAGAATTGATGATGCTAGTAAAGCAAAGAGATCAGCTAGTGCAGATTGAGGACACCCAAGTTCAACAAAGGTACGTTAAAGCATTTCATGTTATGATAATAATAAAAGCCTTTTAATTTTTTGCTGTTTTAAAATATTTCGAAGGGACTTGAATAAAAGGTATCTTTATGGCTCTAAATGATATCATGCAAGTTCTTTTGAAATATGTGATTTTCAACAAAAACGTATAAGTTGGCTAATAAACAGCAATGGAAAGTGATAGAGAGAGGGAAACGTAGAAATTTGGACATTTGAAGTCTTCTTTTACAGTCAATATTTTCAATAAATAAGCATGATCCACTATTAAAACAATTGTTGTGACATGTGATACTATGATCAAATTTTTGGCACGTCCTAATTAGCTATCTGCAAGATACTTAGTTTAAAAAGAGCTGTCAGACAGTACATGATCATTTAGGTTAAATTATTGCCTGAAGATAGCACAGGAAAGCATGCTAAACATAGGGAAAAAAGTACTTTTTGCCCAACACTTCTCAGTAGCAGAAAACAGTATCAGTAAACAGAAAATTTATACCCAGATGCTGATACAAAGTTGACAGAAAGAATGGTTTTTTGGTTAGTTCCTTTGTTGCAAAATCTTTCATTCAGGTGTTTTGGAATCTATTGACATCAAAACAAATGATCTCTACTTGTGTATACAGAAAAATTTTGTTTTCTTTCCAAGGCTCTGCAACTAGGTGAGAGTTTTGCATCTGCCAATTGGTCAAAACTAGGAATCAATCAAACAAGTCATACTACTGTCTTCCAATTTACCTACTATCCTATGAATTGATAATTATCTTCTTCTACAGTGCTCATGATGAAGAGCATGTTCAACAAGTACTGGATCAGAAGAGGTCAACAGGTGATAGAACAACCAAAGGAGAATGCCTTATACAGTGAAAAGGAAATGCCCATGAGAGGTTAACATCAAACTTAGATATTTTGAATATTATTTTCATTACTGACAGATATAAGAATTGTATCTTAGCAGAGGAATTGTTGGGATATTAGAGACAAGAAAATTAAAGAACAGCAATAGATCTTCTGATTTTAAGTTAAGGAACAAAATATACACTTTGCAGCTTATTTGTGAGACATTTCAGAAAGGGACTTATACAAAAATGAAGAGGGTAAAGTCTTTAAATACTTTGCTGGTGAGAATAAACAGAAGTTAAACATTATTTCTAGGTAAATTGTCATAATAATTAAAACATAAACAATCAAAGGAATTTTGTTGTTTATTTTGCAAATATTTTTATATGTGGAAGTATGTCTTGAAGGCACTGAATCATGATTAAGGTGTCTGCAGCAAGGGGTATTTTGCTTTTGGCATGATCACTATAGTTTCAAGTGATTTTCACAGCCATTTTTAAAACAGGTTGTTGATTGAACCTGTTTTCAAACTTTATGTTGTCAGTCCTAAATCTACCATAGGTATTGCAGCAAAAAAAGTAACTCAGCCTATCTGGGTTTACCCTCTCCTTTAATGTGACTGAATTTCACATGACTTTAGAATCAGTTTCTTTCCTCACATTTAAAGAGAATGTTAATTGGAACTTTAGAGTATCTTCAAATTGGTACCTGGTCAAAACTGGTACATGCAATATGATAACTTCTGGATTTTGAACTCACAGTTTATTTCACATTTCAGCATCTGACAGCATCTACTTAACTGAGTGCTTACTTTTTCCTTTATTTACACACAAAATGAGAAAAAGTATAGCAAATGTCTTGTAAATTGCAAATGTTTTTTGTATCTAATAAATGAAATATTCATGGCATTTTGTTGATACGTTCGACGCTAAAACTCTTTAATCTTCAATTTAGATTCTTAAGCTTGCAAAGAAGAATGTTCTTGGTGTTGGTCATCCCAATTGAAGGACAAGGCAATTAATAGGAAACTTCAACAGAATTTTTGTGATGAACCAAAACAATATCTCCTATCACTAGGAAGGATAATGCTGAGCTCCCCTCCTTTATTAGAGAAGCATCAGCCCATTTAGTTTCATTTTTACATTTTTGCTAAATTTTGCAAGTATATTTGTGGTAAAAATTCACACCAAGCAACTGCTATAACTCTGAAAATTTATGAATGCTCAAGTTTTGAATAATACCTAAAAATTCAACTTTCACTTTAAGAATGACTTTCACTTTAACAGTCTTTGCTCTTATCAGATCTTACAACGTTTGTAGTTTAATGATAAAAATTAAGTTGTGTTTTGCACAAATTTAATAGATATTTCTATTACATTACAGCCAATACAATTGTTACTCCAGTTTTCAGTATTTTAGCATGTATAAAGTTATAGAAAGGAATTACAAATATTGTCTTAACTTATTTCCCTGTAATATATAAGAATTGTTTTCCATGAACTGGATTTAGCATCAGGCTTTGTAAGCGACCTGTCTTTCCTTGCTATTAAATCATTGAGAATCTTGGTTTCTTTCAACTTTTTTATTAGACCCTTTTTTTAAAAAACTTACTTTGTTTATTCATATTCAACCCAATTTGATGATATCATATACCAGGTACTATCAATCATTAATCATAAAATATGTTGAATGTGATTTTTAAAATGTAACTGGCAAATGCTGTCTAGTTTATAAATTTTATGCACTCGCATTTACTTATATCTAAGTTTGTAGTTGAAACTCTGCTGCATAGTCAAGTAATACAATGCTCTTTAGCAACTAACTTACCATCTAATATAGAATAAAGTAATGAAGAATTTTGTTAGCATTATTGATATTATAACCACAAAAATGATTTTTGATGTCCTTCTGCTCGCTTACTATTGTTAGGTGGTTTGCAAAGAATACTGAGCCCAAAATATTTATAGATTTTGTACTGTTTATAATGTTTCTAGATCAATCCAGATTGTATAAATAGCTAAAAGAATTTCTTGGGCGCAGAACTGTGTGATTTTGATAAGTCAAAGAAATGCTGGTGGAAGATGCCTCAGTTTTCCTTGGAAACAAGTGGACAGTAAGGAGAAAGGTAGTCACGAAAGTGAAGAATTAAATTATCCATGGAGTACATTTAACAGTAAACGGTTGGGCACATTTATTTATAAAAGCATCCTGAAGAGGGAGAGGTGATGCCTAGGAAATCAAATTCTTTATCAAGTAACCCTTGTATCAGATGAATGTCTTTGAAGCCATGTATCCATTCTCTCATTTTATGTTCAGTTTCCTCACATCAAGATAAAAAAGTGATGCAATAAAGTTTACTGTCATAAGATACTTAGGAGCATTTCACAAATTACTTTAAGAGCATTCATCAGCTGAATCTGTATGTAGAATAGCAAACCTTAAAAACATGAAACATAGGGGCCCAATGGCTATGTACGAAGATGTCTGGTACGTAATATGAGCTCAGTAAAGAGCGGTAGCAAGAAGGATTGGGCTTTGCTATGAAGATGTTCATAAAGAAAAATTATCAGAATATAGGTGTTTTCTTTGTTTGACATCAGAGGCTAAAGAGGGGGTCTTAATAGAGAGGGGGCTTATTTAAAATTTTGGCATGGTAATAAGGCTTAATAGAGTGGGGGGGGGGCTAATTAGACCTTTATGGCATGTCGATTTACAGCGATTTGCAATGATGCATGATCATTTGAGCCAATTCATGTTGACCTTTGCAGATTTACTATGACTCACAATGATTAACGATGATTAACACTGCTTCATGATGATCAATGCTGGTTTTCACAACCATTTGCATTCATTCATAATGGTTAGTGATTATGCAGAGGTATCAAAGAGCTTTGTCAATAATTGAAAATTTTATCGAATAGAAGACCTAAATTCCCACAATAGGCATTTCTTCCATTGTACGGGTGCACAATTGCTGGATTGTTTGCTGCGGCTTCCTTTGTAACTGTGCCAACTTCTCTTTTGGCACGACCATAATTAATAAAAATTTGCAAAATTGACTTGCTGATGATGTTGAGTCAACATCATTTCATAGCTGTGAGCAATAGAAAGCGAAACATTAATTAGAGGAAAATGGGAACCTGTTACAGAGACTATGTCACTTTGTTAGTTAGTTAGTTAGTTAGTTAGTTAGTTACTTACTTACAGGGTCCCCTACTCCTATATTTACTCATTCTTCATACATAAAAAGGTGCAACATTGCATACTGCAAGGCCCTTCTTTTGTTGTCATTCTAGAGTTTGTCTTCTCACTTGGACTCTGCAACAATGCAAGGTCATTATTTAAACACTCTAATCAAAGGAACTGAATCAATTAATTCTCCCTCTCACTTAGACTTTCTTCTGTACTCAGATATTAGACGTACACGCTTCTCCAATTGAATCTCTAGTTGAGCTATGGTATTTTCAGAAGTAAATCTGATTAATTTTGATGATGTAATAATGTCTCTTACATTGAGACAAAGATCACAATGCTGCATATTATAGACCTTGAAGACAAAATCTGACACTATTCCAATTCATGATGCAAAAAAGACAACAATGATTCTATAGGTATTTCATTTATATTTCATATATTTACAAGTAGGGCGAGAACAGGAAAGTTAATATATTTTGTGATGTTGACAGAAACTCAATACAGATATAGCATATTTTCATCTGACACTTAAGCAAAAGAAAGGGACAGTAAAATTAGAAATTTCTGACAATATTCAGCAGGTTGGTGTTATTCCAAAACAATCAAACCATTCTGATCTCTTTAACAACCCTGCATCGGGAAGCAAATAATTATAAAATTACAGCTATTGAAAAATTCCACTAATGTGCCGTTTTGATTATGCTCTAAATAAATACAATATTTACAAACTTGCCCATAGTGATAAGGTCATATCTACATGGATATATTTTCAAAAACTGTGTTTTCATCTAAACAAAAATGAATCAAAAGTTTTCCATCTCAATTTCAAATCATTAAGCTTTAAATGATTTGCTAGGAGCTGAAAACATGGAGTTGTAAAAGACAGTTTTGAAAAGACTAACTCATTTGAAAACATACTCATGTAGACAGACTCTATAAATTATCAGCCTCCTTGTTTGGTATCTACTTCAGTTTCAAAAATAGAAGTAAACAGAAGGCAACATCAATATCTTTTTGTTTTAAATTAAAACTGGATACTGTGCTTATACAGTAGTTATAATATGACGCCTGTGTAGTTCCTCCACAATTGGAGAGCTTAGCTCAGGGTTTACAGAACTCAAGGCATTTAGGAACTCTTCAAAGGCCTGAGGACCTAACTTGATCAGTATATCAAGGAGCTTTTCTGCTTTCTGGAACTGTGTTTTCTGGGCATTAATTGTCTCTGTGTGATATTTGCTACTGAGTGAATCACAAAGTGATGCAATCTTGTTGGCATCCATTTTGTGCAGTTTCATTCTGTATCTTGAAAGAATCTCTGTCTCAAGCTGTCTGACTTGAATGTCTCTCCTTAGAGCAAACTGGTGGCTAAAATCAGTTCTAACTTGTGCTTGCCTAACATCATGATCTAAAGTAAAATTGCAAAAAGGTTCAAAGTTTGTTGTATTTTACAATAACATAATGGGCTATTAACAAATATTTTTGATCCTAGTCAAAAGAGTCGAGGAGCTATAGGCTAAGCCCTTCCTCTTCAAAATGAGTAATTGTCATAATACTATGCCTTTATTCAGGTTTTGATTAGGACTAAAGGTGCTCATAATTACTATTGGTAATGAAAAAATATGCACAATGTCCCAAAAGCACAACTATAAGCTGGAACCAACCAAACCCCCTTTCTTTTGACATTTAGATGTTAAATGAAAGCATAGCAGATGTGGTTTCAGACAACATTGTTCATTTCTTTAATATTTTTAGCACTTCCAAAATTTATTGATAATGTGTGTAAATCATTGAAATGCAGCAACGGTTGAAGTTTGATAAATTATTGAAAGAATGCTGAAAAAGAGATTTAAAATTATATCTGCTGCTTTTCAAAATATCGCAATGATCGGTCTTAGAACTTCGTCATTTTGGGCATTGCTGGCAAAATGCATAGGCCAGTTAAAAACGTTCCTTTTTGGTCGGTATTCCTACCTTGTTGTTTAGCGATCCGGCGATGAAGACACGGTACTGGATTTGCTTCAGTGACGTGGCGTTTTTCCTGTCGTATTTGTGCTGCTAAATGTGGATATGAGACGTCTAAAGCTTTCATAAAAGAAAGAAACCCGTTAGGCCCAGCCTTGGATACCACCGTCAACAACTTCTCGTTTTGCTTAAATATGTTTTCTTCTCTATAAACCTGGTCAATTTGATATGAATCAATGACATCCCTCATGTATGGTAAAATCACTTTTGCGTCAATATTCTCTGCAAGTTTACAATTATACCTTTGCAATATGGTTCGATAGTCGCTGGTATCGTTCCCCAACGTCGCCATTTTGAAGGCATCTGTCTGACGTCTCCCATTACGTCATGCGTAAAAGCAGGAAGTAGAAAACTTTCTTATGCGCGAACAATGAATGCAACGTAAATAGACTTTGAGATGGAGGAGATGCGAAAATCGATCCAGGTTTACTTTTTAGGTCTCTGAAACTAAACTGGCTTCCATAGAATCCACGATCAGCAGCCTTTTCAAATTGCGTACAAACAATTTGCGCTCAAAAATTTCTTGCTAAGCAAGGACACCATCGCCTATCTTTAATTTTATGTAATGTTAGAAGGATGAAGTTTACTTACTGTTTTTTTACAAAAACTGCCAGGTTAGATATCTTTTTTCACAGAGTGTCATCAATCCTGGATTGAGAATCTCTCAATATATCGAGTACTTGCCGAAGATTCATTAGTGCATCATGGCCAATATCTGCAAAACAGGTTCCGTAAATAACATTAAGCATCGAAAAATCCTTGATTCAAGAGAAAGGCACCAGAAAATGCTTCTATTGAAAATGAGATGAGATAAAGCGCTCAAGAGAATGCGAGTAGTGAAATTAAAACACTCTGGTTATTTCGAATGAAAAAACCGAATATAAAAAACGAAGAACCTATAAAGAACAATCAATATTTTCATTTTTGCTAGAAAAAGTATTCGCTAAGTTTGATACCTGGATCGGTTTGCTTGTTCCCAATATCTTTAGCAATATTATTCTCCAAAGCTGAGTGGGAATAGCGAAGTGACTCCATTTGCTCAAACAACTGAAAAGGGTTTCAAACGGTCAACACAACATTTGATTTCGTTTTTTTAATAAATCTCGATTCGAATTTCAATTTACTTGCAATTAGGTATGTACCAACTGGTGGATGCGGTTAATCTAAAGGTGAAAACCCCCTCCTGATTCTATAAAAATGGGAAAAAAGCAAGCAAAATAAATGTGGAAAGTCACGGAGAACATGAAATTTAGCATTATCACACAACAGCATTTTCCGCAACAGGGCGTAGAATGAACTTCAGTCCCTTCCATCAAACCTACAAATGGCTATATTAGCATTTTATTGCCAACTTGCGGGCATAATTTATATTTTGAAATAAAACTCCCTCCACAGAAAAAATACTGACACGTTCTTTGACTTTTTCACAAAACTCAATTATATTTTTCTACTAAATGTGAGTATGGCTATAAATTTCATAATAAAGATTTTGTCAATGAATAAGACCAAAAAGCGCTCTGATTTCTTAAATAGAGATTCAGAAGGGTCGAATCCAAACAAGAAAAGGACAATTACACCATTAGAAATTGCTCCAGTATACGATCCTTATCAACATTGACAATATAAATACTTGTTACCACTTTTTTGGTCAATAAAAAGTCTACATTTTAGGTATTAGTCAGAAAATTAGGAGCAAGAATCTCTGTTAGGCAGCTCGACCTGATAAACCATTTCAAAAAGGTATTCAAGGGAAAAAATTTAACAGCATCAGCTCGTTAATTTGTTGAATAACCTGTTACCTGTAACTAATGTGAGAAACAAGAAGAACGATAATTCAAATAACCACATTTGAACTTTTCATCTTTTTTCTCATACTTAGTTGTTTCTATAGCAAGATCAAATGATCACGGGAAGGGTTTTTCAAATGAGTTTGAATCACTTCGAAATACCATTTCCTTTCTCTTTTTAGCATGTCAGGTGACATCCTCGTGTTTACGAGAACCGCAAGACCTAGATCAAAGAACCCGTTTAAAAACAGATAAAGAAATGGACACTAGACATAACTCAGTACCTCGCCATGACTCGCAAGCATTTCAAATGTCGTTCTGCTAGCAGGCCCGAGTCCTGAAAAAGAAGGGTTCACAATTATATCTATTTTAATATTATATTTATAATCGTTAGACAAAAATTTTGGGAACACTGTTGTAGATAAAAAAACTATGCTTTTTCAATCCAGTCAATTCTTGAAGTATGTAAAATAGCCAAAATGAGGCAGTTTAACGACAGGTTTTATCATAAAGCCCTGGTCTGACAAAATAAACATTGAGCAAGGAAACATAGAAGAACAGCAAAATCAATGAGCTCAAACATATAAAATGCTTCTAGAACAATTCTATACTCCGGTATAATATACGTTTCTCATGTCTGGCAACAGAATAGTGACCATTCATTAACACGAGGAAAACAGCTATGGAGCCATTGAAAGAAATAAATTATACATACCGTAAATCCTCGAATTGCCCCCCCCCCTCGAAAAAGCACCCCCCTCGAATAAGCCCCCATCCTAGAACTACAAATTGTCAATAAGCCCCCCCCCCTCGAATAAACCCTACTTCTCCTGTAAATTCTCGAATTGACCTCTTAACTTGATGATTTTTGTCATCTGAGGTTGCCTTTGGCGGTTTATTGAATTGTTACAACAAATTCATACCTTTGGTAGTAATTAATGAAATGCTCATAAAGACATTTCTACTAAAATAAACGAGGTCTTTTAACAATGTCTTCTTGATAATGTCTACAATAATTTTATAAGCCCCCCTCGTATGAGCTCCCCCTCGAATATGCCCCCATCCAAAAATATCAAAAATAAATTAGCCCCCAGGGGGCTAATTCGAGAATTTGCGGTAACTGTTAGGAAAGATGACACAAAAATGAGAGAAGGAAAGTTCTGAAAACAAGGCAATGCATAAAATGAAGCAAAATGATCGCGTGACAGCACCCAAAGGTTTTAAAAAAATCAAGTAGATTAAGGTAATAAAGGACAATGTTCATCTTTTTATAACTGCAGGATGATTTATAAGATTTAGAATTAACATACCCGATTTTTTAACTTTTGGGCGATTGCACCAATGCCTCAAATCGCTCTCGTAGCAGTGAAGAAAGTTGTTAATGAGCTGGTTCAGCATAGTTATTGTCAACGAAAATTTCTTGCAGTACCCATCCAGTTCACTTTGAGTAAGCTCATTGCACTGGAACTTTAAAAAAAACAGAAAAATATTCAACGACGGCCTCTAGGATTTGCCCCACAGAATCAATATAGCAAATAAGAGACGATGCTATGGTAACAGGGAACCTTGTAAGTATATGCATGCCTCATTTGAAATTTTAGCCATGAGAAAGCTGTTTCAAGTTTAGAATTAACTTTGTAAACAGTTCAACTAGAGGTTTTTCTGCCTCACTTAGAGCATGAAATAATTATAATAATAATCTACCATATTTATACAGGATAGCCTTTTCAGTAAACATAATACTGCTATCACTAAAGGTCCTGTTAAAATAAAAGTTTGTAAAGTAAAAGGTTCAAAATTATAAGAGATTGAAGTTAAAGCTTAAAAAAATTTTAAAAGGTTACAAAAGTTACACTACAAAAGTTAAAAAAGTTACACTAAAAATCTAGATTTGTGTCCCTGCTGGTTGCTTTAAATCTCAAAAGTGATTTTTCAGTTTGCAAGCTATTGGGTAAGTTATTAAAAATCTTTGCACCCTGGAATAAGAATGTTTTACGCCCCGTTTCTGTATCTCTGATGGTCTTAAAAAGTTACTTGGGTTTTCTGAAAATTACAAGAGCAATGGTAGCCTTCGAACAGTCATAGGTACAAGCAGCAATTCTGCAGTATTCTTCTAATATATCTAAATCTAAAGAATTCATGTTCATATGGAAACCCTGTCTAAGATAATTTAAAGTAACTTTTTTGGATCATCTTTTGTGGTTTTAATGAAACTATAACTTTCAATAGGAAATTCTAAAACATTCTGTCGATTGATTTTCGCCAAATCATGCTTTACTATATTTTTCTTCTATAAACACTTGTCACACGCAATTAATACTGCACGACGCGCCCAACAATGCCACGCCAATTCTTTCTATCATGTGTCAGTTCAGATAATCTATTCAATGTTTGTGCTTCTTTTGAGAGATCCAGTTTGATTCCGATGCTGGCCAAATCTTGCCTTACTGTCTGCATCCAGGTTTACTCTTACATGCATAAAAAAGTAAGCTATACCTAGAGATAGAATACTAAAGATATATTTTAAAGTTCTGAGCCGGATATTCGATACAAAAACAAATAGCGTACCAGTACTTCATAATATAAGTTAGAAGAACTAAATCAATACAAACCTTTTTCTTGACGCGGTTATACTCTTTCATAGTGTTGTCGATGTCTGCTGTTAACTTGGCTTTTATCTCTTCTAAAACTGAATTATCTGGAGCAGATGATCTGAAAGAAGGGAAAGCATAGCAACAGATTTACTTACAAAACAAAACATGCAATACAATAATACGGAAAACATAAGCAAACTTTTTAAGACATGATAAAGTTTTCGTCTGACACTGCTCAGAGGATAAAAAGTCAGAACATCGATTGAAAACTTTAAGCAAGGAAATAGAAATACTCCGTTGTAGATCGAATTTGGTGTATATTGTCAAGCCTCTCATTTTCATCCTTACTCTGAGGTATGCCAGATCGAGAGCTTCATTATTTCCCAGATCTTGTTGTAAAATCGACATATCAAAAAAGGAAAACAGATCGGAGACAATGGTGATAAATGTAAGAAAAACAACCAATATGGGCGAATTTCTTTGTGCCAAACAAAATAGTTCCACACTTTAACTGCATCTAGAAATTCAAACTTGAAAAAAATTGACAAGTTAGACTGCCTTGTCTTTTTGAATAATACAACAAGGACTTACGATGCTTAAGGAAAAAAAATCCTTTTTTCGATAAGACCCATCAGCTTCATCAGTAATTCTAAGGATAACCGATGAAAACGTTTCAAATATTTGCACTTCCATTCCATTGATCCGCTTCAATTCACAATTCATTTGGATATGTAGTTTTTGGCCAACACACTGTAGCAATTGCTTTTCTAAAGATTGCTTGGTAAATTAGCAGCATGATATGGATAGGTGCAAAAAATCAGTGTGCCAGATATATTGAGCCGTACTAGTTTATATATACATATGTATACACTTGTGGAGATTTTAAAGCTGCTTGAAATTGTTGTGGCTAAAAATTGAAACACATTTCAGGCTGCCATGGGAGCAAATTGAAGTGCTTTAGACATTGTACCTGTACTTCTTCTTATCTGCATCTTCTGTGAAACCCTTCTCTAGGTCTGGAGGAAACAAAGTGACTGATGATGCAAACAACTCTGTTACATCTTCTTGTCTGACCAGGTTGTCGATGAATCTGCAACTCTTCTCAAACATTTCCCTTTCAGACGGCAGTTGATTTTGAGACGTGCTTAAACAATAAAGTGCAGCAACATCAAACCACCAAAATAAATTGACTACAGAAATAAAACATCACCAAAAAGAGCAAATCAAAAGAAATTTAAAAGTAAAATGCAAAGAAGAAACAGGTCTGAAAATGAGAGCTAAAAACTAGTACATGATAACTATAATATAGCAAAGTACCTTCTCTTTGCAGAGTGAAAATCCCTTAAAGATGCAAACAACTGATGGGACTATATCAACGTGAAAAATCAATAAACTATAATATTATTGCAATATAAAATTTTATTAAGTAATATCTCGTTAACAAACTTACTATCCAAATCTTTTGAGGAGACTTTTTTTGAAGAAACTAAAGGATGCTTTATCAAAGAATATATAACAATCCAAACATAATTATAAATGGAATAGCACTGGACTACATTAATAGACAAATATTATCAATAAATTAATGTATGCCAACTAGAACTAGATGAGGTTTTCAGTTAGTTTTCATGTAAACAAACAAGGGCTATGAAATATTTTCAAATCACCTGCTAAAATCTGGATTGCTTCTTTCCTTTCTGACAACAAAATTAGCTTTATCTGATGTTAAAACAAGCTCTAAGAGATTTTCCAAAAATATCATCTGTTTCTTTTTTGATGCTGTTCCCTGGAAAAAAGTTTGGGTATAGAATCGCAAAACCCAACAAAACATTGTAGCATCAAAATCATAAGATACCAAAAGGAATTTTTAAAATAAAATCGTTCTCTCAATTTACTAGTAAATCATATTGGCCAGCAGTGAACAAAATGTGAATATCACCAATCTTTCCATGTGTCTTTAGCTATGAACAGAATCCCCCTATTCCAAGGAAACTAACTCTGGCAAACTCAGATAAACTTTGGATAAACTTTGATAACTACCATGAAAACCAAAATTTTAAATATAAAAAATAAGCCTGCCTCAAATTACCTTGATAAGTTCCAAATCATCGGCTCGACAAACACCCAACAGGTTACAAATAAACAGCATCTCTAAAAAAGATCAAAATCTCAGCATTAAAATGCAGTTTAATAAACATGTTTAATCTTCAGCAATGTACCATATTGCAAAACTTTGCATTCTAGTAAAAACAGATGAACTTTAGTTTATACACATTTTGTGATACTGTTTATGTTTTCCAGAATCATTCCATCTATCATCACTAATTATTAACAAAGCTGAGCAAATACATCTTTAAAAGGGTAACCAACTCCTAACATAGCCAGACCCTTACTCTGTACTCTTGATTCAATCCGATGGTCTACTGAAGGCATCTGCTTAGAGAGAATCTCTCCAAACTTTGGATCAAATCTGAAAATATAATATATTTTGAATTACATGTTGTCCACAGAGTATGTCTCATAAAAAACTAAATCTCCCCTATGATGTTCAAATTTCAAAGAGCATTTATTGCTTAAATACAATATATTTTATGTAGAAGGTCAGATTGGGTCCCACTTAAAAAAATATCTCAACAAGAAGTCTTTAAAAGAAACAGTTCGAAAATACATTTAATAGCCTCATGCTGATATATTATGAAAACATCACTTGCAACTATCTTTTACATGGTTATTTATTAACTTTTATCAAAAACATGAAATATTCCTACAATTGGTGAGCTCTTTTATGTTGGTTTTCAAATCAAGGCAAAAAGGAACATAACATGATTATAAGCCACTAACAAGCTTTTTAAATCAACAACCAAATCTGGATGTTAACTTTATCTTAGCCTAAGCAATCAAAACAAGTGAATAAAGAACACAGTGGAAAAAAACCAACTTTTCAATAAGCCATGAGAGAAGTCTCATTCTTGCTTCACATGGTTGAAAAAAACTTAACACCCAACTGTCATCATCATCTTCAATGAAGGGACAATCCATTTCCTAAAAGTTGATAGATACCTCAATTTAGGTCATGTTTCAAAAACTACCAATATTGATTATACTATGATGTTCACTGATAAGCCAAGATTTTAACTCCAAAAAACCTTTTGCTCAAAATCAAAACTGATTATTATTATTATACATTGGATGAAACTTTGGAAAAAAATGACCAACCAAGTGTTCCTGGTAAAGGTATTTTCATCTGATTACTCACAACTGCTTAAACACACTGGCACAATCCATGACACTTTTAGATAACAGGGCACTTTTAGATAAACAGGGTTTTTCTTTTTCTTGGACTAAAAACAAATACATTGGTTTATAATTAAAACAACCATAACCAATTGTTTGTTCACTATGATCTATAGAATCAAGTCTTGTGTGGCCTATAGTACTTAAGGTAAGGCTACCATTCATTCAGAAAAATTGCATTCCTACCAATCCAAAACTCTAGGGTCTTTGCAGCTCTTTGACAATTTCATTTTTAGTTACTTTTAGACCTCAAGAAACTGAATTTTAGGAGTGAGGAAAGTGTATCATATTTCTTTTATAATTAAACAATTTGAAATAAACTGGCAAGCAAAACTCGTGCATAGCATAATATAATTTGGATTGTCACACACAACATTTGATCTCATGCACACACATAGTCTCAAAGCAATGATGCCGGAGAGTTTAAAGCAAACCCAAATCCATAGCTCTATCTTTGAATCGATGATCGATGCAGACTTTTTAAAAAAATATATCATAAAACCGCTTTACATACATACTTGAATTCCATTACCCCCACCCCCCTCCTACTTCTACCTGTGCACAAACGTATGCTTTTTGTCAGATGCCTCTCCGTGTGTTTGTACTATGTGAATGACCCCATGGGTCGTTCCATGCCAAGTGGACTAGGAGTTCCACATGCACAATTTCAGATTTTCATGAAAATTTGTGAAAATTTTCATATACATAAGATAGGAACATCCTGAAAATTTTAGCTTGATATCTTATAGCATCCCAAAGATATGGTTCTTCAAAGTTTCCAACTTTGGCTCTGATGCAGAATTCTGTGAGGTGGAAACAAAATGTTGCTTTGAGCTCCTATATTTCTTGATCTCATGTTGGTAGCCTCTTCAAAACTGATAATCTCAAACTTCTTTTGGAGCAGTATCCGAAATGAATTACAAATAAATTCATACTTCAATATCTGGCTCATAATGGTAGCCTAAAATTGCTAAGAATTCAGAGCAAATCAGAAGGTAGGAATTGTAATTGGTAGAATTTCAACAAGTTGTTGGTCTTTTTGTAAATTTGAATTAAGTGTAAGGGTATTTTTTTTTCAAATTGCATCTAAATTTAGGGGCAGGGATTTTGAAAAATTTATAAATTTTAGGGTATTTTTCCATGTTTAAAATGGCACATCCCCATCCTCAGCCTATTAAAGTTATACCCCCAGGCTGTACTGACTTGTTAAAAGGGGGCTGAGTCTCCCCAAAATCTTACTCAATTTTGACAAGGACCTTAGAACCCCTGACCAGCTCAAATTTGTTAAGGTGACACTAATTTATAAAAGCAAGTAAAAGCTAGACAATAGAGACTATTGTACTATTTCAATTCTCCCTATTTTTTGCTTGGTCCAATTCTTGAATAAACATAATCATTTTTGAACATCAGTATGGCTTCCAAAATAACAAATCTACTACTTCAGCAATTCTGGAGCTTCAATCACAATTAGCTACCAACATTGAGGAAAAACTGACCTCATGTTGCATATTTCTAGATTCATCCAAAGCATTTGAAACAGTCAACCAAAATATTTTGTTTTAAAATTAAAGTACTATGGAATTAGGGAAATAGGACACCCATGGTTTAAATCTTACTTGATAAACAGAATTCAAATAGGTTCTGTGAATGGTGAAAGCTCAATGAAATTAAATATTGATTATGAAGTCCCACAAGGGAGTGTATTAGGCCCCATAGTGGCAGAAATTTAGGCTTTCATTTGGGGGGGCAGGCCTATAAATTTCTGACAAGATATCATCTTGGATCATGTCTAATTTTAAGGAAACTGCACATGTTGATAAAAATAGGTGATTTTTGGCTGGACCCTTATAAAATTACTCTTTTACCCCCATACCCCAATAATTTCTGTCACTGTTAGTCCCCTCCTTATATTAACAATATATTAACAATATACACAGCTCCTCAAAAGTCTTTGAATTTTGTCTTTTTGCAGATGACACAAGCATTCTGTTTGCTGACAAAATCCTAAATATTATAGAACAAACAGTGAATTTTGAAATAAATAATGTTTCTCAATGGCTCTTAGCTAACCAATTATCTCTCAATGTAGCTAAACAAAAAGTTGTTAGAGTAATTGACTTTGCTGGCTATACTGCACACTCAGAGCCAATTTTCAAACGCTTGAATGCAAAATCCATGTTTCAAATTAACCAAGATAACCATCGTACTTTTCATCAAACTGAATTCATCAAAAACCTCCAAATTACATCAGTATAATACTAGGCAGTCCAATCTTGGTTTTTCTCTTCCTTCAGTTTCTACCAACTTTAAAAAAAATTCTTAACATTTGATGGAGTTAAGCAACAAAAATACCTTCATAAAAGGATGATAAAAATTTACCTGATTTTCAATCACTTAAAACTTTAAATACACTTCTAAACCCTCCCTACACCTATTGCTAGTTTCTTATGACCTTTTTATTATGCTTCTTTTATCAATTATTTTTAATGTTCATTTCAAACTAAAATCTTTACATAAGATCATTATGAGTAAGTACCTACGTCAAGCCCAGACTGGAAACTTTGCTGCGCGCCCGCAATATATTGCCCGCGCACACCTCTGCGCGCTTTTGCATATTGGCCGCGCAAAATCCCCTAGATCCCTTGACAATAGGATTTAACATTATTAACAATAAAAATAACTAAGAGTGCATGATTTCAGGCGCGCAGTCTCAAATTTTCAAAATAAACTTGCCCGCGCAAGAAGCAAAGTTTCCAGTCTGGCGTCAAGCAGGACACATTCTCAATAGTTCATCGTTAGTTTTATTAATGTGTCCTTCAGCATAATAAAATACCATTTTTTACTGATCTTATCTATTTTTCTAATTTTAAATGTCTAGTAATTGTATTAGTATATTGTAATAAATTTGTCTGCTTGCTGAAAAAGATTTTCAGCTTGACTCTTTGGCCAACACCAACATCATGGCTCGTGCCATGTGCATTTGTTGTTTGCATAGAAACGGTTGCAAGCGTCGGAACTTCAACAATTTTGAATTACAAAATTCTTAGTTGAAGAAAATTGAAGTAAGTACCTGAAGCATCCATTTAATCTCTTCTAGCCTTGGGTTCTTTGCTGGGACAGTGCTCAGTTCCGATTTTGCCGCCATTTTCGAATAAGTAAAGCTGCTGCGATGAAGTGAATGCTCCTGCGCCGCTATATGGAGTGCTGGAAACCAGTTCCGTATCTTTTTGCGGGGATTGATTGCCACTGTAAGGCTACCGTCGATATTCAGTACCGTAAATCCTCGAATTAGTCCCCCGGGGGCTAATTTATTTTTATATTTTTGGCTGGGGACTTATTCTAGGGGGCCTCATACGAAGGGGGGGGCTTATAGATTTTTTGTAGACATTAAGAAGACATTATTAAAAGACCTTGTTTATTTTAGTAGGAATTTCTTTATGAGCATTTAATGAATTCCTACCAAAAGTATGAATTTGTTGTGGTAATTCAATAAAACGCCATAGGCAACCTCAGATGGCAAAAATCATCAAATGGAGGGGTCAATTCGAGAATTTACAGTAGCAGTGGGGGCTTATTCGAGGGGGGGGCTTATTGACAATTTGTAGTTCTAGGGTGGGGGCTCATTCGAGGGGGGACGTTTTAGAGGGGGGCAATTCGAGGATTAACGGTATGTAAACAACGTAAGTCACGTTGTTCACATACTGAAGATGCAAAAGCCGTTATCAGATGCAGACTTTGTTTCTCTAATTTCTCTTTCCTTACTACATGTCCCAGGAATTCCAATTGCTTTCTTCGGGTTGTCTTCAACAGCTTCCTTTCCCTGCCTACCCTTCCCAACACCTCTTCGTTTGATGCATGGTCAGCCCACGAAACTCTTAGCATTCTTCTTAGGAACCACATTTCTGCAGCTTCTAGCCTCATCGCCATTTTGGCTGACATTGACTGTCACTTTTAACAACTTCACATGGGCTCCGAGGGCTCCGACGCAGGTTGGAAAGTGGGGAGGGGGTCAAGGGAGACTTTAAAAATCATAACAAAAGGTTTTTATAAAAGCTCTATTGTTTTGCGAAAAGCGCTATTGTTTGGCCCTGCTTCTGTAGGCCTGATGTGTCAACCAGCTTCCAAAGCCATGTCTGTGCAAGGAATTGACATGCTCATCTCTGACACGAAAAGAGCAAAATAAAGCTTTTATTTCAAGCCACCTTTCCTGGCAGCGAGGCGAGACAGCATCCTAAATTTTCTGCGAAGGAGAGCGCTTGCAATCTAAATTTTCTTATGTACCGTTATGTATAGCCACAGAATAGAGATCTCTATTCTGCGGTATAGCTCAACGGGCGACTCAGCAGGATAAGCTAAGATTACGATTTTATCTTGCTTTGATTCATATTCAAAATATTCAAGTAATTTTGCATTCCTTGACAGTTTGGCTATAGGTAAGATTAACCCCGATAGAAAGAGCAGTGAACCTCGCCACCAGTCTTCCTTGTGCATAATAGATGTTTTCCACAAGTCTAACCACTAAATAGCTTGATCGTTGGAACACGATTTTCGGAACGCAGTGGTCCTTAAGTGCAGACCAGCTGGCCGTGTACAATAGAAAGAAGTTTTTCAACAAGTGTCTATCTTGGAGAAGGGCCAGTTGTAGCGGAAGAGGGGACTGAAGCCCCGTTATTAATGCCACATCCCATATCTTCTAATTCATATTCTTTCTATTGCTTTTGGTTTTTGAGAATATGTCTGAAGCACCTCTACAACAGAATTACCTCTACAACAACTTGTCAAACGCTAATATCAACTCAATTTTAAATAGTACAATTTTTTAATTACGAAAGCACGAAAAAATTAAATATACGCAATATCAAAAAGCTATTTTACAGCGAAAAATCTATATAACCAACTAATAATTAGAATCCGGGGTTTGAACATCTTGGGAATCAGTATTGTTCTACTGTTTTTTCAATCTTGTTTCAAAGCATTTGTATAGAAATGTGGCAACTAAATTGAGACCTTCTAATTTTCATTGCGCTCGAAGACCTTTAACTACAAAAAAATTTCACCGGTTGTATTTCAAATGAGATTGAGAAAGAATGAGCTGCTGTTGAAAGGCGCACCATCCAAGTATGATAAGAACAGATGTTTTCAGTACATTTCTGGAGGCGGTTTCTGGCAACTTAAAGCTGTATCCAAACCACATTTCGTAGAGCCTGTGCTCCAGACCCCTAAGTAGAGGGTCTGTGTAAATGTAATGACCGTTCAGAAATATCAGCAATTCTTCTTGTATGATTAAAAAGATCTGTGATAATTCTGCAAACAATTCAATTCAATCTTCGTACTTGATTTGGCTCTCGGTTACATAGATCATTACCCTGGGTACCAGACTCACTATATAAAATAATAGAGCTCTCTATTTTATTTTTTATATAGTGAGTCTGGTACCCAGGGTAATAGACCCTCTACTTTCAAGTTAGTAGTCTGGAACACAGGCCAGATCAGCGCTTGCGTATAGAAAGTATACCATCTCTACAACCACCGATTACTTAAAAACGTTTCTTGTTAAAGTTATTTGCAAAGAGTTGAAATGTATTTCAGTGGTAAAAAAAAGAAAGTGCAAACGGAAGTAGCTTGTAGAAACAACACACGTACAACACACAGCACACAGAAAAATAATTCATCTCCCTGTCAATTTCTTTAGAAACGCATCTTTACCAACGCAATTTCTTCAGAAACGCAAGAAAGTCAAATTTTTACCAACTGATATAAAAAGGGGTTTTACTATAGCTTGATCAAGGTCAAGTACGGTAGATAAGGCAGTAGAAATTCAACTATATTGACTCCTTGATATTATATGCACCATTAAATGTTCACAGCGTGAAAAGTGAGTAAAATATGCCTGCTCAAACTGGGCTTCTTTATTGATTCCCTGAAAAATTCTTTCCTTCCAATTTTATAGTGTCTGTTTAGAGTTGGAATGATGTGTATAGAATGGCGTGTGTATAAAGAAATAAACGTGCATTGAACGAAGGGGTTTGCTTTGCAAAAGATTGATGGAGTGCAAAAAACGTTGGAAAAAATAAAAGAAGAATAGGATTAGAAATAGAAAAAGAAATAGGCAATAAATCTAGTAACCTAGAATATTTGAAACTTCCATCTTAAAATCAACAGCAAAATAATATCGATATAACCATTAATATATATATTGCATACATCTTTGCTGAAAAATTATGTAGAAACATTTGAGAAACTTTATCAGGTGATTTCGTTCAATGGCTCCTCTACCTCGAGTAAAATTCTCCGTTGTCCATTCAACGACGCACGTTCCTCTTCCCCATTTCTCCTCAAAAGTCTAGCGAGATAATATCTGTCTAGGCCCCGCAGAATCAGCGGCTCTGACAAAAAGTATCCAATTACGATACCAACTATGACTGTAACAAAAATCAAGGAATTGTATGTCATAACAAGCAGCATGAGAAAGTAACCGAATGTCAGTTGAGCTATGTATACCAACGTTGCGAAGATGTGTTTCATCAGTCTAGAAAAGGAAAAGAATTTATTTAATTAGTTACAACAAATTGCGGGTAAAATGACCCTTCGTGGTTCATTGCGAATCAAGAAAAACAGCTGTAAAAGAAATTTAAAAAACTACACACTTCTAGGAAGCAAAAGCACAGGATTTTCTCTCTCCTAGAGCAATGCTCCCACTGGTCTAACACTGGCATAAACTGGCTTAATCAGGATAACAAGTTGTACGGATAGGCTAGTCGGAAAAGTTCTGTTACGGACTCATAGCGAGGCGGCGATATTGTCCATCTTCAGCAACAACACAATGCAACTAGAAGTAGTAGAATTCTTAAGGAGGAGCTCTCAAAGTAGGTAAACTAACGAGATGCGATTTTGACACAATGAGGTTTAAATTTAAGCCGCAAGCTTTGCTTTTTATAACAGTTTTCGCTTCGCTCGAAAGAATATTATTATCTGCTGATGATAAGAGTACTTCAAGGATCCAGCGCATCAGAAGAATTCTTAAAAAAAGGAAGAACAGCGTGTGTATATTTCGGCGAAGATCTGGCGGAACAAGCAGTTCGTGGGATAATTTTGTCAATGCTATGGTATTGCCAGAAGAATTGATTGAAAACTTTTGAATATCAAAGGAGAGTTTCATTAATCTTTGTCTGGAATTGAAGCCATTCGTTGAGAAAAATCTGATGTATCCGTACTTGTGTAAATGGAAAGTCTTTCCGTATAAAAATTTATCCAGCATCGTGTAAACGAACAAAGCCCTGGCTAAACGAATAAAACATCGGAATGAAACATCGTCCAAGATTGTTGGATAGAACATGTTTTATCCTTTGGCTACCATGTTTTACGATGTTTTGTGATGTTTTACGAAATTAAATTTCCATCAAACATTTTGTAAAACATAATATTTGTTTTCATGTTTGACCAAAAATGTTGCGTTAGTTTGGCCATCCCTTAAAACGCCACCGCAAGCGCAAATAAAACGCCGTAACTGTAGAAAGCTGTGCGGCAGCGCTTGACCACCACAAATGTTTTGACATCCGTTTGATTCGTTTGGCTAGGTCATAAAACATCGTCCAACAATGTCTGTACAACAATCAACAATGTTGGGTACTGTTTTACGGATGTTTGATTTGTTTGGCCAGGCCATAATTTTAATACTAAAAATGGTAGGTTTGGAAGAAAACCCATCCTTAGAAGTGATAGACTGTGTTAACACTGCAACACTTTGGGGTTAAGCCTTTGATTATCTCATCGGTCCATTATATCAAGAAACAGGGGATCAATTATTCTATGAGCTATTTGATCCACCTGAACAATTCATAATCGAGTCAGGAGGATCATAGATGTTGAACAATGCTTAACAAGTGTTTCGTAATTAATCAGCAACTTTTTTGAAATATGGAATAGCAACTCATAATCCAAAACTGATCTCTTACGTGCGCTTTGATCTTCGCTGCTGTACATATATTACCAATAATTCTTTATTCTTTTCTGGGCCATTTAGGCTTGAAGTACTTTATGAAATAATTCTACAACAAATTCACCAGACCACTCCATGTGACTGAGCACTTAAAGCAGAAGAACGGTAGAAAACAAAACTTTTGCGATACGGATATTACCACAGAACAAGGCCTCCCCTCCTCTCTTCTCCTATAGAGTAATCTTTTAAAATGACAAGAACTGTGTGAAACAAAACCTCCCATTAAATGAATGATTTGTCTATGGTCTGAATCACTACAGATACCACCTAATAAATCATATTCACCTTTTACGCAACAGTGAGTCTCTCTCTTTCTGCGAGCCTGGACTCTGTCCTGACATCAACAGTTTGAAGACAAAGTATTTTTGAAAACCTCGAAGGCATTCGTAGAGCAGAGCGATTGCAAAAACCAGAAGCAGGTACAGTATCAAGTCTAGAAATGGAAAACATTTTTCAGTTCAAACGAAGAAACAAACCTGGTTCTGTTATCTTACCAAACATAGAATGTCTTGTTCCTTCTAGCGCCTAACACCCGCGGGTTGTTCCTTATAGCGCGTAACATACGCGTATGCTACAGAGAACATTGCCTGTATTTAATCGTTTGATCCTTGAACGTTAGGAGCTACTAAAATGCTTAGAATCTTCCCTTATGCGTTTAATGCTTTCACTATCTCTTACTCTCTATCATTACAAGATTATGCCCCTCCAAGTTCATTAAAGTTTTGGTTGACGAAGGAGGTTTCAGGAAATGATTCTATGGTACCGTAAATCCTCGAATAAGTCCCTCCCTCGAATAAGCCCCCACCTAAAAAATCATTTTTGCAAATAAGCCCCCCCCTCGAATAAGGACCCATGAGCGCTTTTTCGAGGTAAGCATAATTGCAGAATAATATCTTATTTGAAGAAATCCCCCACATTATAATAGCTATACAGTGTTACTTCCTTTGACTGGAGACCAAAGAGCAAAAAAAGCGACTTTTGTGATGATAAAAATTACAATTTTTGTTAGTTCTTTGTTAGATTTGTTAGAAAAGAAATGTCGCTTTTATGTCGACCTTTGGGTAAAATACTAAACCTTGAAATAAGGCCTAAATGCACATTAGATTTTATAACAGAACCACCTCCCGTTTTAACATAGTAGTTTTGGAAACTGAAAGGGGATAGTCCCATATGATACGATTTTTAACACTATTATCGCTTTGTCTCCAGTTTTGTCAAATATCCAGATTTTCTAGGTTTTAAGCTTCTAGCTACTGAAGTTTTATTATGTTATAAATGCAATTGGCTTTACCAAACACAAAAAGAGACAAACAGGGTCCCCTAATATTACGTTACTCAATTATAGCAGCAGGGGACAATACACTGGTTTAGTCAAACCTTTGTTTTTATAGGCCAATGCAAAAGTTCATCAAAACTTAGCAGTTCTAATACTCTCACAGAGGCCAATGAGCCTGTTATAACAATGCGAATTATAGATTTTGACATTTCCTTCAATTGTGATTCCAACTTCACAGGGAAAGGCTTCTTCTTTGACTGCGTTTCCAAAAAACGGATTAATTTTCAAGTCGTTCTCTCTCTAGTGACCACAACATTTGTCGCTTTTCTAGACTTACAAAGAATCCAACAGCCTGTAGCTGAAAACTGATCTTTGAGCCAGAAAATGTAAAAAATTCTATGGAAATATTATTGACGTTATAACCAAGAAATCATAAGGACGGAAGGGACTGATCAATTTTTTAAAGCCTTTTTTCTTCTAAGGCGGAATTTTATATTAAATCCAGATTTCAATGGTCTCTTGTTCTGAAATCTTAATAAAATTTGCCAAGTATAATTTGCCCAGAATTTAATTATGTTAAGCATTTCTTAACAGCGTGAAGACTGATAATGAAAGAAACATTTCACTCTGAAAATGCTAGACATTCATTCCATTTTCATTGTCTAAACGGGTCGATATATACCTATAGCTCTGCTAATGTCGTGTCGTATTCAAAATACAACCCAAACTGCGAAAAATGGTTTTCTCTGCGTTACTAACAACGTTGCAGTCAGCTTCTCAAATAACCCACAGTTCTTTTGGCCTTATTGTTCGCGTAAACGAATCTACTTCCATTCATTTCTATAATTTACATCAACTTTCTACACCCTCTGTCTGCAAATGATAAGCGAATTCCAAACATAACGTTCCTGAAGCTGCATAGTCGTACAATAAAGCAAATCTTTATAATATGTGAAGTGCAAGTATAAGTTCCCTCTAAATTTGTATAAAAGCAGTGTATTTGAACGACAAATATGACAGACACAATAGGGTGAGCGACAATGAGAGACAAATAATGAGAGACAAAATGTGTATTTGCTTAAGAATGAAGCCTGCCATTTACTGACATCTAAGTCAACATGTAATTAAAACCAATCCTTGGCTAACTTGCTCACTATACCTAAAATCAAGTCTTATTCGTTGGAAGTTATCTGCTACAACCGCATCATGAAATATGATGGAAGAAAATGGAAACAATTTAAATTATCTGTAGCACACAAAAGACTACTTCGATAGTTCCATGAGCCTCTCGGTTAGAAAAAACGGGGTATTGAAAATATGACAACAGTACAGGCATTGAAAAAGTTTTGCAGGCAGTTTGGATAGTAGAATATGAAGCACTCCTTTTAAACCTATGTTCGTTTGATACATGACATTCCTGCTAAAACAAATCTCCATGACAATTGAAAACTTGGAAGCTTTTAGAAAAACTTAACTTAGGCAATAAGTACAGTGAACAAAATAACTGACGAAGTTAGGTTTACAGCCCCCTCCCTGGCTTTTAATGATTACGAGCTAAGTGGGGCTTTTGAGCGTTTAATTGCTGGGCCGGGTAAAACATAAACAACCATTTGTCTTAACATTCCTTGAAAACACAGACAACGCATCAAATGGCTTCAAAGATAATAAGCTTACAGCATACGTTTATATTAACAGCATTACAAGAAGAACAGATATAATAATAAAAAAGTACCCTTTGAATCTTCAGCTGTCCAGCTTTTGAATAAAACAGTGATTCTCCGATCCAAATGGAAGTTCATCATCTTGCAACCGAATATTCATGTCAGGAGATTTTAACCAACCACCAATGTAAATAACGCCGCACCACTAGAGAGCTTATTGGACACTGGAAAAAACGCATTTGTTAAAGGCCTCGGTTTAGAAGATATAGACAGAGAAAATCCATGAACAAAATCCGCAGCGGTTGTTTATGCCTTTGATATCAAATTTCACCGTACAACTATTCTACAATTTCAAAAGCTTGCACAGCAGCCCCTAACTTGACTTCGATTTCAGTTCGAAGTGAAATGAACAGAGCTTACCAAGTTGTCGTTAGAGAGCAGGGATGCTGCAGAAGACCTTCTCCCCCTGTCAAATGACAGAATAGAAATGAAAATTGAACAGAAAAAATCCCTTAAGGAATCTTGACCAAACGCCCTGCACAACCCCATCAAACATTTCCCAATTAATGCAGATCTCTGTCGTTAAACAAGCAGTGAACAACTTGACATGATCTATACTGGTTGAAAAGCAGGAGAGCCTGCACCAAAGGAAGACACGGAACTTGTGAAAGGGACTAGAAATCTACCAGATGTGATTGTATTCATTGCAATTTATAAGGGCACACGCTTTCCTACTATGTGATGTGGCCCCTCTGCTTTTGAAATTGAAAGCAGCAGATTGTTTTGATCAAAAATCTTGGGTGTGTAAGTGCCCTACTATTCATACATGTCAACTACCTCCCTTTTTAATAAGAACAATTCTATAAGAACACAAGAGGCTGAGCAACTGCAAATGTAATTTTGAACAATGTTCATTTCAAAAACTGAGTGTTTATTGCTATCTAGGGGTGCTTTTTCGGTGAATTTTCAAACTTGTCGCCAAATAAAAGATGTCTCACCAACTTTGTTGGCAAATGAGGCCTGACGCACCTCCCTAGAGCGCACCAGCTAGCAATTGCACTGCCTACACCCTTATAAATTAAGTACAAATTAAAAACAATCCGGCCTGAAATTCAGTTTACTGGTTCTTTAAAAAAAGTGTATAATATTTTGATCAATTGTATAATATACAAATGCCGTATACATATGATACAAATATACTTATGGCACAAAGTGTACATGAAAATGGCATACCTGTTAAGTTTTGGTTGTGTTTTCTACCTCCTATTACTGAATATACATCTTGTGAATGTCTACAATAGAATAAAACAACAAACTAACCAACGACACGCTCCAAGACACAAAAATGTGGGCTACCAAAACATCGATTCAAATTCATAAATCTGATAACAGATGCTCTAGTGTGTGAAATTTGGCTGTTCAATACAACAATAAATATTTGTAAAGTTGATTAACCTCAGACCTGTTTGCACTAACGCAACCTCTTACCAAATAACCATAAAGAAAATACTTTGGATCCCCCACAATACTGTATCCATAACTCATGCTTAAATATTGACTTATGGGTAGAATTACTGCAATCATTTGGACACATCTTGTTAATATATTGCTGTTTGAGAGTTACCTAGCTGCTCCTTCAACGACACTTATGTAGATCAAACGGAACATATGGCCCACAATCTTTCACAAACATCCCAGGAATGTGACTTTTGATAGAAAGGAGAAGTCTGCCACAAATATAATATAGTATCATTACCATAACACACTAATTCGACTTACGGCCTTCCTTTCAAAAAATTCTTCAAATTTATTTGTACAAAATTTTTGACCTCAGATTCGGATTGAGAGCAATGATTTTAATCTACTTGGAAGTTTTCATACTGGTATTGCTCACGAAATTGATTTTATAACGACGTGAAGATGAAAATTTTATAAGGGATTTGACCGTGATTGGCAACTAGGGGGGTAAAGTTTCCCCCCGAAACGATTTTTGCGGTCAAATCCCTTACAAGTTTTCAAACTTCATTTCTCCGTAAAATCTAAAATATAGGCTCAAACAATATGAATAATTGTATTTCGCCTAAAATTAAGTTTGGAGAAATTTCTAAAACGAGGTCGTAAGTCGAATTGGTGTATCAGATGGAATAGTTGATGATCTTTGGTATAACAGAGAGAGGCAGCCGGGGGCCCTTAGGGATTTTCAATTGGGGGTCTCCTAGTAATATGATTAGAAAAATATAAACAAAAACATTAAAAGTCAATTTAATATGAGAAATTCACTTGTCTGAAATCTGAAATAAAATGAGGCTACAATCTCGTAAGAAAACAATAATTTTAAAAGCTCCATCGGCACGTTATGTTCTTGGGCTAGGCGAATCAATTCGATCACTACAACGCAACTGCACTCACTAATACTTAGAAATATTCTATGGACCGTTGTTTGTCTACATCGATGTTTTAGGATAAGGGACTGTGAAGCATGTTACGGAATTAGAGGGCTAAAAAGCTTTTGCAATACAATACAAGGGCAAGGTAGCTCTATGTGTTCCTTGTAATGTCTTTCAATGAAATTTGAAGCATTTACCAACGTCCTATGTTGAAAGATGTTTCAATTCAACGATGCATTTTCAACATCATCTACAAAATTGCCACGATCATTGGGAAATTTCTGCCCAGATCAAAGTTAGTCTAGCTTCTGGGACACAGTCTTCAAAATATATATGGGTTACAAGAATTGTGCAGGATTTCAGAACTTTCAACTGCAGCAGGATCATCGATCGCCATGGCCTGAGAAGTATTTAGATTATCTTGACTAATTAAAAATGTTGTCCCCACGGAAATCATCTCATTCAGATTCTGAAGAGACAAATGCAGGGGCGGTGCTAGGAAAATTTCTTATGGGGTGTCAAGTGTTTCAAATTGAGATCAAATAGGAGTTGTTTCAATCAAATAATATGAAGGCAAAGTCTGATGTCGAAAGTAGAAGGAGTCTTCTCCCTCCACCTCCCCCCCCCCCTGTTTAATAATTATTGACTTTTTCATTCTTGAATAAATTTTCTACTGTAAGTGTAAATTGAAATATAAGATGTTTTATTCATTTTGAAGATCGGCTGGTTTTCTAAAACCCTCCCTTAGTCCCCAACCTTGAAGTACTATTCTGAATAATATCTTAATGAAAAAATTAGGCATATAGACTGGCACAATGGTTGCCGCAGAAGGTAAAAAAATTTTCGAATTTAAATGCTTCCGGTTCGCTTGAGAATTGACTCAATGAAGCATTAATCGATTCTCTGGTAATAATGCTCGTCATTCGCGGACCCTACCCTGAAAAATTGTAATGTAAGGTTTGATTCCCACTGGTTTCAGTTTGCTAATTAACAGCTGAGATATCAACGTTTCGAGGAGCTAATGGAATACCCCTAAAGCAGTAGCATGAGCTTCAAATCTTTGATTGGTTAATACAGCAGACACACCCCCGAGTTCTGACCAATCAGATAACAAGAAACTGTAAACAAACGCCAACGAAGGCCACTTTTATTCATTTTAGCGCTACCCACTGAAATTGCCCGGTGTAAAATATCTGTTACGATAGATTTCAAAAATTTTAACTGAATCGTGCCCACAAAACGTAGGAGCAAACTTTTGTCGCGAACTTTCTCTATATTCTGAATACTCTTTAAAGAGCATCCTAAAGATGACGATTGCATTTCTAAGCTATTCACTGCAAACATTTACCTCAAGATACCCTAAGGTGAACGAAAAAATTGGGAAGTGAAATAAATACTTCAAGCATTTATCCAAGAAGTCTACACGAACAACTTCATTCAAAAGTCCCTATTTGTCAGTTGATCAGCTTGGTTTTTTCCTTAACTGGGGCAAATTTCTATCGCAAGCATTTGTAGCTAACTCGCCTAGATCAAAATATGCACCAAAACGTTTGATGATATACAGCTTGACGTTTCTGTTTCAATTCAAATCTGTCAATTATTAAATGACAAAGTAGGTTTGTAACATCGCAAAGTTATTTCTTTCGCCTGTTTTTTTCTTTTCTGCCGACTAGGATTCTGACGTGATTGCTAACTGGCGCGAAAAATCATCTTCCGCTGGTTTCTAATCTACTACTGTGCAGAAACAGAACAATCAAGAGAGGTCATCTTTATAATTCTTTTAACCTATCTTAAATTCTAATACGTCTAAACATCATACCTACTCAAATCCAACTAAATCAACACTCGACAAAACCTGTAGTATGATTAAAATTTGTTAATAATCACCACAATCAATACGTGTAAGTGCATTGTGCTTAATTAATCTCTAACGTAAAATGATGTTTCCCCTGTCTATTTGTTATTATCAAAAGTGCAAAAGGTTATATAAATTACTAGGCAACCAAACTGAAAGACTCAAAAAACAAACAATATTCAAAGTTAATACGACGCGCATTTTCACACAACGTGAGATGTTAAGTTCACATAAAGGAGGGAATGGTAAAAGCTAAAGGCGGCTTTCCTTACTACCCTCCTTGTTATGTTAGCTTGTTATATCTCTTACTTATGTTTGTAATTATAAATGTTTTTAAATTGATTAAATCTTCATATTGATGCAAACGTCTGAGCCTTTTCCGATGGGGACTTATCCGATAGGCTCAGACGCTTGCATCAGTATGAATATTTAATCAATTTAAAAACATTAATAAAACCATTCAACCAAAAAAAATATTAAAAAAATTGATGGAAATATTAAGAAACTATTAAGAAATGAAAAGCTTGATGAAATAAATCAGCCAGCCATGAAAAATTAAAAAAATTATAGAAATTAGAAAAATTATTAAAAATCAGCCAACTGTGAAAAAATAAAAAATAACATGCAACCATGAAAATAATGTAGCAAATAAGAAACACCGCAACGCGAAAAGAATAAACAACAACAAATACACATAAATCAGTGAAGACGTATATTTTGTTTTGGTATACAGGGCTTCATCAGAGCAATGTTCTCATTAAATCTGCGCAGTTTAGCTTCTCAATGTTTGTACTACTTACTGCTAAATATCAGGGTGTTAGTAAATAAAGAGAAAGAGGTCTTACATGTCTATGTGTTTATCAAATAGCCAAAATATTAACAAACCAAATATTAACAAACTATTGTATTATCTGCTAAAACATGCAATGGAATAGGAAATGTGTTCTCACGAAAGAAATAGTCAGTTATAGAGTTTGAGAAATTATATCACGATTTTTGCGGGAACGAGGAGTACAACTATGAATACGCTTAAAAACGAACGCTAAAGGGTTTAATAGGCCAATGGCCTGCTTATTCCTCATTATATCATATTATTATTATTATAACATATGTATAGCATGATTAAAGTACTACTGAATTGAAAAAATAAAAAAAAATTATTTCATTTATTGAAGGTATTAATTATCTTGCGAAAATTTCGAGCCCATACGAAAAAAGCAAACTTTTTGCGTGCAGTTTTTACCATAACTTCATGCCGATCATTTACCTTTTGTGAAATATTGAGCGTGTCGAATAAGAGTGCTTTTACGAACAGCTTTACAAATTATGAATAAAAGTGAGCAAATTGATCAAGGGATAAAGTTGATCTATTAGACATGAAGATGAAGGCATTGATGTAAACCGGTCAGGGATTATTTTATCAAAACTTTTCAAAGCTTTGCTTAGCTTTTAATTAGCAAAACTAATTAAAGCTTTTAAATTAGTAAAACTTTTTAAAGCTTTGCAAGAAAAAGAATCAATTTAAGCTAATCTAGAATTCGTGGTTGCAAATATCTGTTCGTCTATCCGTTTTGGCTTCCAGAACTTTTTGGCGTCCCTGGTTATAGCAGTAGCAACATTGTTAGCATCAGTGGCGTAGCGTCTATGTATGCTACGCTTGCGGCGCAAGCGTAAAAATCTATAGACAAATTCTAAAATTCTTGCAACACTTTCAATGCATAACAAGTTACGCAATAAACGGCTTCTCTTTCTTGTCATGAGCAGCATGCGGTGAACTCTAGCGCCAACAGGCCAATTGGCCCCAATTGGCTATTTTTCCAAGTAAACAGATCGCTAAAAATTATGAAATTCGAAAAATCTGAAAAACTGAAGCCCCTCCACATCACTCTTTTTGCCTGTCTAAAATAAGAGAAACATGTGATGCTCCAGTGCAGCTTCAGTGCAACTGGAGAGAAGCTTTTGAGAGAAGTGAGGATTTTCTGGACTGGAGCTTGCGGTCGGCCTGAGCGCAAACCTTCCCAAATATTTGATAATCCACAACATTTTTCTACCTATAAGCTGCTTTTTGCGAATATTCTTTGCGTGATACATCATTTCAAATCCAATTATTTTCCTTTCTTTACTTTGTGACTGTTGAAAAGAGAAAAAGTTTCATCAAAGTGGGGTCAGAGTCTATTTGTCATGATCCGCATTCCGTAATTCAAGTCAAAAGGCTTGCCAGTATAGCCAGAATTTACGGACCAGGGCATGCGGTAGACCTGAGCGCAAGCCTTGCCAAATACATGATGATTTGCCGGGACTAGCTTTCTGAAACTTTACACATGAAAGTATCTTCAATTCTAACAACTCTCACAGCTCACTATTTTCATCTTCGTTAACTATGAGAGTAAAAAAATGAGCAGAAACTGTTGTTCCTGTTCCCTTAGGCTCTGCAGCGTGTAACAATTTTGCAATGTGGAGAGCTCCTCCTTGCGGGAATCCCCAGCTTCATTATAGCATAAAAAATTCTTACATTAGGTGGGCATTGGGTGATGCCTTTTCTTGAGGAATATGAATAAGAATAAAATCTTTTGCGAAGCAGTTTTAGCACTAGGAGTTATTCTGAAAATTCTTGCTAAACAATTGAGCTTTTTTCAAAAACTCTCGCATGGGTGATAATTTTTTCCCTTGGCCCCCTTCACTTTCCAACCTCTGTCGGAGCCTCTGATGCAAAGAATAGACAACTTGATTGATTAGAATAAGAGTACAAATGATTTGTTACTTTCAAAATCAAAATTTATTATCACGATTATCATTAATTACCGCTTGTATTTTTAAGAAGCTGAAATTACGATTACATTCATTCAACATTCAACATTCATTCAACATATATATTATATGTTACCGCATGCCTAAGTTCTGCGCTCACGCTACGCCACTGGTAAGCATCATTGTCATGGTATCGTGATCCAAAATGAAAATTATGAAAATAACTTGCTTTATCTGGAACTTTGTTCTCCAGTCCATAAGTAGCACGGTGGGATCTTTTTTGGCGTATCAAACTGCCTATCTCTATCACGTTCCATGCTGGTATCGCGATCTAATGGTTAAATTGTGACAATTACTGCTTAGAGGTTTGGAACCTAGTATCCCACTCTATAAATAGCACAAAGGGATATTTGTCAGCGTCCATTTACACCCTATCTTTTTCGGCGTATCAAGCTGCCTATCTCTATCAAGTTTCATGCTTGTATCATGTTTTACACAATTTTTAATTTTTTATCTTCTTACAGCCCTTGCTATGGCTGAATTGACTATATAAATCTTAATGCGTCACTCGCCCCAGTCCCTTTTTACGCACGACCTACTTGCAAAAGAACCCCAGAAATCCCTACTTGTGGTCCCCAAATTAAAAAACTAAACTTTTTTTCGAAATCAGCGATGATTAGTCTACCAGAATCAACAATACAAAAATTCCATTTTTTCAATTCAGTGCCACTTTAATGCTACAAATGATTAAAGTGAGAAATGTTACACCATGCTGTCAAATACGAAACAATTTCTTTTCAAGTCACACTAGGCATTCCCAAAAAGCCACATTTGACTGGCAAAACCTAACAAAACTTTGCTATATTCCAAAAAGTTATGTTCCTTTTTGTCTTGTTTCAAGTTGTGGTAAAACAAAATTTAAAGGTGCATAAAATGCCTTCTTAAGGTGACTAGTGTTTAAAGAATTTAGCAAGGTAATGTATTTTTGCCTTTGTAAATACTCAAATATAAAAAAATTACCAACAGTTCTGCAAGGGCTCCAAGGGCTAAATAGCCCACAGAGCCAAACTGGCAAGGGCTTTTTATAGCCTGTGTTGCTTTTTTTCCCTGAGAGGCCTGAAGATGCACGACAAAGGCAATGCAACCTCTGTGGGAAATCATTTTTTTAGAGAGATACTTTTTGACCAGACTGGAAAGATAATCAAGACCATATCCAAGATTGTAACAATCACAGAAGTCTGGCACACCTGGTTTGGACTTTAGACAAGCAAATGTTTGCACTTTAGACAACTTAATGCTTAAGGTAATACAAACCTGATGAGTTTGGCCAGAGTTGCTATAACTATCTTTGTATAGTTTTATTTTGGCAAATTGATGAATTTAACATTTAGCTGTGTAACTTGAAGCTCGTTCCTTGTTAATTAAATTCTGATCAAATGTGTAGCACACTTTCTGGTTGCACATGCAGAGACCCAATTGATTCCCCATACAGCACTTCCATTGAAGAGCATCTGATGCACCCAAGATATGTTGTAAAAAAGTGTCACACTTTCCAGACTGTAATTTAGGGTTGCAGGCTTAAACACCCATAAATTAGGCCTGTATCTGACAGAACCTCCAATAAAAGGCTGGAAACTATTGGCAATTTTAGGGAGGTGCACTCTCTACATTAAAAAGAACTGGTAAACAAAGAAGGATGCTTTTATCAATCAAAATTCTCTAAACAAAAGATACATTTACTGACTAACACAATGCAACTATTTATAATTTATTTTTCAATCTTGAACCACCACTTTGGTGTTTACCATGAACACAAAGACGTATTGTGATTAAAGGTTATCTGTAAAATTAACTTAAACTTACACCTACGTAGGAGACGTAGGAGATGTCTGGCGTAGACTTCGTGATTTCCTTGGTGAACTGGCAAAAAACGAACAACAGTTGCGTTGGCATAAAGGTGGTTGTGTTGGCTGCCTGTGGTTGGGCCAGTTCATGTATTAAAAACAACCATTGTTGTTGTTAGCATTACGATGTTGGGCCAGTTTATGTATTAAAAACAACCATTGTTGTTGTTAGTAAAACTTCTTTGGCGTTAGCATTATGATGAAGAACTTCGCCGCAGCTTCGAAATTTACTGGCCAATTTCTGGCGTGAGGTTTACACGGATACTACCCTGGATGACTTCTACTCATATGCGACGGTAAAGTAACATTCATTTAGCAATCAAAAAGTGCGCAAATTAATTGCCGACTATGTTTAACATAACTAATATTCAACGAAAGAAGTGCACTATAAATAAGATATAGTTAAACTGTAGCGATACAATACAACACGCGAGAGGGAACGATTTTACTGCAATGATTTCTTTTCAAAGCCGAAACGTTAGAACATTAGCTCTGTCCTCGACAGAATGAGCGCATGGCCTCAGAGAATCCAAAAGAGAGGGTATAAGGTTTTGATTCAATCTTAAAAACGTGTTTGTGCTTGCTGGCTGCTTTCAATTAGAACGTTCAAAACAAAACAGATAAAAAACTGGAATAATTACGTTGTGTTACACTCAGAGGAAAAACGCATACCTCATTCTTTGCAACCAAAAACCTGACATTAAACTTCGTGATTCTTCTTGAAGACGAATCACAGCTGACTAAAAAATTTTGAACAGTCAACATGTTTTTCCTCCCACACAAACGAGGTTGTTGTTGTTGCTTCTCTTGCAACTGTTGTTGTTGCTGCGTTTCTCCTACATGAAGGGGTTTGGCAGTGGGCTTGGGTTGAGTTGACTTCACCGCACCCAGTGTAATATACCTAATCATCTCCGTTGGAGTAGCTGTCCTCTCAAATAGAACTCAAATTATATTTACTAAATACAGGGCCGTGCAAACAAACATTCTCAATGGGGTTAGGGGGAAAGACACTACTGGAAACTCTTTATATTGAAAGCTAACTGAAAGCTTATTTTTTAAAAACATCCTTCCTTCACAAAAATCACATCTCGTTCAATAAAGCATTTGCTGAGTGAGGGATTCACTCGACCAAAAGCTCGCTTTTTGGTAAATGAAATAAACTCACTGGATTGTAATACAATATCTCTGAATTACACCGCACCAATAAAGCCCCATCGCCGGTGGCCCTGCAAGACCCTTCCATTTCCCCCTCAGGCCCGTCGGAACTGGGGGCTGGAGCTCCCCAATAATTGTCAAACTGCAGTATGTTTTCTTTATAACAGTGTACTGAATGAGAAGGAAAACAATTGGCAGCCCCACCCCCCCCCCCCCCCCCCCCCCCAATATGAATTTCGTTCCGACGGCACTGCCTCTTAACGCAGAAATTTATTAGATAAGCAGCCAAGTTGAACTTTAAAGTTTAAAAAACTGCAAAGAATAAATACCTAAACAACTGAAATAACGAAGCATTAGGGAATAAACTTCAAATATCAAGGAACTGGGTAATTATTTACAATTTGAAATACAATGCACGTCCGAAAGAGAACAGTTGTGTCAATATGTTGGCTAGGTTTCTTAGAAATAACATTTCTCCCCCTTTAAATGTAATTTTGAACGTTTTCCTAATATAATTGTAATCGATTCCAACAATATCACATTATCCTACAAACAGAATATCGATCTCCGCAGATTACTGCGACAATGATTCGATGTGGGTCTTCTTTTCACGCCGTTTCTCAAACTTTCGTAAGATGCATGTCCATATGAAATCGAATAGCTCAATAAACGTCAGAAAACTAGCGCCAAGAGATGCACCAAGTAGGCCTCCGAGCTCACCTACAAATAAATGGAAATGGAGGAATAATGATTAAAAGGGAATGCTATTAAACATGGGTGCTTACTGCTTACAATCAAGGTAAGCAAAGAGAAGTAATCACCAGATGAAAGAGCAAAACAACAGCAAATTGAAGAAAATTGAATTTTGCGAGGGCTGGTCCCTGTTGCTTCTACTGTCCCTGCAGTTAATGCATCCTTGCTCTCAATGAATGAACAAAAGCCATATTTGTAACTTGACGCATGAAAATTTAAAGCAGGTTGTGAATTCGACAGCCGTTTATCAACCACAACATAGCTGTGCTGGAAGGATCTGCCATGCTTCTAAATGTCAAAAGCCTTTAGGCCAATAAGGTTGTGAAAAATATCAACTCGACCAGTTGCTGATTAAAATATAATGCATGTATATAGATGTAAACTGTGGTTAAATCAAATAAGATGAATGAAAAATTGACTCACTGTAAATGTCTCTAAGGGTTTTAGCAGGGCTTTGTCTTATCACAATATGACTCATTTGTTGAAAGAACACATCCAGCTCGATTACATTTTTTCTTGGAAAGAAAATTAAGTTAGATTTATAGAAGTTTTAACTTCAAATTCGTAAGGTTATATATAAGAGCATTGCCGGGAGAAGTTGTTCCCAAATAATGCTAAATTGATCAAAGGGGCGAGTTTTTTAATTAGAACTATTATGAGAAAAATTAGGAGAAACCAAAGAGAACGATTCCCCAACCTAAACTAAAAAAATAAAAGATCTAATCGAACAAGAAGGTATAACATATTTCAAGAAATATTGAAAACAAACTCAGTTTGTTCTCGATGTCTTTACGATGCATAATATAGAAAAAAACAAAGTGGGTATTTGAGCAGAAACAAATATGTAAACTATTTGACAAGCAATCTTGTCAAACATTTTGCAATGACACAACGATTCTAGAAGTTTACGAAATACCAGGTTGTTCTTTGAAAACCTTTCATTAGGCAATTTCCTGACCTTTTTCACTCTTTAATTTAGCAGAATCTCTGCAAAGGGAGAGTACAACTTCCTTTGTGCGCCCAGCTAAGAAATTGTGATGTAGGATGTATAATATGAAACCTAGCTGCGGCGATGTGAGAATGATAAGGACACAACATGTCACCGATGTGAGAATGATTAGGACACCGATCACCAGCCTAAAAGTGGGGGGAGGGGCTGAAAAGGGTATGACCAAAATTTTGAGGCTCCTTTTGGGAGATACTTGGCTCTTACCACATATTATTTATAAACAGTCCAATTCAGAGAAGATATTAATTACTATTAAAATAGATATAATTAGCTTGAAGGTTAATTAAACATCAAGCTAACCAAGAAAATACAGCTTGTCATTAAACAAGAAAAAACATCTAGAAAAAGAGCTGCTGCTACTTAGCATCCGTTAGAGTGAATTTTCCAAAACTCCGTTAGAGTAAACTTTCCAAAAATTTTCTAACCTACTTTTCGGAAAAAGGGGAGGGGGGCTATAGCCCCTGATAGCCCAGTGGTTGCGCAGTGCAACATTTTTGCTCTTCATTTCACACGCGTAACTTTTGGGTTTCTAAAGCCAACATTAAGCAATACCTGAAGTAAATCAATGCAGACTCGTTGGATTTGGAAATCCCAATGTTCACCAAATGATTGGCAACTTCGACAGCATAGACGTCCGATGGAAAGTAAGCATAACTGAGGTACGGGGTGTATTCCACAGACTCACAGGGGTCAGGGCAAACACATTTGTTTCCATGTTTCCTAAAATTATCTACGACGTGAGAAAAAAACAGTACCATTAGTATCAATGAAAGAAAAACTGAAGTTAAATTCTCGGAATAATATGCATTAGCATGTACACAGCTGATTTGATTTAAGTAAATTCAAGAACACCTTGAGGAGGATTTTGAAGTACATGTCAACATAATGTATAGACAGCTTCCTGTGTAATTCAACTCAATCAAAGATAAAGTAAATAGTAATTGAGTTATTCTTGAAATTTCCATTGCTTTTTTTATGCATCATCAAAGTAATAGTAACCTTCCACCTGGCTACAAGTAAAAAAAAATTGAACACTAAATTTTGATCAATGCTTGTAAAAAATCTCTTTAGTCAGAGCACAGAGCAATGGATGAATGTCCTAGAGATCAGAGTTAGGCAGACCTTTGGATCCCCAGGAAATGATTAATCGAAAGAAGGCGCCATCAGTTAAAACAAGGCCTTAAATCCATTGTCAGGTTGCTTTATCCACATATGCTCTTGGCATCATCTAAGATAAATAAAATACGTTAAGGGTCAGCACGTAATCTTTCTATTGACTTTGATATAGTGCACACCAACTGACTTACCAAGTGCAGGAAGTACACACTTTATAGACTTCTCTAAATCGCAAAGCTCGAAATCTTTTCCTAGAAGAGCAAAAGGATGGTTATTTCATTGCTTGTTTCACATTCAAGAGTAGCTTTCATATGGATTCACAAGTTGCATATTACTCTAGAACATCTGAATTGATCTATCTAGTGCAGGCACTTTTATTCATCCCTTAAACAGCTTTGATACAATAATGGTCCTATCCTTCTGTTAAGGCATATGTAAAAGAATTGTAAAAGCAGCTATATCAAGATTGAACAGGAGAAGGAAGAAAACAAGCAATTTTCAAACTATCTGTCTAGGCTGAAAGCTCTGATAGCAAACTTTTTAAAGTATATCTATAGAGTAAACATAAAATTATAAGCTTTGATAGATTTATTAAATACGAAAAATACTTAATGCAAAGAAGGCCAAAATTTCACTTTGTCACAATACATGCAATAATGCAAGCAAGATTTTTGCTTAGGTATTGACAATGAAAATTCCATAACATACCATCAACGAAATTTATTGGTGCGTAGCAACCACATTGGGCGTAAATGTATTTTTCCTGGCAAATTCTAAGGCAGCCATTCAACGTGTAGGCACTCCCAGTTTCTAGAGGTTCTTTTCTGCAAGCAGTTGTGTATGGGGGCTCTAGATTGAGCACCTTTGTAAAGACAAAGGATAATTGCAACAAGGTTTGCTATTTATAAAGGTTAAGGCAGGGACAGGAAAATTTTGAGCATTCTAAAAGACTTGAGTAATTCAATTACCAGTCTACGAAATTTCTGAAAATTGAAGATGCGTGCACGTTTTGAGAAGTCATTCTGAAGATCAAAATCACAGGTCTCTTGTCTTCCAAACTTAGTGTCTTGTTGATAATTTAGAAAAATATCATAAAAGAAGCGTAAAAGAAAGTGCTTCCTAGAATTCTAACCTGTTTGATAGTAAACCAACAGTGTTCTGTAGGGGAGAGGGGGATGATTGGTTTTGACCTTGAAAATTGACGTCAGTGTTGCAAGACTTTTGGCAGGCATTGTAGCATTACATTTTCACTCATTGCAGGATTCACAGAATCCGGCGGAAAGCCTATACTGTATACTCTTCCTTCTTACATAATCATTAATTACCTTTCGTTTAACCAATCCAACAAGTGTGTGTGTTCCAGGCGACAATGCAAAACCATAATCTCTGACCAGAGGCAGTTCCTTTTGGTCATGTATCAGCATTTTCCACCCTGCTGAGAACTCATGAGTAGGCATCAAAACGTACTCGTTTGCCTGCACGACGAGGCGAATTTTTAAACCGAACCCAGAGCCAGGTTGTTTTACAGTTAATACTTCTTTGCCAAAGCGTTCTCTTCCAAATTGTCCTCCTGGGTTAAAAGTATAACACTGTCCTGAATTAGTAAGAACGGGCTTAAAGTAAGACTTGTTGCAAGAAATTTCATTGAAGGTGCAGTTTAACAGCATCCCACCTTCCTCGTAACTGTTCAGATTGTGCCCAAAGTATTTATACATATCTTGAACCTTTTTACCACTAATATAAGGAATCGTCAAATTTCTTTGGGAACCTTTCAAACCAGCCATACTTAATATTCCGGCCAAATTAAACATTTGGGAGTAATTTGCGTCTTTGCTTGCCTCGTTGAATTTACTTCTTCGAAGTGTATTCAAGTTGCAAATGGTGACGGCTGGGAAGGACACCTCTCTTTCTGACACCATTGTTATAACGGTGTTGACTTCGTATCGGAAATATTCAACCACTGTCGAAGTAATTGAACCTAACAGGACACTGAATCCAGTGACCAACATCAAGGCCCATGTGAAGCGCCGAATTCTACTAAATCCTGGTGATGTGAACCTAATTCCATGTACCGATGAAGAACTGACAAACCCATCCCACGACTTCGCGATTGTCAACGGCTCTGCGTTGACTGTTGGCTCATTTGGCACAATTGTCATTTTCAAGTGGAATAGAGCAACAGTTTCACTTTAAAGTGGTATAATTCAGGCTACCCGTTCAAAAGAAAAAGAACAAAAAACAACCTTGCGGTGCCACCATATAAATTGAAGCTCTAATCCTCTGCTATTGTGGATTTTGCCGGACAGCTTTGGTTGAAAAACGATTTCTATCAACTGAATGCAAGCTTTTCTGAGGGAACTTATTAATCTAATATTTAATATCGGAATGAAAGAAAGTTCTTGAAGACATTGTAAAGTAAGCAAACAGACTAAACAGCTTCGAAGTTTATGCAGCTTGAATTTCGATATATTGTTGCTATGTCCACGGTTGTAAGGCTAGCGTCAATGCAGGATTTTATTTCCAAACAGATTTCTATAGGAAGGATTAGAACCCACACAGTTGATTTCATTGCAACAATGCTTGCTTAACAAGGCCCGACTCTGCAGCTTGATGATTAGATGAGGCTTACGGTAAATTATTGATTTTCAGCTTAAACGGTGTTACGTTCATTTCTATTTGATGTAACAGTAATTTTTCTTGATAGAAAATGCACGATATTGCTTTGGAATTGAGTTTCTATTGAAACATTTTCATAGGACTTTATGATATAACATGTTTATCATATCTATGGATGCTAGGATTTTTATAAACAGCTTTTTGATGGTACAAAACCTAAGAATGGCTTTAAAAGAGCAAACGTTTTAATCCATACTTAAGCTTTTCGTCTGACACTCTTCAGTGTATAAAAGAATCGGCACTGATTGAGCAACCTTAACAATCATATGCTCGCGTTTCTGATTTCGATTAATAGCTGGATATATGTGTCATCTACATTCCCGGACAAAATTATTGATGCAATTTTTGCAATTTTCTCATCTATGATGCCCCTGTAAACTTGAATCCTTCCTTAGTAGTTTTATCATTTGGGCTTCACAAACATCCGTTGACCATTGAATAAAAGATGGGGGGATGAGGAGGTATTTTTCAAATGAAAGAGAAAACATCAACTTTTTTAAAAAAATCTACTATCTTTATCCGGATTCTAGCTAAGATTTTCGACCAGTATTCTGACGTTTTATGCTCTGAGGAGTTATATATGGTGTTTCAACTCGTGTTTTTTTATATATTGGATTTGACTAAGAGAGCTCTGCGAAAAGTCTGAAGAATGACAGAAACGGTCGTTTGATATCCTGAGAGGATTCTGGGACCACAACAAGACCTAAGAGGACATTCGTGGTTTTGTACATTGCTGTTACAAATTGTTTTTTAACCAAACTTATCAGGTATGTACTGCATGTATTCTGCTATCTAGTCCTTGATCACGATAAAAATGCTTTTATTTGATATTTGATCACCCTTCTCTTTGGCGCCTCAGTTATCACAGGACCATAACTAATGCATTGATTGATCAAAGATTACAAAACGAACACGAGAAATGAAATGGCAAACGTTAAACGCAAGACTTTCAAAACAGGAAACAGCATTTGACTGACAATCATCGAGGTCAAATATACAATTTTACAAAACAAGACCTATATACCTAGGGCGTGGCCCGGGAGGAAGCGGTTAGGCCCGCAACTGCTCTTTTAGAGAACTGATAAATTTGAATACGGTGCTTATTTTGCTTCTGATATTTAGTCGACAGGTTTTGATGGCTTTTATAGCCACATTGCGTTACAAAAATTCCTTAAGGGTCCCCCTTTTGAAACCTTAGCTACGTCACAGTTACGCATTCTATTTGGTTTTAAACCAGACTTAGATGCGCATAGATTTTCCAAGCATTGACATAACCTTGAAAATACTTTTTACATAACCCTTATACTTTTTTGGAGATTACATTGAACAAACACAACATAATATCTCATTAGTGCCCAAACTCCTTAGCATATATAACCGAACTGCTTTATCATATATAACGAAAACTGCAAAATAACATAACATTGTCATCTGCAAATCAATCATGGCTGAGTTCATACCGACAAGGAATAAGAATATTTACAATTCTGCCGAAATCTGCCTAATCTTGAACAACATTATAGTGAACTCTAAACAAGCATTAAGTTCGTTGACGGCCTTGCATCGTAATACAACAATACAAAGCGCAAGTACCAATACTAACTGACATCACTACTAACGATCTTACGAGCTAGGTCCTTCATTACCTACAGAAGCGACACGAATAATTTGGCCCCGCTTCTTTTCAAGTCTTCTTAAGAATCTTGTTGCAAGAAAATCCATCAACTCGATAAATGTCAGAAAGCTGGCTCCAAGTGAAGCCCCAAGTAGGCCACCAAGCTCACCTAGAATACACAATAAAAAGATAAATCAAATTATTTGCAAAAGCAGCAATCATTTTTCGTGGAAATATGAATCAAGCACAAATAAGTGTGCGGCTTTCTTTGAACAAATAAGGTTGCCTTATTCCTGTTCAGATTAATCTTTGGAATTGGCTTCTTAGAACTTCTCCTCCATATAAATCCTCTAGCGTCGTGTATCTTTATTTCATTTAACTTTTGTTGTCTTTCAATTCAATATACAGTTTTCACTTTATTAATAACTTAGTCGTTTATGTAGCTATTAATCAACAAGTTTTTAAAAATGACTGGACTGGACTGGACTGGACTGGACTGGACTGGACTGGACTGGACTGGACTGGACTGGACTGGACTGGACTGGACTGGACTGGACTGGACTGGACTGGACTGGACTGGACTGGACTGGACTGGACTGGACTGGACTGGACTGGACTGGACTGGACTGGACTGGACTGGACTGGACTGGACTGTTTTTAGCAGCATACAGACATATCAGGATGTTATCAAGTGTTTCTATGTTTGTCTTGAAGTGAGTACCCGAGTGTGTGGCCAACCAATATCACTAAGCAAAATGAAACAGCAAACAATGCAAAGGCATTTTGATGTACTGAAAACCAGAAAAAACATACTGTAGATGTCACGAAGAGTCTTGGCAGGGACTTGCTTCACGATGATGTGATCCATTTGTTGGAAGAAAATATCCAGCTCAATAATGTTCTTTCTGAAAAGTAATGAATAAGCGTGTATAATGTTGTGTCTTCAAAGAGAAAGATTCAGAAACACATTAAATACGACAAGGGTATCCCTATGGTTAACCAACTCAAAACGAACACAGCATATAATAAGATATACTATAATCACGTGATAATAACCATAACGATAACAGAGTTCTCTTAACATTGCTTATTAGTGTAAAATTTTCGAGTTTATCAGTACAGGATTAAGAAGTTTTTAGACAAATTTTGCCTGGTTTCCATTATGCTGATCTGCGTCATTCATATCAAATAAGCTGTTCCATCTATTATGCATAAAACTATTTTGTTAAAATCATCCATACAAGTGGTGTTAATATTTGATATGATCATTTACCTCAAGTAGCTCAATGCTTTTTCGTTTGAACTGGCAACACCAAGGCTCACTAAATGATCTGCTACTTCTACACCATAAACATCAGAAGGGAAATAGGCGTAACTCAAATACGGGGTGTATTCCACAGACTCACAAGGATCCGGACAAACACAGTCGTTACCGTACTTTCTGAACATCGCTTGAATAAAAAGATATATTTGTTGCAAATATCTCTGCAAAACTTTCATTTGCTGAAGATACGTTTATGTAACTGCAAATAGGTAGCTGCTATCAATCAGTTTTTATTTACATAAATCAGTTTAAAGTAAAGCGGTTTTATGATTTCATTGTGAGTGCACGAGTAAAGAGAGGTATGCTGTTATGTTGATAAGTGGAATGGTTGAAAACACACGGCAAAAAACCAAGAATGCAAAACAAAATACCAACACACAGTTGTGACGTGGGCAAACACGTTAGGGTTAGGGTTATTAGGTAAAGGTAAGAGGCAGAAGGTTTACATAACTGTGAAGATATGTCAAGACTTTGAATATTGAACAGTCTTAAAAAAACATTACCTAACGCTGGAAGGACACAATTGACTGATTTTTTAAGATCGCAGAGTTCACTTGCAGTATCTGTAGTAAAGAAGACAATACGTTAGCAAAAACTGCATTATCAACTAATGATTCTATTCAGGAAGCTTTGACACAAAAGAATCATTGTAGATTGTAGTCGTATGAACGCAAATCTTAAAAAAGCTGGAAAAGATCACGAACGTTCATTTGAAAGTAAAATTGATCAAGAAAACGCTTTCGTCGCTATTAAAAAAAATGAAAGCAAAAGCTTTCAAAACTGGTATAATTTCTTAGATAAAGATTTGTAAGACTTTAGCGAGGTTTTGTTTTCTGGGGGTGTGTATGAAACTATTTGTCTAGGACACCAATACAGCGCACTTAAACCTCACCCCTTACACTGTTCATAGTTATGCAAAAATCTATTGCTTAAATTGCCATGGAAAATGTTTCTAAGGCTCCATACCGTCCATAAAGCCAATTGGTGAATTACATCCACACTGTTTCCGAACATACATTTCTTCACAAACGCGAATACAGCCTTTCAATGAGTAGGGGTGCCCTGTCGCCAGCGGCTGTTTACGGCAAGCTGTTGTGTACGGTGGTTCCAAGTTTACAACCTGTTGATTCAAAGAAATCACCTTTACAAGACAAATTCGAAACATATGCTGTGGGCTGAGCAATATACGCAGGAAGGATTTGTATTTCGTCTCAACTCGATACGGAAATGTGGGGATATGGTTAAAATTTTGGCAAAGTATTTGTTGTGATGTATTCCATTTATTTTGAAGATGCCTTTACATAATCAAACATCAGTCAAGGGTGCTACCTAGGCCTTTAATTCTGCCCTTTCTCCAATGGCTAGTAGCTGGCGTGGCGCCGCCACTGTTTGTTGTAAACCATGCTCTGCATAACGTTTGAGCATTCCTGTTGCTCTGGGCGAGCTTTTAGCTTTCTATTCGCCTTTTATGTGAAGCTCAACCAAGTCTACGTCAATGTTGCGAAGAGGGGTTTTTAAAACATAAATGGCCAAGACATTGGCCCACAGTTGGGTCAAATTTCTTAAAAATTTAAAAATAAAGTCATTTGCTGAGAACAAAGAGTTCAAAATATATTTTTGATCTCAACATTGTATCTAAAAGCTCCCAAAAGTTTTTCTATGTAATATCAATAATTTTACACACCAATGCTCATGCAAAAAATAAGTGTAAGTAGCCAATATCTACTTGTAGCAGAGCGTGAAAATGGTAGGCATAACAACCTGATTTAAATAAGACTCCAGCTTCACATTGAATGATTGCCTTACAAATATTTAAAAGATCTATCCCTAATGATACCTTGCAGCTGTTGATTTCAGAAACATAGATCAAAATGCAGAATCGTGTCACGCGAGTGCATTGTACAAATAGGGTAATCTGTTCGTAGTATTTATAAAAAATTGCGATATTTTTAGTCCTGTCTACAATTAATATGTTATTGAGACGGTAGGCGCTATGGTGTTACACAAGCTTCCTATTAGAGCCCCTTCTTGTTACTGCAGCAAAACTTGCATTAGGGATCATACACAATTCTTATTCTGTCTCTAAGAGGAATTCGCCTTGTGCAAGGCTGAAAACCAAACCATCTGGAGAACGGAAGATGCAGTAATATGGCAAAAATGTTTTCTTGCTATCAACATTCCTGCTTTTGGGAACTTCCGTACCTGAGAGTGAGCGTGCAATAGAACGATTCTAACATTGAAAGATAAGACATTTTACCTTTCTCTTGACTAGACCAACGAATGTGTGTGTGCCTGGTGACAAAGCAAAGCCATAGTCAGCAACCAACGGCAGTTCCCTCTGATCATGGACAAAGATCTTCCAGCCAGCCGAGAATTCTTGCGTTGGCATCAAAACGTAATCATCTGATTGAACTGTTAACCTCATTCCAAGCCCGAAAGAGCTGCCAGGTTGGGTGGCTGTTAGAATTTCTTTACCGTATCGCTCTTTCCCAAAGTCTCCACCTGGGTTGAAAGAATAGCACTGTCCCAGGTTGGTAAGGACAGGCTTGAAAAAAGACTCATTGCAAGGGGTATTACGGTAAGTGCAGTTCAGCAGCATACCACCTTTGGAGAAAGGGCTCATATTATGCCCAAAGTATCGGTACATTTCACGTACATTTTCGCCACTGAAGCTTGGGATGGTTACATTTTCGTTTGAGCCAGTTAAATCCATCATGCTCAAAATTTTTGCAAGCATGAAAAGTTGCGAATATTTCGAGTTGTTTTTGGATTCCTCAAACTTGCTTTTACGTAGTGCATTTAGATTGCATAAAGTAACAGCTGGGAAGGCTGCCTCTCTCTCCGAACCAACGGTGACGATCGTATTCACTTTGTATTGGAAATACTCTACCACTGCAGAAACTGTGAAACCAAGCAGTAAACTGAGCCCCGTGAAGAGCAAAATTCCCCATGCAATTCGGCGCGTACGGCTGAAATCGTGTGACGTGAACTTGATTCCATGGACAGTTGATGAGTTTGCGAATCCATTCCAGGTATTGGCCACTACCCTAGTATTATCAGAACTCATCGTGTTATATGCTTGTTCTCATTCGTTCGATTCATTGATAACTGCAGCGGCAGTACCCACAATTTATCTATATTTGTTATCTGCAAAGATGTCTTATAACGAAAACTTTGATCAACTGGCTCGGTTAATCCATTTGCAAATTTCTTTAGTTGAGCTGTTTCATTCCTCTATTGCAGCTTTAGACAAAAATCAACACGATTCTTTCGAAATTAAAAAGCTTTTTGAGCTGGCTGTATTTGGGAAATCTGCAAAGACAGTCTTGAAACAAGTTTCAAAGTTATTTACAAGCAACACAATCAGCTTGGTTAATATTTATATTCAAATGCGTAAACAGCTCTTATTGGTCTGTTGAACAAAGGACACAAAACAAATGAACAAAAGAATAAGCTAGATCAAGAACCGCATTTAAGCACTAATTGGCAAAATCCTTTATACCTGGTTGTTATGCGCCTTCCGAACTACAAGTGCAATGCTTCTCATGAATGGCTTTGTCGTGCCCAGCTTGCCTATGCAAACATTTTTGATCTATGCTTTCGTACCAAATATACCTCGATTACGTCACCAACGTGAAATATTTGATATTCTATTAACTATGATGTGACTACTATAGCCGAAGCTGTGAGGTGCACTATACCAAGTGTACACAATAACACCTTCAACTTTGAGTAATCGTAAGGAACAGCAAAAGAAGCTGGCGATTTTCAATGACAAGAAACAACATAACATCTTCCCTTTCTGAAAAAACTTATTGCATCTTTCAAAACATCAAAGCCTTCATATCTTATTTATGTGGATTAAAGAAACCTTTTTGTATTGGGATCTGTCATACAGGTGTCCTCCGTCAAAGCAACCACTATTATTGAAAACAAAATAGAAAACAAGAGAAGACGGAGATTAGGTTGTTGACAGTTGACTAAGATGCCTTGATACGAACGGCATAATCGTCCAACAGCCATACAGAGTATGAGACATTGAAGAATTGAGACTGGGTCCCAATCCAAAAGCTGATCGACAACAAGTATATAAGAAAAAGAGCGCAGATTGATTAGCTGTTTCTAACTATCGTTGTTTTCGGGGGAGAGTGCGCTGACGGTCTTTTATACAGGGGACAGATGTTGTTTTCTAAACAACACTTAAGCAACAGGGCGTTCCAAAGACTTTTGGCAGGGATTGCAGTATCAAAAAGAGATGTCTACATCAGTTGCTCGAGAGTTGTAGTCTCATAACAAGCAAAAAGCAAATCGTTTTAATTAAAATCGGAGTCTTTTTCGATTAAAATCACTTTCAGGCGAGAAACAAATTGTTTATCGAATTTTATCAACCGGAGTAATTTATGCCTAATTCTTTCACTGGAGCTTTTCATCCTAAGGTGAACTCATCCAGAATAATTCAAAGTTTTGTTGCAATCATAAAGCTTCAGGCTATTTCAGAGCTCGCTCCAAAAGTGCAAACACTCATTGATCCCAAAGTGTTTTCTCCCTGTTTAAATGAAACAGAAATGAAACGCAAAAACCAAACATTAAAGGCAAATGTTTAAAAGAGTGAAAAAAATGATTCTTTTCTGCACGGAAAGGTAAACAGTGTTTGACTTTCATCGAGTCAAATCATGTTATGCAAACAAAAAGGTGGGGCTTGGGAAACTAGCAATGAGGGAGAGGGTAGGATGTCATCCGTACGCACAATGCACGCACTATTCAGTGGAATGCCCAGCAAATCAATCAAAGGTTTCTCGTTTCGTTGGAGATAGCATAGTAACTTGCAAATATCCCCGGGTTAGAAGGAAGACAAAAAGACTATGCAGGTTTAAGATGGATAAATAGATTGAATTTGCATGTAGAACATGTAATTACAGGTCAATATTTGCCGCATCTTCTGGTAGCCGGATGGATGCTGTTCGAACATTTCCCACATCAATTTAATCAGCATGCAGATTCAGTTGTTGGTCGATGGCCTATAATAAGAAAATCACACGTTGGTTGAATATCACGATTATAATAACATTTATCACCACTGACCAACAATAAACTGGAATTCCGCTTTCCTGGTTTTCAACTTGCCTTCTACATTTAGAAAAAACTATTTCATGGCAAATTATAAAGTGGAAATTAGTTCTGCACCCAAACCGCTATTGAATCAATGGGCAATGTAGATTAACAGAAAAAGCATGACAGGGAACATGCAAAATAAAACTTAAAGATGAAATGGAAACATAAAATTAGATGCGGGACAAAATAGGCTGGTGCCCTTGAATTCTTGGAACTAACACAGTGGATGATTTGAACTTTGTTTAAATAGCCCTCCATTATTTTACCTCCAAAACTGCCAGTTGAAGATTGTACAATTCAAGAAAGTGGCAGTTCAGCTTTGAATGAAACAAACCACTACATTTTTGACTAACAATTGGAAGTGGCCTGAGCAACATAGAACATTTGCAGCTGAACGTCAAATCAAAACAAAATAGCTGACCGTAGATAAGAACCGAGATTTAGGAACGAAGTGCAACGGTGGAAACTTTTCTAAACATGCCATAGGCGAGAACCAAGTGGAATGAGGGGCTGAGGGTAAAATGTGGAGGACATAGATCTGCCTATGCAAAGAATTCTACTAAACAAAAAGTGAAGAAATTGTGTGCAAATTGAGGTTTCTCACAAATTTTCTGTTTTGCATTAATCCAAAGCTGGTTATTCCACCCACTAAAAAATGGATAACATGCCGACCTTCTTCTCCCTTTGGTCTCCCAAACTTACTTCCAGTGCTTGATGTATTTACATAAACGGGTGTTATTAAGGAGCCATAATACGTTTTGATTATCAAAAAGTCGGCTTCGGGCGCATTTAGGCTCTATGTTGCCCAAGACCATTTTAAAAAAAACTGCAAAATTGTTTAGAGAATAACGCCCACGTGCATTTATCTATTTGTAGGGTCTTCGGCCTGGAAATGATTACTGAGGAATTGCTTATTTGCTTTATCCACCGTAATCGTTCCACATTACAGTCATGGTTCATCTAATCCAAACATTATACATTTGACGATCTTGTTACGATACTTATCCATGTCATTTTGTCAGTAATCTTTGCTTGGCGGAGGCTTCAATCCCAAAAAGCAAAGGATCTGGTCAGAATCTTCGCTCGGTTTACTGAGCTTAATCAAAAGCTGAAAAGTCTGCTATTAACAAAAGACTTCTAGATGGGTAGATGAAGTTCCATTTTCATCAATGACGGTAAAGTGAAAACATGTCACACATAATTCAACCACACAGAATTGGTGACCAACTGTGAAAAAAGTGTTATGAAACACCGAGGTCTGTTCACATGATGTCAGATCGGATTCATGCGTTCACACGACCTCAAAAGAGATCTGATATGATTCCATTCCACATTCACAGTGGAATGGTTTGACTCCGCAAAAACGATACGGAGCATATCGGATTCAAGCATCACCGTGTGAACAGAAGGCCTATCCAATATAAAAAGGGATCCGATACGAAATGAATCCGGTATCGTTCGAACATCGCCTGATACTTCCTCGTGCATGAAAGCAATAGAGCATAGTCAACATGATTTATAGGGCTTCTACAGGTATACTCACTTTGCCCATTCGACATTGAGAATAAGATGATCGTAGCCATATCCTTGTAGAGCTTTGATAGCCCTGGCTGCATCATCGCGACGGAGGTAACTGATGAACGCGAATCCCTAAAAACAAATCAATATTCAAGTGAGAGAATGAAGACTTTTTTGCAAATATATGACACAACTTGATTATAAAGCCCTGGCAATTGCTTTTGAGACAAACACCTAAATACAGGCCGTTAAGCCTGCAAGTCTACTCCATCACCTACCCCTTTTCAGCAAAATGTATGTACTTTGATAACAGAGATATCAACATTGAGCTTGGGCGAAGGGAAACCACTTTAACATCATCTATACGGGATTTTATGCACAGAAACAACAAAAAATTTAGTTGGATAAATTTTCAGCGGATAAAAGTAAAGTAAAGACAATTTCTAAGAAATTCGTTGTTAAAAATTTCGCCATGGATTTTTAACAGAGAAAAGGTTAACATCATACTACCACTAATCTATGAGGCAAAACCAGAAATTTTGCTTAATATTCAGTCCCATAAGAACTGGTTCCGTGGAGACTTGGGGGCTTGAGCATCCACTGGGAATTTGGCTACCTCTCCCCCCCCCCCCAAGAAGCATTCCAACACACAACAGTATTTCAGGAAAATAAAAATAAATTCGGTACATTTTCTCAGTTTATGTGTAGGCACTCAAAGAGCCTCTACAATCAGAATCATTTGATTATAAATATAGTATAATCAAAAGTATAAGTATAAAAATTAGGAAAGCATATGACCATTCCATTAGAAAAGGTAGTCTGGAATTTCGCTATCTGTAGAGTTTGTATTAAAAAGCTCATATACCTTGGACGTTTGAAAGAAATTGAACTATACAAAGACAGCAGTGGAATCTTTTGAAATCAGCGACAAAAACAGTTAGACCTATTTTATTCGAACGATGGTCAAAATAAAGATAGTTCAAGAACTGACAATGATGATGACTGGATTTAAAGACTCGTTGCTAACAATGAGCCATTGCGATACACAAGCATCCCATAATGCATTTTCAGACAGTCTGAAATCAATTATGGTTAATCCGTAGAAGTTTACTGCCATTGTTTGGATTGTCGCCTGGATAATTTGCCACCCTCGCAAAGGCTCATTGTTAGCAATGAGTCTTTAAATCCAGTCATCTTTAAAGGATACACGAATTCGATTTCTGAACTCTTGACAAACTTGATATTCTCATCATAAACAAAAAGCGAAGAAATACGCAATTATACTCACTTTTGATTGATTTGTTATTTTATCTTTGGCAAGATAAATTCTCGAGATCTGGCCAAAGGGCCTAAACAACTCCTGTAAGTCAGATTCTAGAGTGTCCTCTGAAAGATTTGTCACCCTAACTGTTGCAGCCTCGTCAGCTAAAAATAAACAACATCCAATTTTGATCCCATGTTCACATTTAATTCGCGAAAAACAAAACAATTTGAATACAACAACTTTTCTTTCAATTAAATTTTAAAGGACGTACAAAAAATGTCCCAATGGTTACATTTATTATCCTGCAGCAGCAACTGACGCTTTTTAATAATTGCTAGAAAGAGCAGTTGAAGGACTGTCAAATGGAGAAAATGTCTATAAAATGTGTACTGAAGACAATAAATAAACACGAAAATTTACGAGATTCCCAAAATACACCCAGATAGAATTAGATCAGAACTCACTTCTTCTACCCTGCATCGTCTCCCCTCTTTTAGGAGCACCATCTCCTCCCCTGAGGCTAGGAGGAACATACTTTGAAGGCTGACCCCCTGGGGCTGAAGCGACAGGAGCCTGTCTTGCTGGATCCTTCTGTGTTGCAGCTATGATAAAAAAATAGAAAGTAAAACTCAACCCTCGGCATGACATGTCTCTAAACGTGGGGATATTGAACTCAAAAAATTAGCATAGTAAACTCAAAGTATAATAACATAATGACAAGCATACAAGACATTGAATATTTTTAAAACGACTCAAGGAATGACAAAATAAGAAATTTAGCCAAAAAAAATCTGTGCTTCAAAATATCTAGGGACATACCTTAGAAAAGATACTGGTTAAATGTTGTTTATATCAAAATATAATTTCTAACTTGCGTGAAAATGAAATTGAAGTTTTTTCTTTAAAAAAATCCTAGTCTAGCTTAAATTTTCCAATTAACAAAAGTTTGAAAATCAAGAATTCGACGTTTTGAAAAAATATGTAACGTTTCCCTCAGTAACAGGCATTAATGTGTACAAAATTGCAATAATATGGAGGAGCGATATTTTCGAGAGGCTTAAATGAAACCATATTTTCTTCAAAGACCCCTAATAAACACCAAACCATAACATTAAAAGCATGGTGTGCAACCCAACAGAACAATTATTTTTAAATTTGAATCTCTGATGATTACCTTTGTCACTTTCTTCCTTCTGCTGCAAAGAGGAAAGGCTGTCCTTGTATGGACATTTTGTGGTCCAATGGTCGCCTTTACAAACACGACACTTGACAATCTTTTGACCTTGCAACTTCTTGAGTGGATCATCATCTTGATTGCTAGCTTCCTAAAACGGGATTAATCCAGTTGTTATTATCCACTTATTCAGTACAATAGATTTTAGGGCTATCGTTTGTTGAATAAACATAATCAAGAATATTGTGTCTTCGTGCAATGCTACTTAATTTGATTGACAGGATTTGATATCATCATTGAAATGCCATAAACAAAATATAAACACTCTGGCTGTTAATTAAATTTTCATCTGTTATATCTGGGTTCTTACATAAGAGGGCATTTATTGACCAAATTTAGCAATAAAGAAGAAATATCTTACTCTATCATATAACAAAACTAAAAACCAAAGAACTGCAAGTCATACATAAATTAAACACTTCAAATTCATCAACTTTGATAAAAAAGCATTTCAAGCAGCAATATGAAAAATCAAGTTTTCTTCTCAATGAAATGAAGGGGGCTTATTGAAGGCTCACTTTGGATGTCTGTGGGAAATTGGCCTTTCCATGGTTTTTTTTAAAAAGGCAGTTAGTAAATTAGTCTCATTGAATCTCCAACGATTTCACCCACAGGCAAACATTTATTTACAGAAAGAGCAAAAACAAAATATACTAAAGTACATTATAACTTTCAAACCACTAAACTTTTTGTGTGTGTACACAGACAGATATTATCATCTCCTTTGAATTCTTTAACTATGTGAGGGGATGGTGTTTGCTTACTGGTCAACACAAGGAACCAACAAATGCAACAATTTTACATTTGACATTAAATTTGATCTACACGTGGATATAAAGTTTCTATTTACTTTTCTTCACTATCAGATGTTTATATATGAAGATAAATAAGTGCATAACTATGATATATTTACACTTGTCGATGCCATTTTCAGAATCTTTGAAACAAACAAACCTCTTTATTGAAAACAAACTTCAAAAAGACATCTTCAGCAACATAAGTTGTTGATGGATCTGGACCATGAGGGTTGTCTCTGGATGCTTCACCAAACTTTTTCAGCATCTGAAACACACAGGATAACAATTCGTTGAAATGGAAAAAAATTATTGAAAATAGACGTTAGTTCCTGGTCCATCTTACCAAAGTTGGCAGTCATAAGAGACCTCTAATTGATCTGTCCTGCCTGGATTTTCTCATGAAGTGATTTCAATCCATGAAGGTCTGAGAGGTCCTTCTACAGGAAAAGTTAATTGGAGTAAAACAAATAATTCTTTGGCAGACCAGAATAAATACACTGCTTGAATTGAGGGGTACTTATCTTATATTTAATATGGCGATCACCAACTTTTTGTGTCTCTTTCTTTATTACATCTTAGCATGTATTTACCATACAACTAAAATACTACATTCTGTTCTAGTAGGTCAAGATTGCTGAGGATGTCTGAATAGACAAATATTTCAAAAATTGATATATTGCTGGCTATTCTCTAATTTTTGTTTATCTATGATTAAATTTCAAGAAGGTGAACAGATTACAGTAGTTAATCATTCACTATCACAGATGAAAAACCACAATTGATAATCCATAGTGTGTTTCTTAAAAACTGGTAGCGCAAACAAAACAGCCCAAACAAGAAAATTGACATGACTAATATATAAGGACTAACATTATTCAGTTAGAAACAAATTTACAACAAAGAATGCAAATAAAGGGATATTAGCTTTTTAAAGAGAAAACTAAAAAGAATGATTTTTAAGTAGCAAACATAGAATATTAAAACAGCATAAAACTCTAACCTTTCTTTTGGCAATAGATTTCGGAACCTTTCGATTTTCTAGCTTGTAAACTCTTGTAATCTGTATTAAATATTTCAAATGCTAGCTAAAATCATTTCAAAAAAGTAAAGCACTGAGCAAAAAATTTGTATTCTTTATTATAAAATTATCTATAATTGTTAAACTGCGCCATGTTCGTTCAAAATTGGTTTGTTTTCAATTTTCAGCGAGCGTGACGACAATCATTCGCTCGTTTAAATCTTCCGACGTTCGCAGACATACCCGCATTCCCATACCCTTGCTCGCTTCAACTTTCTTCCCCCAAATTATACCCTCTTTCTGTATTCCAGACAACCTTGAACCTTTTGGCAATGGTCTTGGCTGTTCACATAACAAACTAGAACAACGGAAAATGTTTTTTGGCGTTGATGCCTCTTTGATAGTTTGACACACCAATAAGCCAAAATTAAACCCAAAATTCTGTGATATGCAAGCACTGATTACATGGGCTTCAACTTTTGCTCAAATTTTTAGAAGATTCGAAAATTTACAATTTAGCTTCATCTGCTTTTGAACATTGCTTGCTAAATATACAGAAGTTAATTTTTTAAACTGATATGATAACAAGTATTTCCTAAGTGTATTTACAAATTTTGCTGACATGTTTCATACCAAATTTCTAAATAAAAAAATTTCATCTTGAGCATCAATTTGATACCTATGAAAAAATAAAAAAATGGCACATACCTTGACCTTCTTACCCTCATCATTTCTCTTATATTCAATTATTGTCTTGATATCATCTTCAATAAATTCGTTTAGTGGGGGCATTTCATCTTATGAATAAAATGAGAATCATAATGTCAAAATTCTGGAGTTCATTTAGTAAAAGAAAGCAAAACAAATACAAAGAAGCGTGAATATAGCCCTTCAGGATACTTCCTTCAGGATATTCTTTGTTTACTTTTCAGGATTTTGATTGCTTTCTTTGTGTTCTAACATTGAACTGCAAATTAATAATGTAATACAAAAAAGATAATAGTTTATCCCATCTCTCCTTGGAAGGCTTTCAATCCAAAGCCAACTATTTGTGGCATCAATATTTGTGTGTTGAAAATTCTTGAAAAATAATGAAATAACTAAAAAAAAATATTCACCAGTTTCCTCATCTTCCATGAGATCTCCCCATCCTAGCTTGTTGCTAAAAGGCAATATGAAATGATCTAAGCAAACAGAATTTTTAAGAGCTATCAGCCTAGAAACTTAGCTACCTACTCAGTTAGTACAGTTAGCCAGTGGCGAAGCTAGAGGTCATGCAGGTCATGCAAAGCATGACCAAAAAGATTTCTAGAAAATTATCTTTTACTCTAGGACAAAATCTCTAGATAGTTTAGATGGGGTCTTTTCACATTGAAAGTTCTCCAAAATCAAAGAAAATTATTCTTTGCATACTTTATGTAACTCCGTAGGCGAAAACATAGGGTTTCTACATTTGAAACTCAATAAAGGTCAAGGGTTTCCAATTTAGTCATGCAAATATCACAGGGATCCCAATTTAGTCATGCACTTTCAAATGTGCATGACTAAAACCCTATGTTTGGTCATGCAAAACCAAGCGAAACAATGGAAACAGCCCTGAAAACATGATGATTATTACGTTTTAGTCATGCACTTTTGGAATGGCATGATCATGACCTTGATCGCATTGTTTCCCTGTTCGAGTTCAAAAAGTGAGACTGAAGAGGAAGTATGCTAGTTCACGAGGAAAGGGATTTCGTGAAATGTTACCCTGCAAGTAATATAGCAGCAACGAAATGAGGAAAAGTAACAGTTCCATGGTTTTAAAGGATTCATGTAGCAAAATAAAAGTTGGCAGTGGAACAGATTCTTCCTGTTGTGGACTATGTTTGCTAACACATATATTTAGGCCTGTGTCAACGGGGATGTGACATGCACGAACTAGGCCTACGGCGCCTGATAATAAGGCAGGCAACACTCATATTGCAAGAAAAACAATGAAACAAAGTGCCTGGTTTTAATATCATTTTATTGCTGTGCTGATAATTGGCAAGCCCAAAGAATTCCATGCTTTGATAATAGAATGGCTAGTGGACTTACATGCTAAATTTCCATTGAAATATTCAGAATGAGTGTCTCTAGAACTTGTTGTTAGTAGAAGAAACACAAATGCTTCATTGTTGTTGCTTTTTAGAGACATGCAATGCAAGTTTGAGATACAACGAGGCATGAAATTAGTGTTGTCTTAACCTTTTCAGTATTTATCTTATAATGGCCTTTTTTGTTATTGATGTTTGTGAGATGACAGTATTGAGATTGTTTCAGAGGAGAACTCTCCATTTTCTGATTAAAATCTGTTTTGATAAATTAAGAATAATGGATTAAAAAAAAATGAGGTGTAGCATGAACATAGACTAGGGGTCATTAATTTTTTTATTTGTAAAATGACACTATTTGTATTTGTAAATACAAAAGTTCTAAGTAGGGAATTAGGGAAGGGTCATCAAAAGTGTATTTATCTTGTCAGAGCAAAAGTATATTTATCTTATCTTTGTCTTGTCAGTGTATGTATCCGAGCAAAACAATTACGACATTTTTTATAATGTTGTGAGAATCAAATCTAACTGTGTTATGTTATCTAAAAAAGCCTTCCGTCAGTATCTGACAGTTTAATCAGGTGAATAAAACTGCTCTTGAAATAGTAAATATCAATAAATTGAATGTCAGAGTTTAAAAGCAAGTTAACATTAAAAACAAGTTAAAATTTTAATTTCAGAATTTAAAAACATGTTTAGCACCTAAAGCCAAGGCTTCTTCAAAACATGTCTCAAGAAAGTTCTGAAAATTATTCTTTTGCAAATTTTTAAATGTTTTATGCCACCTAAGGCTTTTCTGGGTATTTTCACAATAGCTGAAAATACTTTTCTCAAGGGAACTGATCTAACCTTAACTTAAATTGGGTACCTTGCTGTGGTGCCAAAAACCCTGTTTATTTGTTTGCCCAAGTGCATGACCAACTCTCCAGAGCTGGCTTTGCCACTAAAGTTAGCTACCTATTCAGTTTCCAGTATAGAAAATATTAAATAGAAGTATAAAGTCTCTGCGCTCATCCAAACAGTAATTTAAACAGATCGCTAAACAGTAATTTTCATAATAGGAATTCTAGATGTACGATCGACTGAACTGAACTAAATAGAACATGGATATTTGTTTATCAAAACTTTCCTTCACGATCGAATCCTGGTATATTTGATTATCTTAATAAGGTATAAACCAAAACATCGCACTCATCTTGTCTTGACAAAGAAACAGTACCATCAACAATAGCAAACATTGATGTTTGCCTTAAAGAAGTGAAAGAGTGGATGGGCAGAAATCGCTTAATGATGAATGAGGAAAAAACTGAGTTTGTAGCTTTTGGGAGGCATAACATGTTAGATAATTTGGCAGTTGAATCAATCAGTGTTGGAGATGGGCCAGTTGAAGTTTTTTCAGCTGTGAAATACCTAGGTGTTTGGCTAGACAACACTCTTGATATGTAAAAGTTTATTTCAGATAGATGTTGCATTGCATCTCTAAAACTGTACAACATCAGGAAAATTAAAAAGTATCTGTGTCGCAAATCACTTACAAGACTTATCAATGCCTTGGTGCTATTGCATCTGGATTACAGCAATGCTTTGATATTTGGACTTCCAGACTCGACCATAACACTGATGCAATATATTCAGAACTCTGCTGCTAGACTAATACTCGGTCTATCCAAATTTGAATATATCACTCCAGCTCTACAGCAGCTACACTGGTTGCCAATTAGATATTGCATTCAATTCAAGATCATGACTATTGTTTACAAAGCTGTTCATAATGCGGCTGCAGAATATATATGTGATTTGATTGAGTCAAAACAGTCAAAGTATTCACTACGCTCTGACAATGGTATCAATCTTCGTGAAAGATGATCTCACCTGAAGACTTGTGGAGACAGAGCTTTTGCTTTTTCAGTGTGTGCACCTAAACTTTGGAACTCTCTTCCATCACAAGTTAGGACTTCGGAAACTGTTTAATTTTTTAAAAAACGCTTTAAAACACATTATTTCAAACTTGCTTTTAATACTTAATAAACTATTTTAGATACTTTTAGATACACAGGACACTGGTCATTAGATATTGTAAAGCGCCAAAGATAAACAAGCTTTCAATTTGGTTTCGCGCTATAAAATTTTAATGTATTAACTCACTTGGCTGGACAGTGGAAAATGACAAATATGGAACGCACTTGAAAAGGCCGAAAAGCTACATCAAAGTTTGAGGAGAAGTTTAATGACTGACAAAGCTTAAAAATGGGAAACGTCTACGGTTATTCGAAAACTTTCGAGACTAAAGCAAATTGGAACCCTTTCCATGTTGGCAATGATTAGAAGGGATATCAAATCAAAACCAAAAATGTCATATTCTGGGGAGAAAAATCTTTTGCTGTTTGTTAACACAGGAAGTTCTATATGACAAAAACTTCACGAAATCTCAAATAGGTCAAAATAAGCATATTTATTCTTTTAAAATAGTATCGAAGTATTATATTTACTCTTCTTCCACCATTATGTTAGCTGTTTTATCGTAGCTTCCCCTTGTCGAATCTACACCAGATACACTCGTGTGTTCAAGATGGCGGCCAAGTCAAAAAGGACTGGCCTCGTTTTCGAAGTTAGTTTTTTAGCGCAAGAACGAAGATAAAAAGTATTCTATACTGTCTAAAATAGGGAGTTCAAAATTTACAGTGCGACATACCTGTCAAGGTACTGTGGTGTCTTGCCACAAGATTCTGTGTATAAAATGGTAATTTAGCTATAAAAAGTCACAGATTTTGTCACTCGTCTTTTACTTGTTTCAAAACAAATGCGAATAAAAACTGAATCCAAATATAAAAACACACGACTCAGTATGAGCATTACATACTGAAAAACAGTTACAGTTAAAGGTTTACTGGAGCAACCAACAATAAAAGCTACAAAATACATAGAGCATCTTCATAAAATTACCCTGACACGAAATATTTCGTTTTGTTCAAAACAATCATATTGAAAAAGCACATCGCAGGTGTAGGAAAAGTAAGATTTTAGCTTATGCCGTTTGCCGTAAGACTTGAAAGTTACCAAATTGCGTAATGCTTATGCAAGAAACGTCAGACTTGACAAATATGCAAAGCTTCTTTGATGTTTGAGATATCTGTCTATGGATCATATTTGATATCTATGTTTCGAGAGAACGTTGAAAACTGACCACCTATCAGGTGAATCTGTGGCTATTTGGTGAGCAAAGTGTTAAATTGATACTTTTGCCCCAATCGAGCAATCGTGTGTTCCTTTTTGAAAATCATGGTTTGGCTCAAATTTTCATCTCTGTTTTGTCACAACGTTCGATGCGAAAATACATCTGAATTTTATAATAAATGTTAATGATATGTGTGAAGCTTTTGTTCTTGTATAATTAAAGTTGTAAAGCGGTCATGTAATTCTGCCATCTCATGCAACTGTAAAGTAAAAAGGCTGTGAACTATGTTATAAACTTCGTTTCTTGAGTTATCTTGAGTTTTTGATGAAAATTTATATGATTTCTTGGTGATACAAAGTTAGGGAAGGGCTTTAAAAAAGCAAGCATTCTAGTCGAGTTAAGCTTTTCGCTGATACGAGATTTCAGTTCACAACCTGGTATTACCTATATCCTAGCTTAGAATTTTCGACAATTATTCTGACGTTTTATACTATAAAGAATGTCAAGCCAAGAATGTCTTTTCTTTTCAAGATTCATTTTCTACATACAAAATTTCTATTTAGCAAAATATTGATTTTTACTGCATATCACAATTGCTAAGATACCATCTAAAATTTGATCTATACAACAGAAAGAAGGAAAGACTCGTTTTTGTAACATTGGTAAAATAAAAGCCGAATAAATCATCTGCAATGTAAGCATCAATATAGAAATATCCTTAATATATTAACTATATATTTGGCATAAGTGACAAGCAATACAAAGAAGTTTGAAGAAAGGACAATCAATGAACGATGAAACTGACTTTCCTTTAAACATGTACCCTGAAATTTAATGTTAACCATGTATATTACTTTATACATTAACAATTTAGCGAAAATTTAACAATTATTCCTTTTCAATACAGTCTACATACATTAATTTCCTAAATATAATTTCAGTAGTAAATGTCTTATTCATTTTCAATAAGTGTGCTATGCATTCAAATGATGTTCCAACTCGGATAATACAATTGAGCTGAATCTATGTATGAAAATTTCTTATTTCGTTGACAAAAGCGTCAAAACGTAACATTCTTAAAATCAAAAATAGTTATGTGAATAGATAACAAAAACACGAAAAACACAGAGAACTATCCTATACCTCCAACATTAGTAAACCATACCCACGTAACATAAATACTTAACCCCTGTCTTGGATTTGATGTCCACCTATGAAGCAACTAATTATTTTACTTAGCTTAGCAATGACTACACCATATACAATAACAAATCGAATTTTCATACTTTATAAATAGACTGGGCGCACTGATGCAGCATTTGTAGTAATTACACAATCTATAGTACCAGACCCCGTGAGTATTGAATAGTATGTCACTGGGAAAGAGCGTGGTTGCAGGGCCGTCGCAATGGGGGCTGGTGGGCATGAGGGGTATAACATCCAAAAATTCCGATTTTTTGCAAGTCCAAAAATAACATTCCAAATTTTGCAAGTCCAAAATTTTATTCCCATCTAGGGGTGCTTGGTCGCCAAATTTTTAAATTATTGGCAGTTGACGGATGGCTCATCCACTTTGTCGCCAAATCGGAACTGAAAAACCCCTTGAGCATAATAGCTAGCAGTGACCCTCGCTTGTTGTGTTATGTTCGAATGTAAAACAGCGCGATCAGTTCTCTGATTCCACAAGTATATTAGATTGCTAGAATAACCGAACCTGGAAATGTAAATCATGAAAATATAGCAGTATTCAAGAAAACTTAAGCAAAATTCACGAGCCTAAGCCCAGGTTTCTAGACACTATATCGTTCAGGGCGAATATTTAATGCAATTGATTGCAAATACGACGGACGGTGAATAACATTGTTCCGCGAACTCACTAATACTCTACGTGTTGAAAGCATTTATGTCCAACACTTCAAGTTCACTGGACATTTTCTCTTCAATCAGATCCTTCTGATACTGGAACTGTGATAAGATTAAGCTTGCATACCTTGGATTCATTTGAATCAAGAAAGGATAGTTGAAACTAGTTGGCGATGATCTTGGATTAGGCGAATCCTTACTTGAATCGTGGCTGTTTTCCTTTGTCCCTTCGTCAACATCTGTAAGGTTGCTGTAACAATAACTAGCGGGTTTCTGCATGTCCCGTTTTTCGATACAAATCAAATGTGGGGTATCTTGATCAAGCCTTAGATCAATCTCATTGCATGCAAATGCCATTCTAATGTCACTTATCTCTTGGTCGTACAAGTACAAAGCACTTGGGGTTAAAATAACTGTTCCATGGTAGCCATTCCTGTCTGATTCTGACCTAACATGCACATCTGTGATCACAAACAAAGAAGAATATTCCTCGAATTCGACGCGAAGCACTTTCCTAGAAACAGTAAAAAACTGAGTAAGCAAATAAAGCTCAACTTGTCATTAATGCAAAATTCAGATCATTGAAAAGAGTGAATCTAAAAAAATAATCACAGTCCTTTGCAAAACACAAATCCCGTTCTATTGTCCAAGTTTGCTTCTACGATCAGGGTAATCGAAGCAGTTTATCAGGCATCATATTTCATAAAATTTTAAACATAAAACACAAGATAATGTATAGAAACTGCCAGCCGGCAATGAACCCTAGATGCTCTATTTTTCGCCTCACTTCAAACTATTATAAGAATGATTGATACGTAAGCAACTGCGTCTTCATTTAATTGCATTTTAGGTTCAAATCTGCGCTTATCCAAAGTTATTGCAAGAACCCCACTTACCATGAATACATCAAATGACTGTCTTTGTTTAGGCATCTGACCCCCTCATTCTCTAGCGTTGCTCTTAACTTCTTGGGTGGTTTTGCAAGGCCTGTACCTAGCAATATCCCTTGACCGGTTTGCGATAGTAACTCCATTGCTCCACCGATCGGTTTGGCAAACATGCCCACTAGACCTTTGCCAAGACCCTTTGCAGCCCCTTTGAACGCCTCTTTAGCTGTGTCGGCTTTTTGAATGTTGTTTATTGAATGGTCCACCAACCCGGCGACAGCTCCTAGTAAACTGATTCCGAACCCACTCAAAGCATTTGAGAATCCTGTAAAAGAAAGATCCAAATGATCTAAAATAGTAGCTAAACCAGCAGTATTGTCTGACAAACATCGATCCCCAGGTTTGCAAAGATTTTAACCGAAAACATGAGTCTCTTTCAGGGATATTGACTTTGGGGCATTCAAATACATCCTTGGCAAAAATGGACAAAATAACTTTCAAAAATAAAAAACACGTTTCAAGTTAGAAAAATATTAAAACGGCAACTGCTAATCCCATTACCATTTAAGAAAAGAAACTGAAAGATACTTGCATAAAGTAAACATAGATCTGAATACAAAAGGCAGAACGGAATCAACTCAAGAAGGGATAATAAACAAGAGACTCGATATAGAACAAAGGCATAGAAGATATGCTTTTTACATGGAACAGTCAGTCGATCGAGTTGATGGAACGGTCAGTAAATGGAAGTGGAGCAATCAGTCAATCGAGCAGTCAGTTAATTGAAGGGTCAGTGAATGAAGCAATTAGTGAGTGGACCAGCCAGTCAATGAAAGATTCTTGGGATATTTAGTAACTACTCAGTAGATAAATCGCGGCATTTTATTGCAAAAATGCAGCGGTGATCTTCATACCTGGCCATACTTGCAATGACGTTCGGCACCTTCGTTCTTCTTGTCTCATCAAGTGCTCTTCATCAAAACTGAGCCTGTCCATATTCCTTGACAAGCTGGAGGCAAAGTTTGTGATTGATGTCAAAGCTCCAACAGAAGTATGCCTGAAAAAGGATCTTGTTCCATTGCCGATGCCAGAGACGAATGCCGATGGCCCTCTTGTCAATCCGTCATACGGTAATGCAAAGAAGTCTGATATCCCTTTCCCAAGGCTTCTCAGGAGTCCCGTTGGATTGGCAATTATTTCTAGAGAGCCCAGCATAAGTCCTGCACGAACCAAAGCTTGAGTTGCATAGTGGTATAAGATCCTTCTGACAAGCTCTTTCTGAAGTGTTCTCCCAGGATGACACTTGAAATTCCCTAATACAATCGGCATGTGATCTGCGGCTATATACATTTTAACAGACGCATGAACGCTCAGTAGTATTCTCACATCGTTGATTTCGATAGCTCCAAGATTAATCGGGTTTAATATCTGGCGGCCTATAGATCTTAATCTGCCCAGTTTTTCATTCGTGACCTCATCTGATTTGTGCGGTGGAGAGAACGAATCAATCAAGCCCACAACTCGATAGATAAAACTATCCTCTGTATAAATTTCTAAAGGCTCTGAATGAAATGTCAAATCGTCAATAAAGATCTTTGCACTGGCGGATCTATGTGCCGTGATAACTGTCCGAAAAAGAGGCTTTGTGATACTTGCATGCGTATCGCTGAATGGGGCGTTGTGGGGTGATTCTCCACGGTACCTTTGAGAAACTTCACGCAGCGGAAGAAGGACAACCGGAAAGTGGCCATAGTCATCAGTACTTTGGTTATCCAATTGGATTCCGCCTAGCTCCACAATGAACATCGATTCTTGTAAGCCATGAATGACAGAATTTCTTGTTTTTATGGAATGCTGGAGCAGAAAGTTATCAATAGAAAGATCAAACACCTCTTCACATGCTAAATCATCGATGACAATGACATCTAACTTGCGGATATTTGCACGTGTTACAGGGATATTCAATGGTTTGGTAATCGAGATGCATTCTTCTGTGTCATCTCTGAACAGGACGTGAAAACAGTTCGCTGATAGCTGATAACTTACGAGTACTTTATGAGACCCTACAGTCAGTTCAAATTTCCCATCAAGACCATCCAATAAAAACTCTTCGGAGCAATTTGATTCATGGCTGACAACCTTTAATCGACCCTCTGTTAAAGCTTCGATCTTTGGGAATCTGTCTCTAAAAGACTTACACTGGTGACTAAAGCTATCCATTGGGACAACATCTACAAAAGGATCCCATTCAAATTCGGGTTGCACTTGACTATGTTTTGTTTCATGTTTCTTCTCTGATAAACACGTGCTCACTGATAATTTCGTACCAGAACGATTCGTGAAGAAGAAACTAGGACAGACTTCCTGGTCTATGTATATGTTGATGGTACCATCTTTCAAAAATGACGTCAACGCCAAGCAAATAAAGGAGTTCTCTGGGCTTCTAATTGTTACGTTCTCTCGTAAATGATCATGTGATAAATCAAAAACATTTTCACTCGACAGAGTGAAGGGCGTCGATGATCCATTATGTTGAAAGAAATAAAGAATAGAGAATTTTGACAAATCAAGGCTGCCCATTTCTTCCATTTTATCTGATTTTTGAACAAGGGAAACTTTGCTTATCTGAACAGGCGCTTCTGTGGCATGAACTTTAACAACATTTTCTGTTGCAACCTAGGAATACAGTAAAAACAAGTATATACAATCTTGAAGGACAAATCATTTCACAAAGTAATGCAGTATAGTTCTGACACTTTACTGCCCACCTACTTACTATAGCCTGATTTAAGAAACTGTTTTCCTTTTCCTGGTACCTAGCGCAGCTTTCTGATTTAGCCAACTTCATGTGTAATGATAAAAAGCGAGTATCTGAGTACACGGTTACTGAAAAATCCTAAAAAATAAAATGATCTAAAGATTTTGTGCACACAATTGGATGATTCGATCAATGTCAGGTAAATAAAACCGGATCTAGAATGGAAACTCCTAAATAAAAACAAGCATTTGAGATTACCTTTGGGTTATCGCCTTCACAGAGACAAGGAAAGCAATTCAATTCAAGGCCAGTAAAATTGTGAATGCAAAATCTGTCAGTAATGCTGATTATTATCATGTTATTTCTGATCTTTGATGAGATGGCAAACTGTGAACACTGGTTTCCATCTGGATTGAAGATGCTGAAACTAGAAGATGTATAAAGAGGAAGTTCATCCATCTTTTGCAGGCCTGCAGGCATCAACCGTTCATCAAGCTTCTCTAATAGATGAATAGGAGACGACCAAAAGCTGTATGCAGCACTCTCATCGACCACCACTTTCCCAAACTGAATAGTTTTCTAAAATGAAACACGAAGGCAGTGTTACAAGATTTGTTATTTAAAGATTGTAAGAACGGTTTATTTAGTTGCTATTGAAAAAGTGTTTGCAAAATAGAAAGCTAGAAAACCTTAAGAATACGAGTAGCTTATAAATAAATCAATTGCAAGGAGCTGACAATTCATGAAGAAGCAAAACTGTCTTGATAAAGTAAAGCTAGTACCAAGAGCCTTGGATTTCTTCATTTTTTTAAGACAAAAATATATCTAATAAAAAGAGCAATCAGCCAATTGATTTCAAAACTCATTCTCTGTCTAAACAGACGGTTGCTTGAAAGAAAGAAATTAATTTAAATTAACTGTACTTCATGTGCTCCCCCTTTAAGCAAAAAAACCCACCCTTGTAGTTTTCCAAAATTGCTGCATATTATTTAGAAGCCTCCTTGGTAACTTTCATTTTTCCAACTAAGATAAAGATAGTGTAGATAAAAAGAAAATATAAATAAATATTGTACCTGAATAGCTGGAGAAGTGAGAGCTGTATTCTTTGCGAATTCCCAAACAAGATGGGTTTCAGCGTCTCTTACCGAAAGGTTCTCCAGTGAATTGTTTATCAGTATAAATTTTGGTCTTATATCGACGATAATTGATGGCAGGGTGGGCCATCTTTGAAGCAACTGGCACTGCAAGTCTGGGCTTACTGCATCAGGCAAAGGTGTTGGACTTCTCTGGGGCAATATTCGTGGTGGCTGTTCTTCTACTATGGCACTGGAAATGAATATAAATATCTAAATACACTTTCAACAAATGGGGATTTTTCTACAATAATAAGGCAGTGCTGCGCTTGAAAAATTGATTAATGGCTTTGAAAATATATCTGAAAATATATTCAAATTTCAAGTTTTGTAGCGCCAAAAAAGAGACCAACAGCCTTAAGTGATTCGATGAAACTTTGACTCACCATTCGTCACCATAAGGCCACTCTGCTCTGAAATCCACTGACAAATCAACTTTCTTCTTCTTCTTTAAAATTTCCACAAAGGTTGTATTGATGGGAATTGGTGGATCGGTACGTTCACTGGTACCTTCTAACTGAAAACTCACGTTGTACCAAGTGTTAGAAGACAGTTGGAAAACCTATAACAAAAGAGATGCAAGAATGCAATTCATATGCAAGGTTGTCGTACCAAGATCCCTTTGAGCAGGGATTGGGGCTCAGTGAAGTTCCGTCTTGCTCTTCATTATTGAATCGTAGTTTTTGTGGGAGCCTTTATTTTTCCAAGGCACTTCACCTAAAGTGCTTAAATCAAAGACAGTACTCGCCTCAAAGATAATCACCCAAGCCGAAATAGAAAATATGAATATAATTATAAACCATACATGGCATCATCACGTTGATAATAGCTCATAGTACCAAAGACATGCTGTATAATGACAAATTTAAAAGCTCAGAGGAGTATCCAAGCTCGGAGTTCAAGAGAAATTTACCTCTGTTTCTGCACCACGACCAAGAGATTGTAGTTGAAATATTTCTTTGTTGTCACGGGACGTTGCCTTCATCTCTACAGGCCAACATAGGTGGTTCCGAACGATAAACATTGGACAAATGCATACCACGAGCTGACTGTAATGGTCACTAGTTGTGCGTGCCACAAAATACCATACATTTATAAGTTCATCTTTGCATGTCAACTAAACGAAAAAAGGATGACTCGTGGTGCTACAACAGCAGATAATTACTTTTTTCAAATATTAATCTGCAGAAATAAAACTGTATATAATAAAGAAAAAGTAAATGGAGAATTTCTGTATGCTACCCAAGTAAGATTTACAGGAGAGGAGGGCGTCATATGAAGTGAAACAAGTTCAGTGCAAATCTAATTGTTGCTCAATTAAAAACAATTAACTCGACCTTCACACCGAAAGGCCTAGCAAACAACTTTGGTTGCACTGGCAGTTCAGATAATGATTTTTTCGGCTTTTTTACTTTTTCAGCAAAAAACACAAAAGGCTACCTGTTTTTGTTATGTCAGCGTTACAAATGAATCAAATTGTTGCCTGTTGTTTACCGGTGTTTATGATTAAAAGCTCAAAATTGACGAAAACATCCATCCAAAAGTACGATAAATTGAAGCGATGAAGTTGAATTATTTACTGAGCGGCTGTTTCTGATAGTGTTGTTGATTTAGTACCAATATTGTTTGCAGATCACCGAATTTTGATTAATCAATTAATGTAATAAGTTTCTTGCAGACAAATCCTTATGCAATATGTTTCGTACACATAAAACCACACAACGCAACGTATCAAGAACCAAAAGGTTTGCAAAACCGTAAAGCCGTATTGCAAAAGATAGATAGCGAGGCAGTTGAAAGGAACTATAATTCCTTAATACACTTAAAGGGACAGCACAAAAGCGTCTATTCTAGATTGCAACATAAATTTATTTTTCTTGGATTAAAAAATATTCATGCCAACGATGACAGTAAAAAATCATTAACAATTATATACAATAGGTTTAAAGAGTGTTTGTTTAGAGAAATCATAACTAATAAGACTAACCGTTAAGGGTAGACAAAGATCGTCTACATCACCTAAAGAAAGCGTCAGGGGGGTTGACCAATCGGCACGGCTTTGATCGCCAGCAAGCTTTACATACAATGACGTAACTGTGTTTGAAGAGAATGACATCGAAGGCCGTGTAGTCTCAGCAGGGACGACAAAGTTCTTGGGTGTCTACGAGGAAAAGAAAAACACAAAATAAAGGAAACTAGTCAAAATTATATTTTTCTCATTTTCGTTACTTTTCTTATTTTTCTTTTTTTAGTTTTGAGGTAATAGCATAGAAAGTCATGACTGTGAGTTCTGACGCAATTTGACGCAATTAGACTTTTTTCAAAGCTCTTAAGCTCTTTTTTCAAATATGAATTGATAATTACCATATCAAAGGTAACGATGAAGTTTTCTAAATGCGGTAACAATGATGAATAGAAAAAAAATGAACAAACTTATAAAAGCAATGAAATTACCTGAGAGATCTTTTGCTGCTTTAAACGGCCAACTACTTCAACATGGTGGAGGATCAGCTCGAATTCAACATCTCTCTTGAGGCAGTTCCTGAAGACCATTCCACCTCGAAAAATGACCTGGTGCAACAAAGGAAGATGCCAACTGTTGTCATGAAGATTATAAGAAAAAAAGGAACAGAAAAAAAAATACAAGCAAACTAGAATTACGTACATACTGAAGTAGCTAGGAAAAATTTCAACACTAAACGTATTTACATGCACAAACCATAATGGGAAAAGCCAGAAATGCTTCAAGCAAATTAACTATATCTGTTAGAAAGTAGTCCTGCGTTTGTTAACCTTTAGGTTAATCATAGGCAAAACGAAATACATACAGATGTACGTTGGCTGGCAAGTGGAACTGTTTGTAGAAAAGAGAACATTTTTTGACTTCATAAAAAGAATCAACTGTGATTGTTTGGTCCACATTATTCGCCTTAGTCTCTATCAATGGGCAATACCCAAGTCTAAATTACCTGTTTTTGAACACCACCGAGATTCTTGACCTCTATGAGAATCACTGATGTATGTGTACTGTGTTTTATTGTTCTTGAGCAGCCTCGCATTGAGTCAATATCAAACGGAGCACTCCACTTCCAGTCTCCAACTGAATCGATGCAGACATGCAGTGTCTGGGCACCACGTGACCTCCAACTATACGGGTACATTTGCCCGCTTGCCAGTACAATGTCTTCATCGGTGTCGACCTGAAATCGGATTTGTAGCCAATGAACAATGTAATCACTCACAGAGCAAGGGAAAAGTGATTGTAGGCACAACTGATTAACACAAAGATTAATGAAAACAAAAGAATTCAAAGAACTAAACCCAGGCCATGCCCTGTTTTGGTTATTTTGGGAAGGCATGGAATAAGCATTAGAAAAGAATGAGAGGAGCTCTAGTATCTGTTTACTCATTACATTACTTTCACCAGCTTGTACTTTTGTCAAGTTAAGCAAAACTCTATCCACGACTGTGTGTGATATGCACCGATATTTAAACTTGGGCTTCTTGGTTTAGCAATCAAACAGCCAAAAACAAAAAGAGCTTGGCAGTACTATTGTTGCGAAGAACTTAAGAGTAATGCCCTTCAGGTCTATATGTTACAAGGTCCCAATTTGGCTTAATACGTCTTCAGTTTCCCAGATGCACGGGACGGGTATTTTTATTCTCGAAAGGCGTATAATATAATCATTTTGATATAGACTTTGCTTCTGATGCTTTTATGTGAAGAAATCATTGCTATTCCAAAATATCAAAAACATTTCAAACGGGATTCTTCATAGGTGCACATAGTAGAATTGCAAAATTACCAAGTAATTTGCTGTATGTTTTTCTATGAGCATTTCGTTTATTCAGGTTGTGAGGTCGAGGGAGTCTGCTAACCAGTTCAACACCAAATATTTCGAATGAAGATCGCAACATGTTTTTCATTAACAGTCGCAAAATAACTGGGAGATAAGTAAATTCACTACCTGACCAAATCGCAATACGTCCTCGGTTTCATTGCATATGATGTAATGATTCAGCAGGGGTACAATGCACCCTTTTTCTTTGGTTGACCAGTTCTCTGCTGTCAGTGCAAGTGTATGAACAACAAACTGACTTGCAAAGATCTTTGCTGCTTTCACTTCAAAATCAAACTTAGACTTCGTCAGATCAACAGATGCACTACTGTCTTGGCAATTCTATGAGGTGAAAAAATCTTTATTAAACCATTATTACCTTACAAATCTTAAACAACCAAGGTACGGAAAATAGGATGTGTTGTAATCAAAAACAGCAATCAATGTTAACGGATGTCTCATGTCAGCTCCTTGAAACTTACACATAATTTTCAGAACGTTTTTCAACCAATCTTCAGTTGGTGTGGGTGGGAAAGGAGGGACAGGTAAGCAGCTCGCTAGTTAAAGTATTAAAACGATTAAAAAAAATGATTAAACGATTAAGGCAAAGAACTAAATTGGAATGCAACAAACCGTTAGTAGAATAAAAAGTTCAAATAAAAGGAAAGGAAAGATTGTTTTGTATCTTACAGACTCAAATGCCATTTCAATCACAGATGCAGATAGGTTAAGGCATCGTCTCCAAGAGAGATCGTGATAATTCATGACGTCAAGCGAGGCATCAAACTCAAGGTCCATTTGTTGAGATGCGTTCGTTCCAGCAGTACAGGAACTTTTAAGCAGAAAGTTTGCAAATTCCAATCGGCATGCCTCTTGATTTGAAGGGTAGGTATATGAATCCAAAAAGAACGGTGAAAAACTCTGCGAGGGAGCTGAAACGAAAAATTCAGATAATGTAGGTTTGAAAATCAAGGAAACCTACATGGAATTGAATAGTTAGGATTTCAATTAATTTTTCATAGAAGATAATATACACAAAAGTTTATCAAAACCCATTCATTGGGATAAACAATATGACTATGCGATGCACTGTATATAAATGATGGGTGCAGAAACATCCCTCTATCTCTCTTCGAAACATAGCTACCGCAGCTATCTGGAGGTGGCCGGTTTATCAATATCTAGTACAGTAAGTACCCGCATATAAGAAACTCCTTGTATAAGAAAGAGGCCTCATTTTCTTCAATGTGGGCTCATATAAAAGAAACAATTTTCGGCCTGAAGTTGAAATGATTCTTTTTTTCAAGCATAAACAGTCGTGTTTTATATTTAACGTTTATACTCTAGGATGGTTGTAGTGTGTGTGTTCTATTGATATGGAAAATTATACTGTAGATTATGTATTAGACACTACTACCAGTAACATTAAAAACACGTTCATGGACGGTACTGTCATATAGCTTGAGTTGATTTGATTTTACAGTACTTATTGATAAGAAACTTAGACCCTGATGATGAAAGTCTCAGTTAATATTCTGAGGCCTCAGTTTAAAACAATGGTTTCTTATATGCGGGTACTTACTGTATATTTAACAAATTTAACTCACCACTTTCATTAGTATCAAAATGATTGGCAATATTTATCTGGAGAGAACCAATTGAAGCTGCAAACAGCAAATGTGGAATCTTCTCTGGCAGGTAGCAAGAATCGACCTTTACGCAGGCGGCTAGCGATGCTGCAGACACTGGGGTCTTGTACACAGCGTTAACTTCTTTCAAGATGTCATCAGGAATGACGTCACTTTCACTGAAACAGAAATTCATAATACCTAAATAAAGTTATAAGACGATACCACAGAAAGAATGAGAATTTATTGCAGAAAAGGCCTTGGCTCTGCAGATAAAGTTGTTTTTGGAGTAAGAAATCTACCGCCTAAATGGTAGTTATTTAAACATGCTTCCTTTAAATGTCAAATTCGTCAAATCTAGCATCAGATCTAGCATTAAATCTAGATCAAACAACACTACATATCCTAGACATTCTATAATTATGTATTTGTGCTTTATTTTTGCTAACAGCTCATTGGAAAAGGTTGATTGTAAGAAAACCATGCAATGTACTTTACAGTGATGTTAGCAAAATTGGCGAATATATGAAATTTGCTGTCACAAATATTTGCCGACACCTAAAAGATTGAAATAACTTATTCAATCATAGTTTCATGATGAGATGTAAATGACCGATTAGAATGGATTGAAATTCTTTTAACCAGATTAATTACAGCTTACTTAATCAACCAGTTGCCGTTGTTAATTTCAAAATTAACCTGTATAATGGCATGATCATTCATGAGAAAACGAGCAGCTTAAAGTTACCTTCTCTCCTCTGTCTCAGATTCAATTGCAACATCAACAACGATTTGCCATTCTTCAGACGCAACATTGTTTACTTCCGGTGTGCTAAGAACGGGATCTGGGAAGGACAGAGTCTCTGATTTGTTCTGCGACAGGAAAAAGTGTCTATAGGTGACAAAGTCTTGCTCTAACTGGTCCCAGTAACGAATGACACATGGAATCTTAAAAAGAAAACGATCGATGTTAGGTGATGTGATAGATAGTATTATGTAAGTTTAACTAGTGCAAAGGTAGTTATGTCATGTTTGTTGATATAATAAAAAGCTTTATGCAGTAAGGCTATACGAAGAAAACATTGCGACAGATTATAAGATTCTTCTTCTTCATGTTTTATTGTGCCTTTCAGCACGTTGACAATCATGTCTCTCAAACAATTTCTTTCTTTGGTAGAATGCAACACAACGTTTCCCTTGGATTAGTTCAGTTCTGCAGGTTTTGTAAATACGTTTGTCTTTGTCAGCCTCTTGCTTTGTAGCTTCCGTTTTTCCAGTTATTATCAAGTTCTCCGCGCTGTTTCTTCTCATAACATGTCCGAGAAAAGATATGATTTTTAAATACATCACATAAACACAAAAACTATGAATATCTTAAAAAGAATTAGAAAATACCTAAAAATCTATTTTTACCTCGGCTAATTCATCACCATGCATTATTTCGTCAACATGAAAAGGCAAGGGATAGATCGTAACCTCCTTTAGAAATCGAGGCTCTGGATAGCGCCATGTCATCGTTGGTGGTCGTTCAGTATCTTCTTCAGAAAACATAATTTGATTGCACAACGGTCGAGATTGTTCTTGGCCTAGTAAAGAAAAAGAAACATTTCAAATGAAGAATCTTCTACATTAGATCAAACGACGTTGTCTTTACAGAAGTTCAAAATACAGTGTGAAAAATGCTCCTTTGATAAAAACCTGAATTCAAAACAAGCAGAAATATTGCGAAGATTTCATCATTTTAGGCTAATAGATTTTAGGCCGGCTAGGCTTGCTTTCTCGATACTAGTTCACGATCGTCACAGCACTTTAGTTGGTATATTTAACTCTTTAAAAATTCATCACATAATTATAAAGTTCATTTAAAGGTAGAATTTACCAGCATAAGTGACGTATTTGAAGTTGCCCGTCCTGAGGTCGTCCTGGCTAATGTCAACAAAGGATTGCTTCTCATTTTCACTAGATGGTTCAATAACTGACTGCTTGGAATCTTTGTTGTTTTTGGCATTTTCTTCAAACGAAGACACAAGCTGCTGAATGCACTCTAAGTGGAGCTGGCTTACTTGGAAACGCACCAATCCACTTTTGAAAGACAATATTGTTCTTGACGCGCCATTGCTAGCAAACAAGTATGTTCATTAATGTAAATTTATCTACCATTCTGGCAAGAAGAAGAGGCTTGAATTGTAATTGACCAAAACATCGCCCAGAAGAGCATTCAATAAAATAAAAAACGAAATAAATATATATAAAGACTGACAAGAAACAATATATCAAATATTCTTAGCTCTGGCACTCAGATTTGAAGTTCTGCCTACTAAACATCAGTTATCAGCATTCGTGTAAGTGGTACCTCTATCTTTAGATACCAAGCTTAAACTTTCTATTATTGTTAAACAAAAAGGAACATTACATTCTAACAAATAGGTTCTCCTAATCGTCTTAATAACCGGCATAGTGGCCATCTAAAAGCAAACACTTTCGATGAAATTAGACTATTTCTAATCGGGTAATCAACCAACAGGCGATAATAAAAAACACACCGGTTTTGCTCGTTACGTTTGTCCTGACTGTTAAATTCTGCTTCTCCCTCAATATTAAAGATGCAAGGCAGCAGCAAAGGGCAAAGTCTATGGTGACGCAGCAAATTTATTTCAAAGCATTCGAAATCAAACTTGAATGAACAGCCTGATCGATTTCCGGGACCTTTAGTGACGTCACAGACAGCATAAAGCGACCTTACTCCTGTAGCTAGTTGGCATTCAGCATGAGTTGAAAGAAAAACAAGAATCCTGTTTGTCTGAGCAGACAGCGTTGCTATGGTTATGGGCTGGTGGGTGATAACTCTTTTGGTCTTCTGAGCAAATTCAATGTCAGGCTCTGGTGTTGGACTGGACTTCTGATTCAGTTCTAGCTCTCTCAAGAACATATTTAGAACATCAGTCATTTCAAAAAAGATGTCAAATTGCAACGGCCGATCGATTATCAATTTGAGATCACTTGATTTGCCTTTTGTCACCGTCAACATGAGGACAGATGGATACAGTCCAGTCTTTTGATTACGCTTTCCTTTGCTTGTGCTCAGCACCACACTATCAAATATTGGGCGTTCAGGTAACACTTCAGTCGTTTTGCTCTCACGTGCAATGGCTACCAGAACATCAAAAACATTCAATTCAAAAGAATTCTGTACGCTAAAGTATGCTACGCTGAGAGTTGGCTGAACCAGTTCCATGTAGCATATCGGCCTAAAAGATTCCCCGTCCTTCAGGGAAGTTGGATCACTACTGTAGTGTGCTACATGAAGAGATATAGAGACCTTTGAAATGCTAAGGAAAAGCTCGAGCGGCGTCCCATTTTCGTCGTTCCAAGTCTTTTCAACCACTGGGCTTGTAGCGTCTTGAGTACTTCTTGAAGTGCTTATGCATTTAATTGACTGATCACTTGAAATTCCACTATCAAGGACATCTGGACTTTTGCACGTCTCAAATTTAGAAACGCTGTCAATTCTGGTTCTGTTTGCTTCAAGATTTCTAAGTGACAAGGAGGTTTGCTCAGAGACATTTACCATTAATTTCACCTGAAGGAGGATAAGAAAAACATTCAAATGCAAATAGCAAAACTTTCTTGATGAATTATTCGTATTTAAGACAGTGTGAATTAGTCTATGCAAAGTACTTCTTTCACTTTAACAAAACCTTTTATGAGAAAAAGAATCTTCTCATATCGTCAAACTTAAAGACTTGGCTTCCAATATGAGTTAACGTGAGATGATCTTGAGTTATATTGCAAATCAACTCATGGTACAATTTTAAGTTTGACTGAGATAGCGTGAAACAGCATAATATACTGTGAGCTAACTGCAAATTTAACCCAAGCACGAACTCAGTTTATCAGATCACAGAAGTATCTTAAATTAAATAATATTAAATCAAAGTGGAAACCAAGCTTTTGTAAAAGTTTGTGCAGAAAAAAATTGCTTAAAGACATACCTGCCGTGGATTACAGTGTGCAATGATTTCTTTCGGGAAATTGATCTCCATTGCCGTAGTGCAAATATTAATGATCTGCAAAAAAGATAGCATTATGATGAGAGAAAATGGTCGTCAGAACAGGAACTGGAAGACAAGGAAGACCATCAACACCTTAGCAAGCGAAAAAGGATATCGTCTCGTCAATTGGCTTTCTGTTTATTAAAGAATACGACAAAATGATTCCTGAATCTGAACTTAAAAGAAAACACGTCATTCTTCTTAAGAAATAGATTTTTTTGGTTTGCTGAAATGAAACATCACGTGAGAATTGCGCATCCTTACCATTTAGAGGCTGAAAGTATAATTTGTTTGTCCTTCCACTCCATAAAATTGGTTAATACTAATAGAGACTGACTTCATTAAATAAGGAACTGCAGCAGTTTGTACCTCCTAAATGATGTGACGTCTTGTCGAAGCAATATTTTGACATCTCTCTTTTCTTGAAATTTGTTCATTAGTCATGAAATTGCAAGACTGTGCAAAAAGGCAACTAATTAGAGCAATACCTCATTTGTGCTTTTCTTTGTAACCTGAATGGCAGGAGAAATGACAGATCGACAATCGAATTCTTGAAGCATTGGACTGAGCTTGGCAGGCGGTCTTTCAGTTCTACAGTAGAAGAAAACGGCTGATAATAAGACAGATTGTGCAAAAATCAATTAACACAAAAAGGGGAATGAAACGAGCTTGGAGCAAGAAGCGTTGTTTTAAATCGATATGGCTTGATCATTTACATTATATATAGCCACAGCTACAAAGTACTTGAAGTTTCCAATCATATCTTAGCTTTTTAATAAATGTTACTGCTAATGGAACATCTACATGTTCTAATTCAAAATCATCGTATTAAAGGAGTCACCGATCTTACATCATCTTATAGTTCCATTCCAATGCAGGATTTTGTCCGTCTGCGTTTACCGAGAGCTCTGTCTCTGACGTCTCCAGGCTCTTCACTAGATCATTCCAATTCCCAGTCCAAGCGCTGATTCCATTGAAATCAACCTTGTATTGCATATGCCATGCTTTTGTTCGCCTTCCATTTTCACGTTGATGTCGCCGAAGAGTGCGATACCACTCTTTATGCAAGACAGTCGACGATATTCTGTTTACTGGGTCTGGCTTTATCACACCAGAACGAACTTGAAATATAAAGACGTTTTCGTCAAGGTGGCTGCTTTTTCTCTCACTTGATTCAGAATGTAGCATTGAATCTCGCAAAGGGACTATAACTCGGATTCCCTTACAATCAACATCTAGTTGTGGTAGTGGCTGGAAGGTACCTTCTCGTGCTGTATCCTCTTTGCTTGCCATCAATTTAGCTGGCTTCAGAGAAGTGTCTTTAGCAGTGATATTGTTTAAAGCTAGAAAGCTCTCAGCTATATTTACAACCGGGTCAGTGACCAATAAGACGTCGAATGCTTGCATGGTTACATGGAATGACTGCAGAATGGCAGCACCGTCGCAAATGACGTATCTTGGTGATCTGTCACTTGCATGTGATTTTTCATCAACATCTTGAGCATTCGGCAGTATAGCAGCCTCTGATCGAACTGAATCGTGTCTAACCCTTTCATCAGAAAGAGGCTTTCTGGTATACGTCACAGTTAGAAAAGACCCCAGGCTTGATTTCCGCCCCGGAGGTTGAATGTCCAGGTTGTGACTGATTATATCTTTGCAGGAGAGGAGAATGCCTCCAAATTCATCAGGCAACCATTCACTACCACCTTGCCTAAAAAAGAGCCAATACTTCAACCAAAAAAAGTGTTTAAGACCGAATTGAAAAAAAAACTTAGGAAGTAGAAAACAAAGAGACGGAGCCGAGTAAACAAGAAAAGCATCAAAGTACAATTCAGAGTAGAAAGGTATGTCATCAAAGGATGAACAAATCAAAACAATGTCCAGCTAATGGCACTGTTGGCTTTGATTCACAGAAAAGCGATTCGCACTCTTCCACTGACTGTCTTCTATAAACGTAAAATAACCAGGAAATAAATAGTGGTAATATTAAGGAATAACATAAAAGAAAAGTTTGGCAAAGAAATGAAGGATAAGATGCAAGCTTCTTATGCAAAAAACAGAAGATTGTGGTCCTTTTAAGATGGGAAGAAAAATAGGCAGAAATTGATTTAAGTGTAATAAAGTCAGTTACCTTAGGAAATAGCTCTTGGCAGAAACTGATCCAACCTTGCTTGTTATTTGAATCTCATTCATTTGATAATCGAAGGCGAAACTAAGGTCCTCCAGTTGAAGAGGTATTTTGTACCAAGATTTAGCTGTGAAGTGTGAAGGCTCACCATACAAAGTGACTGACATTCTTGGAACGATCCATTGCAACCACAATGATACAACCAAATTGTCTTGCGATTCCTTGAAAATATTTCAATGCTTTGTCAGGTAATTTTTCTGGATTAAAGAGGAGATTACCAAGTAAGCAATTCAACATATATTTTGTGGGGATATAGGATATACTCTATAGTGTTTAAGAGATATATTGACTTGGTGTTTCTGTTCAACTCATTTTGAAATTATCAGAGAGTAAAAAATATAGAAACGATCTCTGTACAGATCTTGCATTAAATTTCAAAATCAGCAATTCAAACAGTTCAGACTCTGAAGCTTGACTTTCTTAACCTGGACCGGACCAAGGGTTCACCGATTGGCATGATGACAAAGAAACTCGGGTTGGGTTCAACCTGGATTCAGCCGATGTGAAAAGTGTCGTGGAAAGAAGATATGTGAGCACTCAATAATTACTTTAAAGCCCAAGCCGGAAATTGAAGTCTCTGTAGAAACACTAAGAACATCCGGCTGGTCTGCTGTTGATGCTGTGGATACGGAACGACGATCCAGATCTTTGCCGGCCGAGCGGTTTGATTTCGTTTCATCGTTTATGACGTCATCACTGACGATTCTTTTACCGAGATCCTCATTTGTCCTTTTGCTGCTCAAGTTTTCGATGACCTTTTTGAATCGCGGCAGGAGCGAAAGAATCACACTCATCTAAAAGAAACAAAAACTAAATAAAGCAGAAAAGTCTTCATAAGACAAATTTGCATTGAAAATTCAGATATTTCTTCACAGAGCTGAGAAAGATAAAGTTATGCAAGATTAATAGAGCTTTTGAATCCGACAAACTCTAATTCTTCCCAATCACGCTGAATGTGTATGTGATGTGAAATTAAACATCCAAAACATAAAAAGATTTATTTGTTTTTGGTTATTCCAAGTTGTTTCGGGTTTAATTTATGTACATTTGATAAAATATAAACTAGATATAGTAGATAAAGAGATATCATATCGTTGTATGATTTTTGACCAAAATGATTTCATAAACACATTGAGACAAAAAGTTTGAAATAAGAGAATCAAGAGTGTTAACTAAACGTACATGAATACAAAGGAAAGGTATTAACACTCACTTAACTCTTACACTAAACTTTGCTCACTTGATGATGTAAATTATTCAGATAACAGATTCGGAAGGTGACGATAATCATTCATTCGTTCAGAAAATTTAAGAAATCTAAACGATATTTTATATATGTAGGTTGCTTCATGCGATTTTAGTTACTGAAACAGTGAAGGACTCTCCTCCCGAGATTGTTAGTATAACTTTAAGGAAATTATGCTAAATTTCCTTTCTCAATCAAAGGTTTACTTTTACTGAGCCTTCATTTTAGGATTCCGCTTTTGGCAGAGTTTTCAGAATTTAATTAATTTTTTTGGATCTTCGGCTATAAACTCAGCTTTACAAATTTCTTGGCAGGATAAAAAAACAAGTAAAGGCTGTCAAAGGAAAGCAGTCATCGGAATGAATGAGGCCGTTGAAGCCGACTTAAATTGATCACTAAATTCGGTCAAGATGACCAAACGAACCAATCAACTACCACGTTTAATCAAATCAAATTTTTGTCATCAAGGGTGTTTCTGTTTTATGAAAGAAACATCCATGATAAGAAAGTGACTAGACAGCAAAAAATATTATGTAAATGATGTCTAATACTAGCTTATAAATTAGAATGGGTTTTATCACTAGGCACAAATTATAAAAACCTTGCAATGGTACCAACCTGTTTTCTTGATATTCCAATAGACACCGAAGACAAATCAATATGGACACAGAAGCCAAGGGACTGCTGGTTTTTGTCCTTTATGCTACCATAATTTGCACGAGGGCTCTTTGCAACAGGTTTTATGCCTACCATTGTCAATGAATCTTGCAAGAATAGAAAGGGTTTTTTAAGGCCCTCAGGTGTCTTAGGATTCGTATGAGCCGCTGCGAGGAACATAGTCCACGGTGCTGGATGCCACATATAACATGCTTCAAAATCTGGTCTTGATGCCAGAGTCTCTGCTGTTAGGATGTATACTGAAAACCCGTGGCCATTTAATGCCCATGGTAGGGAATGCTCTTGAAGCTCGTCTGATTGCTGCAAGATTGGAATATCACCTGACATGTCAATATCTTTCGTGTTTGAACTGTTTATTTTGATGCTTGGAAGGGTGACCACAAGTGTATCGAGAAAGGTGCGAGATCGCAACTGGCAGGCTGCTTTCACTGCCAATGGTATGTTGTAGTCTGGGTTAGTAGTTTCAAACCCTTTTGGAAAAATGACTTTCAATTACATAGAGTTAAAATTTGGAGCCACAGAATGGAAAGAAGACAGATTTACGATGGTCAAAACATATTTCTTGTGTTGTAATCATTACTTGACTTGGCCTGGAAGCTCCCTTCTCCACCCACTGAGAACTGTAGACAAAAGTTAGCCTTAGGAGCTAGAGCACTAGAAATTCACAAATTCATCCAATCTCTTTGTTTTAAGTCGGCAAATTTTTTAACGCAAAGAATAAAATTTATTGGGTCCTTAACCTCAGAAAACCAAAAGGCAAAATTGCAAAGAGACGGTTGCAAAGTATGGAAAGTTTCAGAAAAAAAGACTCTACGAGAAAGACCTCTTCAGAAAACGGTACTCTTAATACCTTATAAGGCTAAATAGTTTCTAGAGTTCTGACATATATTGGGAATATTTTAGCACAGCGAAGTGAAACGTAAATGGACATAAACGTCATAAAGACAGCTTGCTGGTCATGTTGATTAAAAATTGCTGGAAGGAAGCATTACGGGAGCATAATATCTTTAGAGAAGCAAATAAATCAAAGACGAACAAGAATCAATGCTTACCATGTTTAGATGATCCTACAGGCATAAAAACAGCAATAGACTCAAGGTCCACCTGGTAAAGAGAAAACCTAAATCAGTCTATAGTCTATAAACTATAAATCGTCAAAATGGTCTATAGAGTTCTAAAGTGATGCTGCACAAAAATTTATTTTTAAAATTTTTGTATTTGGATTTAATAGCCTGAAAGAACATCATGAAATACCTTAAAATATGCAAAGGTCTATTTTTTTATGTTATGTGGTAAAAATTCAAAAATTCTAAAAATAGGTTTTTGGTGACGTCACACTTTAGAATTCTTTTTCAGTTTCTACAAAAATTTTGACTTGAAACGTTTCTTGAAAGCATTTGGAACACTTCTTAAAAGAAAAAAGAAAAATCTTTAGAAAAAAACGCCTATGATAGAGACTATCTATAAAAATGATTATTGTCACCTATAGGTTTGCAGTTTAAACGCAATCAGAGGACTTCATACACAGCTTGATTTTCTTTAATACAGCACGATTTAAAAAAAATTTATGCATATCATAGACAAAGCATATCTTTCTCAACTCTCTAGCTCGATCTAGCTCGATCTTAGTCAACCAATCTCAGCTGACAATGGCTATATAGCTCCTTAAAAGAATCAATATAAAAATATGAAATATAAGATATTCTGCACCTATTTGAGATATTTGAGAAAATGTTGTTCCAACGACTAGGCCACAACAATGGGAATCTGTATTGCACCAACTGCTATAAAAATAAAATTAAGCTTACATTCTGAAAATGAATATAGATTTCTAACCTTCAAAACAAGCGATTTCATTATTTCCATGGTGTACGATATGAGACTCTCCTCGCTTGTTCTGATATCTTGATGTTGCCTTCTTTCTTCCTGTTTCTTGTCCCGCTGGTCGAGGAGCTCTTTTGAAGTTTTTGAAGGAGAATTTCCAAACACTTGTGAAAAAGAAAAATTTAGAGAAAGGCAATGTTTGAAATTGACATGTGATATTGAAATATGATTGCTAGAAATTAGAGCCTTGGTTGAAGTATGTTATTATAGCGACTGTTTTCTGTAGAAGATCATAAGGCTCTATACACTAAAAAACATCCATTAACAAAAAATACATGACTCTTGCAAGTGGTACAAGAATAAAGATAACTGTAAACCAGTCTATTGCAGTGTTCTATACACCGTGTAGTTAGAGCTGCTCAAAGTGGAGAGCTGAAGACAAGCCACCAAATGTCGATGATCACATTAAACGAGAAACTCGGAATAGCAACTTAGATGGTTGGTCAGTAGATATTAAGCGTGAAACTAAAAGTTGTACTTTAAAACTTTCCTGTTTTATACGTCGAAGCGTGGATAGTAGATCGTATAAATTATATTGCATTCTGTGATTTTCAGGGCTAAATTAAATTCAAGCCTGATTTTTTGCCTGATGTTTTTGTTTAAGAAAAAAGAAGCTTAAAACTCACGTCGAGTATAGGATTTTTTCTTTGGAGTGCTGGCCGACATGCTTCGAGACATGATACGTGATGGTCTCTTTTCAATCCCACGTGTTCGCTTTCTTGGAATAGAGGACGGCTTATAGTCAGTCCAGTCGATAAGTGGTTGAGTTACAAGTAGAGCGATACCTTTCATTTGCAATAAAAATACTGCAGCTTCTAAGATGTAAAAAGAGAAGGAGTTCTTTAGATTAGAATCATGCATAGATGATTTTTTGGCACAAAATTTCAGGATTGCATGAAGCTTCACTAAAAAATTGTTGTCTAAAGAGTTTCAGTCTGACGAGTTTTAGGTGTATAAAACGTTAGAATGGTATAGTAGGAAAGAAGTTTAAGGTAGGCCTAATGGAATAAAGCTGCAAAGTATAACCTGAAACCAAGCATATGAATTGGTTAACGATACAAAGTAAAATATCCTGATATCACAAAATAGTTAGCCATGAGCATAAGAAGTAGATACGGATATAGTATTACGGTTTTGCATGGTTTCTGACAAGTATAGTGTGCTAATGTGCTTACAGTAAGCAAACAGGTGCAATTCGTTCTCCTAACAAACCGTACGCTTCAACATACCTTTTTTGGTTGAGCCTTGATTTTCATTGGAAGGTATTTGTGCTTTAAACTGCAACAGAGTCACATTTGGTATGTCTTGGAGGCTCTTGTTATTTTGATCAAGAAACGATTGCACACTGCTAACGGCAGCCGTGTTTAAAGGTCCATACATTACAGCAGTGTTAGTTGGAACGCCTTTATCTACAAAAAATGTAGTCTTTTTTTCAAATGAAGAATAAGAAGACAACAGAAGAAGAGGTGTAGAACCAAACAGGTGGGTTTTTAGCAAAATGAAAAGCAAAATGTCAAGGCTAAGGCTTCTAATGAAAGTACAAAAGTTTAATTTAATGAAAGTATATTGCAAATGTACATTAAACAATTGAACTTTTGAACAATTGACTATCTGGCAATATCCTGCTTAGTAACAAAAATATAAATTGTCTACAAACAGGCTGTAATGTAACCAATCCATGAGCCAAAACATATATTTAAAGATGCTTTCTTTCAAAAACCATTTCCAAAAAATGTTATTGCCAATATCATCAACAAGTGTAGGTTTACAAAAAAGCTTATATCATTGATTAAAGATATTAAAATCAGCAAAATGGTAAGGTGCCAATACTGAGTGAAAATGCACCTTCCCATTCCCCACCACCCACTCCCACTCCCTCACTCCCCCCCCCCCCCCCCGCTCCCAGGATGTTAATGGAAATATTGAACATGAGTGAAAATTTCAATCTCATCATCGATCAATCAAAGGTTGATCTCATTTCAACCAAAACAGAAACTTTGATTTTGCAAGTCAAACTTACGCAGTGATTGAACAGAAATTTTAAAGCTTCCAAGGGAACCACTGACTGCATAAGCTGCGTCAGTGTCAACGATCTTCATCTCCATAGCAACTAAAGAAGCATCAAGAAGTGATGATGCACTCTGGTTCTCAGCTGTAAAGGCAAAAATCGTCAAATTCAATTGTCAACCGGTAATAAAATTGCCGATATTGTGCTCATGATTTCTGCTCAATTTCATTTTAAGAACATTCGACAGTCAACAGAAACGCGATAAAAGGAAGATATTAAATTTCAACCATATAATCAAAAACTCAACAAGGGTCTATAACGAGTGTGATAAATTTTGGAAAAAAAATTTGCATTAAAATGTTATGCGAAAAGGGATTGCTAGAAATTAGAGCCTTGGTTGAAAATTTTTATCCTAGCAACATTTGTTAGAGGGAAATAAAATTACACGTTTATACTCAATATGTGGTATAGATATCATGAATGAAGATAAGATGACTGTCAATCAGTCTATAGCAGAGTTCTCTAAACAGTTTAATCAGAGCTGCACACATGAAATATTTTAACAAAAATTTACTGTAATAGAAACAGTTTTGATGGTAATAGTAAAGTACATACAATTTTTAAAGGAACATGAATGAATCTTAATCTAATAATTCTAGCATCAAAGGTCAAATAAATGCCATCGGTCTTGAGCTTTTTCCTTAACAGATGCAAATCTGTGAGCTACACAAACAGCTTTATACAACATCATTTCAAAGAAGAAGAAAATAAAATTTACAAAACATCAAGCCTTTACTATATTCAACAAACCTTTGGGATGAAATATGTCATCTAGTAGTATTTGGTTAAAAGCAGCTGGTCCTTGTTTTGTCCATGAGTTCAACAGGTCCGTGATCATAAGTACTTGTGCTTTTGTCAAATTGAATGTCAGGTTTGGAGTTTGAGCTCTGACTTCTAACTTTGAAGCATTTTGCATTGGGCTAAAAGATTTGTTATTAATAGTTTGTCAAACTTGATGAATAACTTAATACAAGTGAGGATTTCTCCCAAAGTTGATAGCAAAAAGTTAAGTGGAGAAGCTGAAACTAGCTAGTAAAAATGATTTGATGTGAAGAGAAAAAGCTTTAAAACATATGAAATGGGTGGATATGAAAAAGGATGTTGTAAAACAAGAATCTAAATATATGTTCAACTCAGTGATATAATAGCTAACAAAAATCTGATTGTCAGATTCATATCCCTAACCTTTCCCCAATAAACATTTTGGAGTACACTGTTGCATGAGTCAGTGGAACAATATTAAGAACAGTGGGATCTGAGCCTTCAGGGCCATGTTCACATATACCAACTTGCACACCAAAGAGCTACAATGCAATAAAATGGAAATAACAGCTATGATGAATTTGATTGTCAGAATCATGATATTGACACAATTCACCAACAGAAATATGGAAAGCCATACTCTTCTATACACCAAAGCGTGCATAGCCTTTCCTTCTGCATCAAGTACAATATGACAAATTGGTAAAACAGAAATTTTCATCATTACGATTACATATATACATGCAATTGACAAATATAAGATATTGCTTTTTTCCCAGAGAGGCCTGTTGATATATCTCATAGAAAAACAAAACAAATAATCAATCAAGCTTGCAGATCTCAACTGGAACTGATGACTTTGCTTTCCAACAAGGAGAGGAAATCAAAGATAAGCCAAACAGAAAGATAAATCAAAACATTTTATTCTTTCAAGACATGAACAGAAATAAAAAAGTGCAATATCTATATAAATATTTACCTTGGCAAAATAATCAGAATATGCTGCTCTGCAGAATATTGCTTTCTGTTTGGTAGCTGTTTTCAAAAGAAAATTCAGCTCGGCTGGATACATAGGAGAAGTTGCTTGATAATCAACTCTGTCAATTAGCAGCATCAGTCCATATAAATTACACTGCTCATTCTGCAGGAAACAAATTACAAGGTATCAGATGTTAACCATATACAAACTTCATCTAAAATACACAATTCCTGTTCAATAAAAACTACAGAATGATATATGGTCCAGTATTTACCCATTTGTGTATAGAACAGGACTGTTCAAAGTTGCAACACTGAGTTTCACAATCAGGCAAATGTGATCTGATAATATATAATAACTGGTTATTTTATGTTCCTCGCCTTAGACAATTACATATTTCAAACAAAAAAATTAAATACTGACAAATATAAAGATTTCAGAAAATTTAATTCCCAGTGAATGCATATGTCACAAAATTTAGGATAAAGATTTTGAAACATGATTTGAATGTTTCTATATTATAAAGTAAAAAACTCTAACATGATTAGCACACTTACAGCACTTTCTGCATGAAAAAGATGGTCGGCATAGGACACTGATAAATTTAGGGACTGGCAGGTAAAATGAAGTGCTCTTGTAGGCAGATTTCCAAGCACTAGTTGGTTCACAACAAACTGATCAATAAACTCATCTTCTTTCACTATAGATGGAAGAAAAACAAATAATGATAATATATAATATGAAATTTTGGTTACCAAATTGGTTACAAAAATTACACAAGCATAAAAAGCCAACAAAAAGCAGTGAGAGCAAACTGTAAACCCTTTACAGCATACCAGTGTTTGGATCTTAAGCAAAAAGTTCTTGACATTCTCAACAACATGCAAGATGATGATTATTGGAAACACCCCCAAGTTATGGATAATAATAGAGTATACAGACTAATGAAGCACAATATTGTTTCAACACAAAAGTATCATTGACTGCCAGAGCTTTATTTAGAAACATAGGTAGTCCCCAGTTTTTTGTTAGCATTTCAAGGCCAGGATATGCATATAATTATCTTAAACCAAAGTGCATACACAAAATATTATTCTAGACTTGCAGATTTATTTTTTGAGCTCAGGAATAAAATCTTCTATGCATAAAGTAAAAGCTATGTGTACAATGACAACCACTTTGTCTGATTTGAAAATAAAACTTACTTTTTCGAGGAGGGCTATCGTCTTCACAAAAGGCAATTATTTTTTTAACCAAATGATGTAATCTGCTTGATACATAGCAATGAGATGGTCCTACGATGATCCTTTTTGTAGATACTTCTTTGACATAATCAACACCATGATCTGAATCCAGCTTCGTTATATTTTGCTTTTCATCCAAATTTTCATACTTTGGAAGGTCCATCACATAAAAATAATCAAAAAAGAGTGCACCAAATTTTCTTGTAACCTTTCCTTCATTAAACTGTTTTCCTTTTTCAGGCAGAACTGTTTTCTTATACATATTGCTTTTGTCCATCTCTGAATTTCCATGATTGCCAGGTTGCTGGAACAGTGAATCTTCAAGAAAGCTTACTCCACTAGTAGCTGTATCCTTTGAATTACCAATTTGAAAGAAAAGCTCATCCTGTAGAGAAGAAATTGTTAATGTTTGAGTACTTTGTCACTGTTTACCAGAAATGTATACCTGGCCTAGCTTTAATATCTTAGAACATTTTTTCTCTATTGCAGTTTCTATTTTGATTCATTACAATCTCACAAGCATTTGATCTCCAATTTAAACTGCTTTCCATCTCCATACCAAAGTACATACATCTCTGTCTTTAGTGCTTTTTGCAAGATAACTGTCAACCTTACTGTGTATTGATATGAATAAAAAATTATTACACTGTGATGATGCTTTTAATAAAGAGAGTAACTTAAGATCTTTATGGCCTGCTTCTGCAAAATTACACATATAGTATTTGTTAATTAAATGAGATAAATTTACATTGCAATCAAAAGGTTTCTGAAAATTTAGAATCTGAAAAATTTCTGAAATGAATTTCAAAGTATTTCTGAAAATGTCAAATGAGATTGAATTTGAGCCTTAACAACAAAACAGTACAGGAATTTGATACATGCCTCTTCTTCCTTATCCATCTCCTCGAAGTCAATGGAAGCATCAGATCGTACATTGTAAATATCTGCTTTTTCTTTCTTGCAGAGGCAGTTCCCTATCATATAACCAACAATGTTGCAAACGCCAAACTGACAGTCAAAATATTCCTCTCCTTTAGAAATAACTTCAATTGCACAACCTGACATCTCTATGTTTAAAACTGGACAGAACTCAAATCTTCTTGTTCCAACAATGCTACTATTATGGGCTTCATCTGTCACTTTCAATGTTAAAGAACACTGTGTTATGAAAATGCCAAATATCATGGTTGTATCAAAGTCATAATGCATATGAGCCTGGCCTATCTGTCCTTCATCTGCCAAGTTTGGCAACATAGACCATGCCCAGGAAACCCAACCTGAATCCTCCACTGGTCCTTGCTGCTGACTTTGGTCATTATTAGAACCTTTTGTGGCATTTTTCAAATGAGATTGATGCTCTAAGATTTCTTCAGCCGGATGATGTTTATAATTGCATCCAGGCAAATCAAGTGTACGATAATAGAGGCCAAGGCAGAGCTTTAACAGTCTTATTATCATTGGGAGCTGCACATCCGTGGAAGAGAGGTCCAAGTTTTCACAGTATACATTAGCCTGATTCTCATATGCACTAACACTACCTAGCCCTACATATTTAGACAAAATTCTACAAGAAAGATTGCATTTATATAAGATTGGATCTTGGTACATTTCAATCTTACCATCTGCATTTCTACTGTCTAAGCAAATTGTCAAATCATTGATGTTACAAATTTTCCTCAGACACAGGCTTGGCAATGTGAGCTCAACAAAGGCCTTCTCCCAATTCTCATTTGCACTAAAGAGTGAAACACTCTTTACATTCAGTGAAAAGACAATGTCATCTTCAACATACTTTAAAATTAAGTTATTGACGCAGACAGATATGTTATTTATCACTTTGTTCATCACACCTTGAACATAGCCAGGAGGAAGGTGCTCTGCCTCCCTAGCAGCTTTGGCTTTTTGCATTTCTCTCCTGAACATTTTTACCTTTGCTTTTTCTGCCTCATCATTTTGCTTTGGTATCTTGTCGTCATCAGGATCTCTCAGCTTGACAACAAACTCAATTGTGTTAATTGTTATCTCTACAGGCTCATATGTTATTCTTGTCCACGGTACATGAATCTGAAGTTCATGAATCCTTCCACTAAGAAATCTGACTGGCAAACTAAGTTCCTGATAAAAAACAAATTTGGTATTCAATCAATTTAGAAATATCTTTTTCTTTAAGCAATTAAAACATTAAGGCTAGGCAACAACTACTTTATATGGTGCCATTCATAGAGGGAGAAGACACAACGTCATCGAGTAACCTCTATAAATGGCACTTACAATATATTTAACCATTTTGTCACCTTAGAAATATGAGGGCTATTAATAAGTTTCAGACATTATAACTGTTAAAATTTTGATCTATTCTAATCAAACTTTTTTTAAAATAATTTTTCAAATGATCATTTGCCAATGCCAGTGTAAAAAAGCTTCCATCACCTTCATTCTGTATCAACACACTGGTCTGGATTTCATGGCAGTTTTTGGCAAGATCTCTGGAGTGCACAGGCTAATGGTAAATGGCACTAAACGATTGCAAGAGAATGACTGCAAGAATTGAAGGCATGATCACAAAAAATTTCGGCTCCCTTCTTTTGCAGGTCATATTTCAGTTTTGCCCTGACTGGTAAACTTCTTGGCAGCCCTGATCTCAAGAAGATTACTCCATTTAGAATGACTTCCATCTCTTTTGCAAAAAGAAAGTCATTTTGTGATCTTTAAAAATACCTGTAAATTTGAGCAACACCAAAAACTATGCCCAAGCCATGCTCATCACTTGGGTGTGCAAAAGTGCACTCTTAATTTTTCGAAAAATTCTTGAGAGTGCAGCTGCAAAGAATGCTGGTCAACATAAATGAATAAATATAATGAGGAACTTTCATCTTGTTAGGAACAGCCACAAATTCCAGGTTTGAAACAGGGTGTATCAAACTTTCAACAAACTTTAGGAAAGGCTTGCGTGCCACATCACACTATTTTTCCACTTAATAATAAATGTTTTTTAATAAAATAAACGGCACTAGTTTGTCAACATTAACATTTATCAATGAGAGCTGTAACTGTTGATACTTTCTCCCTGAAGTTGTGATAGAATATCAATGGTAGACAGGCTATTGGTAGAAAACTGTATTACTCACTTCTTGTAGAACTTCAAGATTAAGCTCCAAATTCTGCAACACTACATCTCCACCCCACACGGACAGGCTTAAGTCCGATGGCTTCAAATTTTTAATGTATTTGTTGACATACCCCATCAGAAGGGGAGTGATGTACGACTCTAACATATTTATACTGTGATAAGGTTTACTTCTTCCAAGGATCACACGGTTTCTCTAGACGTGAAAAATCATATCAGTTTGGCCTAGCTTAAATTTACGTAACATGGTTTGTCGTTTAAGGAACACAGCTCGAATAAGCGTTGCTTCCAGCGATAAGCCTTCCATCTTTGCTAGGAAACTGCCAGTTACTTGTTAGCATTTCTCAAACTGACTGTAAATGCTTTCTAACCACCATTGGAGCTTCTTCCACAACAAGTGACCTGTACGGTCAAAGATTGTTGTTGCCACGTTCTGTTAGTGTAGCCTCCTTCCGATGTGCCTTTTTGACAGCGCGGGAAGGAGGAAAAGGAAAGGGTCCAAAGGGCCCAAAGGGGCCAAAGGGCCCAAAGGGGCCAAAGGGGCCAAAGGGGGGGTGATTCGGGGCTAATAGAAAGACATTTAGTTTGAGGGGAGGGTCAACATAAGATTGATGAAAAAATGCTAAGCGAAAAAAGATCAAAATTGCTATTAGAAGTCTTCTTGATACAGTGTAAAACATCATTTTGTTGATAACATTGGCCATCCAAGATAACAAGATAACATTTCAGAATAATTAGCATGCGAAGTAGGCTAACACGAACAGAATCCCAGATATATTCAGGATATCTCTTACACAGAGGACCAGGGTAAGGCAGAGGCTAACTAGGCGATATCCCAGGCACCGTGGTTTACAGGCCTCTCACTAAACCAAGTGAAAAATTATCTTAACACAAACAGATGATGATAGTACCGCTAGAAAAAAACCCCAACAAAACGTTGAAGTGGTATACAGTAAGTAAGCGTTATTGTTATATGTTTGCCTGTGTTTTACCAAATTTAAGTAAAAGATGTATACGGATCAAATGCACCCTGTGATTTTGTTAATGTATGCAATGAAGGAAGCCACAACGAACATATTAGGTAGCTGAATTAGTTTCACCTGGGAAAGGGATAACACTCCATCAAAGTTAAGTTGAACATATGCACGGCATTCCTATTAACGTTGAAACAGAAGTGTTAGAGGCAGGGCCACCGATAGGTGGCCTGGGCCCTGGGGCAAAGTCCCGGTTGGGGCCCTAGAGTCGGATATAACAATTTTTGAGACCACGCCCTTTTTGAAATGGGAAACGCCCATCATTTTCAAACGTTTGCGCACGTTATAGATTATGGTTAAAATATCATAAAATGTAATAAAACATAAATTCCAAAGGTAAGCGATTCAAATACGCTCTTTGACCACACCCTTTTAGTTGATAAAGGAGGACTTCAAAATGTGTTCCTTCAATTCAGACTGTTTTTTTTCTGGTGAGCCACAATCCCATGGAACTTTGCTTTTCAGTGAAAGATCATCCTTCAAAAGTTATTTTTTCTTGCTTTTTCAGTTGCAAACTGATCAATGGTATTGTCGTAATCGATTTGTCTTGCTAGTTCGTGCTCGATCGAAAGAGTCATGAGGCTTGATAGTCTGTCTTGAGTCATTGTTGAACGTAAGCAGTTCTTTATTAATGCTAGTTTGCTGAAAGAAGCCCAAAAAAATATAATATAGCTTTATGCAATGAGTCTGAATGCAAACATAACTCACTTGAACGGGCTATAGATTAAAACAAGATTACCTATGGGTTACCTAATTTTTTATCAGGGCTCCCTTCCACTAATAAGTACGATTTTGCGAAACTCAGGGAAACTCAGCTTAAAAGATGAATCCGTAAAATATGTGATCTAAGGTTTATTCAGCTTTTCTCGGGGCTCTAGACTCAATAAATAAAACTGATAGACCTACAAGACACAGTGTACGGACCCAATGAAATTACTGCCATCATTTTTTATATTAACAAATATATCTTTGAATGCATTTTTAGTTTCTCAAAAAAAGACATTTAAAAAAAAATTTCAGAATAATTTAGGGGCCCTTTTCAGGCTGAAGCCCTGGGGCAAATTGCCCCCCTGCCCCCTCTGCGCCACTGTTAGAGGATGAGCTAATTTAAATCATTTGCTGCAAATTGTATCTTAAAAGCTGTTTTACCTTAGGCTTGTTTGATACATCTAAAACATTCCTAATGCGTAAACTGCCTTTAGACACTTGACAATCTTCTACAAAACTTGACATTCTCCGTCATTTGCATGGATAGAGTGAGATTGTTTCTTTGCTCGCTAAAGAAAAGAACAAGCTGCCTGTGGAAGTGCTTTCAGCTTCAGCTAGATTGAAAATTAATAAGGAAATTATTGATATACTTCAAACAAAATTGCCAATATTTGGCTGTTCTCTTATTATTCAATCTCTTAACTGTTTGCTAAACAGTGGCTAGTAATTCTGAACATAGAGGTCCTCTATCTTCACTAGTTGTAACAAAGATTTCAAAAAAATAAGTTTTTTATCGTCTTCCCTTCCCCATTGTTCTCATTTTAATACCAAACATAAGCAACACATACTAGTTTTGTACTTCACTAGAAACTTTTGCGTAAGAGATCAATATTTACTTCACATTTGTCGAGTTTTGTTATTAATTTTCCATATTCAAATACTTCCTGGGACAATAGATAGTTTTAGAAGTGTTCATGATATCAGTCTCTAAGATGAAGTCCAGACCATTATCTTAGAGAAACAATTTTTAATAAAAAGATTAGCATAAATGAAAGACACAAGAACACGGCAGGTTTTTAGCTGAATGCATCTGACTTTAAATCTTGTTTATCAATTGTACTTCCATAATGGCATCGACAGCGAACTCTACATCAAACGCTTCAACATCTTGTTACGTATGTTATGTTACACATCTCAAAGTAATACGATTTTTTTAATATCCAACATCCTTTTTATATATGGAGCCAGAATTAAGGTTATGAAGATTTTTAGCAAGAGAATTCTCCATTCTTTTGTCTTAAAAGATAACGGACAAAGTCTTTCAACTGGAAAACATCAACTTATTTTTATCCCCTTCTGGTAATGTACTAAAATAGCTTTTTGCGACTACTAAAACCACAGTCACAGATGGTCATCGAACGGCAAACTTTTGTTCTATTTCTACAGAGAAGATTTTGTCCTGCATTGCATACAAAATGCAGACATTGTCGGACGATCTGTTTGTGATTATTCTTTCATAATCGATTTCTAATTGACAAAGCATCCCACCACGTTTTTTCTCGATCAAATCTTTCCATTAATTAGAATCAGCAAATATTACTTCACCTGAAAGTAGATAACCTGTGAGCAATGAGTTTTAGCCAGACAGTCAACGTTTAAAGGAAGAAGGATATCAGTGTGTTTTACATTTATTTACATACATACGTTGAGTAAATCCTTTGTTGGATTCATAACAGATAATAAGTATACGAACGAATAAAAAATCAAGAATCTAGTCTCGTATTTATCACTGAGAAATCTGAAAAGTTCAAGATCTAAAGTAATTATTTAAAAATCACTTTACTCATATCTAAATTACTCATATCGCGAAGACCTTGCTATCTACAATACGATGAAAAATGAAAATTCTAGGAACAGTCATGATCAGTTTTATGGCGATTGAGTTGCATTAAAACTGAAGAAAACACTGTCTTTGTAGAGGGGGGCATCAAATTTGTGTAGCAAGGTGTGCAGTGGGGCCTGATAAAATATTACTGTTAGACGGTTCCATCTGCACTGGTCATTTGTTTCAGTATCTTGTTAATCATGTTTGAGTTTTCAAGTCATTATCAAAAATGTCCTGACAGAAAGATGACATAGGTTTCATTGAATCGGAGCCCACACTACCATGGGTTTACTGAAAGGCGTTCTAAGAAACGTAGTTTTAATGTCTTAATGTAGCGTCGGCCACAAAAGCAGAGTCATTTTAAGTGATGTTTCACCAATGAGGAAACCGGGTGTGCTTACTCACTAACTTAATATAGGAATGATTTGGCAAGACCTCACGGAAAGTAAATAAACATTGCTTTACATTTATCGAAAAGCAGTACAAACCAAGCTTAATGCAGAAGAATTGTGTACCCTATAGAAAAGGTACTGGCTACGCCAGTGATGACTGCAGATCATGCATGACATTCCACAAATAAAGAAAATTGACATATTATTAAAAAAAAAAATTGCAAAACCTCTCCAACAACCACACATTCAGAATCCCAATATTTGAAAATACACGTCCCTTGATTTCGCAAGCTACTCATTTTACCTGTGTTTAGCTTGACTGCTCATTCATCAAACTTTTCGAGAGCCTGCATGCAAATATGCTTATGCAAATTTTATAAAATCAATGTTTGCATCATTGGAAATCAGGTTTTCCCGTTTGTGTCATTTGAAAATCTAGGGGCTCTGAAAAATATAACCAATAGTGTTGTGGTTGATATGACAACGAAGAGAAGGAAGAAAAAACGATCTAGAACCCGGGCTGCCTTCAACCAATCTTTTGCCCGTCGTTCTTTCATTGACCTCATTCTTCTCTTCGTCTCGTAAGCCTTTGCCGTTTTTCCTGCTTCTCTTCCAAGCAGTGGATATACAGCGGGATGCATAGAGGCCCGTATGGCAGAAGTTGTTGATCCCCTCTTTAGTCTTCTGCAAATGTGTAGGTTGACGAATTTCTGTCTAAGCCTTGTTCTGTACTGCGGGGATACATTACCCGAAAAGTTTGTTCTTGCTGATGTCCCGTTCTCTCTAATGTCATTGTCAGATCCTTCGAGGCTGTTTCCATCGTCTCCTTGGAAGGATGTTTCTTTTCTGCCGTCTATAAGCACTTCTGGGACTGGGCTGTTTTCACTAGAATCGTTCACAACAAAGTCGACAGACTCGTTGTCTGTGTATGTCTTTGACTTCGAGCGTTGACAAAAAAGAATAGGGGCCAACCCAACAAGAAGCACTTTCTTGACCCACTTAGGCATTCTCCTGTTGCTGCGATGATAGAAATTCAGAATTAACGTTGTAACTACTAGGGATATGGCTGTCTGTAGAATCGTTGCTAAGTAGTATTGAGCCAGATAAGGAAAATCATAAGGGGGCATGATTTGGCTTGTCAGTTGCTGGAATACAGTCACTGCGAGCAAAACCGTAATGCTTAAACCAATTCGTTCTCCAGATTCAGGGGGCAGTATAAATCCCAGTACGATCAATGAGGAGAGGAGAGCACATGGCAGAATTAGTGTTAAAGCATGGTTCATTGCCTGTCGCCGAATTCTGATTGTGACAGTCACGTCTGAGAATGGCATCTCACAGCACTGGTACTTGATGGAATTTTCTTGTGTCCTAATGTTAAGTAGCTGCCACTCCCCATTTGGAACATAAAAAGAATTGCCAGTAGAGGATTTCACAGAAGACTTTGTAACCAATTTCGATGCATCATGGGCCCAAGAGCCGAATTTCAGTGGGCACTCTTGGTCATCGAATGGAAAGTAGCTTACGTCGAGCTGACAAATCTTCTTGAAAACCACAGGATTCAACCAGCTGTGTTTTCCATCATAGTTTATCTGAACTTTGTGTTTGTAGACATCTAAGCCACCGCTAAACTGCCCGTTACCATCAACACTGGACAAAGATATAGAATTTATTGTCAAATAAAATCTTCTGATGAGAAAAAGCAGATTCGTTATTGTAATCAAATACATTTCGACACTCCCACACAGAAAAAGCTCTGCTCCTGTCTTAATTTGCTTACCAAGAAAGGTGTTAACGTCAGCAAAATTGCATTAACCATTAAGTAGAAAAAACTACCGTACTAGTAAAATTATTTACTGCTGCTGATTTATATACTTCCTTATGGGAGCTTGAGCCTTCTGGATCCGCATTCAAACAGGGAACATTCAAGGAAAGCTGATCTGCATTTTTATCTTTACTTTTGCGTACCACATTTGGTAGTTTTTTTTATCTATTTATTGTAAGCAGGTTTTTATCTTTAATAGTTTTTATCTTTAACTGTAGACAGGCTTTCTATTTTAAATAGTTAGTAGCAAGCAGTTCAATTAGTTCCCAAGGTAAATATGGTTGAAATATTCTGTTCAGTTGGTCTTCTATGTCTGAAAATCGATATGTTTCAGCACCCCTAGACCTAAACTTCTGCCACTGGCACAGTACATATTTGTAAATAATTCTATCAAAGCCCGCTAATATGGCCTGGTTTGTTTACAGGTTTTTCGAGAACACCCTTAGCCATGGAGAAAAAGCACTACTTGAGTTGTAGGCCGCGACGATAAAATAGGTTGAATAAAATTTTGCCTTGCTGTGATTATAAGCATCGACGATCCTTTGTTTTACCTGTTATAGAGAACAATATCTGGAACCCAAACCAAATCAGGTGCAACGTGTATTGATATGATTCCACCGAACTGGCGAGGATCCCACGCAAGTATCGGATTCAGCCAATACTAAGGATAATAAAATTAACATATGATTGGCAAATCATTTCTAATATAAATTGAAATAACAAATACGATTACAACAAAATGTTATATAAATCCATTATAGTCATTATTCTATACTTTAAAGGAAAATTTGCTTAATCATTCCGCGATTATGTTATGCGAATGCCAAAATTTTAAATAATAACAATGAATTAGAATATCTTAATCGTGTTAACTACGTCTTGTGTTTTGTTTTGCTTTGCTTTATTTTGTTTTGAAATGCTCTAATATTTGATAAGGTGGGTTCTGCCGGTCACACATGTATGACCAAATCAGACAATAACAGAAAATATTGGATTTTTAAAAAAGCTAAATAAAATCAACAAGTGTTTTCAATCCAGAGGCTTGTGGGACACCAGCAAATGCAACTTGCCAGTTTTCCAAAACATTTATTAGTGTTGTAAATGCCTTGTTCTTGAAACGCTTAAATGTTAAAATAAAAATGAGAACTAAAAGGAACTATCACATGCATGAAGAAATTGAAAATAGCAGGACGAAACATAAGAAAGCATATCAAAGTAAAACTGTTCCATTATGTTCAAAGATTACAAGGAGAACAGTTTCTGCGAAATTCAACATACCTGATTAACCCAGAGATAGACTTTGATATATTGTTGTCGTTCATTCTAAAATAAATATCAAAGACTCCTTGGTCAGTTGGTTTATAAGATCAAATTTTTTAATCTTAGCACCATGGAAGCTTTTCACTGTCAGTTTTACACTTAGAATTGCAAAGTTGGAGAGTTGAAGTTTCAATTTGCACATTTTATAGTGATTGAAAGGGTTATATGAATTCCTTTCTCGTTGTAATAGCATATCTGTCTACACGATAAAGATGAAATAAGATGAAGTATATGTACGGTAATCATTTTGCTGAGGAACGGTAATTTCAAGCCTTGAAATCTATCATAAATTTTAGTCTTTTTCTGTGTTATTTAACTGATGTGTTTATCTACTTTTCTTCTTGTAATGAGATGTTTCCTTGTTGGTAATATAAAGAATTATCCCTACATCTGACAAAAAATGGTAACACATATGATCCCTATTTCTTACAACTACATGTGTACTTGCAAATCCCTACAAAAATGTCTTATATTTTGGTTGATTCCAAAAGCTCTATAAGATGGAATATAAGAACTCTCACCACTTGTAGAATTCGGATTACTTGAGTATCAAATACAACAGAAACAGGATCGCTTTTGTTGTTGCTTTTCAGTGGATGCACATCTTTTTGGTAGCCACGGAACAAATACTCATGCAAGCGACTTTCCTGGTCATTCTTCACTTTCTCATTCAAAACTTCAAATTAAAAAGATCCTTTGCTTACAAATTTATCTAATGTTAAGCCATATTAAAAACTTGACAAGAACATTCTTTGCAAATGCATTAAAGATAATTCGTGTTTGATTATAGAAAATGAAAACAGAAAAAACGATTCTTAAAACGGATCCATGATTTAATTGTAAATTGTTAGAATTTTGAAGAATGTAAATCCATAAAAGCTAAAATCTTTTACATTCATTGCTGTTTAATACATAACAAACAGACACGGATTAGATGTTTATCAAAATTCTAATCATTGGCCTTGTACGAACATCAATCAGAGCGCAATAAAGACAGATTGGTTGTAAACCAGCGACTCAAGCGTAAATAAAACGAACGAGTTGCTATTTCAAATGCAACTTCTATCATTATTGGTCATATTATAAAAGAGAAATTAAGAAAGTCAAAAGCATATGTCTCACCATTATTTTTCGCCGAATGCGATAATCCAATTTGGTATAGATAAAATATTATAATCAAAAGAGCCATGTTGATTGATTTTCGATAAACGTTTGGTTGAGATTTTGACATTGCAAGTGTCAATTAGTGGTGCATCCTGGGTTAAACCCACCTTGAAGAATGAAAAATATTTACTGATTTAGCATAAATTATTATTTGGAAATCATAAACTTATACGAAATAAAACCATTGAAAAGCGTTAATCCTATTTCATACTCAGCAATTTATTTGATAAACATAAAATGGTAACTATTTCTTTTATTTCTTTAAGCTTCTAAAACATCAAAACCACACCAAAAGATTTAAGATTTTTCTACAAAGAAACCTTTAAAAGAAGAAAACAAGAAAAATAATACAGAATGATGTAAATACTTCATGTGTACTCATTCATACTTCACAATCTGGTCTCCGTTGAACACAGATTCTTAACGCTTTGAAAGAGCTCCACAGCACAAGCTAAAAAACATGATCGAAAAACTGAGACTTCAATCGTTGTTTAGCAGCTTAGCCAGCGATCAACAATAAAAGATTTTGATACTGTAGCTTTACGGGGGAAACCAAGCAAATTAGTGCAGTTATTCATGATTTGAGAACTCGTTTATATGTTGAGATGGGTTCCAAGCTTATTGCGTTTTACATGGAAACAGTACAACACATCTTTTTCATGATACAGGTACTACCTCCTGCTGTAAAATTAAACCTGCACACAAAAGAATTTACAAATTGCAGCTTTACACATTACCAGGCGAGGCTATTGAGCGCATTGAACTAAGCCAAGGAACCTCAAAGGCGAGCACTTTTATTTGATTAAGGTTTGCAACAAGAAATTTGGATGGTGTTGATTACGATAAGAGATTTGCATAGACTTACGCCAATAAGTAGAACAACGATTTTTTGGTCAAGTGCGGTACAGCCCTACCTCAAATAGCGCATTTTTGGATTTAATTGCTCAAACAACTTTGCCGCAGTCTCTGTTTCGAAAATTCAAAAAGTAATAGAAAGATTTGAACGTGCATGAAATTTTAATGAATAACTTTAAAAGAAAGCTGCTCGACTGTCATTTGTGAACTGAAATTCTTACTGCAAATTCAGCTTGGGAAATTTTGTTATCGAAAACGTTAATTTGATTGTCTATGTCAGTATAAAGTACCCTAAAAATTAAAATTAACTGATTGCAGCAATCATTTTCAGCATCTTCAATCATCATCTTTATCATCATCGTCATATTCATCATCATAATTAAAATAATAATTATGATCAACATCACCATCATCATTTTTACCATCGGCACTATTCTGTTGATAGTGTTGCTCACAGAAGAAACCTAGTGGGAGCTTTAAGCATGAATGGACAATGGATTGCATTTTAATTGTACGAAACGTACGATGCGAAAAACAAATGGTGGATAGTAAAGAGAAGGGGATAGCAAAGAAAAATACCAAAGAGTGAAGAAAAAGTAGACATAACAAGCTAGAGAAAGTGCTGCTTTACTTGCACGACGAGAGATTCAGCCAAACGGAATTTCTATTGAGTCGTTTGGTAGCAGTTTTTAACCCTTGCCCTTTTACATTCCTATTTGCTCGACTGAAAGTCCATGATTTAAATGCGTCTTCTTAGCTTTATAGGCCTTCCGATCTACTGAAAACCATCCCATACAGAAGTCAATATTTTCTTAAAGTTTCCCAATACCCACTCGCTTTATTTTGCGCAAAGGATGGCGAAAATGGTGTCTTAATGGGAAATATATGTGAAGTGCAGCTGCTTTCAGCACTTAAATTTTCCATGAAAGTAGAACTTATTGTTGCAAGTTGTGAAATTACCGCCCATTTTACCTCTATCAAATAATAGCCTAAACACTATCGTATTGTTTCCTAGAATAAGGCCTTAAATGTACTTTAAAAAATGCAAAAGGAATAAATCCAACAGTTTGAAATGAACATACTTAACGGTACTATTCTAATTCGGATTTCAGAAAAATCTACGCATAAAGTTTGTAGCCAATATTATTTTAAAGTATGAATACAAATTATGACTTTGCTGCTTTGAATAGATGAAAATTTGGATACAGTCAAACAGTTTATCCCTAATTTGTCAGTGCAGAGCAAGAACCATCATTCCCTGTAACCTTCAAAATGCTGTACCTCAGCAAGCAAAAATGAAAAACAATTTCAACGAAACTTGAATCTTATAACAAGTTCAAATGAAAGTTTTCAGTTAGTTGAAATTTGAATCAGATCATTCTGAAAAATAATTTTAAAGCGAATCTATTGGTAAAAAAACATATTCGGAAGTTTACACATTATTAAAAAGCCTATCATGTTATTATAGTTTCTTGTTGATAATTTACCAATACGAAGCATTTTGTTTATTGCTGTAAACGCGTCCCCTTTTGCTTGAAATCAAATATTGTCCGCAAATAGCTATTACTCACCTTTTCCCTCTAGATCTTTACAAGTTCTTATTGCACAATACCCAAGTGAGTCCGTTGAAAGCTTTTAGGAAATTCTGTCGGCAAGCAAAAACCAACAGGCAATGAAATAGTTATGTTGGAGCTTACTTTCCTGTAGAAAAGTGCTGGTAATCCAAACGTCAATCGCAAATTAATCAAGGTTTGCTTCTGCATTGACCAAAGAACGATATCTAATGCTTCTTCTGCCGTTCCCCTTCGATTTCGTTTTTATACGTTTCCCAGCTGTTCAATGCTACAAGCCTCCATTTCATAAAGTAATTAAAAACCAACCATCTGGAAAGCAACATACTTCTCCGTTCTTCTTTCGGCATCTTTCGGCAATCATTGCACATATTAATTCTTTTCTCTACCAAACGAGCGAAAAACAATTCGGGTGCAATGTGTATAGGCAGCTTGGCTGGAGAAGACTTCAGCTTGAAAAGAAATTTTAATATCATCTTTTAGAGATGATATTAAAATTGTTAACAGTTTGGGCTCGTGGCACAGTATTTGACATAAATTGTGCAAATTGTTATACCAGCACGAGAATTGGTATACTGGAGGTAATTTCACACGCAGATAACGATGTTGAGCAGACACAAGCCAAAAAATGCTCATATGTGTTATTTTAGACTGGGGTTCTTGGGACCAAGACGCGAATAAAATCATAATTCATTTATGAAAGACGCGCGAAAGCCCAGGATAACCATCTATTTGCTTTGTCAAAAATGTGAGTTGGTGGATGACTGTGACCAGTGAACAGGGCCCACGCCAACGAGGGGGGGGGTGGTGGTAGAGAGGGGATGGAGGGGCCATAGTCCCTATACTTTTTTGCGAAGCAAGTAGTTTTAAATCTGCAGTATAAGTTGAAAAAGCCCTGGCCCCTTACCAGGCACGTAAATAATAGGGGGGCGTGGGGGGCGTAACGCCCCCCCAAAGTTTGGAAAATCCAGTTACAGTTGGAAAACTTAACGGTTGACTTGGAATTTTTTCTAAGGACCAAACATGTGAATTTTATATTTTAAGAAGTTTTTTTATTTTGAATGTAAAAATTCTAAACATTGAAATTCACAGGCTGAAGCTGACCCATCCACTTATCGTTTTCTATTGTATATCCCATCTCTACTGGATCCAAATTGCACAATTGCCTCGTTTGCTTTCTTTCTGACGGGAGTTGAAAAAAATTACAAACAGGCAAGGTGAATTTCCGGATAAGAAACTTGAAACTTTATAGTTTGGAATAATAATTCCCGTATTGATCAGAAAATATTAGAGTGGGAGTTTTTTAAGAAACTACGAGTAGTTAATTCAATAAAAGATCAATGATCTTTTAGTGCTAAAAATTCTCAACGCTTCTTATAAAAAACGAGTTTATGCTAAACTCCCCCTGTTATTTGTTAACGCCCTTGACCCTTATCATAAATTCCTATGACAAAACTGCTGTAAAGCAAGAACACACTGCAAAACTGCAGTAGAAGTATTTGATCAAAGAAGAGTGTTTCATCTTTCGAATCAGGCATATGCACAAGTTTGTTCTCAAATCATCATTTCAATTGTAAAGAATGAAAAGGCATTTGGCCCTCTGAAAATTGTTAGTAGTTTTCTTCGATCAAGAACAAAAATTAAAGGCTCAAGTTCTTGGTGCTTCTATATCGTGAAAAAATGTATTTTAGATAAAATTGATCAATTGATCTGAAAGAATACTACTAATCATTAAATATATCTAATACTGGTTTTGCTTAAATGTTGTATAAATCTTACTGTAAGTTTAAATGTCTGTTTCATGTTAATCAAAATTTAGAGATTTAGGCTTTTATGCTTTAGGCTAATTATTGAGTAAAGTTTTGGTAATTATAAAGAAAATAGAACTATGGTGTTCGGGCTATTTACAAATACAATTTGGTAGGTATAGTAGATTTACTGGTCAAATGAAAAAAATTTCTTACTTAGATTGGAATTTTCATCCTTCCACGCCCCCCCAAAATTAGCAACTTGTTTTCGTCCCTGCCCCTTACTTTTGTTAGCCTTGGCCTCTCACTTCTAAATTCGTGATGTAAGTCCTGGTGAAGTCACCTAGAGATCATCTAGAGAAGGAGGGTCGTGTGTGTAAATTTAAGTAATGCAAGGATAAGTTGCTACTTTTTTAAACCAATTTTTTAAACTTGCAAATGATCAAAATTTGAAGAAATTGCATTATTGAGCTTTTATATTATTGTATTATTGCATCAAAACTTGAAATTGCGATAAAATACAAATAGATAGAAGTATTTAGTGGTTTTGAGTATAAAAAACGAGAACTTGGTCCTTATTTTCAAGTGTATCTAGTATTTTTCAACCCTGCTTTTTATCTCAAGTGAAAAAATTAAAGTAAGATTTAATTTCATTCCCCTTTTCGTGGTCAGTGGTCATTATCGAGCTACTTCATGTTCAACTTTGTTGCTAGGAGAGGATTCTAATATTTTAGCTTTTGTGATGACTTTTTCACAATTTAGGGCATCCAAAATGAAATGAAATGAATATAAAATTGTGGTTATATTGATATAAGAAGCCCCTAACAGCTTCACTTTATGGGCCATGTAGACTTTTTCTGAACCCAAAGCTAAATTGTCAAGAAACGCTACACTTTCTCATAAAAACACATTTCAAAATATGCAAGATCATTCTTTATTAGAATATGGTATAACGCTAAATGTAAGGCTACAGAACCAGCTTTTTAGGAGAAACAAGGTGATGGAAGCAGTGTCATAACTTGACCTCTCAGACTAGGGGGTAGGGGGTCATCAAGACTGAAATTTACCGACGAAGCAATAGATCACGGAAGATTTAGGTGTTATTTCACCTGACGGCAGGCAATTTTACCGGCAATTAAGGATTTAATGGACCATCTGAAGATTTACCGACAAACTCAAGAAAAATTTGGGATGTAATACCCCAGTTACCCCCACTAGCTACGCCCCCGGCTTGAAGGTGAACATTTTCTGAATTTCGAATGTTGTATCATTGGATTTGTAGCTCAACAAGCAAAATGATCTTATCAGTGCAAGGAGATATTGTGATTGGTTTGGAGAGATGTATCTTTTCTAGCAATTTCAACAAGATATACACATTGGGGGATTGTTTTTTATAAAAAAACTGAATTTTACGCAAAGGTTTTGGGGCTACTTTGTCGATATTTAATTTGAAGCTGTACCTTGATTGCCTGGATCATGCCTCTGCGGTGCAGTTAAACTCGTTTTCGAAATAAATTTGCGATATGATTACGGGGCTGCCTCCCCTCTTTCTCTCGTGCGGTAGCCATTCTTGTCAAAATGGTGGGTCTAGTTAAACATTTTAGTTACCTCGTTATATCAATGTCTATCATCATCATCTTTGTTTATACACATACTGTTGGCTTCTAAAACTTGTCTTAGTGTTTAATATCGCTCATTTTCGAACAAATTTTATCATAAAGCTGAATTACAAGTTGCCTTTGGCTCTTTACATTCCGGAAAATGAAGTCTCGCATCAAAACAATTTTACGTCGGATCTAGTAGTTCTGTAAACAGCCATAATTAATGAATTTATTTCATTTAAAAATTTTAAAAGGCTCAGATTTTCTGCTAAGGATGCTTATACATTTTGATGCGCTGTGAATAACAAACATTTCTTGTTAAAGTTGTGATTCTCTCAGAGTTGAATCTTCGTTATTATTTGTTTGCAATTGATATATAAAAACTGTATATGTGAGTATGTTTCTCATAAAATCAATTACATGATCGTATAATGCTGAAATTTTTGCCCTCTTGCATTTTAGCCTCCAAAATCAAAGAAGATCAAAGTCAAAAAGGTTGCTGCAGCACCTTACACTACTTCCAAAGTTCCTGTTAAAAAGAAGGTTATCAACCCTTTGATTGAAAAAAGACCAAAGAACTTTGGAATTGGTATATGCATGAAATTGTTTTCTTAGAGTTGATTAAGATTTTAGGATTTTCATATTTCACAATATGCTTTCAAAATCTAGAATCTTAATCAAAGTAGCTTCAAATCCCATGCTTTATATTTAGCAAGGAATTAATTTTTGTTGTGATAAATTAAGCAGTAATTAAAATTTTAACAGCATAAATTGTAGAATAGCCTTCTCATAGAATTTCTTGCCTCCTTTTAGATAAGCCAATTTGCTTCAAGTAGATAGTGTTTTTGGCGAAGGATGTGAATAAAGGCCCATATTATTCCAAATGATTATATTCCCTGATAATTAAGTTTAATATTTTTGCTTTTTTGTAAATGGGTAGTTGTTAGTTGTTCTTGTGTCATATAAATAAATCAACTCTCTGTACACAAGGTGCTGATGTACAGCCAAAAAGAGACTTGACAAGATATGTAAGATGGCCAAAGTACATTCGGCTTCAAAGACAGAAGCGCATTTTGTATCAGAGGTTGAAGGTCCCACCAGCAGTCAACCAATTCACCCAGACCCTTGACAAAAATACAGGTATTTTGTGTTTCAACTAAAGGTACAGTTTTCCTTTGAATGAAAGCCATAAACTCTTGTTTTCTTTATTTTTTTTATAATATTTATATGTATATAGTTCTGTGTGAAACCATAAACAAGTTTGAATTTGCAGTCTGCCGATTTTGTATAAAGAACCCATTAATTCTTAACTTATGACCAGATGACAGATACAAATGATGCAGACCCTTCACAAAAAAGAACGCATTTCCACAAAGGTGGAAGACTACCTTTATTGTTACAGTTTTAATGCTGAAAAGTAGCCATTTTTCAAGAACATGCTGGGCAAAGAAAAATTGATCCGGCGACACTGTGACATCACAGTGTTTGTGCCTTCAATTCCTAAGATGTGGACATCAGAAATACACTATGAAATCAAATGATGTCTCTTGAGGTCCAACCATATTTTTATAAAGCAATCATTAGATTTTCCAATTAACTGTCTACTTAAATTGCATAATCATTTCAAAAGAATGACCTTGATTTTTACTGATTATAGTTGTGGCTTATAACATATAGGGTTCTAGCTGTGATTAAGGTACTAAGGCAATAGTCAGTTGCAATCAGTTAGGGTAAAAATGATTGTTGTGTGTTATAGTTTTTTATCTAAGGTATTCATCATTGAAAATGGCAATCATATTTTGTCACAATTATTACCAGTGTCTCAAACTTTTTCTTCATTCTGATGTTATTAAACCTGACAAATAAAAGGAACCATGTTTTTGTTCAATAGCTACACAACTTTTCAAGCTTCTCCACAAGTACCGACCAGAAACTAAAGCTGAAAAAAAAGCCAGGCTTACAAAAATTGCTGAAAAGAAAGCAGAAGGTCAGCAAGAAGCCCCTGGAAAGAAGCCAATTGTCTTAAAATATGGAATCAATCATATCACCAATTTGGTCGAAAGCAAAAAGGCTCAGCTTGTTGTCATAGCACATGATGTTGATCCAATTGAGGTTAGAGAAGTCAACTATAATATAACATTAAATTCTTTGTTCACATCTGTCTCTATTTGAAGCTTATCACAAGCCATATATTTAATATATGAAGGAATATAAGAAAAATGTAAATGTGAAAAAAAAGAAATAAAAACATTATCCTTCTTATGTACCCCTTATTTACCAAAGATGCTGACTTATTATATATACGATAGCATTAAATTCACCTGTGTATTAGCAATCAAACCATCACAGTCCTGACTGTCCCATTTGTGGTTCTGTTGTCATTTGAAATCTTTTGCATTTCCATCACGTTTGCAAGGTTCATGTTACTTGTGGTATGGATCACATTTTTTGGAAAGTTTGCTTTTTGTATGAGTATAAAAGTAAACTTTAATTTTTTCAGATTGTTGTTTGGTTGCCAGCACTTTGCAGAAAAATGGGTGTCCCATACTGCATCGTAAAAGGAAAGGCAAGGTAATATTCTGGTTATTTTTACTTCCTTTGAAAAATAAATAATTTGCTGCAGGCCTTAATGTGAAATGCATAGCCTGTTCAAAACACTTTTTAAGAAATAACACAGAATATCAAAAGCATTCCACCACACAAGTGATCTAAGGGTGTGAAAAATGCCCCAAGTATGCTTGTTTCTTCCCAATGATAGTTTGGAGTAATGGACTTTATTAGCAGACTGTACAAAGATAAAGTTAAGTTTGCTAATCAGGCCTTGTGAGGAGCAAAATGGCAGGCGGTTGACAAACTGAGCACCTTCAGCTTTCTAGGCACTCGATTGAGCATCATCAAATATATATCTTCAAAAACAAAATTTGGTCTTTTGCATTTAATTTTTAGACAGCACAAACATGCTAGGTGCTCGATCAATCAAGCTCCTAGAACTTTCTAGACACGTGTGGAGGCACTTGATCGAGCTTCAGCACCTCTCCTAACAAGGCCTGTTGTAAATGGGTACAAAGTCAAGTGAAAAAGATATGCATACCAACCATTATGATTTTGTAACAATCTTAATGTATCAATAGCCTTAACAAATTATATAATCTCTGATATTGGGGAAAATGTCAATAAAAAAAATCCCTTTTGCATGCCATGCTAATATGCAAGGATCTTAATTTGGCATAACTGGGTTTAAATTTGAATGCTGTCTAGATAATCTGTTTGTTCAATTTATATGCAAAGTTTTGTGCCCTCTATCCTGGACCCATGTAAACTAAAGTGTTGATATCATTCAGATGGATAGCTCAAAATGGGGTTGTTAGTGCAGAAACCTTGCTTCAGTCGAAGAGAGCTGCTGACATCAAAATATGTCCCAGTAAAATTTAGGTCCTGGATTTGTCTGATCTTATTGTTGTAATGTCATTAATCAATGATTTTCAATGTCAAATGAAAGTTGAGTTTTAAGTCCAACAATTAAAAGCAAAACGTAGTTGAAAAAACTTTTTTGTTGATGCCAATTGAAAATATTTAAGTGACTTGTTTTTTAACTGTCGAATTTTAATGTTCCCTAATGTTATTTCAATTCAGGTTAGGAAAGCTGGTTCACAAGAAGACAGCCACAGCTGTTTGCATGACAGCCACCAGGCAGGAGGACAAGCATAACATGGAGAAGATCTGTGACAGTGTGAAGTCAAATTACAATGACCGTGTAGAGGAAATTCGACGTCACTGGGGAGGAGGCATCATGGGGTGCAAGTCTCAAGCTAAAATTATGAAGCTGGAAAAGGCAAAGGCCAAGGAACTCAGGGTGGCATAAACACATTTCTGAATAGAATCAAATGTATAGATGAATTTATTGATTCAGTCCTTTGTTTCCTTCTGTCTGAAAGTAGTTAAACTGCAGAATTTCAAAAATTTCATTTTATTAGGAAATTTCAGCAGTTTTGGGCAATAGAATTAATTTGGCATAGACAGGCCTAGAAAGTTGTGGTATAATGTCAATACAGATACAGATAAAACTTCAAAAAAACGGTCAATACAGTCTGGAATCTTAAGGGTTTACTAGTTCCAGATCATTCTTTATATTTGTTTTGAAAGGCTTTCAAATAGCAAAACAAAAAATTATGGTTCAAGAATTCCCATTAAAAAAAATAACTGCAAAATGATCAATTAATATATATATGATAATACAATCAAATTCCAAAGTTTACAAATTGCTTTGGATGTGTGAAATTTTAACAAGATTTTCTAACAATTGATTAGGGTGGCGTTTGGGAAGGGGGTGTTAGTAAGCTACAATTGAACAATAATGAAACTCTCAACCTAATGCAACTACTACATTAAGCTTCCTAGGTGAACAATTGACTTACTTAGCTTTAGCATCATTTTAAAACTAAAGATGACAAACCTGGGCGCTTTTATCTATATATATATATATATGTAGTTACTATGAAGTCTGGTTGCATTTATTTCTGAAAGAGGCCCAAATAACATCATTTAACTGAGCAAAACAAATCATCCCATGAAAACCTTTCAAATAAGTAGCTAGAAAACATCTATAAACAGGCAGAAAATTTTAGCATTTCCTTTCATTACTAATCTGTTGCTCTGATATACCATTGACTTTAAATTATTTTTCCACAATAATACTGTGATAGTCGTGATGAGAGCCATCTGAATTACCACTTGCATTGGAAGTATAATTCCTAATCAATTCAAAGTCATTAGAGCAATTCTATTTTTTGAAAAGAAAACCCCCTAAAAATGACTAATTTTTTTAATCTTGAGTTTATTACAACTTCCTTGTAGATTCTTCAAGATCTTAGCTACTGAATAGTCATCGCTTGCCTTTACGCTTTGACATATCAAATAATGTTAGATCATCTTCATCATCATCATCTTGTTCTGACAAAGGCCTCATTTCCATATTATCTCGGCTTTCATCATTCAGTATTCCATATCTAGAAAATGTTCATAATAAACCATGAATAATAGACAAAGCCATGCACGAAAATCAACAGGGCCTCTATCACTTTTGATGTTTAATTATAGCTAATTATAGCTAAAATCATTTCTGCAGGGCTTTGCTTTTAAAAGAACTGTAACATATTGCTTTTTACTTTGCTGCCCGACTGCTGCTGTAAAAGTAATTTTCAAGGAAGCCAAGGATGTGTTTTCAAGCCTATCAAACAATGGCAGGTTCCTTGGCCAGTCTATGGTAAATAAGATCCTTGAGAAACTCAAGACTGCCCTTTTTATTGAAATGTCTGCTTACCTACGAGTTCGATTGTTCCTTCTACGATTGCATATTGCTTTAGCAATGAAATAAACAATAATTATACCAGAAACTGCTGCAATCTGCAATAAAAACATACAGGGTTTTGTCAATTTATGACATCAGAAATATACCTGTCAAGCAGTAGTATAACAAGGGGGAGGCAAGAGGAGGCAGATGCCCCCCTCCCAATGGCAAAAAATATTTTTGAAAAAAGGTGTTTTCTCACATCCCAAAACGTGTGGCCCCCAATTTTCACTTGCTCATCTCACCTCTCCCCCTAAATCTTACCTCCCTGGCTACGCTACGGCTGTTGAGTTTTTGTCTTTCAAATGCATTTTGTCTATGTCTCTATGTTATTAGTTCTTCCTGTTAGGCAGGGGTGTTACAAACAACTACACCCAGGTCAAATATGCCACAAAATAACTTTTAATACCTAATATGTTACCTACTCATGTTATAACTTTTAATCAAACACTATTTAGCATTCTATTGAGCCAAAAAATTATGTTGGCTCTGTCATAACTGATTATGCAGTCAAAAATGTGAGTGGTGCGGACCAAACTTTTACATTCTAAACATGGGGCACACTTGTTTGGATTATATGTAACTAATTTGACCTTAAAAGGAAACATCGTAATAATGATCTTTAGTAAAAATAATTGTTTTGAATTTAAATCAAATGATATCTTCTAAGTCCATCTGTAAGAAGTCTTGATTGCAAAACAGGGCATAAAACAACTAATATATAATTATGTTTAGAATAAAATAGTTGAACACAAATCTAGAAAAACACAGGGCCGATTCAGGATGTCGCACAGGTCGCAGGGAAGACCATCAGATTTTCAGAATTTAGTTTTAGTCTTCAGTCATTGAAATAAGGCAATCATGTTTACCACAATCTTTTATTTTCCTCCTTACAGATAATACATTTTGCTTTCTTTACACAATAAACACAGGACTGAACTTGGTCGATCTCATACACAATGCTACGATATGATTCAATATAAAAAAAAAAATTCAAGACCATCCCAGACCGTAAACAGCATGATTTTTAAGCATGTCACCCGTGCCGCACAAATATGCAGGGCTCTTTGTTATGTAAATATTTTACCAAATCTCACCAATGAAAATTCAAGTTTTCACATATTTGTGCGGCACGTAAAATCTGTAAACACTATGTTAGATTACCAAGCCTCACAACTGCTGGCAAGGGAAGAAAGTGGATGAGGTTGTAAGTTGTGAAAGGGAAGAGTCCCAATTTTCTTTATCTATACAGAAGAGGTCTTTATCAATTTTCTTTATCTATTCAGGGCCCCAATCCTTATTGCTCTGGTTCTGGAGGGGCCCATCATGGCTCCGCCCTTGACCATGAGGGAGGCCCCCTAGACTGCCTGCTGGGCAGTGTTGATGTGCGATGGTCCCTGGAAAAACAAGTGGATGTCTGAAGACAAGTATTCAAACCAAGTGCATTAAAAAACTATACATCAAAGAATCCTTTAATTTTCAAAATCTTATATCCAAAAAAACAACAGTCAATCCAAAAATCTAAATTTCATTAAGTTATCCAATAGGCATGTGCATACATGAAAAGCACAAATGAAACAAACTTACCACATATATTGCTCTAAATGTAACCCCTTTAACACTGATATGCATAGGCCTGTTTTTCACAGTTACTGTTGTTGATATATTGGCAGATGTTGGATCTGATGAAGGAAAGATATCAATAGGTAAGGATAATCTAAACTGAAAAATTAGCTGCACGAAACATTGTAATTTGACCTACATATTTTATACATTCTCTTATATGCCAGGAGGATTTTTGTAAAGAAATGGTGACAGACATATTTTGATAAAGAGAAATCCTTTGCGTCTGGTTCAATTTCATTTTCCTTGAAAACATCTATCTATGTGCTACAAAATTTACTCTTTACCTTTTAACAAATTCTTACTAATAATGAAATAATACAATGAAAGATATTTTTCATTAAATACAAATACTTGGATGCAATAAGAAGCAAAGAATATGAAAGATTGGTCTTGCCTAGGACAATAAAATAAGTAAACATTTCAATTTCTCATGCTTGTATACAAGTTGTGCTTTTAATAACTGAAGTCAAAGTCTTTAACAATATCACTTTAAAGAGCCTCTGATATCATACTATTACGCCACCATTACAAACAACGCAATGATCAAAATTTGTCATACCTAAAGTAGTTGCAACAATTGTTTCTCCCTCGCTGACAGCCTCAGCCAGTTGACAAACTACACATAGTAGAAATGCAAAGAGCTGAACAGACAATCGCCATTTCGCGCAAACAAATGTTTTCAAATCCATCCCAGATACTTTATCACAAAAAACTTCCAAGTATCTAGAAGAACATGCTATGCTAAGGTGAGATTTTCCAAAATGCTGATTATTACAACAAAACTCAAGCAAGAAAATAAAGTTTCGTAAAGCGATTAGCTTATGATTATCAAAATTGTTGATTCCAAGTTCCTGGTATCAAGTCAAATCAATTCCATAAACAGTGACAAGTTAGCCATTTGTTGTGTTGTTACGTTTGGCAGCCATGTTCTTCTTGGTCTCCTCTCCTTATTGCATTGCATGCTGGTCCTCCTTACACGTCACAAGTGCCAAATATGTTTTATGATTTTGTATTTTTCGCAATAACTGATACCAGGGGAGAGCAAGTTTCAGGTGCTGATGTAATAGAGTCAGCTTTCGCGTTATTATTATTATTACATGATTTATGTTCATGTAATTTCGCATTTGGAACATCGCGTAGTTCCTTTAGGAGTATTTGCAGATGCAGCATTACGCACATTACTTAAGTTCTATTACTGTACTAGTAGTTCCTCATCACGAATTACGTTGGCGCAGCATGCCTATCTTTTTCTTAGGATTTACTCTGCATAAGATTTGCTGAGGAAGTGGTATTCTTTATAAAGCGTATTACCTCATGCCCCTTTTAGGTATTATTTCTGCTAAGTAATCATTTCGCATCTTAGGAAACTGCTGACACAGCCCCCGCGTGTACTCCCTTCTTCTTAGCCATCGCCCAGACACTGCTGACACAGCCCCCTGGCCATCGCCTATGTATACCCCTTTAGAGAAGTAGTTTTAGAGAGGGAGAGAGAGAGAGTCCGTAGTGTAGTACGTGCCATGCTGTAGGTGCTTGTGAAAGGCCTCAGTATAGATCTATATAACAAATCGTCTGAAAGATCAGAAGTTGTATTCTCTGTTGAATCCTGCCATCGCCGAGACTTGCTGTATCCTAAAGACGGGTTAAACTGACGTTTAGATTCTACACAATAAACGACGAAGGGTGACAATAGAAGGGTTTTCGAGGCATATACAGAATCCCCAAACATAGGGCTGTAGGAGGTTTTATATTTCCTCCAAAATATTCTGAGAATGGGACTCTACCTTTTCAGGAGGTAGCTTTTGTCATATAAATTGTGACCCATAAATCTATTTGGCTATGTTGCCCAATTGTGGCTTCAATTGTGCATGGCTTAAATAAATCCATAAAATGTGGCCCAAAACTTGTAAATGGCTTTGAAAAAAGCAAACATTTAGTAAACTAAAGCTTTTCCTCTGATACTCTTCAGAGTTTAAAACGTCAGAACATAGATCGAAAACTCTACGCTAGGAAATATATATACCCAGTTGTGGATCGAAATAGGCCAATCAGATAACATGAGCACATGACTGTATAGGTTGACCAATCAGTGCCGCTTACCTATTGAGAATGTTACCAATGGAGTTCTAAGGTGAAAACGAACTCCTTTTGTCTACACAGTAGCAGGTTTTTCGTGCTTATGTAGATAGATTCCAAAACTGCTAGGTGGAGCGACGATCGGGCTTTACCAATAATCCGAAACATGTCACCATTGTAGTTTTTTGCACAATCTGGGTTTTCTAGTAAATGCTGCCCGATAGCAGAATCGCAGGTTTTAGTTGTAATTTTAGATTTGCAAGACCGAGGTGGCTGTTCTCTTTGCGGATGGGTTTTGTTTCTAATATTAGACGGAACATGTTGTTCCGTCTAAGCCAAGCCTAAAGTGGAAGTTAAAGTAATGCGTTTAATTCGGATTTAAAATTCCCAAAAATATTCTTTGTTTACTAATGTATTATAAACGTAGAGCCTTGTCAAGCTTTCGATTTACGGATAAGTGTTGCAATTAAAATGATATTAAGGGGACGTGAGGACTATTTAATGTATAAATATTGTCTCAACAGCGGTTTAATCAACAGCAGACCCTTATTTTGTGTACGGGCCCAGGGGCAAATGCCCCCCTATAGATGAAAAAATAGATGAAAACTTTTCCAATAAAACCATTCGTGCAGAGGTGCTCCTAGTGGCTGTTTTCCTTTCTGAAGTAAACAAGGCATGCATACTCCATACTACCAAATTTTAAATTTTGCAGTACTACCAAGTTAACTATTTTAGATATGAAAAATGCACTTACTTGGAAGTATTCCTCTCCTGATCAAATGAAGGATTTTCTGTTTGAAGTAGAATATCTCTTTCGAGAGGCCCCTGATAAGATGGTTTCGCAGTTGAATAATAATATGGAGCTAAGTCTACCAGTCTGCAAACCGTTACCGTTGAGTAAAAAATATTGCTAGAGGGTTGTCAATAGAGGACCTGTCATTATCAATGGTGGGGGGGGGGGATAAGGTGAAAAATGTTTTTTGAAGAAGACAATCGTTATCTTGGCCACCCCTCAACTTCTCAACTTCATACAGCTACAATCCTGCACTCTAAATCCAAGAATGCTTTTTTTGTAGCCCCCATAAGCGTACGGCGGAATTTTTACAGGGGGGGGGGCGGTAGGATTTTTGCCAGAGTACAGAGGCATGCATATATTTATGAGCCTGTTGGTGATAAGGAACTTGACATAGGAATATTTACATTACGAATTCTTTTTCACCGAAATATCTAAAGTAAAAAGAGTCAGTTGAGAGTAGAGCAAGCCAATCAGAGACATGTTTGGGGGGACATGCTATCGTTATCGACTCTTCTATAATGTCTACTGTTCAGATCTAAAAGTTTGATCTAAGTTTCTCAAAGATAACGACAGCAATGTATGATATTTTCCGATATTTTACTTAATATCACTTAAAATACTATAATTAACTCTTGAATTCGACTACAGTCAAAAGAAATGAGAGTCCCGACCCTTTCTATGTCCAAATGTATCAATCATCGCATTCATGTCACTTTTCAAAACTTCGTTTGAAAATTTCCTCTCGATGCTAAGTAGTGCCAAATTGCTCAGCCGTTCTTGGCCAATGGTTTATCTCAGATATGTTTCAGCCGTCAAAGGCCACTAAATGATCGTTCAGCTTAGCAATGTTGCTTCACACAGGAATGGCAGTACTTGATGCAAACCTTCTTGAAACATCTTCCGGACAAGCATTGCTGCATTATTACCATAAGATTCAGAAGCGCCTTGCTTCTTGTAATTTTCAAAAACCATCATATCATTTTTAAGGCACTCTTGGTCGATTTGATAATGCAACTATATTGACACGTAGCTTTCAGTCTTTGGGTTATTTGAAGATACCACGAATGTTCAACCAAATTGCCTGAAGTAAGTCCTATCACTTTCCAGTGTCATTTCTGCCCAACTAATTGCGGATAATTTTTGAAAATTTGCCCGACTGACATGGCTACCGCCCCCCAGCCCCCCCCCCGCCCGTACGCTTATGGTTGCCCCCTTAACCATCAAAAGATTACAAACATTTCCTACATAAATAATACAAAGCTTAGTGAACAACTCGGGAAACAAATAAAGTGACATATAGTTTTCTTGCTTGATTGAAATTCAATTTTATTGTACTATTGTTAATGGGTTGCCTTGTACAGACCATTGCACCAACAGACAACCTAATGTTCAGAAATCGCCAAAGCTAAAACATTACAAAACAAGCATAGTGTAAAACAATAATGTTTTACAGGGTAAGGATAGCCAAATAAAGGACAACAAAATATGTACCAAAGTTTTCTTCGATTTCCAAACGACTGCGGTTTCAACTTAACTTTTAATAACCAAACGACTTTCATGTAACGGCAACTTTAAATGCGACTATAGGCGACTTCAACTGAACGATACGACACGACTTAACAACACATCTTAATTACGATAACAAAATAATTACTTCAAACAACAAAGGACTGATGACAACAATAGTGGCGATGGAATGATGCAATAACACGGAATGTTGATGGCAAGGTGACAAACAACGGAACTATCTATGGTGGCCCAGCATTCTCATTCAAAAAACAGAAACATATTCTATGAAGTATAAAAAAATCACAGATATTTGTGATATATTTGACATTAAATTCAAATTATTTTCTTGAAGATTAAAATAACATGTCAAAAAGCAGAATAAACATAAGAAAAAAATTAAAGAAACATTTCCATTTCCAAGTTTCAAATAGAATTTTTTCTTTTTGTTTCTGAAAATCACATTGAAAGTTGTCAAAAGAAACAATTTCGTTTTCATTTTCAAAATGAAATGTCACGATCGGCCCAGCGTTCTCATAGACCACAATGCTTTGCAAGAATAAGCGCCTCATTTCCATGCAGCTTTTCGCGCCCTTTTTGATTTTCTAAATAAATTACCTTTGGCTTATGTAGCCAAGAAAGGGAGATTTTGCTCCATATGGCTGCAGAATATAAAAGAAA